TTCTCGATCCAGCATCGTGAGACAGGGCGAGCCTGCAAGTCAGCTTCGCTAAAAAGAGTCGTTGAACCCTAAACCATTTTTTCCCCCTTGGGAGTAGGTAAGCGGTGCTGACGAACCCGTCCCCCCCTTTTTTTTCCTTTTAATCGAGATCGATGCTGTTGGTTAGACACACAGTGAACGATGAATGGTAGTAGAGTGAAGGCAGAGGAATTTCCTTTTTGCCCCCGCGCACGTGCCACGCTTCCTCCTTCGCTCTTTCGCGTACCCTCCGCCAATCACAAGGCTCGACTTACGAGCGGCGGGATGTGAAAAAAGCCTACGTGGGGCGATGTAGGGCGGATGGGGTAGGCCCGGAGATTAGAAGAGAGCAGAGAGCCGGACTACCCGTCGTTCTTCACTCGCTTTGTGGCTTTCTATGTCCATCGTTTAGCCAGGTCCATTGTCGAGCTTCCGCAGGCGTTATGCTGCTTATAGACTAACGTGTTGGGTTTTTTCGAACCGTAGGGTTTCCGATACAGAATCAGGAGAAGAGCGGGCTGGGCGTGCAAGGGCATGCTTCTATATCCTGGCAGTTCTGGAAGACTCCCTTTCATGGTCATCTGGTACGGCATCGAGCCCTGGCTCATCTTGATGACGCAATTCCCTACCACCGTCCGATCTGTACGTTCAGCTGTCTGCGTCGGCCCAGTCAAGGAGATGACGATAGCACGACGGCCGTGTCTAACCGTGACCAAAGCTTTGGGATCGTCCAAAGCGAGTCGGACGGATCCCAGAGCTGAAAGACCAGGATGACGTGGGCAGAAACTGGGATCATGGCAAGCCGTGCATCGCACACATTCTTGAGACGTAGGATACCATTATGCAGGAAAGGGGCTTATTAGGGAACATTTTACAATGTTTTTTGCAACTTAGGCCTGCTCAGTGCCCGGCTAGCTAGACCGTGCATGGATACAAGTACTGTACAAACGCTCCCAGTGCTTCTGGTCTTGGTGGTCGGCACGCCAGCCGCGTGAGCCATGACAGGCTTCTACTGACGGTGAATCAATCATGTTTAAATGCGATCTCGATATGAGAACCCAAGAAATGTTGCGACAGAGAAAAAAAAAAAAAGTAGTAACAAACAACCATCAAAAATATTCAATAGCTGACTTCGGGTATAATGCAGTGTGAAGGAATGCAACGAAACGAAGGTGCCGGACTCCTGTCTTGGCCACATCGGCCTGCGCAAGATTTTACAAAAAAAAATTGGCATAACAGTGAATCTCAGATGACCACCAGACGATCCAAAGGCAGTAGAAGTAGGGTATCAAAAGAAACGAACAAGAGTAGGTGGGACGAAACACAAACAAACATTGCGAAAGGAAGAGTCCACCGCTTTGAAAGATCGCGGCCAAATGTCTGCCTGAAGTCCCACGTGAAGTCATGCTAGGCGTAGACACCCAGCTTGTAGCTCCACGAGGAATATAACCCCAAGCCAACCGTCATTCCCGCGACAATCTCCAGCAACCCATTCCACAACCGTCATGTGTCGTCGTCTTCTCACACGTTGCGTGCACCAATGACTTCGTATATGTCTCGAGTGTATGTACCGTATGTACAATGAAGGACCCACGTTTCCGGGAGCTAGTGCTGGCCTGGCGGCGGCAGAGGAGGACCACGGCCCGCAGACGGCTGAGGAGGCCAGCTCCTGTCGATCCGCTCAGGTGCGTACGGAGTAGGATAGCCTGGCTGTGGCGGCTGTTGCTGGGCCTGTTGAGGCGGGCCGTGCTGCATCGATGCCGATGGCGTGCGAGAGCCCGGTATGGGCGACGCAGCTGCGATCGGCGGATACGATGTGGGTGGGTAGCCGACCTGAGGCTGAACCTGTTGGCTAGAAGCAACACCTGGAGGAGGAAGGTAGGAACTCGTGCGCCTACGGACATTGCGATCAGACTCGTGAGGGCGTTGGTCGCTTCGGTGGTCCGGCGGATAGGCGCTGTAGCTGACACCAGGAGTGCTGCTTGCGGACGTGCTGCCTTGTCCAGATGACGCTCCCGTACTGCCCTGGGCTTGCATGGAGAGCCTGCGCGTGCGTGGCGAAGGCGCGCGTGGGAAGTGTCGGTCGCCGCCTGGCGCTTGATAGACCAGCTGGGCGAAGTAATCGCGCTCCCGCTTGTAGAATTCGACGTCCTCGGCGGCCTCGCGGATTTGTTGCTCCAGGCGAGAGATCGTGGAGGAGGCTTCTCTTTCTTTTTCTTTCCTCCTCGCTCGGAATCGAGCCGAAGCACCGGCGTTGCGCTTTCGCTTCTCATCAGCCATTTTCGACGCAGCCTGGACGTCCACTGGAATCTGTACATGACCTTGGTTTGTCTCGAGTGTCAGAAGCTGATAATTGCTCTGACCAGTCGAGGCAACAGGAATTCCATAGGAGCGGTCGGGCTCTTGCGACGAGAACCGGGGCGGCGCTGGTGCGCTCGAGGAAGCCGGCTGGAACGGAACAGGCGACGGGCGGCCAATTTCTCCCAGCGACGTGGCCGGCGAGTGCTGGCCGGCCGGACCATACGAGTACATGCCGCGGGGGCTTGCACTCGCAGATTGCGGCTGGGGTGGCTGAGACATGCCGCCACTGGTCCGTCGCGAATGGCTCTGTTGGATGGGAGGCGTGGGAATCGAAGGCGGAGGCGGAGGGAAGTTGTAGCTCGATCGCTGCGCTGCCGGAGGAGTAGGCAGAGGCGGGTTCGGGGCGGATCCCGGCTCGTGTCTGTAATCTTGGGAGCTGGGAGAGAGAAACGGGGTCTCTTGGGCATTGATGGTGCCGGTTGGAGGTCTGATCATGCCCAGACTCTGTGAGCGGTAGAGGGGGGAGCGCGGGCTCAGGACGCGCCTGTGGCCGATGCTGGAGGCATGGGCATGCTGGCGCCTCTGGTCCTCATACGCAGAAGCCATGTGAGGCGAGGGCCCGGGGAGGCGGTCGACGGGCGACGGAGACTCCATCTGCGAGGCAGTGCGGCTGCGGGCCTTGGACTCGGCGGAGGCGCCGTCGCCCAGCGGGTTCAGGATCGAGTGCACGCCGAGGGCCCGCGGGGTGCGGTCCTCGGAGCGCGGGTGCGTGGGCTCAGAGGTCGGCGTGTGGATGGGCGGCAGAGCAGGGCCGCGGCCCTGCAGCTGCTCATACCTGGCGCCACCAGACAAGCTCTGCATTGCCGAGGGCGGGCCCGCGGGACTGGTGTAGGAGCGCGCGGCGGCCGGCCGGCTGGAGACATCGTGGAGGAAGGCGGACGAAGGACCTGACCTGCTGCCATGCTGCTGTGACATCAGGTCCTTGTCGTCGGGGTGCCTTGGGCCTCGAAATGCCGAGCATGAGGCGTCCCTTCCCCGGTCTTCCAGCTGGCGGAGGTCGACGGGGTCCTGGAGGCGCAGCCGGAGGTCGAGCTGCGAGGCGGGCGGGCTCTGGGGGAACGGGGCCCGGTAGGGATGGTGGTGCTGGTAGTGAACGGCGAGATCTGGGGCAGCCAGGGTGACGGCGCGCGAGGGCAGGGCCTCGCGGGGAGCAGCAGGCCAAAGGACGGAGGCTGAGGAGGCTGTGGGAGCTGTGGGAGCCGTGGGAGCTGTGGGAGCGATGGTGGTGCAAGCGCGGTCAGGACGTGCGCATGGCAGGGTAGGCAGAGCAGAGACGGAGAGCAGAGGGGCGGGCTTGCGCTCGTGACTGGGCGGACGTCTAGAGATATAACGAGTTGCGGTGAGTTGGGTGAAGGAGAATCACACCAACGGGCGGGCGATGCTCAAGCTCATCCCTGCGGCTGCTACGCCGGGTCGGGAAAGGCCCCAAGGTACACGATGCTGACCTTGTCGATAATGGAGGATTGGCGGGCGTGCGCGGAGGGCGGCAGCCGTTCCCTGGCAGAGGCATGGCCGGGCTGCATGGTGCGACTGTCGTGGCCGCCCCGGCTGTGAAGCAACTGCCGCTGCGACTCAGCAGCACCGCCGGGCGCGGCAGAGGCGCCATGCAAATCTGCGCTGCTCCCACACGGCATCGATCAGCGGTCCTCCGCCGCCCGGGCCCCCTGCCGGCGCTGGAGGGCGTGCGCAGAAGCTACCTTACGCTCGGGATCCTGAGCCTTATGCCCCCTCCACCTTGGCTGCCCTCCCCGCCTGTTTCGCTGCCACCCGCCAACGTCACGTCCCGTCCCTAATCTCGTCACCTGCGCTAGCCGCCCGCCGAAAGCTGCGATAGCACGGCCAGAACCTCGCCCAGCTCGCAGCCGCCGTGAGCGCGCCCGATGCCCCGGCCAGTCCGCGCGACACCGCCAGCGCAGCGCGCAGCACGCCCGCCTGCGAGCTGCCCGCCCAGCGTCCGCCAGCCCCCGCCAGCCCCCGCCAGCCCCCGCCAGAGCGCTGCCCGCCCGCCCAAGCCGGCCCGGTACGCCCGGTACGCCCGGTACGCCGCCGCCGCCGCCGCCGCCGAGGGGTCCTGGCGTGCATCGCGTGCAGCTGCCTGCGCGCGTCAGAGAAACTGTCAGATCTATATGACGCGATTCGCAAATGACGGCATATTGGGAGCATTCGGGCATCAGGAGCTGGCCGTTGCACTAGGTATCCAGCCTGGCCTGCCCAAGGCCAGCTCCGGGATCAGCCAGGGCCTATTGCTCGCCCGCCAGGTCTCGGGCCGCGGCGCGAGCGGTGAGGGAGCGCAACGGCACGGGCGCTCCTTTATATCAGGAGGGCTGGCAATCTCCCCTCGATGGCGCAAAGGCGATCGTCCTGGCGGTGCAATTAGCCAGGCGGACATTGAGCTGGGCAGGGGTGGAGGTTGTCTGAGCCAGCTCAGCAACGCGTCGGGCCCGCCGGGACGGGCGTGCGTGCTGATCGCTCCGAATGATGCGCATGGCGACTGGCGGACTTGGCCCTCGGGCGGCGCGCGTCCAGCGACGTGTTGGGCGAGGACTTGTCGAACGCTGTCGTTGCATTTAGCATCGCCGCGGCCATTGGGCTGCCCCCGCTATCCCTGCCGCATGGAAGGCGCGGTCATATGACATGGCCGGCCTGCAACAGCTCTCCCGGCGCTGTGGTGCAGCGCAGCGTGCGCAGCGTGCGAATAGTTGTGCACGCACGAGGCTTTTTTCTGATTGGGCTGCCCGCCGCGCATCCACGGACCCCCGACGGCTTTGATCTCTGCAGCGAAGAAGTCTGCGCTGCAAGCCACCGCACAGCCCGTCCGCCGCCTCCTGTTGGCCGTCCGCCCGCAGGGTGCTCCCTGCCCGCGCCCGCCCCAAGCCCCTGGCCAATTTGGAAGCCCACGTTGCTGTGGCTGATGCACCGTTTCTCGAGAGCGCTGCGAGTCACTGCACCTGCTGCAGCACGCCGCTTTGGGAGTCCGGCCCGGCAGCGCCCTCTTGCAGACGCACGCCACGTCCACCCAAGAGGCGGCAACGCTGCCACGGCTGCATTGTGCGGTGTGCTGCGCTGCGGTGGGCTGCGCACGCGCCGTCTCGGAATGGCCTGGCGGGCGCGCGCCCGGTGCCATGGATTCCAGTTGTGACTAGCAGCCGACCGAGCCCCGCTGCCGGATCCCAGCAGCGCACCACGGCACCTCCAGGCCTCCTGCTGCCAGTGCGACTCTGCTCGCTCGCCTGTCGCCTGCCCGTCATCCTCGACCAGCCCCGGCCGGCGCCTGCGCCCGCACCCGCTGCTTTTCGTCATCGCCTCCGCGTCCCACCCTCCGCTGAAACCGCCGAGGCATGGCCGCCGCTTGCACGCCTCGTTCCGCGCGCACACGCGCCTGTTGCCCGTGGGTTGATCAAACACCAGCGCCGTGACCGCGGGCCGGCGGAAGGATCCAACGGACTAACGTCGACGGCGCCACGCGCTCAGGGAACATGCCTGGCTCTCGCCGCTCTCCCCATCAATTGGCGCGAGGGGGCCACGAGCAAGCAGCCTACCTACCTGGGCAGGGTGGAGCGCCTGCTGTACGTACCGGTAGTACCTCCCAGGCACCGGCCGCGTTCGAGAACTGCACTCGCGCTCGCACTGCTCCCCACCGCGCGCTCGCCTGACCGCCGCTCGTCCCGCATATGGCTGACCAAACAATATCAGCTGGGACGTGGCAAGTTCCGAAATTGATGCGCATCACCACGCGCTGAGCTGCCGTTTGATTATTGTGATGGCGCCTTGCGCCAGGTCGTAGCGGCAGCCCTACCAGGCAGCGCGGCTAGGGAAACGGTCGTGGTGCTACAACGCGCCCCTCGGAGCGGCCACATGGCAACCCTGTTAAGTCCGACTTCTGCTTCTGCGGGAGCTTGCGCCGCAATCGTACAGCGGTGCAATATTTAGACAGGAACCAACACACGGCTAGCTCCACGCCAACGGCCGCCGGCGAGTCCGCACTATTGACTGGCAATGGTGCTTGACCCTTCGCGACGACTCATCCACGCCAGCATTCCCCGTCTTGTCAAAAAGAAGACGTGCCCGACCTGGTCAACGTGCCCTCTTCCGCCGCTCGGTCCGTTGCTGGCTGCCCACGGCTGGCTTCCTGTCAGACAGCCTCGTGCAAGTCATCCCGATCTGCATCAATCCCTCCCTGCACAGACGCGGCGGCTCGCAAGCCATGTCGCCTGCCAGACCCTACTGCGTACAGCGCGGCGCCAGCAGTACGCAGTAGCGAGCGGCGGCGGCAGGAGCAGCGGCAGCAGCAGCAGCAGCAACAGCCAAACTTCCCTGACCCATGCTGGCCGGCCAATATTATTGAGTTGCGCGCGCGTCTCCGCTCAAACGAGTCCTGGCTTCCAACTTTCCACAACAGTCGTCTGCCCCGTCTCCTTCATCCCCGTCGTCGCGCAGCGCCTGGAGCAGCTGGCCATTGCTGTGAGACATTGCGTCCGTGTGCGGGACAGCGACCCTTTTAACACTCCCAGCTTCTTCTATTGGTCTTCTCCGTGCCGCCTTCGCGAAGGTTTCGCGAACAGTTCTCATGCCCCTGCTCAAGCTCACGGACGCCATCGACTGTGCGACCGCCCTATGATTGCACATCCCCGGCCGCCCGGCCGCAAGCGAAATGAGGAGCGTCCATCACCACGTTTTCGAAGCCCTCGAAAGAATAATCACCCGCAAATGACGACACCTGGATCGCAGCACAGCCATCCCTGCCGCGCATCTCCGCCGATTGCTTCCTGAGCTGGCCGTCTCGGTTCCGGCGAATTCTCTTCTTCCTTTGTTTTTCCTCTTGCTTGCGTGCCCTGCAGCGAGCTGTGTTTCCGCTTACGACCCATCTGCTCCCCTTTTTGTCGCAGCGCCGCCGTCAGCTGGCTGTCCTGGGCTGAACAATGAACCATTCGCGCGCACAGCCCCCCCCCCCGCCACACCACATGTTCAATGGGCCTGAATCATTCGTACCGAGTCCACCCTGGGCCCTTTCTTTTCCCTCTCGCTTTGCGTTTCGCAATGAATCGCGCAGCGCACCGCGCCCGCGTCTAGTGTCGCACAGGACCGAGCTGAAACTGAATCGCCGCGAAGGACAAGGGATCCAAGGGATCGGATCGAAGCCTTCCTTCACGTCGGCATGGCATGTGTCCCGGGCCCGCGTGCTCGCCCACAGCGTTACACATCGCGTCCACGACTCGGGCACGGCAGTCGATGAGTCGTGGGGGAGGGAACCTGACCGGTGAAGCATAAACGAGGTGTGAACAGGAAACCGCCGTTGCATCTCATTGCGCCCCGCCCAAAGGGGTCCGAAATGGAACTGCGGCGGCAATCGCCTGCGGGCATGTCTGCTGGACGTCTGATGCAGCCAGCCATTGGTGTTTGGTGGTGCCCTTGCAGCCCGCCGTCCTATAAAGTCATCACCCATGTCGGCCGCATCACGAATCGAAACACCGGCCACTTGCCGCGCTCTAGCACCGTCTGCCCTACGCATAGATGCACACGGACAGGGACAAAGGCTAAAATTTTCTTTGTCTCGCGGATGCAACATCTGCAGATCCGGCCGTCTCGGCTGGCGATTCAGTTGGAGCCGCGAGCCAACTTACTAAGGGGCGCGCGAGTCGGCGTGCAGTCGGAATCGTATCATGTCAAATACCTAGTCACACGCTCAGCGCACATCACAGACCGGTCGCTTCAAGGGCCACCTCGTCTGCATGCCGAACTGCGGCCCCGGCGAGCCGGTCGGGTATTGTAACTTTCCAAAGAGCGGTGCCGCAGAGGTTGGAAGCGCACGAACCTTTCCTGGTCCAGATCCCTCATCGAATCGAGTCCTTCATCGAAGCAAGTTAGGTTTCGGCCGGGTTTGGCTGCCCCCAGGAGAACAGGCAGGCTGGTTCTGGGAAAGCAGAGGCCACGCGGAGCTGGGCAACGAGAGTTCGCAACGCGCGCAAGCAGGGCCAGGGAAAAAAAAAAAAAAAAGAGACATGGGGCCAAGAGCTAATGCGTGCACTTAGCACGCAATACCCGCTCCCCCGGCGGCACCAGGCTGGCTCAGGAATAGGAATGCCGGACCGGCTGCGCCTTTGACATCGTCATGGTGCTTTTCTTCAGCTCCACGCACCAAGCAGCGCGCTCACCGATCCCGCGAGAGAAAAAGAAAGCCGGGCGTCCCTGCGCATGATGCACACCACTTGCTCTTTTCCAATCGATTGCTTGCATGTCCCCCCCAGGCGGTCTCTTTCCATGCTCCTAGCGGCGGGATGCCTAGCTGCGGGCTGGGGTTGGGGCCGCCGCCGTCTTGTCGTCTGCCCCTCCACCCGCGCCCCCCTCCAAGCCCGCCTTTCTTCACCGTACCTCCAGCGGGCGGCAGCGCATCAGCTAGAGGGAAGCGCCGGCCAATTGGATCTCCATGCGCCCTCGCCATGTGGGCCGAAGAGCCCGCTGCGACTTTTTGTTGTTCCTTTCACCGTGCCTTTGCCGCCGCTCCACTTGGAGCTCCTACGAGAGCAGTCTAGAAGCAGTCCAGAACCATGCGCCGAAGGGCATCCGGCTCACGTACAGCACATACATACATACGTATGTTCCCACCCGACTCATCATCACACACCGACCCGACGCAATGGCTGGCTGGCCTGTCCTGATTGCTTGCTTCCCACTATTCCCTTGCAGATCATTTTCCCTTTGGCTTTTGCTGCGCACAACATGCTCGCGTGTCGGAGAATAACCCGAGAGGCTCGGGGGATTTCAAGAAAGTTTGGAATCCTTTGGACACTCGTTTAAGGTTTAACGCTGGCGACCTAAAAAAAAAAAAATACCAGTTTAAAGCCGCACGCAGGCAGACAACACACGTCTCGCTCGCTTTCGCAACCGCTCGAGAGGCGGGGAAGTCAGCGTTGCGCTTTTTCGCATGCTTCTTCGATATTATTGTTTTGCCGCTCGAGCTGCGAAGCTCGCAATCATCACCGCCATTCCACCGCCGCATCCACTAAAAATTACCCCTCTCTCCCCACGTAATATTGTGGCTTTATCTGTGGCTTATGGCGGGCGAGGCCGTCTTCTCCACTGCCGCCCGCCGACTGCCCCCTGCTTTATTCCCGCTCCTGCCGGGATGTAGTGCTGACGATGATGACGCTTCTCGGTGCAGGTGGAGATGGTCCATAACAATATCTTTTACTTTATTGTCTTTGTTTCGTTTCTTTTTTTTTTTTTTTGCTTCAAAGGTCTTTTGGGCAAAGTGATTGGTGTTTGTTTCCATCCACTGACTGGAGTGCCCGCAACCAGCTGTACTGCGGGCCGTGGCTGCCTGTTGCTTTCGGCCCCATTGCCGGCCATGCGTTGTCACATTTCGCTGATGAGTGGCGCCATCAGTCGTGGTTATCTTATCGACAAGGGCGGCGGCGGCAGCGAAACAAACGTTGGAAACGGCAACGGACAGTCGATCTGCCCCAGGGGAACCTGATAGGTTGGCGCGTTGGAACCACGGAGAGAACGATTCCAGAAACTTTTGGCAAAAGAGCGGTAAGAGGGGCAGGCCGAGTGCAGCGTAGTTTAGGGCCCAGACAACAACAGAGACACTGCCCGCCATGAACCAGACGGCTAAAGAACTCATCAGGCTTACGGGCACTATTTCCACCACTTACCAAGGTTTGTTTGCTGCAAAAACCACCCCACACACCACACCACAACGCGTGGCAGCGCCAGCATTTGGCCACTGGCGATGGCTCCGACACGAAATCATCCGCCGCGCCGCCCTCGTCACTACCAACCGGCAGCAGCCAAAAGTCTGGCCCATGAAAGGCCGCGCGGAAGGGAGAGCGGGAGAGTGCGAGCGGGCAACGAAAGAAAGCAAGAAGACCTATACGCAAGTGCCCGAGAGTTGTACCATCGGTCCACCACCACGAAAAGGTACCGCGGGTTTCCCTCCCTCGTAATAAGAGTGCCTACTACGTATGTGGAGCCGGGAGGCCCCCCGCCGCTCGATATATTAACGTCCAGCTATAACCAGAGACGACGTAAAGAGAAGATCTGCCACGCGCAACCAGTAGTAGTAGTCTTCCTTTTTCTCTGATGAGTGCTGCTCATCAAAAGACTATTGAAACTAAGCATACTATCGATTATTACCCCATGTTACCAGACCCATGGGAGTGAGGGTAACGCGTGGGCTTGGGTAAAGGACGAACGAACACGCGCGTGAATGATAGCGACGGCGCCATGGCGCTATGGCAGCACGCCGCCAGCCCAGCGCCAGAAAGCGCCCAGCGCCAGCTATTGCGTAGCCCGTGGACGCCTACCAGTCGATATCGGCGATACCGGCGATTCTTGGTACTTCGATGAGATGAATGAGGGGACGTTCGACACCGACTTGAATCATTGTTGATTCAATTCCAATGCTTATAGGCAGTAAGGATCGTGTGGTCGGGATTAGAGTCGGTAGGGTTAGAGTTAGGCTTAAAAAGATCAATTCTAAATCGCGTCTGAATACCCCCTCGTTGATTTACTGAATTTACAAAAGATCTCGGACATAAGTAAGAGGGTTAGTGGGCCATCCTGCAAGCCGCATCATACCCCCCCTCTTCTTTTTTTTTTCTTTGGGTCGCTCGCTCCCGGCCCGCACGCGCGTGCGGGACGGGTAGGACAGCAACTGCTAAGTCCGGGTCCGGTGGCTCGTCGCATTTTCTCTGTTTGTACATGATGTGCACCATAGCGCGCGTGGTTATGGGACTTGTAAAACGCGAAAGGGGATTGGATGCGGGCCAACTGGGAACGTGGGTATAACGTAAAAGAAAAGAACAGAGTATTATGCCGTGGTTCTGGGCTGAGGCTTGGCTGACCTACCACCTACTATCGTTTTTTTTTTCGCGGCTTGAGGATGACTGCCGAGAGTGTGGGGGTGGTTGGCAGTTGATAGGGCGTGTTGCGTGCGTTAGGGGCTGCAGCAAAAATGGAGGCGGTGCAAACCGATCAGATAGGTTCGGTGGTTCGGTCCCGGTTGTAAGCCTTTGCCCACCTCCCCACCAGCAAGTCATAAAGGAGGGGAGCTTGCAGCGGCGAATGATCGAGAGTCGAGAAAGATCGGAGACGAAATGCGCTCTTCCATACAAGGCCCTGCAGCCTGACGATGACTTTGTGGAGCAGTGATGAGGGCTTTTTTTTTCATTGTTTTTTGCGGCGGTAGCCGCGCGAATGGGTATTGTGAGGCAAAATCGGATTTCCATCGATGTCTGGGGTGGGGTTGGAGGGGCCAACTCATGCGGATTGAGTCGTCATGCATGGTACATGCGCTCCTTCAATTCATTGGGGCGAATGTGACCTTGATCCGCAGCGCCAGCAAGCATGTGGGCTTGCTCCTGCAGCTCACGTCTGGGACTATCGGGGGCATGTGTCTGGTAATTAAAAAACAAAGAAAAAAAAAACCAGGGCAATGGAAGAGGTCTGCGACAGTGGCTCCATGCTGATCCACACAGCAGCACTATTGTCAAATGCCCCTTTCTGCCTGGTATTGCCAGCAAACTCTATCGTCTGGCTGACCTGCAGCGATCGCCTCACCTTAGAATTTTGTTTTTCTCGTATACCTGCCGCCCCCACTGCGCCTGCGAGCTGCCTATGGCTTTTCGCCATCGTACTTGAAGCGATACGACGGGGCGCCCCTGACTCCTACGTGCACCTTGAACAGGCTACCGTGCAGCTTAGTGCTCTCAGGGAACTTGTCGGGCATTTCTTCCTCGGCACTCGTGATGTACAGATCTTCGCCAGCAAATTCAGGGCACGTTGGGCACCGAGTTGGCAGTCTGATCTCCGCCACCTTCTTGCCGTCGGGCGACACGCGCAGGACCTTGCCGGCGCCGTGGATGGAGACCCACATGTAGCCCTCGACATCCAGGGCGTGGCCGTCGGGCACACCGTGCTCGCCCTCTTCCACATGGTAGAAGACGCGCTTGTTGGAAAAGGAGCCGGTTTCGACGTCGTAATCGAAGGCGAAGACGTTTTGGGTCGGCGAGTCGGTGTAGTACATGGTCTTGTTGTCATTGCTCCAGCTCATGCCGTTCGGGATGTGCACGTTCTCGAGCACGCGATGCAGCGTCAGATCAGGGTCCAGGCGGAATAGCGTGCCTGGTTCGCATGCGGTGTGAGCTCCCCGCCCTAGTGTCGTGCCTCGGCGCAGGGTCCAGACTACTGACCTTCGGGCTCAGGGCTCTTGACCAGCGGGTCGTTCATCGTGCCCACGAAGAACCTGCCCCTGACATCGACGGCGCCATCGTTTCCACGGAGACTGGCAGGTGCGGTCAGCTGCGTCGGCCTCGCAAGCTTCCGGGAGCTACCCACAGCTTCTCCTTGCCCTCGGCAATCTCCTTGTCGGACCAGTACTTCCGGATGTACTTGTACTTGCTCGTGTTGCGGTTGAGGATGCCGTAGCCATGCTTGCCGCCGAAGAAGAAGTGGTCGTTGTCGCCTTCAATGTCGGCCGTCACCCTGTCTCGAGCATCAGCCCCGCGTGGCAGGCGGCGTGGAACGAGGGCGTCACCCTATGGAGATGTCGAGGTCGGCGAGGACTCTGTGCGACTGGGGTCCCTTGTTGAGATCGATGGCATGGACCTTCTGCTTGACAACGTCGACAAAGCGCAGGGTGTTTGTGGCCTCCTCCCAGAAAGGGCCTTCACCCAGGCCGCAGTCAATCTTGAGGTAAGGCTGCACGGGGCATTGTCAGCCGCCGCAGCTCTGGCAGCACGTCATCCGGGGGCGAAAGTCGGGGCGCACCTCGTCAACGGTGTAGATCTTGATGTCGCTCATGTTGGAGGATGCGCGGAGCGTTGTGGAGGTGAATTGAAGGGAGCTGGTGGGTATGGATGAGGGGTTGAGGCTCAAGGTGGGAGGAATCGCACGCGAGTCATGCAGCACGGGTGGTGATATCATCCTGAGGCCATGACGCGCCTGCTACATGTAGCTACCTACATGCTTCTGCCGGAGCTCCCACCGCCCACACACCACCTCTCTCGTCCCCCCCGTCGCCTTATCACGCCGGCCGGCAGCCGCATGCGGAAGTGCGGTCCGCAGTTCCAGGCAGCCCAGAAAAAAAGTCAACAGCCACCGTGGCCGATCCGCGAAGCCCTGCACCGCACGGAATCGCCCCAATGAGATTCGCAGCAGCCACCCTGAGGATTCGCGCCATGCCGGCTGTATCTTGACACAAACAAGAGGGCGGGCGGAGACACCATGGGGCTCAGCGGATGCTCAGCGCGTTGGAAGTCAGGTGCTCGCCAGTCGCTGCGAGTATGGTTGCTTCTGCTGCAGGCTGCGCTCTGACGGGCAGCAGATTGCGTGCATCGGCGCGGGCGGAGGCGGAATGACGGGCTTTCACATGGCTGGGTGCGACAGGTCGGCTCCGTGTTTGATGCAGGCGGCTTCACGCGGGACCCGGGGCCCGTGGCCGGGTACCTTGCAGGGCAGCTTGCAGCGTGTCCATGACATGCAGCGGGCCATAGCCTCGTCGCGGCCTCCCGTGCAGCTGGGCGCTTCTGGACACGCCGTGCAACCCAGCTGCGCCTCCCCAACTGGCCGCTCGGGACGGAGCTTATTGCAACGCCAAGCCACCCCCGATCTCGACACACCACCAGCGTTTTCGTCATTTGTCATGCCCCGAAGCCGAGTCCATGCAGCCCTCCCCGCGAGAACAGCAAACCCTCCGAGCCGTTTTCGTTCCCGCCTGTAGCACCGCCAACGGCTGCTCAGCTGATGATCGCCCTCAAATCGGACGCGCCGTCCTTCTTTGCCGGTTGTCGTGCATGTCCGCTGTGACAGCCCGGCGCCTGCCGCGGCGCGGCCACGCCCCATCACACGGCGTCCCACCGCGTCCATGTGCGCCGCACCCTCGGGTATTGGAATCATTGCCACGTTTGTGTGCCACCAGCCTTACGAATCCGTGGTTCCATAGCACTGGTCAAACAGCTCTGCCGCAGCACCGCATTCTACCACGCGCCGGGAACTCAGCCATCCGATCAGAAGCACCCGGCCAATCGTTGCTGCACATCCGTCACACCGACTGCTGACTGCTGGCTTCCTTCGTTACACACGTCTCAGTGCACATACAGATATGATTGGGATTTTCCCTGCTCTTTTACCACTCCGTTTCCATATGAGTTGCGGCCGTTTTCCCTTTCTGGCCTCATACATCCAGTGCTGGTTAGAAAATTTTCCCATTGTCAACTCGGGCACCATCTCAGATGTGCCATCCTGCTTGTAAGGCATGACAACTATCCGGAAACCCTGCATATATCCGAATCCTTCCCATTCCCATGGGTTCGATTAGGCAATGCATGCTGGTTATCATTGTGTACCATTACGACTTGTCACATTCTTCCTTGTAAGCCGAGGCTGTTCTTGAAACCCTTCTCGCGACTGAATCATGGCTCTTACCGAGACGGACTGGCCAACCAGTGCTCTGCAACTTCTTTTTCACACTTTTTTTTCACTTTTTATCATTGGTGGGAGGACGAATGCTTGTTCAGTCGTCCCTGCTCATATTCTGACGTCAGTAGGGCTGACTATTGGACGACTCCATGACGAAATGAATGTCCGACTTCTCTAATTCCTGTGGCAGAGGATTGGTTCGATTCATTATTCCTACTAGGGGGTATGTCATCTCTCTTTCCTTGTTTCCTTACGGTCGGCAGGAATCATCGATTCCACTCACGGTAAGCTTGACTCGATTTTCCAACGACATCTCAATTGGAACCATCTGTGCGAATTATGTCCTCAAGTCGAACTGTCAGGACATGCCATGTTCTAAGCTCAAGATCATAAAGCAAAGCTGTCCTTTCTTCCCCAACAATCTGAGAGAGACACCTTGAGAAATCGAGGTAGCTCACAACATCCGTTGTGGTCTAGGGGCTAGGATTTGCCGCTCTCAGTCTTCGAGAGTCATCTCACTTACAAGTGCCGGCAAGGCCCGGGTTCGATTCCCGGCGACGGAAATTCCCTTTTGCCCTTCAAGAGGACGGTAGGTTAGTTCTGTTTTGTTATGAAGAGCTAAGTCGAGGAATTTTTTATGGGTGGCTCGTGCGCGGAGATTGCGTGGTGGCCGACCGAAGAGACGGCGAGACTTGGGGAGATAATGCCGACAACGATTGGAGCGTCATTCGTATGCTCAAGTAATCTCCATGCTGCGTGAGTGTGGTGGAAGTTTTGGTGTCCTTCAAGCTATAGGATGACGGCGAAGCTCTTCCGACAGCGGTGAGAGTATTGTTTTACTTCGCTTACAACCTACGACGACAATCCCAATCAGAGCACAGCAACGCTTGAGCTAAGTGTAGACTCAAAGTATAGGACTTACCTTGCTTGAACCCTCCTCGATCACCGATGTGGTTTGTTTCTGCGGATTCCTTGGGGCAACCAGTTACAGATCCATTCTACGCATGACGAACGGAATACATGTAGATGTTCGCGCCATGAATTATTGTGATTACAGTGACGGCATATGTGGAACGATAGTGCCACAGAATTCACCCAGCCAATAGCAACAATCAAGAGTACCTTATCATTCGCGTTATAGTTCCGCCGCATCATGAAAGTCCGTCCAGCCACTCTTTCTCCCAGACCAAGTCACCAGTCACCACCCCGATCACGGCTGCCATTCGAAACATCACGCACGGAAGTTCCAAAAGCCGAAACCACTCGATTGCTACACAACAAGTCCCATAGCACCCACACTTGTGCAACTCCTTCGTTCCTCAAGCCACACAAAAGTTCTTTTTCCCTCCCTCCCTCCCTCACAACCTTTTTTTTTTCTCCGACGCATTGTCCAACCATCGGATCTTCTGAAACAACGATACGTGCAGCATGCATCCAGCGCTTCCTCGCAGCGTCAGCAGCAGCAGCGCCACACAAAAAAACGCATGCATGTAATAATGCAGCGATTTTTCCTTGACCCATGTGTGCTCGTAGTGCCAGCTGCAATGTAAGGGTAGGGTTAATTTGACGCGTGTGAGAGAGAACACAGACGCTGACGTGAGCGCTTGGCGGGGATGGGGCGCACGCGCGGCGGCGGGGAGGGGAGGAGGGGGGAGCGGGGGCTGATCTTTTTTTTTTTTTTAATTCCCCAGCTCATGCGCGTAGCCGCGCTGGGGGGTGTGGGTGTGGGGGCCGGGGTGTGTGTGAGAGAGAGAGAGAGATAGAGAAGACGGGATGCTTGCTTGCTTGCTTGCTTGCGTGATGCACGCATGCAGCATCGGCCGTTCATGCCTTTTGCCGGCCGGGCGACGTCCTGACGAGGGGGGCTTTGCATGAGCGTCCAGCTCATCGTGCATCGTTGTTTCGCCGGATCGGGTTGGGCCGGTCGGCTTGCGAAGGCTGGTATGGCTGCCTGTGAAGAGGTTGCAGCGAACCGGGCTTATCGCAGTATGCTGCATGGAAGGGCTGAGCAGCGAGGCTGAATCGCATGGCCAGCTGGCTGTTGCAGGGGTTTTCGGGCGCGCGAGATGCACTGCGCCTCGATGTGGTGCGTATGGAACTAGGAGCGTTGGCCCGTTGATGCTGCTATATGAATGCTTTGGTCCGACGAGCCGGGTTTGCGTGGATATTCTCCTAGCGCCCAAGCCAAAGTAGCACCGAATCGTTCGTTTTCAGCAAGAATGTCGTCGGATCGGGACAGTAAGTGATGCAAAGTCGTGGCTTTGGATGGGACGCTGGGCTGATTGATCGGCAGACCAGATATCGTGGCAGACCGCGTATTTCAGCCTCCTCCCATTTGCGCTCTGCGTGTTGTCTCAGGATCCGGGGAAAGTATGCGGTCTGCTACATCCCAGCTTAGGCAGACTGGTCCGTTTCTCCCCGATCATATGTGCTGTCGACACCTCTTTGGACGTATACCAGCTCCTCAGGCGCCTTTTCACCGGGTTTTCTCCTCGTGAGGCATTGAATGAAGTCTTCGTCTTGCGGTTTGGAACAGCAGAGACGTCAAGGGGACGTTCCTGGACGGTCAACTTTATTACTTTTGTTGGCCTCATCATCCCTGTCGTAAAACTCTTCTCTTATGGGGGTTTACCTATCACACAACTCTGGGCTGTGATATACACCCTCTTGTATTGCATGGTGGAAGTTCTTCATTATGCGGAATCCACAGACCATCACGCCAGAGGCTGGTTCGGCAGATATTCCCTACTGGAGCTCCGTTCGGCACCCTCAATTCCATCTGGCAGCACCATGTCTCGGCGCGCACTCGTTCTGGGGCTCTTCGGTCACTCCTTCTTGCTATCCTGGGCCACGGACTTCAGCTTCAGGCTTGAAGCGTTGTCAAGACTACAGAGAAAAAACAGCGAAGAAGTAGGGCGGGAGTGCCTTTTCAGTTGTTACATCCTACTTCTACAAGACTGCATAGGAACAGTCCTGATAGTTATGGCGCGTTTTGTACTTCCCAGGTTTTACCCTAAACCCTGGATGGAAGTCAGAAGATCAAGTGATGCAAGAATTCCCAAGGGAACCCTGTTATCTCCGTGCCTATCCATGATCGCTCTGAGGAGCACCACACTGGCTGCCTACATCTCTGCAATCGTTCGGGGACATAAGTTGGGCTGCAATAAGTCATGGTATCTATTTGGATCACATTTTGGAGTGGGTTTTGGGCTTTGGGTGCTCGAAACAGTGTCTTGGGATATTGCCGTATATATTTTGAGCGAGCATCAATGGGTTGCGCTGAAGGTTCGAAAGCTCTTCAGTTTGAACTCGCAAGAGGACAAGGTGGTTCCTTTATTGAGATGGATCGCAGCGATGGTCGGGTTCCTGTTTTCCTTTATCCTGAGTTGTTTGTGGTACTGGTTGTGTTTTGACCCGAAGGGAACCTACAAGCGTGCTTGGGCGCCGAGCTTAGGAGATTGAACTCAACTGTTAACTTCAGGGACGTCTGACTTCTGATGAACCTATACATGAGAGAACCAGGGAAAATACGTCATGAATAGAGGGCATCTGGCTTCCAGTGGTCTCCTTCGTACCTCTTAATTTCACATGCGGTCTTCGAAGTCATTAGTCAACCAGAAATCCCGCATCATGCCTGCATATGGATAGTGCTGTTCAAAGATGCATCGATGATTACTCGGTAGCGTGACTGCACGTCACTGTGCTCATGACTGAAGCATTGACTAATTCCAACTCCACACTGTCTAACAATTTGGAATTGTACCTCAACGAGCAGTGCATTGCCGAACTACCCAGCCCATATCGTGACTCGCACAATTGATATACAGACGTCATACCACGATGGATGAAACCGTCTGAACGGATACAATGGCGATCTCACCGGGCCGATCCGGATGTCTGCGGAAGTGAGAACTCTACTGCTTCGGGACACCGGCATAATTCAGAACGGTGAACACGGTGTACGACTTAAGGCGGGCAGTGGACCTGCGGCGTCCATGTGACTGAGTGTTATGAATCTTCTTTTTAGGAGATGGTCCAGTAGATCCCAACGATTTGCATTATGCGGGGTTGGAATTCTGTCATGCCAGTGCTCAATGCTACCCGGGACTGAGAGGAGCGGAACATTCATGGTTCTCCCCCCGTCCTGAGCGTTGAGTTCGCTGCCAGCTAGTCACTACATGAATTCAGGGAAAGCTGAAGTCTCCACGAATGTCGATCTCATTCGATCGCCATGGATAGGGACACTGTTGCGAAGGAACACATCTCGTTGCCACTCGAAGATGCCAATGTAGGCCTGAATGTCGTATTGAATGAAGAGATGGTTCAATTGAGCAACAGACTACTTGTATATTTGCGGTGATAGTGTTCATATGAACCCGTCTTCCACCAGTTCAGCTGTTGGAATCCACTGGAGCTCGATGCGTCTAGTTTGGACCTCGGAGTGTATTCAAAGTGCTGCATTCATAGCTGCTGGTCGAGAGGAGATTGGACATTACTTTGCGGAAGCAAGTGAGCCACATTAACCATGCTCCTCTGAGCAATGGACGGCTTGTGTCTGGGCGGTAGTACTTTGGTACAACCTTTTGCTACCATTGAAGTTGTGGCGGTTGACTGAAGCCTGTCTTGCTTGTTTTGAACCTGCTGGCGTAGCCATTGTGCATCGATATCCACATACTTGAGCTTTTTCGATAACTTGGGAGAGGATTCATCTGGTAGACAAGCTGACTCAAGATGATAATCGTTGCATGTCATCCTGAGCTTCTTACGAACACTCCCAGGAGACTTGCAAGAGCTGCAGCGATAGCTGAGTGGTAGATGGTTTTGCAAGGGCTCCTGCCTGAGCCTTTTCATTCGTGCCCAGAAGACAGTGAAACCCGAGTTCAAAGGTACTAGGCACTAACTGTACTTTCTTCTTGCGCTGGGCTAGTCCTTTGAGGCTTCGTTGCATGTACATGCGATGGCGGCGATGCCAAATCAGTAGAGACGTGGTTCTGTCCCGGGACTTCTCAACCAACAGGTTGCTTCTTCGGACGTAAGGCATACATCCTGACGGGAAACAGGTCCTTTGGGAACCCGCGCTGAATCTCGGTAAGGAAAACCTCTAGGCCCGCCAACTCGAAAAGCTTCCGGAACTTGTCATCCGTCCTGGTCACGCTGCTGTCCTCGTCGTCAAAGAGGTCCTCGCCGTTGAGGGCGGTGCTCATGTTTTCCTTGACAACAATGCAGCCTCCATCGACAAGGTGTTCCTGGCAACGCTTGAAGTAGTCGACCAGCTGGGCATCGGTGAGATGGCCGACACACCATTGGTTCCAGATCAGGTCGTAGCGGTAGGGCACATCCAAGGTCCAGTTTTCTAGGCCGACGTTGGCGATGGAGCCAATGCGGCCGGCGGCGATGAGTTCCTTGCAGCCCTCAGTCTCCCTCAGCTGGTCGGTGAACTTCTGCACTGGCTCGACGATATCCACGGAGGCGGCGATCTTCACGAGAAAGCCCAGGGCGATGCGGCCGATGCCGGCACCACAGTCGACGGCGTGAGGAATAGGATCACCGGCCTTGCGTCCGGTGACGCGACACAGCTTAGTGTAGAAGTTGGATGAACCCTGCAGGTCTATGCGCGAGACCTGAGGAAAGCCGCCGAGCATGCCATTGACGGTGGAGTCGACCGAGTTCCAGTATTTGATGGAGGCAGCATGGTTGATGGCCTGGTCCGGAGCGGTTGGCGAGGCATCGGCCATGATGTGCCGCTTCCGTGCTTGGGCGTGTAGGGCGGAGAAAGCGAGGCTGGATTTTGCAAGGTGATAGGACAGGCGTGTGGGAGGGTTGAATTTGACGCGGGCACGCCGAGCTTGGGCCCACGCCTGCTGCCGCCTTGCCTGGAGCGGCAAGTGCAGCCGCGCTCCTGCTTATCGCCGTCGCCTGTGAGGTAATTGAGGGGTAGCAGAGCGCCCCGAAGAGGCTGCCAGATAGGCTATCTCGTTATTACGCCCCGGCGCTGCCTGGACTTGGGCAAGCGACAGCGAGTTTGAGGACTGACGCGCCTTAGTCAGCACTGCCCTTCCAATCACCCGCCCGACAAACTGCTCCTGCATGCCTGCACCCTGCCAAGCCATCCCCATCATCGGCTTCGGTTTCGGCGGGGTGCACCAGAGTGGGGAGCTGCGCCTGCAAACACTACATAACCAACCCTCTCCGCAGCTTCCCGCTCCCCTCTCCTCATGCTCAGCCTCTTTGCCCGCCGCTTTCCTGCTCAACCGAGGCCGCGGCCCTGTCAATTGATCCTCCGTTCATTCCTGTTCCGCCCACAGAGGCCCTTTTCCAGCGCCATGTCTGACCTGGCTGTGGAGTTGACTGCGCCCAATGGCGTCAAGTATACCCAGCCCCTCGGCTTATTCATCAACAACGAATGGGTCAAGTCCACCTCTGGCGAGAAGCTCGCCAGCATAAACCCCACGTACGTTTGGCCCCGCCGAGCATCACTCGCATCTCACTGACCGAGCACCAAAGGGATGAGAGCGAGATCACGTCGGTCTACGCAGCTGACGCAGAGGATGTTGACCTTGCTGTTAAGGCGGCACGCAAGGCATTTAAGAACCCTGCATGGCGGGACATGCCAAGTGTCGAGCGTGCTGAGCTTCTGTTCAAGCTTGTTGCCCTAGTCGAGAAGAACAAGGAAGTGCTTGCTACCATCGAGACCTGGGACAATGGTAGGTGCCGCCATTCAAGTATCCACGATGAAGGCTATCGTACTGAATGCACCACAGGCAAGCCCTACTCAGTTGCCCGCGATGAGGACTTGGGTGAGGTCGCCGGCACTCTCAAGTACTACGCAGGTTACGCAGACAAGGTCCATGGTCAGGTCATTGACACCACACCGGACAAGCTCGCCTACACAATTCGCGAGCCCATTGGCGTCTGCGGCCAAATCATCCCGTAAGTGTATCAGATCTCCAAGCAGCAACTTACTGACACCGTGCAGATGGAACTACCCTCTGGCCATGGCGGCATGGAAGCTGGGCCCGGCTCTGGCTTGCGGCAACACTGTTGTTCTCAAGGCGGCAGAGCAGACCCCACTCTCTATCCTTTACTTTGCCAACCTGATCAAGGAGGCTGGATTCCCGCCCGGTGAGCTTGGAGTCGTTTTGACTGTTTGGGAACACGTCACTAACAGCAGTCAGGCGTTGTCAACATCATCAACGGCCACGGTCGCAAGGCTGGTGCCGCTCTCGCTTCGCATCCCGATGTCGACAAGATTGCTTTCACTGGAAGCACTCAAACTGGCCGTGAGATCATGAAGATGGCTGCGGTTAACTTGAAGAACATCACCCTGGAGACGGGCGGCAAATCGCCGCTCCTCGTCTTCGACGACGCCGACCTCGATCAGGCTGTCAAGTGGGCGCACATTGGCATCATGTCCAACCAGGGCCAGATCTGCACGGCCACCTCCCGCATCCTCGTCCAGGAAGGCGTATACGACAAGTTCGTTGCGGCTTTCAAGGACCACGTGAAGGCGACGAGCACGGTTGGCGATCCCTTCCAAGACTCGACCTTCCAGGGCCCGCAAGTCACCAAGGCGCAGTATGAGCGCGTGCTGTCGTACATCGAGCATGGAAAGTCGGAGGGCGCCACTCTTGTTGCCGGCGGTGAGCCGCACAAGAACGCCAACGGCAAGGGCTTCTTCGTCGCCCCCACGATCTTCTCGGATGTGAAGCCTGAGATGAAGATTTTCCGCGAGGAGGTCTTTGGGCCGTTTGTCGTCATCACGTCGTTCAAGGCAGAGGAGGACGCGGTCGATCATGCCAACGACTCGACGTACGGCCTTGGCAGCGCTGTCTTCACCAAGGACATCACCAAGGCGCACCGCGTGGCGCGCAAGATCGAGGCGGGCATGGTCTGGATCAACAGCAGCAACGACAGCCACTACGCGATTCCGTTTGGCGGTGTGAAGCAGAGCGGGATTGGACGCGAGCTGGGCGAGGCCGGGCTGGATGCGTATACGAACAAAAAGGCGGTTCACGTCAATCTGGGTACGTGGATATGAACAGGCGGGAGGCGGGCGGGGATTTTGTTCAGGCGGCGGGAAGCGCGGCATTTACGGGCGGTTTGCTCTTCGCGGTGTAATGTGGTGTTTGTGCGAGCGATTTCTAGGCTGCAGATTCCGAAATGGCAAGATTCGTAGACGTCCAGCGGAGCCATTGGGCCACGATGCCCCCAGCTAGGCGGATTGGCGGCGGCTATTGGACGTCATCGTGACCAGGCGACGGAGGGCACGCGACCGGCGATCAGGGACGTCAACGGCTGACCTGCTGCGGCTGGGCCGTTCGTGTGGAGGTGGTGGATGGGGCCCGCGTCTGAGTGTGCCTCGCGGGTGTGTGTCAGAATGCGTGATTACTCCAGGCTGCGCGGCGTCTCGGTGGACCCAGTGCCGCGCCGGTGAGGCCGCCGCGCTCGCAGCTTCGGGCTCGGCCTGGCCTGGCCCGCCCAAAGCTCCATCGTCATCTGGCGCATCTCGCCCGCATCTGAAAAGCGCAGCGTCGCAACGTATGCAGACGTCGCCCCAGGCTGCTGCCCCCGCTGCTCAAACCCAGCTGCTCTGCGCCGGCACGCGTTGCCCGCTTGTCCCGGCTCGGCAGAAGTTGACGAGGCGGCCAACTCCACAGACTACCTTGAACGCTGCACAGCCCGTCCGCCGTCACCACGCGCCCGAGGACGACCCCGGCACCCAGCACCACCACCGCCGCTGCTCCAGCTTCGCGCCGCTGCTCCACCACTCGCCTCTCACATGCTCCACCAGCGCCAACTCCCCAGCACCTAGCTGCCCGCACCGACCCTGGCTCGACGCCGGCTTCAACGTCCCTCCAACCCCCACACGCTCCTACCTCACTCCCTCGCGGCCGGTCCCTGCCCTGTGCACACGATCTGCACAGCGTCGGTCGAAGGCTGCTTCCTCGCATTCCTCTCGCGCCTATACAGACCTCCATAGTACCCGCCGACCGCTCCACACTCGTCCTCGCCTCGCCCGCCTCCGAGCCCACCGCCCAGCAGCGCCCGCCGACAGAGCACCATGGGCAACACCCCGTCCAAGAAGGGTGACGGGAACGGCCCGCAGCTCGATCGCGATGGCTACGCATCCTTCTCCCGCTCCGACACGAAGGAGTCGACGCGCTCGATAAGGAACTCGATCCGGAACAAGATCCCGGGCACCAGCACCAAGACAGACAGTCCGCGCAATTCTATCCAGGGCTTGGGCGCCGACAGCAACACCAGCGTGAACAATCTGGAGAAGCAGGACTCACCCTCCGCCAAGTCTGCCACGAGCAACGCTCAGGCCGCACACAGACGGTCAGGCTCAACGTCCTCAGCGCCGCCCGTCGGCCTCGATTCGGTGGCGTCGCGAGAGGACGCCGTGTCGGACAGCGACCAGCCTCCGCCCTCGCCCACGCAGTCGGCGACCGTAGGCCATGGGCACGAATCGGTGAACCAGGCGCAGCGAACCGGCGAAGTCGACCACGTTTCTGACACACCGCCCACCGGCCTGCCGCCGCCTTCCGCGCTCTCCAAGCCCAAGGAATCGATCCTCATGAAGAGAGACCAGCCAATCCCCAGAGCAGCCGAGGCACAGGCTGAGAATGGGTCGCCGACCATGGAGCTGGGCGCGCCCAAATCTATTGACATTGACGACATGATCTCCAGGTTGCTGGACGCCGGCTATTCGGCGAAGGTCACAAAGACCGTGTGCTTGAAGAACGCCGAGATTTTTGCCATCTGTCAGGCCGCGCGAGAACTGTTTCTGTCGCAACCAGCGCTCCTTGAGCTTTCACCGCCAGTCAAAATCGTTGGTGACGTGCACGGGCAATACACGGACCTCATCAGAATGTTCGAAATGTGCGGTTTCCCGCCCAGTTCCAACTACCTGTTTTTGGGTGACTACGTCGACCGGGGCAAGCAGAGCTTGGAGACGATTCTGCTGCTTTTGTGCTACAAGCTAAAGTTCCCCGAGAACTTCTTTCTCCTCCGCGGCAACCACGAGTGTGCCAACGTCACGCGTGTCTATGGTTTCTACGATGAGTGCAAGCGCAGGTGCAACGTCAAGGTCTGGAAGGCGTTCGTAGACACCTTCAACACCCTGCCCATCGCTGCCATCGTTGCAGGCAAGATCTTCTGTGTTCACGGTGGCCTTTCGCCCAGTCTCTCGCATATGGACGACATTCGCCAAATCGCCAGGCCCACGGACGTCCCCGATTACGGTCTTTTGAACGATCTGTTGTGGAGTGATCCCGCAGACATGGATAACGATTGGGAAGCGAACGAGAGAGGAGTCAGTTACTGTTTCGGGAAGAAGGTTATCATGGAATTTTTGCAACGTCACGACTTTGACCTGGTTTGCCGCGCACACATGGTGGTCGAGGACGGATACGAGTTCTTCAACGATCGGATTCTGGTGACGGTGTTCTCAGCGCCAAACGTAAGTCAAGCCCTTTCGTCGGCTTGGTCTTTGGAATGGAGCTGACAGTAGTAGTATTGCGGTGAGTTCGACAACTGGGGGGCAGTCATGTCCGTGTCTGCGGAACTGCTCTGCAGTTTCGAATTGCTCAAGCCACTGGACTCGAGTGCACTGAAGAGCCACATCAAGAAGGGCAGGAACAAGAGACAGAGCATGCTCAACAGCCCAGTATGTACCCCATCACCTTTTGGTATGACACGAGCTGACATCATGTAGCCGGCAAATCAGTACCCGCAGTCTTACTAAGTGATGTGCGCGGCCCCGCATTGCAGCGGTCTCAACATTCCGCGTCGAAAATACCCGAGTGTGCGGACATTCGTCCGATGGCATGTGATGGCTTCATGGAGATAGGCCTGAGCGACACGACGGAGGATTTTGCCTCGGGGGACGCATCAACATACGGTTTCACGTATCGTGCGACTTCAGCACGCCACGGACGAGCAGTTGGCTGGTGGGAGATGGCGCGAAGGCGAAACGAGGGTCGGTGAGGCGCGCGGCCAAGACGCAGACCTTCGGTGTATGCGCTCTCTGCATGGATTTTTGATGGTACTTTACACACGACTCTTGGCGTGGGGAGTTAGCTGGAGCACGATTTGGTTTCATTGTCTCTTCTTCCCTTCCTGCTGGTCAAGCATGCACGACACCGGTCTCAACCCTCTCAACAGATTTTATTTTTGGTTGGGTTCCGCGCCAGTCTCCTTTCACTAGGGGTGCGGTGTGTCGGAGTTTTAGTCTCAAGAAAGAAAGAAGCGCGTTCGCGACTGTTTTGCTGTGCCGGATGCAGGGTGGTGTCTCGAAGCTCGGCCTTGTACAATAAACGCAGTGTAGTGTCGAATACTAGTCTTCGTGTCCGCGTGATCCGGGTGTCTCGCGTGAGAAATCTGCCAAGACTCGGCCGGAGAAAGGATTGTCTTGCAGTGCGGGGGTGATTGGGAACGCTTCGCGTAGTTGTCCCTGGTGTCTTTGTTGTTGTGTAGGTCAGAGGCTCACAGGCCAATCAGGCATGAGAGTGGTGCGCTTATTTAGCTGTTTCGGTGCTAGCTTCCGAGCATGGCCCGAGCGCCCGAGCGCGCCCACACAGCTTTTCGACTTGAGCGACTCTGACTTTCTGCCCACGACGACGACGAGCCGACGCCAGCAACAACACCCAGTACGTGACCGCTCCACCCGCGCGCCGCCTTTCAGCGCCGCGAATCCCTCCTACCACACACGCCGCTGCGCGTCTTTCCGGAATTTTTTAGGCTAATTGCAACTCCTCGTCGGTGCGAAGCAGAAACCCGGGACCTTCTTCTCTCCCCCCTTCATAAATCGCAAAAATGGCCGACGCTCCTGCCCCCGCCGCCGGTGCCGCGGCGCCCGCTCGTGGAGGTTTCGGTGCCCGTGGTGGTGACCGCGGCCGTGGCCGTGGCCGTGGACGTGGCCGCCGTGGCGGTCGCCAGAACGAGGAGAAGGAGTGGCAGCCCGTCACCAAGCTCGGCCGTCTCGTGAAGGCCGGCAAGATCAAGTCCATGGAGGAGATCTACCTGCACTCCCTGCCCATCAAGGAGTACCAGATCATCGACGCCTTCCTGCCCAAGCTCAAGGATGAGGTCATGAAGGTGAGCAGCAACACCAATTTTTTTTTCTCTTTTTCCTTGTGTGGATTTTGGAGGGACTGGGTGGGGGGAAAACATTGGATTTTGGGTGCATTGTGGATGTGTCTGGAGGAATACATGAACCTGGGCTTTTTCCGGGAACTTCTTGAGGATTCGGAGGCTAATGCATCTCGGAACTACAGATCAAGCCCGTCCAGAAGCAGACCCGTGCCGGTCAGCGCACCCGCTTCAAGGCCATCGTTGTCATCGGTGACTCCGAGGGCCATATTGGTCTCGGTATCAAGACCTCCAAGGAAGTCGCGACTGCCATCCGCGCCGCCATCATCATCGCCAAGCTCAGCGTTGTCCCCATCAGGAGAGGTTACTGGGGTTCCAACCTTGGTGAGCCCCACTCTCTGCCCGTCAAGACCTCGGGCAAGTGCGGTTCCGTCACCGTCCGTGTAAGTATCCCTCGTTTCCAGCCCCGGGTGAATATCCGGCATTTGAACAACGTAATTAACACATCGCAGCTCATTCCCGCTCCCCGCGGTACTGGCCTCGTTGCCTCCCCCGCCGTCAAGCGTCTTCTCCAGCTTGCTGGTGTCCAGGACGCCTACACCGCCTCGGCCGGTTCCACCAAGACCCTCGAGAACACCCTCAAGGCCACCTTCACCGCCGTCACCAACTCGTACGGCTTCCTCACCCCCAACCTCTGGAAGGAGACCAAGCTCGCCAGGAGCCCCCTGGAGGAGTTCTCCGACGTCCTCCGCGAGGGCAAGAAGTACTAAGCGATTTACTTCGTTGCTGGACGATGATCAAGGGAGCGGTGACGACGATGGGTTTTCTTCACACCACAAGGGTTTCTGGTTGTTTTGAAACGGTTCCGATGCATGGCCCTTCTCCACACACACCTCTTGCATGGAGTTGCGCGCGGGTTTCTCGGGGGGGAGACCTATCGCATAGCATAGGTCCTTGCCCTAAGAATGAAAAAAAGAGATGCAATGCAGTTCCGAAAAATGCATTGAGCGTATATGACCTACATATGAGATCCTGAACTGCATGTGACCGGTGTGATGGTGAATGTGCTTATCCCTGAACCGCTCTGATGTGGCTGACGCTGAGTGCGGGATACTCAAAAAGCTTATCACAGGTAGGCTCGGAGAGTGGGTGATTACTATATCTGCTCCTCCCGCCCACATCGTCATCGTTTCGGTGTATGCCACGGTACTGGCCTTTTAGGATTGGCTACCCCCCCTTGAGCTTCTTCGCTGACGTCTCTTCACGCAAAATCTGGTTCCTGTCAGCGCTAACTAGTCCCCGCTAAGTCGGCTATTTCAAGCTTTGATGATCAAATGCTTATGTTGATGTTGAGTAATATCATGTCTGGAAAAGTTACTTGTTTGCCGAGATCTGTTAACGGGTGATGGTTTCTTAGCTGCCTGATGGGGTCCCTTGAACGAAGGTGATTTCCAGTGACTGCACTTGTCGAGTTTCTGTTCTTGGGCCTTTTTTCCTCGCCGTTTTGTCTTTTGGATTCTGCTTCTTTGGGTGAAATTCAAGGGGATGTGAGGATGCTTTTTACTTCTCTTCTGTCTCGTCTTCTGGACCATGATTAGAAGACGAAGGAAGAAAAGTGGCAGTCAAACCGAAGATGGGAATCGTACAGTTCACGATTTCTCCTCAAAGTAGAAACAGCTAGCCAGCAGCTACCCCTTCGACTCGGTTCGGCAGCAGCGCATGTGCACACTTGCCAGACAAACGGCGCCTGATATCCTGTGCCTTTATTTGTCTCGTCGACTAAAGTTTGACGGTCTAGTTTTCTAATCAGCACGAGGGTGCTACACTCCTTACTTTTCAATAACCGAGCCCTCTTGAACCCAACCCACGAGTCTACTTGGCTGCTTGAGGGAGGCACAGAGCAGATAAGCCTCCATAGTCAACGGTGCTTGTCATCATCATCACGCCATGCTGCTGTTCATCACTGCACCACAACACGATCCGTCTTCGTTATGTGGAGCAGACGAGGGCCATTATCAGCGCGCGAACGCGGTAGCAACACGTATAGATTCACATGTAACATCGTGCAGAACGAGACAAGCACCCGAAGTGGAGTACGATGGTAGTAATGATATCAAGGTTCGCAACGCCAATGGGAAAGAAAAAAAAGAGGAGAGTAGACGCCGTTCTTATAATCGACAAAACAAGTAGGAGGAGTGCTGCTAGATCCTACGCAAAGGTGCACACGTGTACGATATCCAGAGATACGACTGACTATATGTGTGTTGCAAAACCGGAAGCGCACCGTAAAACCACTACCGCATGGCGTTGGGATATGTCTGGTATCTTCAAGGTTCTGTGGACTGATATTATATGTCGCTGACTTTTCTGCATACTTAATCGCTTCGCACACATCAAACAGCCTCTGACGTTTCTCGCAATGATTTGTCACAGAGTCCCAGCTTCATGACGCGGCAAAAGGTGATTGGAAAATCCCCGTTCGGAAAGACTTCTGATCGGCTCTAAGTCTGGCAGCATTCAAGCCATACCATCGCAATAGCAATGGCGCGTTTCAAACCTCACCACATCAAATCCCCCACCGGAACCCGAGCCTATTTGACCTTTTCGTGCGCATCCTCGCATCTTCTGGCCTTCCGCCATCCCCCGTCCCCAGCTCACTTCCCCTCACTTCCCCTTTCCAAGAAGGCAACTCTCGTCCCTCCACGCCCAGAGCCTCCAGGAACACCTCATCCAAACCTGCTCCTCACGGCTACTCGCACACGTGCGAGTGAATACACAACACGTCGTACCCGCACTGCTGTTCCACACAGCTGGTTTGCGACACGGAGAAGCAAGCTAGTCATCGCTCGGGACGCATCGCGCGCAAGACCCACTGGAAACGCTTCTTCCACCGCCTGGACGACTTTCTGCAATGCCTCTCGAAATCAGGTTGTAGAAAAGGGGTTGTGCATCTCGATCTTTCCTTCCTCCTTCTTCTTCTTCCTCCTCTTCCTTTTGTGTGCGATCGGTTGCTGAGCAAAGAGCAAGACTTCATGACACCGCCTGACACTGTCCTTGGGATCTGCTACAAAGACCACCGTATCACTGCCGGTGGTAGAGTTCTGGGGTGGGGGTCATCCCGTGATGATTGGAAACTTTCTGCGTTGGCGTCTCTCGTCATGTGTTGCCATTTCTCCATCCCCGCATGTTTTCGCACCTGCGACCGCCTGCCTCCATGCTGGATGGGTGGTGGTGAAGGCAAGCATGTTATAACGATACAGTGACGACCAAGCGGAGGCGCCATGATGACGTTTGATGACAACCTCCAAACGTCAACGATTCTACCGAAAATGATGGAATAGCCCGACCGACCAACCAACCGCACGCACACATACATACACATCCCCCACCCCACCCCACCCCACCATCTAGAATAGTACATACACACAAACAAAACACTCACCATCCCCACCACCGCACCCAAGCCACCCACTCACCCACCCACCCACTCCACCCTACTCCTTCCCCCCCGCCCCATGCTTATTCCACACCGCATCCCTATGCCTCCAATACAACCCGCTCTTGATCGCCCGCCTAATCGCATACACGCCACCCACGGGCCACACATCCAGCAGCCGCCTCGCCCAGCCGGCCTCGGCCCTCAGCCTTTTCTCCTCCCCCACGTCCACCCGCACCTTCTCGTACACGCTCGGCAAGCCCTCGGCGCCGTACTTGCGCCGCAACGCCTCGTACCAGTCCCGATTCTTGTACGTCCGCCAGAACTCGTCTTCGGTGTAGTACGTGTGCGCGTACAGCCACTTCATGCCGCCGAGCTCGCGCAGCGTGGCTTCGAGGTCGCGGTTGAGCGCGGCGAAGGCGTCGGGGTCGTTTTGCGCGTGGCGGGGGGCCCAGCCCCACAGGCCGACGTTGAGGAGGGGGCGGCGGCGGGTGCGGGTGGTGCCGCTTTCGACGTCGGGGACTTCTTCGAGGTCGGTGGCGTTGTGCGGGTGCATGGTGTTGCCGTCGCTCTGCCTGAGGGGGCACAGCCAGAGCGGCCAGATGTCGAAGGTGGCGGCGGTGTAGTCGATGAATCGTTCGGCGGTGGAGAAGGGCAGGGCGAGGTCCTGGACGACGTAGCGGCGCGACTGGCCCGAGGCGTGGAGGGCGGCGTAGAGCATGCGCGTGTGCAGGAAGTCGTCGAGGAGGGCGCGCGTGGCGGCGGTGAAGGGGAAGTGGAAGTACTCGAAGGCGGAGCGGCCGACCCAGAAGCCGCCGCGGTCGTAGCGGAAGAGGTATTCGGCGAGGGGGACGGCGTCGGTCGCGGCGCGGCCGGCCTTGATGCGGTCCTGGGCGTGGAGGTAGAACCACGGGTCTCTGGGGGCGCTGAAGGTCTGGATGGGGGCGGTGGGGGCGGGGGTGTCGGTCGCGCGGCCGGTGATGATGACGCCCGAGGTTTTGGAGAAGAGGATGCCGTCGACGTAGTCGTGGGTGTCGGGCTGGGCGATGAGCTGCTCGGACAGCGAGACGGCCTCGGCGACGCTGGAGACGGGGTGGTACGTCGTCTCGACGAACTTCTTGGCCGGCTTGAGCTGCAGCTCGACGAGGGTGGTGACGCCGAAGGTGCCGACGGCGCCGGCGGCGCCGTGGAAGAGGTCGGGCAGCTCGGTGCGCGAGCAGCGCACGACTTGGCCGTTGGCCAGGACCATTTCGACCCAGTTGATGGTCCGGTCGAAGTAGCCGTACTTGAAGGAGCTGCTCTCGCCCGAGGTGCCCGAGTAGCCGCCGCCGACGGTGATGCCGGGGAACTCCATGATGACGGGGGGGATGAGGCCGTGCTTCATGGTCTCCTCGGCGAGGCGGTCCATGGGGACGTTGGGCTGCACGAGGGCGGTGCGGGCTTCGACATCAACCTTGAGCACGTGCGATAGGCCGCTCGTGTCGATGAAGTTGGTCTTTCGCCTCGTGGCGGATTGGCGAGTGCTGTTGGTGGAGCCATGCGAGATGCGGAACTTCTCTCCTCGATCGTGGAAAGCGCGCACGGCGGCCGAGATGTTGGCGACAGCCTTTGCGTGGTCCTCTAGTGAGGGTGTCGCAGCGGCAGGAGCTTGTGCAGCGAAGCTTGCAGACTGCGAGAATGGGCGGGCATTCTGGCGGGCATTGCGAGTTGCAGCAACACGTGCGGGAAGTGATGGTCTCCGGGATGCGGTTGATAGTGGCAATTGCCTGGGGTATGTTGCGATGCAGCCTTGCTTCCACCGTCAGTCTCGCTGGGCAACAGGCCATTGATGGAGAGGGCAAAGCATACGCGCCGATATCGGGCGGAGGCCAGGACGCGCTGAGCGTGCACGCAGCACGACTGGACTTGACATGTTGCCCAGTCGAGAAGGCGGAAAAACTGATGGGCGCCTGCGAAAAGTTCCCAGCCCGAGCTCAGACCAGTCTGCTGACATAAGCAGACCACCAACAATCAACCCTCGACGCTCTTGCTCATGATCAAATACGGCGGCACCTTGATCTTACCGCCCCTCAGCCTCTTTGCTGGCGGGCTGAACTCGTCTTCGCCGAAGCCAAGCCTTTCGTAGAATGCCAAGGCCACGGCGTTGCTCCTGAAGCAGGTGAGCATCACCTTGTCCACGGCGCCCTCGGCGGCGCACAGGTCCACTATGCGCATCAAGTGTTTGCCCAGGCCGGCGCCCCGATGCTCCTCTGCCAGATGGATCTCGTATATGTAGACGACGGGATAGTCGTCCTCGATGGTGAACATGAAGGAGAGGAAGGCGACGATTTCGCCGAGAGCAGCTTTGCGGACGAGCAGATAGTGCATGTTGTCCTCCCTCATCTCGCGCTGTTTGGCGTTGGGGTGCCAGCCGCGGGGAGACTTCTTGTAGTCGGCGGCGGACGTGGTCTCGATGAGGCTGAAGCAGGCCATCAATTCGTCATGGTCGAGGTCAGCCACCGGCCTGGGCGAGACATGGTAGTCGCCGTGCTGGAGCAATTTGGAGCGCGGCGGAAAAAAGCGGGCGGAGAAAGCAGGGCGGGGCAGGGCATTGATGCTGTCGATGAGCTCCTCGGGCTGCGCCTTGGGCCGCTTGACTCCTTGCAGCAGGCCGCCAGGCATGTCGGCGGTGTCAATGGCAGGCTGCCGGAATGGAGGGGTGCAGGACGGTGACGCGCAGGACGGAGACGCGCTGGGCGGTGACGCGCTGGGCGGGAGACGCGTCTGGGCGTGGTGGTGGGGCCAGTGGGGCCAGTCAGCTACGGTTGCCGATAACGTGGTCCGCGCTGGCTGGCCGGATCCGACGCCGTGGTCCTCTACTTCGGCGCCCAGCCTTCTCCGCACCCCACGCCAACCAACATGCTCTTTTCTCGCTGTGGCCCTGGACACGCCCGTACATATGCCTCCGTAGCCCCGCGACCCTCGAGATTCGGTGGCCGGAGGAAAGGACCGACCATAGGTCTCGACCATGTAGCCGCTATTTCCACCCTCATCCGCCTGCGCTTCTTCTGATTCGTCTCCAGTTCATCCAGAGGCAACGTGTCATCTCTCTTTGGAGGGATATTGTCAGAGCGCTCAATAGTATGTCGGCCGAGTGCACTTTGCTCCCGCCGGTAATTGACCTTTCCAGAAATCCCCCCATCGTCAACCCGCCACGAACTCCACCAGTATGCCCGGTCCGAGTTTGAAAGGCACCGGGGTGTGACCGATCTTGTGAGCGTGTTCCTGCCTGTATTGGCCAACGATGCTGACAAGCTGGAAAGACACATATAAGATACCTGATATCGGTATGCTTTAGTCTGATTTTACTTTCGCAGACCTTGAATCTCACCGTTCGCAGACCGGCAAGACCGAATTCGACTCCATGAGGCGCTATGTCGAGGAGCAGGCGAGCTGAAGTGTGGAAATACGAAGCTGGTTGTTTGAGTCCCACCCATCACTCGACGCATTGTTCATACCTGTACTCTCCCCACTCTGAGTTGCGATTTGCAAAGGTAACTTCTATCCAAGCATCGTATTGCTCGTCGTCTGACTTTGGCCAGGAAAAATGACATGACCCTGGCAACGACGAGAATTCGACCCGCTGAAGCACTTCACCTCCGCATAGAATGCGATCTGCCTACCGGGCCTGACTGAATTACTCTGCTGTCTTCTTTGATCAATCGTTGCAAATATTGTTCTCCTCACTGGTCCTGTCTTTCTTCTCCGGCCTGGATGTCGAGCTGTTCCAATCCTGCATAAGCAGGCCGAGCAAGTGATGGATGCAGCCGCCCAACTGCAAGCTCGAAAGACCCCACGCTCTGCAAGGGTTCTCGTGTTCCACACGGCGCAATGCTCTTCGCGACTGCTACGGCGGGGGTGGTGGTGGTCGATCCGGGGGTCGACCATTGACCGGGATGCTGCCAGCCCTTTACCCCTTTTTTCAGTCCCATCGCCAGCCGCACCTTCTCACACTTGTTTCAAGGAATGCTTACCCAGCAAGCTCGTCTGAATGATGGTGGGCCCAATGTGCACTGGTAGGCCGGTAACTTCCCTTTGTGGCAAGCAGTCCTCGATACGACCCAACTTATCAACCCCCTCCTCCAACAACCTTTAATTCGAAGCCACCACAACACGTTATTCTAATACATGCATATTTACCTACTCTCTCTGCTTTTTTGAATGGTAGTCGGCTAATCTGCACTGGTAGGCCGGCAACTCCCCTCTGACAGGCATTTTCTGATATAACCCATTTTCTCAACTCACTCTTCAACAACCTTCAACGAAGCCACCACAACACGTTGTTCTAAAGAATGCTTATCTACCTACGCTCTCTGCTCGTTTTGAATGGTAGTCGGCTAATCTGGACCGGCAAGCCGGGAACTTCCCTTTACGGCAACTCGTCCTCGATATAACCTCTTTTCTCGACCTCCCGCCCACCAACCTTCAATACGAAGCTCCCACAACACATTCTCCTGAAAAATGCTTATCTACCTGCGCTCTCTGCTTGTTTTGAATGGTAGTCGGCTAATCTGCGCCCGCAGGCCGGCAACTTCCCTCTATGGCAACCCGTCTTCGATATAACCCATTTTCTCGACCCCCCGTCCATCAACCTTCATTATGAAGCTCCCACAACACGGTCTTGTGGTCTAGTGGCATGATTCTCGCTTAGGGCTCACCCTGAGTAGCTTGCGAGAGGTCCCGCGTTCGGTGAGTCCATCAGTTCAACCCCAAGTGCCAACATTGTCCTAACAGACAGCCAGATCCGCGGCAAGACCCTGATTTATCTTTTTGGCGTTGCTCCACCGGCACGTTTCTTTTGCTTGATCACACCATCTACGAATACAGTGCATGGCCAAGCACACGATTCAGCAGTGCATCACACGATGGATGATTTTTTGCCCCTGGAAAATTCTCGGCGGTGTGGCCGGACCGACAATCGGCCGGCATGTGCTCCCTGGCATATACCATGCAAGATGGCCTGTGCCGGGACTGCTTCCAAGGTTGATGGTTGATGGCTGATGGCAAGTTGTTGGTGGCTTCTCGCCCTCGTCCCTCGTGGACGTCTGCCCCTGCCTGACCCAAGCCGAAAGCGCACTCTTTTCCGTTCCATCTGTGGTGGGTGGTGACAGAACCCACCGTTCCGCATGGGATACGGTCGAAGTAGCGATGGAGCTGCGCCGCGGATTCTTGACAATGACTCTCCCTCAGCTGCCGCTCCAATCAAGTCGCGGATAAATACAAGACTGTGTAGGTGTCGGCTCGGCCCGTAGAACGCCCACTACGTAATCGACGATCTAGAAGCAAAGGACCGGCGAAACAGGAAAAACAAAATGCACAACAGCCGGCCTTTCTATAGCGGTCACCCCATATTCAGGGCCGACTATTGCATGGCTTGCAGCTTGAGTGCGGATGCGGCGCGCCCCAGACGGACATGGTCCAACACTACCTCATCGGTCCCCACCTCGAGCTGAGCCAGGCCCGTGTTGAACTGCAGGACGTGCGCTAGGAGTACGGCCGTGCCAGTCGCAAGGCCGGCATTTGTAAATGTGGATACGGGCCATCGCCACCGAGGCTAACTGAGGCTAGCTGAGGGTGTGACAGCTGTCACAGTACCTACTTCGCTTGCAAGCTCCCGCGAGCTGTGCCTGCCCAGAACGAGGCTACCGCGCTGCTTGTCTGGACGTCGGTGCCTCGTCTGCCGCACTGTGCGCCGCTGAGCTCACTTCTGGCTTCTTGGCAGTCCATCCCCAGACTCCCATTAGGCGCCCGGTGAAGGCGCCGTCTCGGATGATACGAGCAGATCCGAATGTCGGCTATCGGATGCGCAACGGGGATGCTGTCAACCAGTGCCGCGGGTACTCCATGGCCCGAACGGGCAAGAGGCAGCCGGAGGTTTGTCCGCTTTGGGGGCCGATTCTCTACGCGAACTCGCGCTGCGCGCCCAACTGGGCGTTGTGGAGCCGCTTGACAACCGCACAGAGAGACTAATCTCAGCCCTTCGACCTATCACCGCGGCCCGTGAATCAGCAAATCCAGCTGGTGGACGACCGGAACGGGAGATGCGTCTTCCCCCGTGTGCTCCCGTTGCCACATACGCCATCAGCTCCGTATCCTTTTTGCTTCTGGCCATGTGTGCTGTGCTCGCGATCAGATCGAGATTGAGCATCAAGCTCAAGACGGTATAAAGAGGTGCCTTCTTTCTCGTGCAACAATCCATTGTGTGGCAGCAGCAGCATTCACTTGTCAACATGCAGTACTCTCTCGCTCTCGCCGCGCTCTTTGCGCCGTCCACGCTTGCCTTCCCATGGCTCAAGCCTGATGGCATGGACGCCCTCCTCAACCACCCCGTTGCTCGCCAGGAGATCGAGAGGCGCTTTGCTGAGCACGCAGCCGGCCGCCGCGCGCCCGAGCCTGTTGTCAACACTCCTCGCCAGCTCGGCACCGGCATCATCAACGGCGTTACCACTCTCCTCGGCGGCACCGTCGAGGCGGTCGTCGACTCTGTCCTTGGTCTCATCCCCACGGATGACGCCGTCGACGGCCACAAGCGTTTCCCCGAAGGTGTGTGGTCTTCCTCCCATCCTTTTCAGAGGACATGCGCTGACACGCGCCCGCAGATGACTATCCCTTCAAAGCTCCTGGAGACACCGACCAGCGCGGTCCCTGCCCCGGTCTGAACACTCTCGCCAACCACGGCTACATCCCGCGCACCGGCATCGCCACCATCGGCGAGCTCATCGCCGGCACCCAGGCCTTGTTCAACATGGCCCCCGACCTCGCAGCGCTGCTCGCAGTCGGCGGCGACATCGACGGCGGCGACATCCTCTCCCAGAAGATGAGCATCGGCGGCCCCGACGACCGCGTCGGCCTCCTGAACGGCGCCCTGAACGACATCTTCGGCACTCCTTCCGGCATCGCCGGCCACGGTAAGCCCACGCCCTCCCACAACACCTTGCCACCCCCGTCCCCACGCTAACACACACCCTCCCCCCGCAGGCAAGTTCAACGAAGGCGACGCCTCCGCCACGCGCGAAGACTTCTACCTCAACGGCGACAACATCTCCTTCCAGCCCAAGCTCTTCCAGCAGCTCCACCAGCGCGCCCTCGACACGGGCGACGGCACCTACTCGGTCGACGCCGTCAAGAAGCACTTCGCCAACCGCTACGCCGCCTCCAAAGCCGCCAACAAGCAATTCTACTTCAACGTCCCCAGCGCCGCCGTCGTCATGGGCGCCTACTACTTCATCCCGGGCTTCATGTCCAACGGCACGCTCGGCGCCGGCGGCCTCGCCAACGAGGCCTCCATCACCTCCTTCTACGGCGCCAAGCCCTCGCGCTCCGGCGCCGACGCCTGGAAGGACCCGTCCCTCACCTACACGCACGTGCCCGAGCGCATCCCCGCGCAGGGCTGGTACCGCCGCAACGTGCCCATGACCCTCGTCGAGGCCGTCGGCGGCATCCTCGACGTCTATCTGTCGGCTCTGCCCGCCCTCGGCGGCGCCGGCGCCGATGATAGCTTCGTCCTCGGCCCGCTCGACCTGCCCACCAGCGTGCAGGGCTTGTCGTGCTTCTTGTATAATGCCGTCTATGCGAACTTCCCATCTGAGCTGTACAACGTCGTCGCGGCGCTGGAGAGCGTCGTCAATCTCGTGTCGAGCACGCTGGCGCCCGGGTACTTGGCGTTGGGGTGTGAGGTCAACTTCCCGGATGCGACTGGGTTGGCGACGGCGGATGACTGGGAGAGCTGGAGCGAGACGTATGTTGGGAAGGCGAAGGAGAATGCGGTCGGGAGCGGGTGGTATAAGCAGTAGGGTGGGTGAGTTGTGAGGGGTTGGATGGGGGACTTGGTTTGTTTTCTATATATCTCTTTTTTTGACGGGTACGATTTTAGCTTTATACTTTCACGACGTATCATGAAATCGATAACTAATCTTTGGATATACTTTGTTGGATCGTACCGGAGCTGTGATGAGATTGAGACACCCGAAGCATGTGCGGATGCGAAACATCGCTATGAAAACTAGGCTCGAAGTACGAAGGATGGTCTTGGCCAGCGGTACTCAGGCTGCATTCATAGAAAGATAGTTGCGCAACATGTGTGTCAATTCACAATCTGTGCAACAAGAAGATGCACTGACAGCATGTAGAGTACTTGGACAGTGTGGAACGTCACCACCACATCCACGGTGCACAGCCGCGTCATGCAATGTGAAAACTTACTCTATTTCCGGAAGTCCTCCATCTCTGATCTTTGGACATTACCCGTACTCAACGGTCGTCCATCTTAGAATATCCGGTTCGTTTTTTTAATTTCTCTCTTCTTCCACGCAACGAATCAATCCGTTAAGTATCGCGGCATGTATTTCCCAAACTGTCATGATAGTTACGCTATGAACACCAGCATATTTGTTCACCAGAAGCAACAAAGGTCTTGAAATAGTCCAAAAGCATTCTGGTAAGATCACGCTCCAGATCGGCACTGGCCCCAAACTATTAAACGGCCCAATACTAAGCAAAGAAATGAATATGCTTAACGGCAAAAATGCAAGATGTTCAACGGCCGGGGTTACTCAATAGTCACCCACTTGAGTTTGGAGCTTGGCTATACCACTCGGAACACTACCCCCTGCAATCGCCTTGTCATGTATCTTTCGACGTCTCATGGGTATCTAGTATTTCCGGCTATCTAACGATTATGCTAGAGTAATCTCCCTTACGGTGGACTTATCAAACTCCTTCCTCGTTATCAGTTGAAACAACGTGATATGAAGCATTACTCTCCCATAAACCAGCCACACCAACATCACCCGTCTCGTTCACGCGTTCCTGTGCGATGTCCGATGTGGCCGGGAAATGCCTGCATCACAGTAGCGCATCTTCCTAAGACTGTATTCGTGGATGAAGCGACGCCGTTTTTTGCCCCCAGTTTTCAGGTGTTCGTAGACTGTACGTGTCAATATCGTAGCGACTCAGGGCCTCCTTGTTCTTTCATTTTCCGTCGTACTCTCGTGCAGAGACTTGCAGAGCCAACGCAGATTGGTGGCGCTGGAAACCAGAAGCCGGGGAGATGACATTCTTTCCTAGAACGTCCACGCTCGGTGCTCGATATGGTTTTCCCGGCAGTAGGAATTGTGGGGATACGGATCTTCTGGTGTGATGGTGACAATGCAGGAAGATTTTGTTTCAATCAGTCTGGTGAATCGATAGAGTTGTTAGTTCTTATAAATGCTTAAGAATGGATTTTCCATACCTCTTGGGAGTGACAAATAGAGAATTTAAGGGGGGCAGACGTGCGTAGCTACCCCAGAGGAATGGTACGAGTAAGAAAAGCGCAGTTGGATGTATTCATCCCATCCTGAAAAAATCCAGTGCACGCTGATGTCACTGTTCCTGGTGATCTGTGCATTTGCTTGTAGGAAAGCTCTTTGAAAGAAGCCATCGGCCACTTCGCCAGAACCCCGCACAGACCGCGTTGTCCATGAAATTCAGACGGCCATTCAAGGACAACTAGTGTCCTATCTTTTAACCCAAACTGTTGTAATTCAGACGAACTACTAGTTCACTTATTTCGGCGAAATTCGTTTCTTTTACCGCCTACTTTATTATAAAAGTAGGCCTTCTCTACCTTTTTTTTCTCTATTGAAGACTTTTCGTAAATAGAACGTAGCCAAATGCCAATTTATTATCGATTCGCAACACAAATAGTTTTTAAAACCCAGGACAAAGAACAAAGCTCCTATATATCTTACAGATTTCAGACCACGAATTTATAGGCAGTAGTCAAGCTGCTCTTTTGAGAGACCGTGGAACTCGGTCGACGTAGCTATGCCCTGTCGGGTATCCCGCTCCCAATTTGCTCCGCCTGAGCATTTCTCCCCCATCGGGGTTGCTACTTCTCCAGTACTAGTAGGAACTCTTACCATCCTTCTCCCGGGCCTTCACATCTAGGAAATAAGCATTTGTTGGTCATTGCGGCAGTCTTCAAACCTCGGGACGGAAGTGTGCTCGGGTGGAGAACAGAGATGGTTTGGCCGATCGCCATGCCCTCGTGGGTGGTAGTACATGTCTTCGTGGGCATCATGTCGCAGCGCGAAGAGTATCATTTACAGAACAGCCTCGCGAACAAGTCCTGCGACTACGGGCATCGTTGCATTCAAGTGAACACAACCTAAAGACATGGAAGCAACGCAGATTTCGCGCAGCTCAGTCGGCAAGACACAACCCCCCCACGATTTCCGCAAGTGCATACAAGAAGTGCTCATGTCTGTACTTTTTAATCATTCAAGAACAAAATAATATATTCAACTAGAAAAATCAGTCCGACGCCCACCCCGTCCCTTTTCGAAATTCCGACTGGCCCACCCGCACAAGACTACCTACCTCGCAAACCACCAACACCTCCGGAGTGTGAAGCAGCCCGCCCGTCCATGAGCGCCGCGGTCCCACGACCAACGCCATCTCCAACTCCCCAGTTCTCCAACAGCCACCTCTTCCCGCACACACCGCCGGGGATTCCTCGGCCACATCCAGAGAACAAAAAAGGCCCGCAACGACCACCCCCCGGACGCCAAAACAGCAAAAGAACAGGGTCTTGCCGCGGATCGAACGCGGGACCTCTCGCAAGTTACCCAGGGTGAGCCCTAAGCGAGAATCATGCCACTAGACCACAAGACCGTGTTGTGCAGCCTTCATATTGGAGGTTGTTGAAGTGGGAATCGAGAAAATGGTTTATATTACCATAGGCCTTCCTCAGTGGGAAGGTGCCGGCGGGCTAGGGCTGGCTATCCCGCAACGGGCTTAGTGGGGTATCGTGGTAGTTGTGCAGCCTGCGTGTTGGGGGTTGTTGGAGTGGGAAGTGAAAAATGGCCTCGTGAAGGAGATGTGTGTGTAATAGGTGGAGTTACACAAGAAAGCTCCGACGGAAGTATTGGCACCAGAGTAGACTAATACTGGTGTATGCCCAACTTGGAAAGGGTGGGATGTGTCAAAGACGTGGACTTGCGACGAAGGTCTTTGGGAGTTGGTGCAGATGCTTGAATAGGCCCAAGGTGAGGGGTTTTGGGGATATCGAGTGAGTCGTACGAACAGATCAAGGTGTGTGAGGAATGCTTTGTTTACTATTAATAGTTCCAGGAGCGTTTTGATGAGAAAGCGGAAAGCAAAACATGAAAAGTTCGTTCCCCAGCACCACAACGGTCTCTTACCCTCAAGACCGTCCCCGATATATCCGCTGGAAACACAGACTATAGCTATGCTTTCATTTTTGAACGTACGCCTTCCTGAACCAGACCAACCAATCCCGCGACCACTGCACGGAACATCACGCCCACCATTCCAATCGCCATTTCCTACATACCAAGCAAGCGCTATCAGAAATTTCGCACCTCATTCATAGGAGAAAAGAGTTGTTAAACATTAAAAACCTCACAAACCAACATCGTGAGAACTCGTCAAACAAACAAACAAAACAAAACATCACAGCACCAACCACCCTCCCTCCCCTCACACAACCGCAACCAACAACCCCACCAGCACCCCCACCAACCCCCCCTCCACACCCGCGCCTCTCCCCACCGCGACCGCTCCCGCCGCCCCCGTCGACGACGACGACGAAGCCCCCGCCGCCGCCGTGGCACCCGCAACACCCCCACCCAACCCCGAATTGATCAACCCGCCCAGCCCCCCCTGACTGGCGCTCGACGCCGACGCCGCCGCACCACCACCACCACCGGTCGTCTTCGTCCCCGTCTTCGTCCCCGTCTTCGTCCCCGTCCCCGTCCCCGTCCCCGATGCGCTCGCCGCCCCCACGACACCCTGCTGCTGCACGACGACCGTCTGCCCCGCCGCATTCGTCGTCAACACCAACAGCGTCGTCGTCGTCGTCGTCTTACTCGCACCACCGCCGACCGTCACCGTCCCGCCCATCGTCAGCGTCTGCCCGTCGAAGACGTATCCCGTCGTCCCGCCGCTGACGGTGGGCTGGACGGTGGTGCCGTATATGACGAGGGGGCCGGGGGTGGTCTGCGCCGTCGCGGCGGGAGCGAGGGTCTGGGTTCGGGTCGCCGCCGCTGCGCCCGCGCCCGCGCCGCTGTTTCCGACGGCGACGGCGACGGCGACGGTCTGGCCGGCGGGGTTGGTGGTGAGGGCGATGGCGGTGCCGCCGACGGTGATGGGCGGGCCGCCGGGGATGAGGGTTTGGCCGTCGACGACGTAGCCGGTGCTGCTCGCTCCACCGGAGGCGGGCTGGACGGGCTGGACGGGCTGGACGGTCTGGCCTGGGATGAGGGTCAAGGGGGAGAGGGAGACGGGAATGATGAGAGGGGGAGCGCCGGTGACGGGGACGTAGGGGAGGGTGGAGCTGCCGAGGATGACGACGGGAGAGCCGGCGGGGTTGGTGGTCAGGGCTACGATCGTGGCGGAGGAGCCGGGGCCGGAGCCGAGGGTGATGGGGGAGCCGCCGGGGAGGACGGTTTGGCCGGATATGATGTAGGCGGTGCCGCCGGATGGTTGGATGGTTTGGTCGCCGATGGTGAGGGCGGGTGGCGTGGGTGATTGGGTGGCGGGAGCAGCGACGGCGGTGGTGGGGAGAATGACGGTGCTGCTGCCTCCGATGACCACTGCGGGAGATTGTGGGAGTTGATTGTTATGCTGGCCATATTGGTCTGCCGGGGGGTTGGCGGTGGGTACGGAAATGGGAGTGTTGTCAACTACAACCGTCTGGCCCGCCGTGAGAGTCATTGAACCCACGACCACAGCAGGGATGCTGGTACTTGTTCCAGCAATAACTGTTGGGATGATGGTGGGCACAATGGCTATAGATGTTGATCCTACTGGAACGTTCGTGCTCGGTGGTGGCTGGGTATCCGCAGGCGGATTTGCCCCGGCGCTCTGAACGGGTTGCGCAGGCACGTTTGTTGGAGGAGCCCCTCCGTTGGAAAGGTAACTTCCAATTAGAGAGCCGATGACTCCACCTACCGCCCCACCTGCATTAGTAGTCTCAGAAGGCGGGTTTATGACAGTCCCGACTTCTGTTGGTGGAACAGTGGTTGGTTCGGGCTCGTTGACGGGTTGTGGCGATTCGGTGTGTGCTGTCAAGGTCGTAGTTGGTGATGGCTCGTCGAGTGACTGCGACGACTCGGTGTGTGCTGTATAAAAGATGGTCGACGTGGTGGACAAGGAAGGTGGCTGCACGGATCCCGGCTCCTCGGTGTGTGCAAATCCCGGTACTGATGTCTCATTCGGAGGGGTTACTCCTGCCGATTCCTCGGTGTGAGCGGTTGAAGTGGTGTCTGGGGGGTTGACAACCGTTCCCACTTCAGAGTGAGAAGTCGATGCATGTGGAATTGAAGTGACTGTTGGAGACTCGAGGACTGTACTAAGCTCGGTATGAGCTGAAGATGTGGCATCGTCGGTCTTGGTTAGGGTTGGCGCTTGCACGGGTACCGAGGTCTCGATATGTGCAGACGCAGCGGTTGTGGTGAGGCCATCGTCATCTCCCTCGTACGACACGGACGAAACAGTGAGAAAAGCAGCTGTTGGCATGGTCGCGACGGGAGCCCAATCGTGAGGAGAGCATGAGAAAAGCGCAGCTTCGTCAGTGAAGGAAGCGGATATGAAAGCGGGGCCCTCATCGGCGGGATTCCACGTGCATCCCCAATTCAGGCCTCGCGAGTCGCCAAATATCGGACCCGTTGCTGTAGGGGTAGGATGCGGTGTCGCATGGCTCGACCAGAAAGCGTTGAAGTCTGGATGCGATCTGAAAGTCACGACATCACCTCCCGAGTCGGAGCAGATGGTGGTGGCGGTTGCATTTGCTTGCGTGGTCGCCAGCCGACCGTTCCAGCTGTAGTAATCATTGTAATCGGCAACGATATTCGGAAACGGCCTCGATGTTGTTAGCAGAGCGCTCGGTCTTGTCGTCACGGCAGAATCGGCTCACAGTAAGGTGGTGCCACCGTTGTAGGGCACGGGACAAACGACAGTGCCGGCTGCGTTGGTCGGAGGCAGAGTATAGTTGTCGGGCAGGTCAATGGTGCTCGTAACATATCTGGTCGTGTTTCGGACGGTGTTGACGATGGTGATGACGGTGGCATACGTGATGTTTTCGGTGATATCATTGGTAGTCCATGTCACGGAATAAAAGTATGGGGGTCTGTATGAGCAGTCTGCCTCGCAACTGGCGGCCGGGGTGATTCCAGGCGAAGTGGCAGGCGAAGTTCCGTTCGGCGGTGCGGCTGTGCGAAAGTCAGAGGGTGGGTCGCGAGACGAATGCCAGTGCCGGAATGCTTACTCTGCTGGGGATATGCCCCCACAAGGGAGCAGGCAGCAAGAGCTGCCAATACTCGTATCACCCCGCGCATGCTGAATGATCGACGGAATCACGGAAAAGGGCTAAACGAGAGACGCGCGCAAGACGAAGGCAAGGAGGACACGAGAAAGCAGAGGAACCAAGAGGGCAAAGCGAGCTAAAGACACGGCCAAGTCCACCCCGTCGTTGATCCAGACGAGCGTGTGCCTGGGCGCCATCAGCAGCCACATGGAAGCCCAGGCCAGCCGACACGGGACACAGCAAATTTGTGGCATGCATGGCGAGATATACGCGGACAAATTCTGCCGGCTCTGTTAATTAGCGGCTGGGTGCTGATGGGCGAAGATGAGGCAGTCAGCTGGCCGGCGGGCTGGGACGTGGCAGGCGTGGTCCAAGGAAAAATTGCATCATGGAATCCAATCCTTCCGGCGACGCTTCGCAGAGCGAGTGGCCCTGCGCGACGCCCCGTGCGAGGATGGAGACCAAAGGAAGATGGGGGCGGTTTGAATTTGAATCCACGGCCGCCGGCCGCCGGCCTCGAGACTGCAGGAACTGAGCTCTGACTCCGGGAGCTGCCGGCCTGGGCGCAGGCATGGGTATTTCAAGCAGCAGCCTTGCCAGAAATGAAGGCGCAGGTCGCACAACCGAGCAATTGTCAGACTCGAGGGAAGCGGCAGTGTTCTGGCGGAGGGCAGGTGCGACGCGAGCCAAGAATAGAGAGCTTACCGCCGCCCCTCTCGGTGTCGCGCTGGCCGCCAATCACACGCCCGCGCTGGCCCTGCGAGGCGCCCTGTCGGGGCCAAATCCAAAGTTGGCGTCTGCTCAATCCATCCTTCCGCTGCGGGCCCTTCGCTCCGCCAGCACCGTTGCTCCAGCCCGCAGCGCTTAAGCGCCTCGACATGCCCGTGAAGTATGCGTGCAGAGCCACCTCCAGGCCTGCCAGCGCTCTGTTTTCTCTCGCATCGCACCCATGTCGCCGCTCGTTTCGCCCGCCGCATCTCGTGTTTGCTGATCGCCAATTCTGTCCTTCGCTCCGTGCGCGACCTCCTTCAGGTCCCGTACATCATGACTCCCCTCGCCCGGCCGCTGCTCGTGGCCGCTCTGCTGTGCACGGCACAAGCTGAGAGCACCGCGAAGCCCATCTCGCTGCAGCCCACCCAGTACTGGTATGTCTCAGGCCCTTCGTATTCGCCCCCGACCCACCGCCTCTGACCGCATCCATCTTCAGGGACGGCAACGATGGGCCTTGGTCCACCTTCGCTTTCACCATTGGCACTCCCGCCCAAACTCTGCACCTGCTGCCAGCTACCGGCCAGTCCGCACTATGGCCCATTCTCCCCGAAGGCTGCCTCAACGACGACCGCCCCACGGACACCTGCCAGGATGCTCGCGGCTCCGTCTTTCTCATCAACGAATCCTCCACCTGGGTCGAGGAAGGAATATACAGCTTGTCGACGCTCTGGGTTGAGCAGTCCCTGGGCGTCGGTCAAGATGCCCGCGGTCACTATGGCTTCGACACCGTAGGCCTGAGCTGGCCGTCGTTTGGACTGCCTTCGCTGGACAACCAGGTGGTGGGAGGCATTGCCGACAAGACCATCTACGAAGGCACCTTTCCTCTGAGTCCGCGCCCCGTCAACTTCACCGACTTGAACAACCCGCATGCCACCGTCTTGCAGACGCTGGTCAACCAGTCCATGATCCCGAGCACATCCTGGTCCTACACCGCTGGCTCTTACAACAGAGTCCCCAAGGTCTACGGCAGTCTGACCCTGGGTGGAAAAGACACCGCCCGCTACGAGCCCAACGACATCACCATCCCCTTCGGCTCAGACATCTCCCGAGACCTGCTCTGTGCCGTCCAATCCGTCACGACCAACATCAGCTCGACGCCACTTCTTTCCACCCCCAACTATTGGTTCATCGACTCACTGGTCGCCTCGATGTGGTTTCCCGAGGATGATTGTACTGCTTTTGAAGATGCATTTGGCATCACGTGGGACGAAGATTATTCCATCTATCTCATCAACGACACCCAGCACGAGAAACTCGTGGATGAGAAGGCTGCCATAACAATCACCATTGGCGCCAACACGACGGCGACCGACACCGTCGATATTGTCCTGCCGTATGAGAGTATGGCTCTGAACGCCTCGTGGCCCGTCTATCCAAACGCCACTCGCTACTTCCCATTGAAGCGCGCTGTCAACGACACGCAGTACACTCTCGGCCGCGCATTCTTGCAGAATGCCTACGTCATCGCAAACTATGATCACTCGACCTTTTCCGTCCACCAGGCATTGTTTCCCGAATCTTCCAGCACGCAGAACATCGTCCCGATCGAGGATGTTACTCCTGATTCGGGAACCTCACTCGGCGCTGGCACCATCGCCGGCATCGCCGTGGGATGCGCTGCCGTCGTCGCCATTCTGGCCTTGATCTTCTGGCTCGCCTACCGTCGCAAGAAGCAAAGGCAGGAAAAGGCCGCCGAGGATGCTGCCGCGGACGCTGCTGCCGCCGCCGCCGCCGCCGCCGCCGCCGATGAAGAAGCAAGACTCACGGAGGAGGAGAAAGCGCAAAACGAGATGGATGCCGGTGCAGACGGCCATGTGCATGGCGGCACGGGCGTCGGGAACAAGACGGAGCTGGAGGGCGAGGGTACCAGGCACGAGATGCAGGGGTCGGGAACAGCCGAGGCCGAGCTGTACGGCGTCGAGGCCCGCAAATTCGCAGAGATGGAGGCGCAGGTCACTCCGGTCTTTGAGATGCCGGCCAACGAAGATGTCACCCTGCCAGAACTGGAGACGCCCGATGAAGGCGCCTTGTCACGGTCGAGGGCGCAGACGCCGCATGCGGAGCTGGAAGCACCACACGAGTCGAGATTAGCGGTAATGCGGGAGAGAGAGAGGCAGCAGCAGCAGCAGAACCTTGAGGAAAGCTGAACGTAAGAGATGTAATCACTTTATGGCGTTTTTGCGGGTTTGATCGGACAATGGCGGTACCATTTGGAGCATTTGGCGCGATGAGACGCCCATCTGGTAATCATGTCTTGTTGATTTCAAAAGATATCCCTCCTTGTTATACTCTTTAAATCAAGCTTTCGTTTTTTAGTTCTCCATCATTCTTTCCAAGTTCCTTTTTGGTATCGTTCAGTCGGTTGACTGCAGGTTTCCTCTTTGCCTTCAACCTCGTCAGCCAAGCCTCCACTATGCCAAGCCCAAGCACCAACCAACGGCAATCTGCCATGGCTCCAAACACCAAAGAAAATCAGACTGCGAAAGAAGAAGGGGACACTCATTATACCTCCGCTAGCAGCCTGCCTGCAATCACTCATGCAGCAAACGAACCTCCCAGTTTTCTCTTTCTGCCAGTGCCCATCCAACCACCCTGCATCACCGCAAGCGGCCCGCCAATGCAGATAGCCAAGGCACATACCCGTCCTCCTTTGTCACCGTCACAGCCTTCTTTTTCCATCACTCCCCCCTCCCTTCTTCCGCGGTTCTGCTTCATTCGGTCTTCCCACCCTTTTCTGTGTCTTGTCTCGCAGAACACGCCACGATAAAAGCTAGACGGCTGCTTTTAGACCGAATCCCTGAGTTATTTGGTCTAGCCGACGACTCTCCTCGTGCGAACCGTCTCACACGGGCCCGTTCTCCGCATCTCGACAACAGCAGAGCAGAGCAGAGAGCGCGCGTGCGTGTCTCGCTTCCTACCAAGCAGCAGCCAGGCTGGCCAGACAGCGCGCAAGCAGCAAGCAATCTCCCATCGTCCAACGACACCACTCATCAGAGACGACCGATCGACCAACTGGGCGCCACGCCACGCCACGCCACACAGTCCTCCCCATCCCCTTCCAAACGCACAAGCAAAACCCGCTCTCTAGAGCAACCATCTAAACACTCACCATGTCTTTCGACGGCGGCGGCGGCACGCTCTTCGCCATGGCTATGCCGTAAGTCCATCTTCCCCTCTCTCCCTCTCCCCCTCCCTCTCTCCCGCCCTCTCTCTCCCGCCCTCTCTCTCCCGCCCTCTCTCTCCCGCCCTCTCTCTCCCGCCCTCTCCCTCGCCCTCTCTCGCAAACAAGCAGGCACTAAAAGCAACAACAACAACAACGCCACAGTCCGACCCTCGACCCCCTAAACCTCAACCCCCTCAACCCCTACAAAGGCTACTACGGCATCGGCGGCGCCGCCGACACTCCCCCACCGCCACCCCCCGCCGTCCAACGCGTCACCACCGCCCCAGCCAACCCCCTCGCTACTAGCATCGCCAAAGGCGAAGCCGAACCCGTCGACGCCGGTGGTAGCAGCAGCAAGCGCGGCGGCGGCGGAAGAAAGCCGGTGGGGGCCCCGTTGCACAAGTCGACTGCTTTCGTGCGCGGGGGGTGGGGTACCGGCGGCGGGATTGGCGGCGGTGGTGGAGGTGGCGGCGATGACGATGACGATGACGGCGAGGGGTGGAGGAAGAGGAATTGGTATTCGGGGGTGCCGGGGGATTATGTTGGTTATGGTGGTTATGGTGGTGGTGGTGGTGGTGATGATGATGGGGTTGGGAGCGAGGTGGATTTGGAGGAGGTCAGTGAGGATAGTGGGGATGAGGATAGTGGGGATGAGCCGGTCACGCCTGGGAGAGCGGTGCAGTTTGACGATGAGGAAGAAGAGGAGGCAGAGGAGGAGGAGGGAGGCGGGCGCAAGGGCGGCGGCCGGTACTTTGGCACGGTCAAGCATTCCAAGCACGCGGTGGACGTGCTGCCCCGCTCCGCCGTCCGCCCGGGCATGGCGCCGCCGGTGCCGCCGCGCGACCGCGTCGCGCCGTGGGGCGAGACGTGGGCGGCGGACCAGGTGGCGTCGTTTGACTTTGGCGAGACCGTCTTCGCGCAGGCGTATCAGAGCACGCAGATCACGGCGGATCTGCTGAGAGGTACGTGTTTTTGGCATACATATACACACGCGGGCGGGTTTCCCTGATGTAGGGGTTATCCCTGGTCGCCACGTGGGGATGTGTCGTGCTTCTAGAAGGATGCTGATGGCTGACCGTTGTTTACCTTTACAGACGAGAATGGCAGAGCGCCCAAGATGCAGCCGCCCGAGTCGCTGCCGTGGAAGACTCGTTTCAACCTGCCTGAGCCGGAGGACATGCCGGACATGGCGGCGCGCGATGCTGAGTTTGAAAGAGCGGGCACGTGGAAGTTGATCGAGGAGGACTGTCCGGAGCTGTTCGAGAAGAAGAACGCGACGTTGACGTCGATCTTCCCGAAGCACGGGGACTGCAATATGCCGAAGAAGAACGAGAAGGTGCGGGTGCTGTAGGATGTTTACGATGTAGTGTTTAGGCGGAGTGCTTATCGGAGGTGGAAGTAATGATGGATTGGCTGGAGGTGTCTTTTGAGTTCCGTGTCAGATAAAAGCAGAAAAAGGAAAAAAGAGTAATGACAAGACGTTTGGTTGGTCAATGGCAGAGACTAGAGTTATTGGACTGGAGGTTATCTGCTTTCTGTTAGCAATATCACTTACTATAAGGCGTTAAGACGTCTGAGTCGGTGGACCAATGAAGCGAGCGTCATGCGCGTATCTCTGCCCCGCAACGCGTCGTCCAAGGGTCCGCGTGCCGCACTCTTCCGCACTCTGGCTGCGTTGGCGTGCTGCTAGTCAGGGAAAGATAGCAGCCCCTCCAAAAAGTTGGAGACTCCAACTAGCGGGCTCTACTTGTGGCGCCGATTTGGAGTTCGTTACTGTGGTGAGGCTGCGCTGTCAACAACAACCGCCGTGCAGATGCGGTTTCGGCGGCCGGCATCGCCTTGGACAAGCCGAACTCACGCCTTCGTCGGCCGGCCGCCACGACCCGAGACAGTGCACATGTCTTGAAAAGGCGCGGCGGGCGCTGCTGCAGGCTGCTTGCGCCAGTACTGCCAATTCCTCCCTTTCTTCCTGTTTTCTGAGATACCCCGCAACGAAGCGCCGCCATGAAGCTCGACAAGTTCCCCAAGCACCAGCTCACCTTCCAGGGCCCGACGCCCATCCAGCACCTCAAGCGCCTCTCGGAGCACCTCGGCGGCAAGGTGCAGCTCTACGCGAAGCGCGAGGACTGCAACTCGGGGCTGGCGTTCGGCGGCAACAAGACGCGCAAGCTCGAATACATCATCCCCGAGGCGGTCGAAGGCGGCTACGACACGCTCGTCTCCATCGGCGGCATCCAGTCGAACCAGACGCGGCAGGTGGCGGCGGTGGCGGCGCACCTCGGCATGAAGTGCGTGCTGGTGCAGGAGAACTGGGTCAACTACCACGACGCCGTGTACGACCGCGTGGGCAACATCGAGCTGTCGCGGATACTGGGGGCCGACTGCCGGCTCGACGCGGCCGGGTTCGACATTGGCATCCGGCCCAGCTGGGAGCAGGCCATGGCCGACGTCGAGAAGCGCGGCGGCAAGCCGTACCCCATCCCGGCGGGCTGCTCCGAGCACCCCAAGGGCGGGCTCGGGTTCGTCGGGTTCGCCGAGGAGGTGCGGCAGCAGGAGAAGGAGCTGGGGTTCAAGTTCGACTACATCGTCGTGTGCGCCGTGACGGGCAGCACGCAGGGCGGCATGATTGTCGGCTTCGCGGCCGACGGGCGCGCGGACCGCGTCATCGGCATCGACGCGTCGGCCAAGCCGGAGAAGACCAAGGAGCAGGTGCTGCGCATCGCGAAGAACACGGCCAACCTGGTCGAGCTGGGGCGCGACATCACCGAGGCCGACGTCGTGCTGGACACGCGCTTCGGCGGGCCCGAGTACGGGCTGCCCAACGACGGCACCATGGAGGCCATCCGGCTGTGCGCGCGCACCGAGGGCATGCTGACCGACCCCGTGTACGAGGGCAAGTCGATGGACGGCATGATTTCGATGGTGCGGAACGGCGAGTTCCCCGAGGGCTCGCGCGTGCTGTACGCGCACCTGGGCGGCGTGCCGGCACTGAGCGCCTACAGCTATCTGTTCAAGGAGGGGTAGACGGCGGCTGTGCGAGAGGACAATAATACCTAGAGCAACAATGTCATGAATGAATCTGATCAGCGGCGTGTCGGGCTTTGCATCTGGCGCCGGCGTTGACACGGCCCGGCAGCGCAGCACGAGAGTGTGAGAGTGTGAGAGTGGGCAGTTGAAACCCGACGCCCGCAGCTTAGCCGCCCATTTCCCGCTGGTTCCATGCCCCACTTGCATCATTGACGCCGCTTCCCCAATGGCGGGGTAGTGATAGGTAAGGTTGCCCGCCACTCCTGCGTCCGTTTCCTGCCCATTCTTGCGACCACCCTTCCTTCACGCTACTTATACCCCGCCGACCCCCCCAGTCCATTGCCTCTGCATCTAGTCCAATCGCCCCCTCGCTCGACACCATGGCCGCGCCCAAGGAAATCCGCTGGGGAATTCTTGCTACCGGCGCCATTGCCAAATGCTTCACCGTCGACCTCCTCGTCGACCCCAAGACGCGTGGAGTCAACCATGTCAAGCACACCGTTGTCGCTGCCGCCAGCTCCTCCAGTGCTGACCGCGCCGCCCAATTCCTCAAGGACGTCGGCGCTCCCGAGTCGGCAAAGGCCTACGGTTCCTACGAGGACTTTGTCAAGGACCCCAACATCGACATTGTCTACGTTGCTACCCCCCATTCACACCACTACCAGAACGCCATGCTTGCCCTGAGTGCCGGCAAGAACGTCCTGTGCGAGAAGTCATTCACCGTCAATGCTGCTCAGACGAAGAAGCTGGTCGCGACGGCCAAGGAGAAGGTAAGCACGCTCTCTTGCATCTCCCCGCTGACAGCCAGCCTGACGATTCCACTCCACCCAGAACCTCTTCCTCATGGAGGCCGTCTGGACCCGCTACTTCCCTCTCTCCATCTACGTCCGCGACATCATCACCTCGGGCAAGATCGGCACCGTCCAGCGCGTCTACGCCGACAACGCCATCGCCCTCGACCCAGAGACGGCCTTCGCCGACGGCAAGCACCGCATGGTGAACCCGGACCTGGCCGGCGGCGCCCTCCTCGACCTCGGCATCTACTGCCTGCTCTGGGCCTTCCAGACCGTCTACACCACGCTCCCGGAATCGGAGCGCAAGCCGCCGACCGTCCTGTCCTCGACCAACATCTACCCGGGCACGCGCGGCGCCGACGAGCTGACGACGATCCTCCTCACCTTCCCGCGCGGCGGCAAGCTCAACGACGTGCACGCCGTGGCCACGACGGGCATCCGCTACTCGTCGGACCCCAAGGAGGTGGCCGACGACGCCGACCCCGCGTGCCGCATCCAGGGCGACAAGGGCGAGATCCAGGTCTTCCCGCCCATCTACCGCCCCACGAAGACGCGCCTCATCCTGCGCGACGGCACCGACGAGCCGAAGAAGTGGCCGCAGCCCGGCCCCGGCAAGGGGTCTGGCTGGTACAACGGCTTCAGCGACGGCCGCAACGCCGAGGGCGAGGGCCACGGCATGTTCTGGGAGGCGGACGAGGCTGCGACGGCCATCATCGAGGGCCGCAAGGAGGGCAAATACCAGAGCTTGGCGGAGAGCATCACCATCATGGAGGTCATGGATGAGGTGAGGAGGCAGGCTGGTCTGAAGTACCCGGACAATATCGAGACTACGGATTTCCCGGTTGCGCTGTAGAATGAAGGGTAGGAGGCCGAGCTGTAAGTTAGTCATGATTAAAAAGATACTTGAGATGAAATAGATGATTTTATAATAGCCTTTAGATTTGCTCAAGCTGTATAATCTTTTACGTACACCGAATGGGTCGTTCCATCAAGCATGCAGTCTCCCCGCCGGCACCGGCTTCCCAACCCAAGCTCTCGCATTTGCAAACCCACCGCGCCCAACACATTCTTCTTCACCACGCGGAGAGGCTTGGGCTCGAAGCGTTTGCGTGAGAGGAGGTGGAAGCCGACGCTGGGTGTGGAGCCTCTTCTGAAACGGGAGAGTAGGCCTTTTTGCTGCTTCTCAGGCTGGTCTCTGGTTTGCTGGACTTCGTCTTCTCTGGTGAGGAGGCACATGCCGCGCGTTGTGACGTCTTCTTCTTGGATGAACGATGCGATGGCATCGCCTATTGTGATGAGTGGATTCTCTTTGGCAATGGAGATTGTGCTGACGGTGGCAACAAGCTTGATGAAGTTGAAAACTATCAGGACAAGCAGAAGGCTGACTATGACGTTGAGACTGCACTGGCCCGGAAGCTTCTCGCTGAGGCAGTGGTCGACCTGAAACCCATATACGCTCCATGAACTACTGTTGTCACGTTCATGGAGCAGTGCGGATATGTGGTTTAGTTTGTCGAGGGCGTAGGTACGTCTTCTTAAACGCGGCGTAGGAGTCAATGACCCATGCTATGATCGCTGGGCGGTATAGTTGTGCGGGTAGGAATAGGCTAGTAGAGCTATTCTTGTGTTGGTGTGGGGGCCAAAGTATGGCTGCGCCCTGCCTGGTGGTACAGCAGAGGCAATCTACCTATAGCGAAGCGGCAATTTTGTTTCAAGAAAGCTCACCTTCTCGCAACGCCAGGCTGTCGTTATGGCCTGGAATACACCATCCGCCTCGACCTCACGATGGGCTTCGCTCTGGATCGCTCCTTTCGCAGCTTCGCCACAGTTGCAGCTCGAAGCGCTGCTGGGACTGGCTCGAGGTTCGGGTTCACGCGACCACCGACGTCATAACGAACGCTGCTTGTTGCAAGGCGCTGAGAGGTAAGTAACGTGGTGGCAGTGAATAAGAGCTGGGCAAAAAGAAAAGGACGAGAGACGAACCGCAAGTTCCTTCGTGCGGTCACCCACATCCGCATGCGGACTAGCGCCCGCGACCCGTCGCTATATCGGCCCCGCCTTTTCTCTTTGCCTCTCATCATTGCCTCCCATTGCCCCCACGCTGACGAAGAATGTCTCTCGGCCCAGGCGAACATTGGCCGGGTGTGGCGTTGCTGAGGTGGACACGCACAGCATGCGGCGATCGCAAGGCTGTGGGCTGCATGTTCTGCAGAGCGGCGGCCGGGACGGGTCTGACTGGTGAGTGATTGGCCGCTCTTCGGCGTGGCGGCGACGCTGTGCTCGATGTAGCTAAGACTGCACGCGAAGCTTTGTTTTTGGTCCTCTCCAACGCCAGCCCGATAGCCCGCCAAGAGCTGGTGTCAGCTGCTGGACGGGCCTAAAGCATATGACGGCCCCATCCCGCCCGCCTTCCGCCCGCTGCAGTGCCAGTTTCCGTCCTCGACAGCATGCACCATTCGAAAGACGACCCCTCTGACTCGGTGCACTGTGCCGGCCAGACCCGTCGCAGCACCCGCTTTTGGCACATAGCCCGCGCTTGGTACTTCTTCCCTCTCCATGCCATCATTGTCATCGTCCTGGCTGTTGTCGCCCTGGTCAGTCTTGATGGCCAGACCTTCCCCACCTCGTCGAATGCTCCTTTCGGCTCAACCATCACCCACATGTTCCAGGGTAAGCTTCGCCAGGCAGACGTCACCACCTTGGTCTCAGCCGCCCTGGTGCTTGTGCGCCTCACCCTCAATGTCTGTTCCAGCATCGCCGCACAGAGGTCCATTTTCATTCTCCTAGAGAAGTGCGGCCTCTCCTTGCGGGAGATCGAGCGCATCTTCTGCTACGGATACGGCCCTTTTAGGACCAATGCCTTCGGACTCGCCACCATGCTCCTGCTCCTGCTCCTCATTCCCGCCCAGCTGAGTGCCCCTCTTGCCCAGGGAGCGCTCTCTTGGGAGCCCCAGTTGACTTTGAGGCATGCCGACTACAATGTCACCCTCAACGTAGCCGGCCCTGGCCCCGCCTTCGCTGAGTTCAAGGACCACAACGAACCCCGGGACTTTTCCATCAAAAGGGCTTCTGGGCTTGCTGTCATCCATCGCTTTGGCCCAGACTTCTACTCAGTGCTCGACTCGGATAAGAAAGTGCCGAGCAGACGCTGGGCCCCAGCCTTCAGAGAACACGAGCTTTCCAACCAGACCAAGGGCTATCAAGCACTCCCGACGAACACGAGCATCGGCAACACCACGCTCCCCTTCTTCCGTATGAGCAACCTGACCTGGATCGACTACGACGACAGCCTCGAGCATTACCTGGCGTGGGACAATGGCCTGTTCAACGTCACCGACCCCATGAACCCCCTCCGCGCCTCTCTCCCGGGCAACGCCGCCATCCTACGCGACTCACCCATCCACAGCTGGATATCCACCTGGCCCAACGCCACGCTCCTCAACGCCACCTTCACCATCGCCGTCCTCGCCGCGCGCCTGCCCTCGGCCGACGCGCCCACCGCCTGCCCCGCCACGAGCAGCGCCTTCGGCACCCTCCCAAACACCAAGCCCTACACCGCCGTCGGCCCCACCAACTTCACCAACTGCTACCTCTTCGCCACCGCCTCCGTCCTCGCCGGCACGACCCAATGCCTCGACTGCCCCATCATCTCCCCCGGCGTCGTCGAGCGCGCCGGCAACGCCACCTCCCCCTTCGCCCCCTCCCCCGACCCCCTCCTCCCCCTCGTCATGGGCATGCTCCCCGAAACGATGCTCAGCATCGTCACCGGCAACGCCACCTACGCCCCCACCCACGCCAACCTCGCCGGCTTCCTCGCCGGCGCCTTCTCCGCCGCCTACCAAGCCTCCTGGAACGACCTCACCGACCGCCTCGCCCTCGCCCCGACAAACACACCCATCAACGCCGCCACGTCCGCCGCAGCCGCAACGTCCAACTACTCCTTACCCCTCTACCCCCTCCGCGCCGCCGTCGACGCCCAACGCATCCGCACCTGGCTCGCCCTCCACCTGCTCGTCCCCGTCGCCGCGGCCCTGCTGGCCGTCTTGCAAACTCGTTGCCGCGCCGAGCCGGTGGTCGATTTCGCGGCTGCGTGTCTGTTGACGGACGCGCTGCCCGTCGTGCGCGCGGCGGAGGCGGCGGGCGTGCGGACGGCGGCGCGGGTGGAGGGGGCGCAGAGCAGGCGGGTGGGGAGGGTGGTGGTGAGGGAGGAGGGGGGCGGTGGGCTTGGTGGGCTTGGCGGTGGTGGAGGGGCGAGGTTTAGGGTGTTGAGGCGGGAGAAGGATGGGGCGGATAAGTTTGGAGAGGGCGGTGGGTATAACTGGGGGGGTATACGCGGGCGGAGGGCGGCGAGGAAGAGGGAGTCGTGGGGCGATTTGCCGCTGTTGTCTGGCGGGGCGTCGACGGTTTATGAGCCGGTGTCTGAGGAGTCGGTGAATAGGACTGAGACTGGGACTGGGACTGGTCAGCAGGGCCAGGGCCTTTTGCATACGCCGCATACGGGGTCGAGTTGGCAGTCTTCGCCGGGGTTTGCGCGGTAGTAGGGCGGAGAGGATGGGGATGGATGAGGGTCTGGAATCACTGGTCGGGTGTTCTTTCTTTCTTGTTGATATGATGCATGCGTTCACTGAAGCGGATTGGTGAGATTTTGCTTTTTTGTAAGAGTGTCTTTTTGATTTTTTTTAACGTTGAGTTTCTCTTCTTATTTCGTCGTTCTCCATTCTTGTGCATATTTGGCTTGATATGGCCGAGCAGAACATGTTTTTTCTCATTGAATGCGAGGTCCAGAGAGACGCGGGAGTTCAAGACATTCGGGATATCGGGCAATTCTGGTTCATTCAAAGCTCTCTCTTTTTCTCTCGGCTCCATGGATCATTTCACCTAGAAGGGTAAGTCAAGCGGTCTGTTCGATAATTCTCCATCGACATCTTGTTCGGACTCGATTCATCTATCCCACTTACAGAGGGACATTGTAGCCGAAGGCTGGCGTTGCCAGTTTGCCTGCGACAAAGGTCTGCCGACTGCCAAGGACGGCAGATACCTGTGTAATGAGACGCTGTTTTTCTCGCACTAGCCTTTGGCTGCTCCCTCCCTCACTAACAGCCGTCCCCCAAAGCTAATCATCGGTGCCGCCATCCCAACACAAAAGCCACTGTCAGTCGGCGATCGCAGCCGTGTGCAGAAAAAAGCTGTTTGACTGGATGATCTATTAAATGCTACTACTACGTGGTTTTTATACAGATGAACGAAGAAAGGGGTGCCCAACAAGGGTATTCTTCATGATAACACGTTGGTGAATAAGACCCTGTTGGGTTGACGATGACGATCATCCTCAACGTGACTGAATATAGGTGATGGTGAGATCCAGCAGCCACAAACCCATTCGCTCACCCGAACCAGCGCAGCACAGCAAACGGCCAGCGCGAGATGTAAAAGGCTGGGAGCAGATAGGTAGGAAAGAAGGGTAGAAGCATATTACAAGTGTTACTATACGGCAAAGGGCACCGTCTCTTCCGTCTTGCGTGCCGGATAGCCGCCTGCAGCATGTCTGTTTGCTCTGCGTTATAGTGGGGACGATGCAGCCGAAAGTTTGCGCATTAATCACGCAGCTTGCTAACAGGGGTTCGAGTGGCACGGAATCACATCATTATACAAAAACGACGACGCATTTGCATTCGGCTGTGGAATACTCGGCTGTGGAATCCAAGCGTGCGGGTTGCATCCCTTGCGTGTGCAACGGCTCTCGTGCCATTCCCCCGGGAACCAGTTTCGGTCAACCCGGCCTTGATCAAGTCAGGAGCGAGAGCTGATTGGTCTCCCTTGCGAGAAAAAGCGAACACGATGGGATGCGAAAAAAAGGAACGCGAATAAGGATGCAGGTCAGTGCTTAGCGTTCGGGAGATAAGAATAGCCTTTTTAGTTCCGCTGCACTCGTCCGCTCTGCAACGTCGATCACCCGTTTCGAAGTGATCGGCTCTCAGATATCTGGGCCTCTGTCCTCGAGTTCGTCCGGCCTGCAAGGGGCGTCGTCATGGCGCTCTACGAATACCAGCCAACTCTTGTTGGGGCCGGCATACTCTCCTCCATCTTCTGCGTCTTAACCGCTTTCCACGGTTGGCAGCTGGTCAGAAACAGGACATGGCATATGGTTGGATTTGTTACAGGGGGTGTCCGTGGGTTGAGCCCTATCCACCTCTCCAAAAATTCAAAGCTTTGTCTGATCGACAGTTCTTCATCAGTTGAGCTCGTCAGCTACGCTGCCCGAGCTGCTTCCGCGACACAGAAGAAGGATCGGTGGTCCATGGAACCCTATCTCATCCAGAGCACATTCCTTCTGGTCGCGCCCACATTCTTCGCAACGTCGATCTACTCAACCTTCGGGCGCATCATAGCGGTGACCGACGGTGATGCTTACGCCCTCATCAAGAAACGCTGGGTCGCCATCTTCTTCGTGCTGGCGGACGTGTTTGCCCTGTTAATGCAGGCGGTTGGTACGTGGCCTTTCTGAAAAACACTCTGGTACTCGCAGAAAGAAAAAAATCCCGGTCTGCTCACACGGCATGCAGGGGGCGGCCTCATGGCCATGGGCTCCACGGACCCTACCAGGTTCAACTTGGGACAGCACACGATCGTCGGCGGCCTGATCGTCCAGCTTGTGGTATACTGCCTCTTCTTCGTTTCCGTTGCCACCTTTTACCGGCGCCTGAGCACGCTCCCCTCGGCCAAAAGGCAGAAACACGCGCGCATCGATTGGCACCGGCACTTGACTACGCTGTTCGTGGTTAGCATCCTCTTGATGGTTCGCTCGTTGTTCCGCATCCTTGAGTATGCACAAGGACATGATGGATATCTGTACAGACACGAAGCGTTCACATACGTCTTTGACGCTTTGCCCATGGCCCTTACCATGGCGTACACGAGCTGGACGTATCCCGTTCTCCGAAGGAAGGAAAGAGGAGGAATTCAGCGCTTTCACTTAGCCAGAGTTTCTGGAGGAGCTGCGAGTCCACGGGAGATTGGCTCCCCAGCGCGCGAGACGGCCTGAGCTGGTTGCATGAGTCTTTGGACTACCGTTTCTCGTCTGCCTGATCAGGCAACAGTGTGCAAGAGAAAAAAAAAATCAGAATCCACATGAATTTTACTTGGCACGCGCAGCCTCGCGGCCCGAGTCCAGTTCGCGGCCCGAGTCCAGCCCAACCCAATGGCCGCCATGAATTTGACCCCCAACCAGTCTTTGACCCCCCCCTGGGAAAGCTACTTTTTCTCCGTCGCTCACCTCAAATTTATGGCGGCCAACCCAATTAGGCTCACAACTTTGTCGCGTTCTCGAATGTAGTAACCCAGGGCGCGGAACTAAAAGCCGCCGCCAAGGAGAGCAGTCTTTGAAGATATTTTTCGGCTCATGGAGCTGGGAAAGCGCCTCTAGCAGCGGCCACAGCGACAAGGACCATACGAACACGATATAGTGTAAAGGGGAAGGTAATTTCGAAGCTAGGGTTTTCTTAACCGTGTTTAAAGCAAGGACTTCCTCCGGCTAAACCGTTCCGGGTGGGAGGGTCTTCACTTCGGCATCAACCCTGTTTAGAACCTATAGGCAGGCTCCAAATCGCTTTAGAAGCTCCGGTTCGATGATGTCAGTTTAAGCTCTTCTAGATTTCCTAGGGTTTGATCAGACCGTATGCTGATACACACCGAGCCGCAACGTTATGGGGACCGCCACTAACGGCGAGCGAATACCCCTAGAAGCAGCAGCAAGTACCAGCAACGGCAGCGGCAGCAAGCACCTGTAGCGGCAGCAGCGAGCGTTTACCACTAGCAACGGCAGTAGCAGTGGCAAGCACTAGTAGCGGTAGCGGCGAGCGTTCAGTGGTTCACCAGCGGCGGCTGCAGCGGCAAGCACCACCTGCAGCAGTAGCGGCGAGCATCACTACCAGCAACAACGGCGGCGAGCACCAAACATGACAACTATTCCTATGAATAAGCCCCCTGGGGGCCCAAGTAATAGTTGAAATACGTGCAGAAGACGTACCATGGATCAGGTCCACCATAATCCTCCGCAAAGCGTTGAGCTATAAAATCCCCGGCCAGGCCTACTCTTCCTCTTCAAGGTAATATACCTACAACCTTTGCTGCAACAGCCTGCTTGCTTAAAAGCTGAAAAGAAAAGCGCGCCCGTGACTCGGCCAGCACAGTCGAGAGGAGATTCCCGGAACACGCACGTGGCTGCAGGGTCGCCGCCATGTCTCCGTTGGTGCACGAAGAACCAACACCAGCCTTCGCCCCACCGCAACAGGTCGGACAACCACACCGACCCCCGTTTGCGGGCCCTTCAACACGCTCCAGAGGCACCGTTCGACCGCGATCTGCTCTGTCACCAGAGCCAGAGGAGGAAGAGACGGAAAGACGGGCAGAGAATGGGCCGCCGTCACACGGCAACATGGGTCTCCCCGATGGAGACAGCCAACTTTCTGGCCGGGATCAACAGCTTCCACGCCATGATCAACCGGTGCGGCAGCCGCCCCACAAGCGGCGACGGCTGTATGAAGAAGTCCTGGAGTCGCAGTTCCAGCAGAAGCAATCTCACGGTCAGGGACTCCATGACCAGCGACTCCCGCAGCAACCCCTGCCGTCGCAGTTCCAGCATACGCAATCTCAGGGCCAGGGACTCCATGATCAGCGACTCCCGCAGCAACCCCTGCCGTCGCAGTTCCAGCCGATGCAATACCACGGCCAGGGAGTCTATAATCAGCGACCCCCGCAGCGACTCTCGCTGTCGCAGTTCCAGCAGATGCAATCCTACGGCCAGGGACTCTATGTTCAGCAATACCCGCAGCAATACCCGCAGCAATACCCGCAGCAGCACCAGCAGCAGTACCCACAGCAATACCTGCATCTTCAACACGGACAACAACCACCGCCAGGGCCACAACCATTCCCACCACAACCAGCACTCCCACCGCCCCCAGCCCCCCCACCATTCCCACCACAACCAGCACTCCCACCATTTCCAGCACCCCTACCAGCACCCCCACCATTTCCAGCGCCCCCACAACAACAACAAGCACCGCCAGGCCCACCACCCCCGCCAGCACCTCCACCCCCGCCAGCACCACCAGCACCTCCAGGCCCCCCAGCACCACCAAACCACCAGCCAAACCACCAGCCAAACCACCAGCCAAACCACCAGCCAAACTACCAGCTAAACCACCACCACCACCACCGCCAGCAAGAAGAACCAACGTTCGACCAACAACTCCTCGCCCTCATCCCCCTTCTCGAAGCGGGAAGAGGAGGAGGAGGAGGAGGAGCAGATCAGCCGCCGGCGGCGCTGACGCCCGACGAAGAAGCGCTGGAGCGGCACATCCGGGCTGAGTACGAGGCGTGGCGGACGGGGAGGAGTAGACTGGAGGAGGAAGGAGGAGGAGAGGGAGAGGGAGAGGGGGAAGAAGAAAGAGTGGAGGAGGAGGAGGATGTGGATGCGGAGGGGGAAGAGGAAGAGGATGCGGAGGGGGAAGAGGATGCGGAGGAGGACGCGGAGGGGGAGGCGGACGCGGAGGGGGAAACGGACGCGGACGCGGAGGGGGAAACGGATGCAGATGCGGAAGGGGAAACGGACGCGGAGGGGGAAACGGAGTGAGACGGCGAGTGAGGAGGGGGAGGACGGTAGCATGCGTACTATGGGTACTCAGTGACGAGCTCCATGACACACACACGCACACACACACTGACACACACCTGTAAAGATGGTAAATTCCATTTCGGAACCAGTGTCCTCATGGACACATGTACTGCTCGTCGCGAAGCAGAGGAGGCGCTTCTCTTTTTTCTTCTTTTTTCCAGCAAAGAAGCATGTGGGACATCACGTATACCCAATAGCATTAAGGTTTATCGTCATCATCAACCCAATAGGGTAGTTAGTCTTCAACAACGAGTTTTCATCTACAACAAACACCCTTGTCGGGTGCCCCTTTCTTCGTTCACCTACATAAACACCACATAGTAGCAGCGTATAACGAGACATCCAGTCAACGACTAGCTTCTTCCTGTGCCCGGCTGTGATCACCGTCCAACAAAGCAAGCAGTTACTAGCATGGTTGGACGAAAGAACGGACTATATGGGGAGGAACGGGTCAAAGCGATGGCTTATTGATATATTGCTTTCGGCAAGTAACAAAAGTCTTCAAATCATTCCCACTACAATTCACATCCAAAAGGCCTGCGTGATGCACACGCAACAAAGCAACCTTCGCCCCATGAACAAGAACGAATGCCACCGAGCGCTTCCTGAAGCCGTGCAGTGTAGAGGTATCCAAGAAAGAAGAAGAAGAAGAAGCTAAAAAAGAAACAGCCAGTATACTACGTGAAGAGGAGAAAAAAATTAAAAGGAAAGAGATGGAAAAGAAAAAAAGGTTGAAGAATCAAAGACAGCGATGAACCCATGATATACCAATCTCTAGAAACACGCTTCTCCAAAACGCTCCGGACCCATGATGAGAAAAGAAAAGAGAAAAAAAAAAGAAAGGGTGTTCGTCCCGAGCCTTCATACCCACTCATCCGACCAAACCCCTCTCGGGCGCGATGCCCAATCCGACCCTGCCCGACGACAAGGTATCCTCCGTGGCGCTGGGCAAACCGGTGCCGATGCTCGTGCCCTCCCTGCCGCTGACCCTCCCCATCTCCCTGATCCTGCGGCCCTCCATGAGGCCGCGCAAGCCCCTCTTCTGCAGCCCCACGACGGCGCTGATCTCGCCGGCCCAGACCTCGCTCTCGCCCGGCCCGCCGGTGACGCTGCCCATGTCGGACTGGCTCGTCTCGGTCGAGGCGCTGCGCACGCTCTGCTCGTCGTCGGCCAGCGAGGCCGACGACGAGACGTCCGTGTTGAGCCGGAGCTGCTTGAGGTGGTCGTCGACGCCGCTGTCCGCGCCCTGGGCGACGCTCCCGGTGCGCTGCGTGGACGTGAAGCTGGATGCCAGACTGTTCGAGGACGCCGACGGGCGCAGGTCCCCGCCGAGGCCGTCCGATCGTTCTGATTGCAACTTTGCGAGCGTCTCGGCGGATGGAAGGCCCGCCGTCGTGCCGTTGAAGAAGGTGATTGAATCACCTCCGCCGGCTGCCATTGCGGCGGCGTTGAAGATTGCGGCTGTATTCCGCCCGTCAAGACGCAGGTGGAGGCGCTCGATGACGGCTTCCAAGAGACCGTCGATGCGATAGGGGCGAGCAAGCTGGAGCAGCGAGCATAAAATTTGCGGAGTGCACAAGGTCGAGTTTGGCGGAGGAAGGGCGGAAGTGTAAAGATAATGTGCGAGAGCCTGCAGGGTGAGATGAGTGTGCGGGAGGTAGAGGGCGCGCGGACGGGAAGTCGGGTTTGGATTTTCGGCATTTGGAGGATCGAAAGGTGTGACGGTGGAAGCCATGCTGGGCGTGGCTGTGAGAGCGGTGCTAGCTGTCCTGATGCTCGGTGTGATGGTAATACTAGAGTTACGCCATGCATGGGAGCCTGTCGAGGGTCTCAGTGTAGCAGCGTCCGATGAACTGGGGTCCGACGCGAACGCTCCCTCGCGTAAGAGCTGGTTGAAGTAAGGGCCCCATCTTTTCGCCACAAGGTGTGAGTTGACAGGAATGCGCTCGCCTCCGATAGCTAAAAGCTCCATATCGGCGAGCTCTCGTAGTCCTAACGCCATCGCTCCTAGCTCTTCTGCGGCCGGCGAGAGTGACCGCCCCCCGCTTGCCAAATCCGACGCTCTCTGCATCATGCCCGGAGAGCTTACAGACAGATATCCCGATGTTGGCATGGTCCTCCGAGGGTTGTCGTATAGTCCAAAAGCCTCCAGCTCCACCATGCAAATGTTTGAAAAGTTGATCCTCCGATGGTTGTAGTCTTCCACCAGGCTTCGCTTCCGATTTCCGAGTATGACAAAGGTGTTGCGCCTGCTCCAAAGTACGCCCCGGTTCCAGCTTCCTTGGCTAAAAATGCTACCGCCGGCATCGATTCGACTCCATGTAAGGTTCCGTAGATCCAGCGCCCAAAGGGCGTACTCCTGCTTGGATGAAGTTAGGAAAGTACCGCTCACAACGAAGTGATTCGCAATCACGCCTCCGTTGGGGAATCGCAGGCCTGGCGGCGAGAATGTGCCGTTCATGGACTTCTCTGTCAAAGTTCCGTCCGGTAATCTAATTTGAAGCTCCAGCTTGACGTCCAGGAAGTTGTAGTTTGAGTAAATCAGCATAGTGGAGCCATTGTTCTCCGGGTCCTGATTCTCTTCCGCTGGAGTCTCGCCCTTCCTTCCGCCGGCCCCGATGGATGACGCAGGCATTGTCGTAAGCGGTGCGACCACACTCCTGTACGCACCACAACTCCGGCCTAGCGTGTTTGTTGCGATCCACTTGAGACTTCTCAAATTGAAAACGCTTATCTGTTCAATGTAGTGGTTCGCGCTGTCCTGCCCACCTACGACCACCATCTCCGCGCCGCCAGTACCGTCCAGGTCGATGCCGATCGAGCCAGCGTTAGGCTGGCTGGCAGAGGCAGGGTTGTGATGAATGGCAGAAAGGGTGGCGCTAGACGACGCGAAAACCGCAGAGGAGGGCAGGATGGCAGCGCAGTGCGCATAACGTCCCTGCGGGGAATCCGAGGTGTCGATCTTCATCCACATCCGCGTGTGAACGTCGTAAATATGTATGTCGGACATGACAACGACCTCGGGCTGATTGTCTTGCGCACCGCCTTGGTTCGGCGCTGCCGGCTGGCCGTTCGGGAGAGTTGCGGGGGACATGCCGCCATAGCAGACAAGCTTGGTGTCCCCGAGCGAGCAGACGCTGTGAAAATACCGTGGTGGAGGAATGTCGCCCTGAGTCTGCAGCTTCGTCCAGTGCCGACGAACCAGATCCAACTCGTAGAGGTCGTTCGTAAGCTGCGGGCGTGTCCTGGACAACCTTCTGCCGCCAAACACGTAGAGCTTGTCTCCGAGAATCGTGGTGGTTGCGCCCACGAGCGGGTGAGGCTCACGACCGGTCGTCCTGTGAACGTTGCAGACCAGGCCGGACAGACCAGATGTCGATTGAGACGGAGTGCCGAGGCCTGCAGTCATCATGGGAGTCAGACCTGGCGTTCTTGCGGCCGAGGAAGGGCCGGCGTCTTCGTCCCTACCCATCTTGGACAGACTGGTGCTGCTGCTGTTGACGCTGCGGGTCAGAAAGGCGCTGGAGTTGGTTCTGAGCGGCTGGTCCGGGAATTGGTGGGACGGGGAGGGTTGAGATGCGTTTGGATCCATCGTGATCGTTGCTCTAGCGTCTGGAGAGGGTTTGGAGGGAATCCGGAGTGGAGAGATGTTTGCCAAGTTGTGAGAGAACAGAGAGGGACAGTCGCTTGGGGTCTGTAAAGGTGAATCGGGTAAAGTTTGAACCGGCTGCGCCCAGGATGGGATCACAATGGCAACATGCCTCGGCTTCAGCGGGACAGGATCGACAGATGATTTGCGGCCAGGTAAGGGAAAGTCAGGGATGGAGGTGGTGGTCGGTTTCGCTGACGGGCTTTCGATGGATTTGCGCGGGCTGTCCGGAAGGTCTATTGGAACATAGCGGGGAATAACAATCGGAATGTGCTTCGGGCGGGCACCTGGACCTGCAGAGACCGGGATTGGACAGGGAAGCTGAAAAGGCGGCTTGAACGAGGCAGAAGACTCGGAATTGGCGCGGCCAGGCGAGGACTGCGAGCTTGCAGAGGGCTTGCGCTCTCTCTGGTCAGGGTGCTGGAGCGGGAGCGGGGCCCGGGGGGACTTGGGCCTCCTCCGCGACAGAAAAGGCTGGGAGACCGAGGTGGGCGACGGGTCCGCGGGCGGGTCCTTGGGAAAGCTGAAGGCTCCTAGGGGATTCATGGTCAGCGCGGTGATCGACCCTCAGAGACCGGGTCTTGGGAGCTGGCGGGGGAGGAAGATAGGGATATCCAGCGAAGGGGGGAGGGGGGAGGCCGCGCTCCGTCGACTTTGGCGGCATGGTCACCAGGGCGCTTGGTATGGGCTGGCAAACGCTACATAACAGTTTCAACGCACTGTTAGGTCATCGCAGCTGCGGTGGACGAGGTCTCGGCCGGCAGCAGGGTGATGTTGCGTCAACGGGAGCGCGGCGGGTGCTGGCTGGACATGGGGGCACGGCTCGGCTGTGTGACTGGCGCCTGGCTGGAGGGCTGTCTTGGACAAATTCGGCGGGCGCATGGACGGCGGGCTGCAGGCCCGCGGTGTTGGTTGAAAATTTGGCTGCCGCATCGGTGCGGCATGGGGGGTTGGGTGCGGGCTGCATGGAACACAAGGAGGCGCCTTACCTGAGGGCTGCGGGCAGGGCGCGGGGGCGCAGGCAGGCAGGCAGCGCTAGGGCGGTGGTACTGCGCGGGCGGAGACGCTGAAGGGAGACGGAGCCTGGAGGGTCTTGGGGGGAAGTTGTGCCTGGGAGCCGCGAAGGGTACAGACGGGGCGCACGGGAGAGGTTCGTTTGGGTTTCCACTACTTGGGCCCTGCAAATCGCAAGCCAAGGCCGGCCGCGCTAGGGCCCCGCCGCCGCCCATGCAAGGAGCGCTGCACATCAACAAAGCCCGCCAGACAGAGCCAGAGCCAGCCAGAGCCAGTGCTGCGCCGCCAACCGTCACACCGCTGCTTTCATCAGCAGCGTGGCCGCCATGGCATGCACCGCCGTTGGCTGCCAGCAGCAGCACCAGCACCAGCAGCATCTTCAGCCGCCGCAGCCATCGCCTGAGACGGCAGCGCCGCACGGCGCGCCACGCAATCACACAGACGCAGGTACTCATTTCTATCTTTGCTTGCATTCATCTCGTTGGGTATCTGGCGGAGCGCCTGCCGCCGCCCGCTCGTCTAGACTATGGAACACATTTCACCGCTTTTGTCTCAGCCCTACGGGGCCACGCGCGCGCGCGCGCCTCGGCTTACACGTTCGCGCTGGTGCTCTCCTTGGGCAGCGGCGTGAACCTCAGGTACGGCTTGACGATCTTCAGGTTGGGGTAGATCTTCTGCGCATCCTCCGTCTTGACCGACGGGTGCACGATGACGTCGTCGCCGGGCACCCAGTTGATCGGGGTCGTGACCTTGTTCTTGTCGCCCGTCTGCAGCGAGTCGACGATGCGCAGCACCTCGGCCGAGTTGCGGCCCGTCGAGGCGGGGTACGAGAGGATGGTGCGGATCGTCTTCTTGGGGTCGATGACGAAGACGGAGCGGATGGTGAAGGCAATGCCCTTGGAGTCGACGTTGGTCGCGTCCTGGTGGTCGAGCCTGTGCTCGCGTCAGCATGCTGCCTGGCTGCGTGCGGTGCCGAGGCGCTGAGGCGCTCTGGCCACTTACATGTCGTAGGCAAAGGCAACCTTGCGCTCCTTGTCGCCGATGATGGGGAAGGTGAGGTTGCTGCCGGTGACCTCGTTGATGTCCGAGATCCAGCCGCCGTGGCTCTCGATGGTGTTGGCCGACAGGCCAATCAGCTTGACGCCGCGCTTGGTGAACTCGGGCTCGAGCTTGGCAAAGGCGCCGAGCTCCGTGGTGCACACGGGCGTGTAGTCCTCGGGGTGCGAGAAGAGGACGACCCAGTTGTCGCCAATGAACTCGTGGAAGTCAATGGGGCCGGCCGTGGTCTCGGCCTTGAAGTTGGGGGCGATGCTGCCCAGGCGGAGGGGCTCGGCGCGCTGTTCGGTGGCCATGGTGATGGGTGATGGGTGATGGGTCTGTTGGAGACGGCGTCAGCGGGGCATGGAGGGGCAGCGCGGGGCCGAGATGGGGTACCTTGGAGTGAGATGAGGAATTGGGTCGCAGAGGAGGTTGTGAAGGCTGAGAAGACCGGGTGCGAGAAGATTGCGGCGCGGGGTATTTGTAGGATGGCGGGGCACAGCTTCAATACTGGAATGATGCGAAAAGTCGGATGAATAATGCCATCAGCAGCCCTCAGCATTACTGGATGCGGCAAGGCTGCGATTGCGTGCTTGAATGCTCTCGTTCTGCCGGCGCGAGCAGGCCAATGGCATTGTGGCGGCCGTCGACCGCCTCCGCCCAGCGCAGCGCCGCGGGGGGGCTAAGCCTTGGTATAGACAAGGCGGCAGGATCAACATGGCGCAAACACGCTGCAAAATGCTGCGAGCGCCGAGCCCGCCCGGATCAGGCCCGCACGTGATGCTGCCAGTCTTGCGCGCGCCGTGATGTCGGACGTGGTGGCAGCTTGGAGGGCGATGCTGCTCGGCCGCCGGCTTTTTGTCATATATGTACTGGGTAGCCAGCCTAAGCGCCCGGGCGTTTCCCCCAAATCCCCAGCTCCAAACCCTAATCCCCTCCCCCCGAGACGCCAAATGCGCAGCTCAGCCAATCACTTAACCAGCCTTTTTCCGAAGCCAGCGTCAGGTCGGAGGCGTCACGGCGTGTCCGTCGTTGTGGCACCCTCCCGCACGTCCTTTGTCCGTCCGGTGCAGCCACGCAGCGTTCTCGACGTGCAGATGAATCGCATCGCGCCTGTTCCGCCATAGACGCCGCGCGTTCCCATCACCACCAAGTGCCGTCCGTAGGCCCGAGGCTCAAGTAATTGCCGGGGATTCGGGCCAACAGCAACAGCCATGACAGGCTCGTCTCGGCAGGCGCTCTTGTGTCTTGTGCAGCAGAGAGCAGAGAGCCGCGACACGGGCTCGGTCGCGTCCAGAACATCACCGCCTCTCCAAACTCTATCTCAACTTCAACCATCTGCAGTGTTTAGCGGCTTAGCCCACGTGTTGCGGTCGAATTAGGTTGCGCGGGCTTGCGCTGCGCCGCTCATTGGCCCCTGCCCCGTGTTTGTTCTCGCTTCGCCGCCGGGAATAAGAAGAGCCACCATCGCAGCCATCGCTCTATCCGGCGGGTGCTTCCGTACATGCGAGATGGACCCGGACTCTATCTGACCAAGGGATGCCGGACCGTCGGCGCCCCAAATTCTCCTGCTCCCTCCGCCCTGGGGCTCATCCCGGGCGGATCGCTTTCCGTTTGGGCTGCCTCTTATCACTACTAGCCGGACACCATCAGAGATGCCGTCATGGTGCGCCTGGGGCGGTCCGCCACCTCGGCAGGCGGTTGCATCCTCCCAGGCCACCGGTTGCCGGTCGGGGTAGTTGGAGTAGCAGATCAGCCGCGCCCTACGCCTGGGAATAAGCACATGTTTTCAGACCGCTACCCGTTGCCCGCTACCGCTGCGGCACCAGTGACTTCTCCGCTCGGTGGGTCTCTTCTTGTTCCGTCCTACGGAAATGGCTCCATTTTCTTTTAACCCTGGGCCTCCTCGCCCTCGGTGACTCGTCGCCCCTCTGCTTCACCAGCCTTTCTCTCCCGCCTCTCCGTCCGTTGTTGAGGACTCAGCCAGCCGTGTTCCCCCCCGGCCAGTCATGGCGAGCCCCGAGATCGAGCTGCCTCGTTCGTCAGCCTCCGTCCTCGACTCCGGAAATGCCGCGGAAATAAGCGACCCTATAGCCTCGGACGCGGAAAAGGACGTGGACAAGACCTCTAGAAGGTCTACCTTGGACGGCACCTCAGAAACCCCCATCGTGTGGCACTATCTCACCTTCGAGACCGACCTACCCCACCCCTCGAGTCTGCAGCCCCCCTGTGCCGGTGCTGCGCCACCACCCGAGTGCCCGAACCTCAAGAAATATGGGAACCCCTTTGACTGGTCGCCTAAACGCAAGTCCATCATCCTCTGGTTGTCATGCATCGCCACCGCCATGACGGCCTACACCGCAGGCTCCTACAGCCCCGGCGTAGGCCAAATGTCCGAGGAGTGGCATGTGAGCCGCGTTGCTTGCCTCGTGGGCATCACCATCTTCACCTGCGGCTTTGCCGTCGCTCCCATGGCCCTGGCACCTTTCTCCGAGATCAACGGCCGGAAACCGGTCTTCTTGGCTTGCGGCATCCTCTTCGTCGTCTGCCAGCTATGCTGCGCCGTCACCCGACTCTATGGCGGAATGCTCATCGCCCGGTTCTTTGCAGGGATAGGTGCGTCGGCCCTCGATTACCCATTGATCTGCGTCTACATTGCGGGAGGAACATGCTAACGTTGACTAGGCGGAAGCACCTTCTCCACCATGGTCGGCGGCGTCGTCAGTGACATCTACCATGCCGCAGATCGCAACACTCCCATGGCCATGTTCTCTGGCGCTGCATTGCTCGGGACAGGGCTCGGGCCTCTAACATGCGGCTGGGTTGCAGAATATATAAACTGGCGGTGGATCTTCTACATCCAGACAATTGTTGACACGGTACTGATGGTTGTCGTGTGCATCTGTTTCAAGGAGACGCGTGGAAGCGTGTTGCTGAGCCGCAAGGCACAAGCACTGAACAAGTGGTATGAAGCACGAGAGGAAGCAGGCTACTTTAACTTCGACATGCCTTCGGAGCCGGGTGCACAGAAAATGGCATCCCAGCGCATCAGGTGGAAAGTCAAGTCAGACGAGGAACGCGCCGATTTGATGACCATGATCACCATCTCGCTGTACCGACCATTCCATCTTTTGCTTACCGAGCCAGTCGTCTTCTTCTTCTCGCTCTGGGTCTCATTCAGCTGGGCCATCCTCTACCTCACCCTTGGCGCCATTCCTCTGGTGTTTGAGGCTCGATACAACATGTCACTCGGCCAAGCCAACTCCATCTTCGCAGTCATGGTCGTGTTCGCCATCCTTGCTGTCCTGCTCAGCGTGTTCCAAGAAAACTGGGCGCGTCGCAACGGGAAGCTCGTAGACAACCCCGAGGGCCGCCTTTACTTTGCTTGCGTCGAGAGTGTGCTCATGCCCATCGGCCTTTTCATGTTCGGCTGGACGTGTGCCAGCTCCGTCCACTGGATAGTCCCAACCATTGCCATCGGCCTGGCCACGGTTGGCATCTTCACCATTTGTACGCCAGCACGCGGTCTTGCCGGCCATTTTCTTCACCCCACCAATCCGCTAACTCGGCTCGCAGACCTCGCTACGTTCAACTACCTTGCCGACGTCTACCACCGCTATGCGAGCTCCGCGCTTGCCGCACAATCTTTCTGCCGCAACATGCTGGGCGGCGCGTTTCCACTCATCACCGCCCAAATGTATCACAAACTGACCTTCGGCGGCGCATCCAGTCTGCTCGGCGGCATCGGCGCCGTGCTCACCATCGTGCCCTGGGTCCTTGTCTTTTACGGCCCACGCATCCGCCAGAGGAGCAAATTCGCGAGCGAGATCATGAAGAATTGAAGAACGAGCACGATAACGAACGGATAGAAAAAAGCATGGGTATAGTAATAATTTTAATGACGAGAACGGAAATGAAGGCTGGTGCGGCTGATCGCGGTGCTCCGTCTCGGGCACGAGAAACACGGGGCTGAGATGCCGAGCAGACGGGTTCCGGCCAGCCAGGGAAAGTCAGTGCACATCTCGGCTTGAGAGCTACATGATGACGAGGTGGCCGGGCACGACGAGTTTCATCATCATGAGACCGGGCTGGCCGCAATGCCTTGGCGGCTGATACGGAGCAGCACAAAGAAGTACCCATTGGCGCAGACAACCGGTAGTCGGTTCCTGCGACGCGATAGGCGACAAGTTGAGTGGCATCAAAATAGAAGAATAGACAGGCTCAATATCGAAGCGCAAGTGCACGATTGCTATTGACTGGAGCCAGCAGATTCGTTCCTTGGGGTTGTGTCTCGAAGCCTTGGACCCATCTATCAACACACTGCCTTTCCGGCCTTCAAACAGCCGGCCGGCCGCCTGACCCGGCCGGCGAGCCGTGTCCGTCTTTCTGGAACACGGCCAGTCAGCAAGCAAAGCGTAACCAAGACCCTTGACGGGGCTGGGTCCGTTTGCACGGCATGCGCATCTCCTCGTACCCGTCTGATGATTTGGCGAAGCAGCCAATTGAACATGCAGGGTTCGCGATGGCAGTAGTGCAGCGCGCCCAAATGATTTCGCTCCGGTAAGGCTTAGGGCGAGCAACGGCCAACTGTCAAAAGCCCACAGCCGGCCGTGGGCACGAAGGCGAACAGGGGTAAGCGAAGCAGCCTCGGCCCAGGGCCCCAGACCGAGCTCGTCCTCCGCCCGGACAGAGCTCCCCCTTCTGCCTGCGAGTCGCACGCCCTCTCCACTTCTCGCTTCTTGGGACCACCTCCTCTGCTCCCTTCTCCGCCCAGGCCAGACGTGCGCCCAGCAGTCGCGCCTGTGATTCGCATCAGAGCACAAGCCGTTCATTCGCCGCGCTCGCTTCTCCGGGCAGTTGTCTTGTCCTCGCTTGTTTTGCCCCAAAAAGAGCCCTTGTCCTCCCCAGCATCGGGGCCAGCTGATTGCTCGACGCGCTCGAACTCTTTAATTCAATCATCTCGCCTCCCTCCTCTTGCCTTTTTTTTTAACGGCCGACTGTTCTTTATAATTCCTCTTCTGTACCATGACTTGCTGCCTGCACCGCGACTGTTGCCTCTACTTTCCATACGTCCCATTATGATACTAGCAATATAATCTTTGTCCAACACTCCCAACCTCCAATCGCTTCTCCACCCCGCGTCCTTCACTCCGCCCTCGCCCTCCAAGAAGCCACATACCGATATCGTAGACAAACCAGCAAAGCGGCACGAACCACCTCAAACAATGCCACGTCCGTCCTCCCCAATCCAACTGCCTTCTTCTCCACCTCCACCTCCGCCCCCCCCCCCAGAAAAAAAATCACACCAGCCAGGAACCAAGAAACCCCCCAAAAAAAACCCCCCAAACCCAAACCCCAAACCCACAACAAACCCCCAAACCCTAATTAACAACCCCCACAGTCCCCCTCCTCGCCGCCACCGCCGCCGCCGCAACCGCCGCCGCAACAACCGCCTACCTCGACGCCCGCCTCGGCCTCGGCTACGACGTCGCCCTCCTGCGCGCCTACGGGCAAGCGGGATGGGCCGCCATGCGCGCGGAGCGGCGAGGCACCCTGTCTCCCTGGCACGAACTGCAAACCCTCGCGCGGTGCCCCGCGACGGCGGACGACGTGTTTCTCGTCGTTCCGGAACATCGGGGGGAGAACGACCACGATGCCAACGACGAGGATAAGGGTGATGAGAATAAGGGTGGCAAGAATAAAGACGACAGCAACATAACGCTCCACCGCCACACGTACGCGCAGATCCACGCGGCGGCGCTGCGGCTGGCGGCGCACCTGCGCGCGCGGCGGGGGGTGCGCGCGCGCGACGTCGTGGCCATCGACATGGGGAACGGGGCGCGGTTCGTCGTGGCGTGGTTCGCGGTGTGGGCGGCGGGCGCGGTGCCGGCGTTTATCAATACGCATCTGCGCGGGGCGGCGCTGCTGCATTGCTTGCGGGTTTCGACGGCGGGGGTGGTGTTGGTGGAGGGGGATGTGGATGGGGATGGAAAAGGGACTGGGGGGAAGTATGCGGAGGGGGGGGAGGTGGCGGTGGCGTTGGGGAGGGGGTGGGGGACGGGGGAGGAGGAGGGGGGCAGGGTGGTGGTGGAGGTGGTGGAGTTTGGGAGGGGGTTGGATGGGGTGTTGGAGGCGGAGGCGGGGAGGAAGGAGGGGGGTGGGGAGCGGGGGTGGGGAGCTGGGGGAGGAGGTGGAGGAGGGGGAGGAGAAGGACAAAAGCTGCATGATATGGGCATCCTGATCTACACGAGCGGGACGACGGGCTTGCCGAAGCCGGCGGTCGTGAGCTGGGCCAAGATGCGGGCGGCGGCGACGTTCGTGGCGAAGTGGCTGCCGTTGAAGAAGGGCGATGTGCTATACACGGTCAGTACATACATACATACCTCCACCATCCCCATCACCCCAAGATCCTCCGCACCCACCCACCACCAACCACACGGGGACTGACACGAAAGAAAACCACAGGCCATGCCCCTCTACCACACCTCCGCCTCCCTCCTCGCCCTCCTCTCCACCCTCACCGCCGGCACCACCCTCGCCCTCGCCCCCCGCTTCTCCGCCCGCCGGCTCATCCCCGACCTCCACGCCACGCGCGCCACGCACCTCCAATACGTCGGCGAAACGCTGCGCTACCTCCTCTCCACTCCCGCCAACCCCACCCTCGACGCCACGCACCGGTGCCACACCGTCTTCGGCAACGGCCTCCGGCCCGACGTCTGGCACCGCTTCACCGCGCGCTTCGGGGTGCGCACCGTCGCCGAGTTCTACGCCGCGACCGAGGGGCCGGGCGGCATGTGGAACAAGTCGCGCAACGCCTTCTCGGCGGGCGCCGTCGGCCGCAACGGCTGGCTGTCCGACGCGCTCGTGTGGGGCCGCTTCGCCGCGTGCGTCGCCGTCGACGCGGGGTCGGGCGCCGCGCGGCGCGATCCCGTGACGGGGCGTTGCGTGCGCGTGCGCGCCGGCGAGCCGGGGGAGCTGCTGTACAAGCTCGATCCGGACGACGTGTGTCGCCGGTTTCAGGGGTACTTCAACGACGAGCGCGCGTCGTCGGAGAAGGTGTTGAGGGATGTGTTTGAGGAAGGCGATGCGTGGTTCGCGACTGGCGATGTGTTGAGGAGGGATGAGAAGCGGTGCTGGTGGTTTGTCGATCGGCTGGGGGATACGTTTCGGTGGAAGAGCGAGAACGTGAGCACCGCCGAGGTCGCGGCCTTGCTGGGCGATGCGTGTCACGACGTCCTGCGCGAGGTGGTCGTGTACGGCGTGTTGGTGCCCGGTCAGGATGGGCGGGCGGGCTGCGCGGCGGTGGTGCTCAGAGGAGGAGAGGATGGCGGTTGTGACGATGAGGAGACGCGGCTGTCGCGGGTGGCCGAGGCTGCTGACAAGGTGCTGCCGAAGTATGCGGTGCCGCTGTTCGTCAGGGTGACGTCGGCGCTGGTGGTGACGGGCACGAATAAACCACAGAAGCACTTGCTGCAGAAAGATGGCATCGACCCGGATGTCGTGGAGGCCAAGGGGGATCGGATGTACTGGCTCAGGGATGGAAAGTATGAGAGACTTGGAAAGAAAGAGTACGAAAGAATACAGGGTGGTGGCGTGAAGCTTTGATAGAAGCTGGATTCATTGCCATGACGCGGGATTATAGAGGCGATACGGACCACCTAATGTATTTATGCAAGATCGATCTAATTGAGAGTACAGGCGAGGTAACGTTGGAATATCCAGAGCTGTCTCACAGACCCAGCAGTCAGTCTTGGAGTGTTGATGAACCCCGCCAGCCCTCGTCGGAAATATGATTGATATGGAACAGCCTCCACGTGGGTTGCCCGCATGTGATGAGGGGAGGTATTAGGCCGTATTTGACTTGTGTTGACTAGAATGGTTCAACGGGCAGCTCCTAGACTGCTTTCCGAACCCGGTTCAAGAGAGGAATGCGTCAGGGCTAATGTGACAACATATTTCAGCATCACGGCAGGCGAGAACACAATCTTGTGACTTGAAAACATTTTTCATTGACATAAAGACATAACCAAGGGGCCAGGACCAACGTCACCCCCAGAATTACATAAAAAGAAACCGTTCCGTCTATTGTTTTACTGATGCCGTGGCTTCGCCAGATACCATTGCACGTTTTACTCATCCCTCCATATTCGCGCGAAAAGCCCTCAGAATCGACCAGCCTCTACGCCGTAGTCAAATCGATCGGATATCAAAGTTTGCTGCTCACTTACGCATCCTGGTCAAGACCAAGATCCTCCTCGGCGGGGACGATGCGGAGAGTGTTGGTGTGGCCCATGCCGCCACGCCAGCCCTGGACGCAGACGACGGCGTCGCCACGGTTGAGAACGCCGAGCTTGATGGCGTTCATGATACCCCACTTCAGGCGGCGGTCGACGTCTTCTTGCCAGGCGGCAGTCTTGAAATCGGGCTTCTCCTCGTTGAAGTGGAAGGGATACACGCCACGGTACAGGTGAGAGTACTATGAAACACGTCAGATGTGGGAACATCAATCGAGGTGAGGACCAACATACCCTCGAAGCAGAATCGTTGCGGGTAACCATGATGATAGGGCAGACGGGGCGGTACTTGGCAATCAGACGAGCGGTGTTGCCGCTGTGGAACGAAGTTAGCAGAGCATCGAAAGTGCATTACAGTTGAGCTTACCTGGTGGTCAGGACAAGGATGGCACCGGCGTTCTGCTCAAGAGAAGCGCTGACAGCGGCCATGGCGCAGGTCTCGGTGGTCGGGACAGGGACGGGAGCAAGCTTCCTCAGCTCGTCAAAGGCGCTGACGTAGGGAATAGCAACCTCGGCGAGCAGGCAGGTCTCGTGCATCATCTTGACAGCCTCCTCAGGGTAGTTGCCCTTGGCAGTCTCGCCAGACAACATGACGCAGTCGGCACCGTCCAGCACGGCGTTACCAACGTCGCTGACCTCAGCACGGGTCGGGCGAGGGTTGTAGGTCATGGACTCGAGCATCTGGGTGGCGCAGACGACGGGCTTGCCAGCGATGTTGCACTTGGTGATCATCATCTTCTGGGCGATGAAGACCTGCGAGGGAGGGATCTCGATACCAAGGTCACCACGGGCAACCATGACACCGTCGGTCTCCTTGAGAATCTCGTCGAAGTTGTTGACACCCTGCTGGTTCTCGATCTTGGCAATGATCTGGATCTCCTTGCCGTCCTCGCCGAGGACCTCACGGATGGCCTTGATGTCGCTGCCGCGGCGAATGAACGAGGCAAAGACCATGTCGACGCCGTTCTTGACACCGAACCTCAGATCGGCCTTGTCCTTCTCAGAGAGGGCGGGAAGGTCGATGTCGGTCTTGGGAAGGTTCACGCCCTTCTTGGAGGAGATCTTGCCGTTGTTCTCGCACTTGCACCTCAGGTTCTTGTCGTCGATGATCTCGAGGACGGTGAACGACAGGATACCGTCGTCGACGTAGATGGTGCGGCCGACCTCAATGACCTTGGTGATGTTCTTGTAGTCGACGTACCTGTTGCACACAGTGTTAGACTGGCCTTTGCCGACGCGTGTGCGGGGACTCTTACATCTTCTTGTTGTCCGACTTGGTGGCATACTCGTCCTCGGTGGTGACGATGATCTCATCGCCGGCGCCGATGGGGAGGTCCTGGTCGCCAACAGTGTTGCCGGTACGGATCTCAGGGCCTTTCTGTAAATCGCAGCCAGGTCAGCCAAGGTAACACAGTGTGCGACGAGCCGGAGTTCGTACGGTGTCAAGGGCAATGGCCAGGGGACGGCCAGCCTGGGTGGCCGCAGCCTCGCGGGCGTGGTCGATCACAGACTGGTGGTACTGAAGAAGCTGTCAGTCAAGGCCTGCGGAAGCCAGTTGACAGGATGGTCAAACCTCGTACGAGCCGTGGGAGAAGTTCATGCGGACAATGTTCAGGCCAGCTGCGAGCTGTCAGCAGAGTCACGGAGGCGGCGGGGTAATTGCGGACGCACCCCTGCGGAGCATGTTGATCTTCTCGGCGGAGTTGGTCTTGGGGCCTGGATTGAGGTAAAGTCAGCACGGAGAAGCGCATGGCGAGAGTCGGGCGCTGGGAGGGCTTACCAATGGTGCCGATGATGGAGGTGCGGCGGTAGTTCTTGGCCGGGCGGTACTCAGTGTTGAGCTGCGACAACCACTCGGTGCGCGTGCGGCCAGAGGCCAGGTGGTCGAGGGCGTTGGCCATGACTGCTGAGGGACGCGAGAGCGTAAGAGGTACTGGGCGGGTGGGAGGTCTGGTGTTGGGGGAAGAGGATGTCAGAGCGGAAGTTGCGGCGGCGGCGCAGAAGAAATATGCTGAGGGGGGGAGCTCCGCGTCGGAGGTGGGCGCGCGGCGACGGAACGGCGGCGGGCCAACAAAACTCACCGGAGAAAGCGGATTTTGCACGAAGCTGGCGAAACGGGGCTTCGGGCGTGCAGTGAGGGCTGGGCGATGTGTCGTGAGCTGCGTGAAGAGGCGAGTGAGGCAGATTTGAGGCCGCGCAGGCAGACAGGCAGGCAATTTATTTTTTTGTTGACCACCTTTGGCCAGCCGCCTGTTGGCCGTCGGACTGCAAGCTCCAACGACCCCACCATCCCGCTACGTCTACTGATTGAGTAAGTGGGCAGAGCTCATCCGCCGCGCCCTGGCGTTACACACCGAAACTCGATAAGACGGCCCTTTTGGCAGCCAATCGCAGGCCGCCTGCCAGCGTCGCCCAGCGCGCACGCCTGCCCGCGCACGCCTGTCAGTCGCTGCAGCTGAAGCGCTGAGGCTCTTGGCTGTCGCAGCGGTGCAGTCCGCCTCTGCTTTGAACGGACCTCCGCCGCGCACGTGCGCCCTGCCGCCAGCCTCGCCCCGTCAGGCACCCGTTGCAGCCGACACCCGCGAGTCGCCTGCACATCACGCCTCGCTGATCAGCCGCCGACGCAGGCCAAAACACCAGCACAAAGCCGCTCTCGACCGCTGCGAGAACCTTGCGCTACCCGCCTCACCTCCGTGCAATAACCTCAGGCTCCACGCACACATCCTCCCGTCGCCACCATGGTCGTAAGTCGCTCAACTCCCGTCACTCCACCGGCTGATATGACGCTCCGCCTTGCTCACCACCATCACATCAGTTCGGACGACTGACCCACTACGCCTTCGACGCCGTCCTCTGTGCGCATCCCCCTACCGCCCGTTACCGGCCCTTCATTACTCTCTAACCGTGCAAACTAGTTTCTGCCTTCCTGGCTGGCGTCAAGCGCTCCACCGGCCTCACGTATGCCTTCCATCCCTTCCCGCCCGCCCTCGCCTGACAGTCCGAGCATTGTCCGCACAACCCCTTCACCCCTTCCGCCTCTCGCTTTCCGCACAACCACCGCAACCTGCAGCGTCGACGTGCAGGCAGACCGTGGCTAACGTTTGCCCGCTTCTTCCGGGGTCTCGCAGGCCTAGTGTCAAATCCGAGACCATTAGCGAGTCAGAGAATGTGAAGAAGTGGCTTGACAACTACCTGTGGGTTGGCGAGGTCGTCATGGACCAGGGCGTTGCCCTCATGAGCTCCTCCGGTTACTTCGAGCGCAAGCGGTAAACGACCTATCCCGGCCATCCAGCCGTCCTTGGCGAACGCGCATACGAGAAGGATACTTTGGAGTGAGAGGATCGAGCCATGTACATGTTCAAGGCCACAACCGCTCTTGACACGCTGGGCGTCATGTGCAGCCGCGGAGCGCCAGATGGCGAAAGCTTTACTCTTGCGGGAATACTATGGAGATGGGGTGGGGGCGTTCTAGGCGACTATACCTCTCAACGGTTCTTTGTGGAAATTCCAAGCAATGCATGGACAAATTCATATGTCAAACCGGCCGTCGATTTCCAAAAGGCCCATATGCATCTACGTTACTGCTAATGCGAGCCAGATCGAGGTTGTCGTGCTTTCGCATGATGTTCCACCCTGTCGCTCTTCAGGTCAGGCGACCGCAATTCGTATTTTTTCTACCTTTGTCGAAAAACCCAACAAGGTCTCAAATCTCGATACCTGCGGTGAAGACTCTGCCATCCGTGCTGATATCACGATCCTTCATGACGCTTCCACTGGATTGGACCTTGGGGATTATGGATGCCATTTGGGGTGCAGCGACCAGTGGAGAGCTTGACAAAAATCTTCAGCCCATCGTCCTCGGGAACGATAGGCGGAGTACTATATTACGAACATGACCACGGAGAAGCTTGGATGATTACTCTGGCCTCCTCTATAGACCAAAGGATGAAAGAGCTTGGTGATGTCGAGAACAAGCTGGTGAACGCTGTGCTGCTGCGCTATCCGGCCTTTTTGCTCGACCATCGAAATCGACAGCTCACATCGGCCACGTCTCTGTGGTGGAAAATGGACCTGCGGCCCGGAAAGAAGATGTACGAGGCGAAGCGATGATGAAGTCTAGGAGTCAATCCGTGAGCGGAACAGACCCAAAGCGCGCTCTTTAAAGAGCGTCGAATATCCAATCTACCAGCGATTATTCTTTCGAACGACACCACCATGGTATCGGAAAACAGTCAATATCCCCTCCCATTAATCCTCGGAGGTCAGATAGGAACCTTTGGGTTTATTGTATTAACGAATGCAGCCATGCGAGCCAGCTTACCAAGCAAGATGACATACCCCGCATAACGCTGACGTCCACATCTCCACGGGAAATCATAACAAAAGACCATATATATATACAACTCGTACCAACCCAAGCAACCTCATTCCTAACTCCAACATCTCACACCGCAAAAAGCCCCGATCGCCCAGCCCCCCCATCCCGCACAGCAACAACACCAGCGATCCACCACCCCCACGCGATGCCCTCCCCCCAACTCACCGGCGACCCCAACCGGCACCCACCCTCGACCTTTTCCTCGGGCCTCTCGGGCCACTGCCTCTGCGGCAGCGTGCACGTCACCATCCGCGACGCGGAGCTCTTCACCCGGCGCCGCGGCCACCTCTGCCACTGCGCCAACTGCCGCAAGGTGGCGGGCAGCTACGTCGCGGCGAACCTGCTGATCGAGGAGGACAGGGTGGCGGTCGAGGACCGCGACGGCACGCTCAAGGAGTTTGTGGACGCGGAGACGGGGAGCGGCGAGCCGTTGGGGAGGTGGTTTTGTGGAAGGTGCGGGTGGTGAGTGTGTCCTTTTTCTTTTTCTTTTTCTTTGTCTTTGTCTTTTTTCTTTTTTATGTTTTCTGGGGTTTGGAAGGCAGGTTGTGGTGGTGGTTCTTGTCAGATGTTCCGGGGGGTTTTTGTCTTTCTTTTGCTGATGGTCGTTGCTTATTGCTTGAATAGTCCGATAAGGTCCGTTGTTCCGTCTCGTAAGGGAATGGTTATACTTAAGATGGGGATTTTCCCCCGGATCCCGGCGCCCGAGTGTGAGAGTTTTGCGTTGCATCGACATGACTGGCAAGGTGTGCATGAGGGCGTGGAGCAATATAAGATCAAGCTCTTCGATGAGAAGTTGTAGTTGGGGTGCTGTACTTTTGACAGGTAGGCGTTCGACTGAGAATAAGACCTTGATCATTCGAACTCGATTAAGAATCTGCGAATTACAGACTGCGGAGAGGTCTCTGGCGGAGTCAGGCAGATGCTGTGCGCGACGACTATCCGGGCACTGACTGGACCATATCGGCATTTGCCGACTTGGTCTGAAAACACGACGACTACGTTCATTGGGCATACCCAAACAGCATCTCCTCGCACCAACGGACTATGGATCTATCTACACCACTATCAGCCTGTATATTCGTACAGAAACAGTACAGTCAATTTTATCGGAGGGCAGCTGTTACTTTTCCCTTCAGTGATCAAAAAAGATGAATTGGATAAGATCGAAAAAACAAAACGGGGTATCGTAGTTAATTACACATATTTCCTTCACTTTCCCTCTTCTTCTCCCTCACCGCCATCCCCAACCTATTCCCTCCATCATCCTCCTCTTTTGGAGTACTCCTCCTCTCTTGCTCCCTTTTTCCTTCTTCTTCTTCTTCCCCTTCCCCCCACCTACCCTACCCTCCTCACCACCCCCCTCGCCGCCATCACCCGCACAACACGACGAAACCCGCGTCTGACACCCAAACGCCGCGCCGTCACCCCTCCCCCTCGGATCAAGATCCAAACATTCTCGCCTCTGCCCTTCTTGTTCTGTCTGCTGTCGCTGCGGCCGGCCATCAGAAAAGCGGTGGCGGTCGAGCGAGACCATTTCGAAAGACTGGCGGCAGGTGATCTGGAGCGGCGAGTGGTGCGGCGCTGCCAGCGGCAGTCGTGGGGTGGTGTTGTAGGCCGTGGCGCGTTCGACGTCGCTGCTGCCGCCGCCGCCCTCCTCCTCGTCGGCGATGCGGGTGTGGCGGCCGCCTGTAGCTGGGGGTGTGATGAAGGAGGTCTCGTCTCCGTGATTGTCGTGTTTGTTGTCGACGGTGGTGGTGGTTGTATGGTCTTCTGTGATGTGCGGATGCTCGGTTGCGGCGTTGCGGCTGAAGGACGGCGGCGGTGGCCGGAAATTGACACCGATTTCTTTATTGAGCGTGCTGCTGTTGTCGGTCGTGGAGTGGTTTGATGCTGGATTGTTGTTGTTCGCAGCGTCATCGTCCTTGCCGAACTTCTGGTACGATCCGTTTCCGCGGCTGTAGCGAGAGCTCTGGAGCGTGTTGCTACCGCCACTAGCACTGCTGCGTGAGATAAGGCTCGAGATGCGGCTGCTGACGTCAAAGAAAGCGGGGACGACACAGCGCTTGATGAACGGACGCAGGGCCGGCATGCACGCGCAAATCTTTTGGCAACGAGATAGGTAAGTCAGCTTGGCGGCGGGAAACTTCCGTCCGAGGGAGGACATACCACGCCCAGGTTGATCTCGACGGCGGCAGCGATCCACAAGGGAAAGGTGTACCAGGTTTCGTCGTAGCTTGCGATCAAGCCTTTCCAGATGTAGTAGGTGCGGACGATGCCGGCGACGACGACGACGAGGCCCAGACTCAGCAGGACCATGACGCCCATACGCTGCTGAAGTGGCATTTGTAGCTTTTTAACGAGCGGAATGGGTAGTGTGGTGACGACGAGGTCTATGACACAGTTGACGATGCCGATACCGAGCACTGTCCTGCCCTCGTCGATGCAGTAGGCTCCGGCCGGCGGAGACAAGGTCCAGTAGGCGCTGATGGGACTGAAAGTCGATGGCATTAGCGGAGGTGGCTTTCCGAGAAAGCGGAGAAAACTCACTTGCATTGCCAAACACCGAGACAAGTGAAAGTGATAGCGGCTACTACGTTAAAAAAGATGGTTACGTTCAGAGCCCAGCCAAACCAAGTGATAGACGAGTCGGCGACAAGGCGATAGTAAAAGCATAGTAGCGATTGGCGGGTAAAGGTGGAGGCGTAAACGAAGATAAGCTTCGCGGAGAAGGCGACTTTGAGCACGCCTGCGACAGATTAGTAGAGTGCCGGCTCGGAGGTCAGTGAGGCACGCACCGGTAAACGCGGTGATGGGGACGTCCCATATATGGCGGTCCCAATAGAAATGCCTGTTGGCGATGATTACATTAACAGTCAATCCGACGGTTGAAATCTGGCAGGAGTCAGCGCTGGCACTCATGGCGAGTAGGGATCAAGCTCACATAGGCTAATATTATGAAGATATCGTCCGAGCCGAACCACCTTTTGATGAAGAGACGCGTGTACAAGCGCAGGAAGAGCAGAAGAGTACATAGGGATATAAGCACGACGTTGACTATGATCAAGGCCGGGCCCCTGGTAACAGGATCGACGTAGTTGGGCTGTGGCCAGGTGAACAGGACGGACAGAGGGATGTCGCGGACCATGTTTGCATGCTGGGTGACGAAACAAGAGGTGGACCGGTGTGGTTATGAGAGGGCAGAGACGAACAAGAGATAGGTCAGCACTCGGGAAGTGAGCAGCTAGCGGCGGACATTGTTGTGGTTGAGCCCAAGGGCCAGCCTACCACGCGATGGTGCGACTACAGAGGCCGTGGCAACATCGCACAAGGCAATGCAAGGACATGCATGTTTGCGTACAGCCATGCCAAAGATGGAACTGGGCCGAAGTCGTGCAGCAGGCCGAGCGTGCTGAACTGGCCGGCGGGCGGCGCTGTCAGAGACGGGCGGCGCTGGAGAGAGGTGACGGACTGGGGGGAAGCTGCGTGTGTACGACAGGAGAGTGGGGCCAGCGTACATGACGGCGGGAGAGGCAGCCCTCGATTGGGCGGCGTGGTGATGCGCAGCCGGGGTGGCGGGAAGGCGACAGGGGAGCCAAGAGCCACGCGTGCAACCACAACAGTTCCCAATAAACCGCCCTGCCGGTCCTGTGCCTCGCCCGCCATGCTTCAGAGCAACACAGGACCGCTCCCCCGTCACTCCCGCCATCCGCACTAACGACCGCTATCGAAAGCTTCAAGGCTTCGGATGATTTCAGAAGGCCCGATGGCGCAACAAAATAGTCTCGTACTTACTCTTCACACCAGTCTTGCCTACACCTTTTCCAATCCGAACCGTACCCAGCCAGCCCTCCAACTTCAGACAACACCTTGTCAGCGCGCTTGAGCTTGAACACCTCTTTGACTCCTCAAACCTAATTAAACTAGTCCCGTAGAAACTACTACTTCAATCCATCGCATCACGGATGAAGTCCGCATTATTCAGTCTCCTCTCACCCCTTCCACGGCCCCGCCCCCGACCTCGGCTTCCTCTCGCGCCGCTCGCGCCTTTCCGCGCTTTCTTCTTCGTCGGCTCCTCTTCATACGCCGCATCGCCATCCGCTTCCTCCTCCTCCTGCTCCTCGAAATCGCCACCGTGCTCATCCCCATCGTCTTCATCATCCTCAACCACAGTAGTCTTCTTCCTCTTCGCCCCCTTCCCCTTCCGCATTGTCCTCTCCGCGCTCGCCCGGCCCCGCCCTTCCTGCTCGCCAGAAGCTGTCCCCGTCCCCGTCCCCGTCCCAGTCCCAGCCTCAGCCTCAGCATCGGCATCACCACCCCCACCCCCAGCAGCCGCCCCCTCCCCTCTCGCCTTCGCACCAATCCCCCTCAACGCGTTGACCAACCGCCCGCTCCCCCTCCCCCTTCTCCCACCACCACCACCCCCCTCATCCACCACCCTCGGCGCCCACGCCCCCGCCCCCACTACGCTCCCCTTCTCCAAAAACGCCGTGATATTGCTCTGCGTGCCCTCCCTCTCTCTGGTATTCATGTCCCTAATAACCGGGACAAGCACCTCGTCCGTCCTCTCACTGCTCCACCCAATCGTGCTCATCAAAAACCCGCGCAGCGCATCGAGATCGGGCACGCCCCACGCGAAGGCGGTAGCATCCGAATCGACCTCTGGCCTGCGATACGCCTCCTCGACGCGCGGGTCCGGGAACGGGTGGGGCAAGAACAGCTTCGTGGCGTAGCGCTTCCGGAACTTGCGACGAAACGGGACGGCGGCGTCGGCGTCGCGCGGGCGCGCGCCCGACTGGACGTCGCGCCACCAGTCGCGGAAGGCGGCGAGGCCGCCAAACTCGTCGAGGATCTCGACGGCGGTGACGGGGCCGACGCCGGGGACGCCCTCGGCGTAGTCGCTGCCGAGCAGCTGCGCGGCGGCGATGAGCCGCTCGCGGCCGAGCCCGAACTCGGCCTCGAGGTCGTGCGCGAGGTAGCACTCGACGAACTTGGCCTGGTTGAACATGTTCTTGTACACGCGCGTGCCGCCGAAGAGGAAGACGTCGCTGTCGTCGGTGACGATGCCGTCGACGAGGCCGAGGCGGACGAGCTCCGCGCACTGCGCCTCCGCTTCCATGGGCGCCGTGATGTACGGCAGGCCGAAGAGGGAGAGGAGCTGCTGGCACTCGGCGACCATTGTGGCTGTCACTTCGTCGGCGTCGCGGCGGTCTTTTTTCTGTTGGTTGCGGAGCGCTTTGAGTTCGCGCTCGTAGTCGAGGGCGTTGGCGGCTTGGGACTTGTGGTTGAGGGTCGAGGCGAAGCGCGCATGCTCCGAGGCTTCGTCGGCGAGCTGGCGGAAGAGCTCTTCATCTTCTGGGTCCGAGTAGATGGACGCGTTGTCGTCCGGTTGGTCGTCGTCGAGCATCTCTTGGTCCGCGGGAGCGGGTTCCCCTTCTAGTAGGTCGGCGAGCGGTGGCGATGCCCTGACTGTCTGCGAGGGAGCCGTCTCCGTGTTGATGACCGTCTCGAACTCTGGCGAGGTAGATCTCGATCTCGAGGGCACAGCCTCGCCGCCAATTGGTTGTGGATTTGTTTCGTGCTCTCCTCTTCCCTTTAGGGCCTTTTTCGTTGGTCGCTCACTATCGCTCTCCGACCACTCTATAGGCTCTTCCTCAGACTCAAATGCCTTCTCCTCGGCTTGTGGGGAATTGTCGGTTCCAATAGTCGTATGCAGCTCTTCTCTTCTCGGCGGAACTAAAGCTTCTGTCGTGGATGATGGCCCTTGTGGTGGTTCAGCCCTCACCTTATCCGTGAGATCCCCCATTTTAACCCCATGGTCGACGGGCATCACGTCTTCCATCTCCAAGTCCTCTTCGTCTTCCGAAGACTGGATATCAACGACCACCTTCTCCTTCGGCGTTGTTGCCTCAAGGTCAATGACTTCGTTTGTACTGTGCTTCATCAACTTCGGCAATTGTTGAAACTCAAATTTCTTCCCCAATTCCTCCCGATCCCGCTCCCTCTGCACCGCATCCAATCTCCTCTGCTCAGCGAAATCCTCCCTCACATCCCGGTTTTCAGCCAGCCATGGAGGAAGCGGCTTCGCTTTCTTTTTCTCGTCATCAGACCGCTCGAACCCACCAGCTTGTTCTTCCTGAAGCTTCTCCATCTTCTTCTTTCCCAGCAGTGAACTGCCCAGATTGAGTCTCTCGAACGGCAACGGCCCCTTGAAACCAGATGTGTTGGAGGATGGTTGGCCAGTGGGCTGCGTTGATGCTGTAGACTTCGCTGGTGCCGCTGGCTTGTGGGACTGTTCGGGGCGAGCCGGTTTATGTTTCGACTTCCGTGACTCAGCGAGCGCTGCTTGGAGATCGATGTCGTCCTCGCTATCACTTTCGGCGACCGGCTTGGCTATCCTGGCGCTCCGATTGTTCGCCATGCGCGCGATAGCGAGACCTTTGCCCTTAGTGAACGGTTTAGCTTCCTCTGCTCGTTGCTGCGCGAAAACTTCAAGAAAATCGTCCTCGTCGTCTTCTTCTGCTTGCGCTTCCCGTTCAGCAGGCTCGTTATCTTGCTGGAGGGACATGGCAATGGCTCGCTGGAGCTCCTCATCGTCTTCGTCTGCACCCTCGTTTGCCTGCTCAAGTGCGTCGGCGTCATGATCAATATCAACGTTCTCCCACTCTTCCTCGCCATCCGAGGCTCCCACGAAAAGTGAGTCTGGATCGTCATTCCGAGGCTTGCGTCGCCTCGTAGCGCCACTCTTTCGAGACTGATAAAAATCTTGGCGTCGCTTGAGTAGATCCGCTGCTAGATTGTCGTTGGCAGCAGGCTGTTTCCTGGGCAATCGATTGAGGCCCTCGATGGGCACGTCTTCAAAGTCGTCTCCATCCTCCCAGTCGTCTTCGTCCTCCTCTTCTTCTTTGGGAGGACTCCTGTCGACATCGATAGGTTTGTCGAATCTACCTTCGTCCTTATCCACGACCCCCAAGGCCCATCCGCCTTCAACGCCTTCATTCTTGATCAGCACGTATTCTCTGTTCTTCTCACCGGCGATTCTGCCGCCCGCGTTCATGCCGTACAGCGTATCGCCGTTATTGATATTCATCAACCGCTGCGTAAGCTCATTCCTCTCCGTCACGCGCTCAATCTGAAACTTCGAGAAAGCCATGCGATCCTGGAACATGCTGTCGAGCTGATCCTTCGAATACCCCATGCGAAGCCGACTCCGCAGCCTCGCCGCATTCAGGATATTATACCGATCGGTCGCGGGCAAGCTCAAGAAAAACGGGCTGTCGAAGTCGATCTTCGAGAAGTCGTACACGTTGATGTCCTCGCCCTGCTCGAACTGGCGCGCGTAGTCCTCGAGCTCCTCGAGCGACATGATGCGCGGGTCGTTCGGCGCGCCCATCTGCGCCAGCGACACGTCCAGCTCGGGCAGATGGTACGCGTCCTTCTTCTTGAACCCGCCCCGGCCCTGCCGCCGCTCCCTCTCCGTCATCGTCACTTCCTCCGCATACACCACGTCATCCGGAATCCTCTCTTCCACCTCCTCCTCGCCCTCCTCCTCTCTCCCTCCCCTCCCCCTCCCCCGCGCCTTCTTCCTCCTGTCCTCCTCCTCCTCCGCCCTCCTCTGCATCTGCACCGCCAACATCTTCCCCGCCGTCCTCGCCGCGTCCTCCCTGCGCCCCTCGCGCCTCTGCCGCCTCGCGCTGACCGTCTGCCGCTTCAGCGGCGGCGCGCCGCCGTCGAAGACGAAGACGGGCCGCACGCCGACGAAGAGCAGCTTGCAGATGCGGCGGAAGAAGCCGACGACGTGGCTGTTGCGCAGCGCGTTGCCCTCCTTGTCGCGCACGGCTTTGAGGAACTGGTAGATCCAGATGGAGGCGTCGACCGCGAGGCGCTTCTTGTTGAGCGTCTCGAGCTTGATGGGGCGCGCGCACGGCTGCACGACGGTCCAGAGGCCGGTGACGCCCATGGCTCGACGTTGGCGTTGGCGTTGGCGTTGGCGTTGGCGTTGCTTGAGTCTTTATATTGCGCGGTGGCGAGGAGGAGAATGACGGGTGTGTGGGCCATTGGGCGTCCTCCTGGAAGGAAGGGGTGTGGCGAGAGGGTTGTTTGGAGGAATGGAAGGCTGAGGGTTCAGTGTTTGTGGATGACGAGAGAGAGAGAGAGAGAGCGCGTCTGCCTGCGCGCCACGCGATGATGTAATCGACAAGGGAACGTGGTCATGTGACATCTAGGTTCAGCTTAAATCAAGCAGGCGTCTGATTGGTCACGAAGATTGCTGCCATCGTAGCAGGTCTTCGACAATGGATTGAATCGCCGCTTCTGCTAGAAGTGAAAGATTATATTTAGGTGGACTTGTGAAACCTCAGAACCCTATATCTACGCATAGTTCCTGCTCCATACACCTGCGCAGGAAGAAACCATTTTTCTTCGAGAGTAGATATTACATAGCTCAATGGAACTAAAAATTGGAAGAGAAGCGCGAACATAGAACCCTAAAGTGTGTTTTCCTGAAATTGAATCATTTGATAATTATCATATCGGTTTTTGTGCAAGTGAAGAGTTAAACGTACCCATCTCCCATCTCCAATGATATTACACCTTCGCCTTCCTGGCTCTCTTCCTCGCCCTTCCATCTTCCTCGCTGTCAAAATACTGGTCGTAGTCTCCGTCACTCTCCCTATCTTCCTGGACCTCGTCGTCCAGGACATCGTTCAACTCTTCCCAAGTCTTCTGCTTCTCCAGCGCACTAAGCCTCGGCCGCTTTCCTTTAGCCGCCCAGGTATAGCGACTGATGGTGCTCGAGCCCCTGAGAGGTGTCTCGCCTACCCTCGAGCGACCCTCGTCAACCGCCTTCCGGCCCGGACCGGGCTTCCTGGTCTTGAGAGCCTTGCCGTTCGACGGCCCAGCCTTGGTGTTGGCCGCCGCCGCCGCCGCCAAAAACTCGCTGTCTGACGACCGAGACGAGTTTGCAACCTTGCCTTTCCCCTTCGTGCCCTTCTTTGTCTTGACTGCGTATGCAGAGCCGGCGGGCTTCGCCTGGCCCTTCTCCCAGAAGTGCTTCGTGACCTCCTCGGGGTAGTTGTAGTTGAAGAACATTTCTTCTCCAGGCTCCAGGTCCTTGTTCGCGAACAGACCGATACGGACGACCGTGTTGCAAAGCATCACCCGAGGTTCACAATTTGGCGCTTTTGCTGAGTTATTGATGAAACGGAGCTTGTTGCCTGCTCTTGTACTGTCGACCTCCTGGGCTGCAGTAAGTCAGCCAAGATTGTGGGAGGGAAAAGAAACCAATACCAATGACTTACCGCGGTTTAGGTCGAACAGGTAGTTCGTCTTGAGGTGCTGGTAGACGGCACCACGCCTCGAACCCTCTTCCTTTGTGACAACCTCGCCTTTGTATTCCCCAACAAAGTCGCCCGCGTTGAGCTTCTCGCCGGCGTACAATCCGAAGCCTTGGACTTCCGATTGGCCCAAAAGCGTGCGCCTGGGCACGTTGCGTTGGATGTTGACGTTGCCGCATTTCGAGCGATAGAGAGCATCATTGTACCTGTTGACTGGATCGAGAACCTCGGCAGCCCCGCAACTCGCGCAGAGATCTGGATCGCACTCTCTGTTCAACCCCCAGCAGTCACACGACTTGTTCTTGGCGCACGCAAGTCCTTCCTGAGCACAAGTGCAGCCCCTAAAGCGTCGCTTGCATGAAGGTGCACAAGCGCAAGTTTTCTCACACTGAATGCCGGCCTTGAAGCAGCTACACTTTGCCTCTGAGCAGTTGCCCTTGTGACTGCAGGGAAAGAACGGCGGCCTTTGTTCCATTATGTGCGTCTTCGTGTTTTTCCAATAGTTTATAGATCGTCGTATGAATGGTCCGTCCTCAGTGGGGTGGTCGCGAGGTTGAGCATTGACGTGCTTCTTGAAGTTGATAAGAGAAGCTTCAGAAGAAACAGAAGATCTCCGAAGACGATCTGACCTGGAGCCACTAAGTGCTCTTCCGGTAGAGTCAGAACTCTCATGGGTAGCATCTGACTCCTCGCTGTCTGAGCGGTAGCCTGGTTCAACTTGTTCCAAGATCGCGCCGTGGAAAGGGCAGTTGTGCAGATGGCAGACGCGGCATGCAAAGTCCCGGTAGGAGAAATCGGAATAGCCACCAGCATCTTCAAGCTGGGGGCGGCTTCTAGAGTCCATTGGCTGAGCCAAAGGGGTCCTCCTTGCAATATGCCAGAAGCTGAATTTGAAGACTTCGGCCCACGCCGTACAGACCATAGCAGCCAAAGCGACTTGATTTGGTCTTGAAGGTGGAAGACTGTCGAAGATCCTTCTCCACTTCTTCTTTTCCCGATCGTATTCCTCGAGGATAAATTCTTTCCGTCGCTTCTCCAAGTATTGGGCATGCTGGGGTTCAACCGCCTCTTCCATTACCCGTTTTAACTCGTCCGGCGGCAGCAAAAAGTATCTCAAGACCACTTCAATCCCACAGCCAAATTCACCGAGAATCCTGTCAGCGTAAGAGCGAAGTTGCCAGCTCTTTTCAGCCTGGAGCAGTCTGCGTAGCCTGAGTTCGTCCGCAACGATGTTGTAGCGATTCTGCAGCTCGTCCCAGAGCGACTTCTTGGCGAGATCTTCGTCTTGGTTGTCATCGAAATAGGGGTATACCAGGAGTGTTCTATGGTTCTCGGCAAGAACGTTCTGCTTCAAGCTGACATAATTAGTGTATGGCGGGACTGGAAGTGTGTCGACGGCATAGAAATCGATAGGGTTGCTGATGGATGACCGAATTCCCTTGCTGCCGTGTGGAAACACCTCTTGGGACTTTTGATTCATCGGTCTAGTGTCCCCAGGTTTGACTGGTCCTCGAGTCTGAATCGGCGGTGCGTTTTTCCAAGGAAAGCCGTCTTGCTGGAACTTTTTTGGCACGATGCTCGGTCCTGAAATGAAGTCATTGGCGGGTACTCCGGCCATTTCGCTATCTGGAGAGCGATGGATTCTGCGAGCCCGGCCCAGACGGAACTGCGTTGTGTTAGAAATATAGGAATACTGGTGCGACTCAGTACGTGCCTTAGTGAAGTACTCGCGGTCCTCAGTAACCGCCTTCGCGCGCTCCCTGATCAATTTTCGCACGTCAAGCATTGATACATTTCCATTTACATCGATCAAGTCCCGGGCCAACTCCGAGTTGAGGTCCTCGCCTGAAGAAACGACTCTGGCAGAGTCGGACTTTAGATCGGAAGGCTCTGCGCTGCCTATGTCTCCGATGGTTTCCATGGCTGATGCTGCGGTCCGTCAGCACCATCCATCCGCATGGGTCCGATTTAGCATGCGAAAAATATACTTACGTGCTGACTGAGCAATTTCGGTGGTTTCTCTGCGTTCAGTTTCAGTTGGGTTATTTTGTAGTGGATTATCTAGAATGCCGTCGACCGTTTCTACGAGGCCCCTGTCTTGAGCTTCGGCACACTGATTGCGTGGCCGGAAGGAGTCTGAGATCGACGCGTTATCGCTGCGATTCTCGGCCTCGTCGACCTGTTGCTGAGCACTGGGGTCAAATGATGGCGCACGTGCAAGGCTTGCGGGGTTGCTTTGCTCAACCGCAGGCACGGGTGACATAGGCCGGCTACTGGTCGAGTCTTTGGAATGGGCTGCGTAGCTAGGCCCGGGAGGGTTCAAGGGTAAGAGGGAGTGTGGAAGAGGGTGCGGTGGCAGCAAAAGGGAGCTGTCGGTCTGCCGCGAAGTTAGACTTGTACGAGATGTTCTATCTGCCTGTAAGCCACTCACTTTCGAGGGGTGGCTTGGAGGAGTAGGGATTGGTGTAGGGGAATGCCGGGACTGCTGAACCCACTTAGCCCAGTCTTCTCCTTGAGATTATGCCGCCTTACCTCAGCTCTATGGCTTTCGATGATCTTTCTAGCCTCGTTGGTATCACCGAGTATAACGTATCCCGGGCTGCCGTCGGATGCGGCGGATCTTTTTTTTATTTGACCTTCAATCGATTCCTTTGCTGCCTCTAACGAGCAGCCACCCTGTGCAAGCTCATAAAAGTCGCACACAAGGTCGGCGTGGAATTGAGGCGGATTCAAGGACGTCACTTCCCATGGATAAACTCCCCAAATTACCTTGACTTTCTCGGCGAGTTGGCGCTGCAGAGACGTGAGGTGCTCGATTGGGCTAGGCTCGCGGTTCGAGACTGGAGCCGGTGGAGGGTCTTTCCTCACGTGCTCGCGTGAGTGTCCAGATGGATGCGCGTGCGTGTTGGCTGGTGTCGACTTTTCCTCGTCTATCAACAGGTCATCATCGCGGTTGTCCTTGGCGGCGGCGTCGTCGTCATCATCATCGTCGCTAATTACTTGCGGGCGCGCAGGCGAAAAGCCATCTTGGGGCGGTGGTGGGCGGGTGCTAGAAGCTGCGGCGCCCCATTGACGCTGTCCGTACGGGTTTCCTGGCCGATGCGCAATTCTTCCTGGAAACATGGGTGGGCTGTCCGAGTTTAGCGCAGCTGGCGGAGCTTTAGCCGACACGCGAGTAAGCTTGGGCGCGGCGCCAGCGTCACCTGAGACTGGGGCACGGGGCTCGCTGCTGCCTCCAGCCGTCGTTCTTGGAGTTCGCGCGCTGGTGTTTTGATTCCGCGGTCGCGAGTCAGCCCGCGCTTCATTGGCCGACGCCAAACTTGCCGAACCGGGCCGCCCAGCCACAGCGCCCGTGTCTCTGTCATCGTTCCCCGTCAGGTCAATTGTTGCGGAGTCCTGCCCACATGCTGACCCCGGCGGTCGTCTTTCGACATAGCCAATCCTATGCCTAATCACTGTGTTCCGCGCTGGACGCTGTGCTTGCGCGTCATCGCCCGGGCCAACCACCTCAACACAGCTGTCCTCGTCATCCGACACCAAGTCGATGACGGCCGCTGTGGGCATTGTGGATGGTGACTTCGCTGTGAGGTTAGCTAAGTGATGGTCAAGGCTCAAGCTGGCTTGTCCAGCAGTGAGTGTGAGGGCTTCGGTGGCGTAAGTAGTGTCACGACTGGACAGAACTTTGGCGAGGTGCAATCAGGTCACTAAAATATCTGTTTGCAGATGAAGCTGGAGGTTTGTGTTTGACATAGATGGCGAGGGAAGTGCAAACGGACATGCGACAGGGTAAGTGTAGAATCCGGCAAGAGCCCCGACTCTGCGCTCCTCCCCGTCCCGTGCAACAATCGCCATGCATAAATCAAGAATCTTTCCTTGGAACCATTCCCAACCGCAAAGCAACGTGACAACATGGAAGCACACCGGTCCCCAGTGCCCGCGAGCAATAGCACCCAGCAGTGCACTCGTCAATGTGTTTGAGATTCGCGCATCGTGGCGCTTGTTTTTATGCCGATTCAAATCGATTCGGAGGATATCTAAGCCGATTCCCTCATCGCACCAAAGCCTGCGTCAGTACCCGGGATATTCCACCGTTGCCATGTGCAAATGAGTTCGGATAGTGACACCATGTCGTCGTGCAAGAGTTTTTGATCTACCCAGCTTAGGCTACATTCCCCTTTACGTAGCTCAAAGCCTTTTTGTCCCATGAAGAAATGCAACCCGATTCGACCGCTTAGAACTTGTTGAACTTCTTGACGGCCTTGCCAGTGCGGGGAAGCACGCGGAGGACGTTGAAGCGGACCTGTTGATCGCTGTCAGCTTCTTCTGCAGGAAATGCGCGACTGTGCGTGCGGCGTCTTGTGTCGAGTATCGCGGCCACGACGGAGGACGTACGGTCTTGCTGAGAGGCCTGCACTGGCCAACGGTGACCTGGTCACCGTCCTCGACACGGAAAGCCGGCGAGACGTGGGCAGCCAGGTTCTTGTGCCTCTTCTCGTAACGAGAGTACTTGGGGATGAAGTGGAGGTACTCGCGGCGGATGATCAGGGTACGGTGCATCTTGGTGGAGACGACAGTGCCGGTGAGGATACGACCACGGATGGAGACGAGACCAGTGAAGGGGCACTTCTTGTCTGTAGTCTTTCAGTCAGCATTGCTCCCCGATACAAGCCGGCGTGTGGTTTTGCGAGCGCGTTTTCGAGCCGCCTCGTGTGCCGTAATGTGTGTCGCTTTCGCGAATCCGCCTCTTGGAGCTCTGCTCTGATGCACACAGCCGCGCCTGTCTGGAGATCCCACATACCGATGTAGGAGCCCTCAATGGCGGTCTTGGGCGTCCTGAAGCCCAGACCGACGTCCTTGTACCATCTCCTGCCACCCTTGCCGACGCGGTTGTTCTTCGACTTGGAGACGAGGTTGATGTGAGGCTGCTTCTGGAAAGCGCGCTCGCTCTGGACGGTAAGCTCGGTCGCCATGGCTGTTGCGGCGGGTTGTCTCGTCGGGGAGGATGGGTGGTGAACGAGGTCGTCGGTGTCGAAAAAAGGTCGTCGGCTTCCGCGTAGTTGCTATTCGAATTCTCGCCGATGTGGGTGGCGCGCACGGGCCTTCGCTTAGGCAGTGACTAAGCGGGCCGGACCCTCTCCCGATGGGGAAGCAGCAAAACACGCGGGAACAACAAAGCGACGTCAAGCTGCACCCGCGACACCACCGCCCCCGCTTACCGAATCACGACCACGACGCCGCTCCGCGGACCGTTGCCGCGCCCCGCCGCTCTGAGCAGCAGCAATGTCCGCCGTGCATGACAAAGAGAACATTGCGGAGGGGCTTTCCGTAGCCTCCCCCGCCAAGTCTGCCGCGCTGTCGCCGAAGAAGTCTGGCGGCCGCAAGACGCGTAGCAAGAGCATCGGCCCTGGCGGCATCGATGTGCCATTGAAAGAATCGGGCGGCAATCGCAGAAAGGTATGCTAGCAAGCACCTACATAGCTACACGAGTATTGCATGCTGATGACACCAGTCTGCAATGCCCGCTATGCCCGTGAAGTCAATTCTGTCCAGAGAGGACGAGGTTAAGCGGCGGGAGGAGCGTCGCAAGTCCTTGGGTATGTGGAACCTGTGGTATCGGCGTCGGGAACCCTGCTTACGATTGCGCAGCCAAGCGACGCGTCTCGTTTGCTCCTGAAGCAACTCTCCACACCTGGGATGTGATCGAATACATGCGCGATGCGACCTCATCGTCTGCCTCCTCGAACTCTACGCGACGCGCGTCGAACGCCACCCAGGAACCCGCGTCGCCAGAGCGTGGCGTCCGCTTCTCCGGACCAGACTCAAACCCCACAGATCCGCCTTCGACACCTCCGGAGCAGGTTGAAGAAGATCTCCCCTCCTCATCGCCCGAGAAGCAACGGGACTTACACCAGCAGAAACGACGTCGCAGCTCGGGAATTCCCCCGTTGGATTTCAACAATCCTGACGATGTACTTTCATCCAGCCCCTCCAGCGGAAGTTCGGCTCCTGGAAGCGACGATGTTGAAATCGCGTCGGAGGATGACGATGATGATGGAAGCACAATGATGAGCTTGGACACAGGGGACGAACCTACGACGGCATCTGTCGGCTCAAATGATGACTCCACAGGTTCCAGCGCGCGCCTGGATGCAGCACTCAGGCAAGCTGCAGAACAAGCAGGGACACAACGCTTCCAGTTCGGTGATGAGAATGACGATGGAGAGGCGTCGATGGAAATGGCCGGCGATGAAATCACAGCCGCTTTCAAGCCATGGGTCCAGAGGACAACATTCACAGAGGACAAGGAGAACGTTCAGCCAGACCCGTTTGCATTCAAGCTTCCGGGACCCGACCAGGACGATGACAGCGAGGGAGAAGATATGAGTATGGATATAACACGTGCCATCGGAGGAATCGTTGCTGCGCCCCCGGAAGAAGAGGAGTCAAGCCCGGAGCCAGAGAACGTAACGATGGATTTCACAACGGCCGTTGGCAGCATTCAGACAGGAGAAGCCTCCCAAGAGACGACCCGCGCTGGAACAAAGCGGCGGCGCTCTTCTGTTCTCCAAGCAGCTACCGACGAGCAAGGAAGCCCCGCCAAGCGACAAGCTTCACGCCGCATGAGCATTAGGAGGAGGAAATCGGTAGCGCGAGATGAAGCTCTTGAGGATGGCACCATGGACCTTACAACCGCAATCGGTGGAATCAAATCGTCTCAGGCACAAGATACGAGCCATCGACGTGAAAGCGTGAATTCTTCCTTCGGTGATGAGACTATGGACTTCACAATGGCCATGGGCAGCATCAGGAATGACAACCTGGATACCCCCGCGGATGACACAGTAACGACCAAGGGTAACAACGAGGAACTCTCCATGGAATTTACGGCATTTCTAGCCAAGAGCCAGAATCCGCACCAGGATACCCCAGCCACTCCGGAATTTAAGAAGACCGCTGCAGCGACGCCACCGAGCAAGCGTGGAAGTGCCGCGAGGTTCACAAACAACCACCCTGAAGTTCCCAGTCCTTCACCGATGAAAGTCAGCAATGCCGTGGTTACGAACACTGAGAGTCCGATCGCTGCCTTGAATATCCACCGGGACACTACACCCAGGAAGTCCCCGAGGAAATCGCCAAAGAAATCGCCCAAAAAGACACCCCAGAAATCTCCACGCCGGTCGCCCCGGAAGAGTACTGGGGCGGTACAGCCGGATCCTGCAACAACTCCTGAACCGGTGCTTGTTGCAAGCACGCCCCAGCAGCAAACTCCTGAGAAGGCAGTCGATGCATCCATTGCCAAGACCGAGACGGTGGTGGAAGAAGTGGCAGAGGAGCGCGTCGCTACAACCCCGACCAAAGCACCTGCGCTAAAGACAGCTTCGATCCCGTCGCTGATGGACTCTATCAGACTACTCTCAACCCCTCGCAAACAGGTGTTTGCGTCGCCTCTCAAGCGTGCTGCTGCCGCAACTCCCCAGAGATCCACCCCTCGGCAGTCCCCAAGCCCAAGAAAGACTTCTTCACCAAAGAAATCGGCATCTCCTCGCAAGCAGGTTCAGTTCGGTGTCAATGAGGTGCAAGACCCTGTTGTGTCGGCTGAGGAGGAAGAGGATGCCTCGGCGGTCGGTGGGGCTGAACCAGTGGCGCGCATTAAGCTCCAGGAGTTCCTGGACATGACAAACATTCGCTTCATGGATCTTACCACTACCAAGCGAAGGCACACAGGCTATCCTGGAGCTCAAAATGCATTTGGCAGGGGTACTAGCCTCAGCGCTGCCGAGATTGAGGGCAAGGACGACTTGGAGACCTGCGTCGTGGCTGCCGCTTGCACAGAGCCGGAATACCTCATGTACCAACATGCATGCCATGAGCTGAAAAAGTACATCTCCGAGGGCAAGAACCTTGTTCGTCAGATCGAAAACGAGGTCCACGAAGAGAATCCAACCCTCTTCGGTGAGTACATGTCGGCACCCGCCGATCAGCGTCAGGTCATGGACATCCAATTCAAAAATATGAAGACAAATGCCCGCCTACGGACCAAGGAAGCTTGGTACGGGTGGCGGAGCAACCTGCTTCATGACATCAAGGCAGCTCTGGCGGAGACTTTGGACAGCTTCGATCAGGATGACGCGGCGTTCAAGGAGCAGGAGCAAATCATCGACACCGCTCTACCCGCGCTTCAGGATCGTCACGCGCACCTCGAGTCAGAATGCGGACAACTCCAGCGCCGCGCGGAGGAGCTGAATGGTCCCGACCGCGAGGAGCTTGACGCCGCCAGGGAACGTATCATCGCGGCCGAAGCTGCCATCGAGGAGAAGAAGCGCAAGGTGGAGGCGCTACAACAGCAGCTCGCTGAGAAAGAGGCCGGCATCGAGGCCGCCAAGGAGCGCAAAGTAGAATGCGCCGAGGAGACCAAGGCGGCAGAGCGCGTGCGCGAGGAGTGCCGCGGCTGGTCCGTCGACGAGGTCAACGCGCTCAAAGCCCGGGTATCCGACCTGGAGAAGCAGCACGGCTGGCTCATCACCTCCGCCAGCGCCTCAGCAGAGTCAAAGACGGTGACGATGAGCTACCGCAACGACCTGCAGCTCTTCTTCCACCCCGCCGCCTTCGCGCCACACGCATCCCCACCATCCCCCCCTTCCTCCTCCGCAACCCCCAACGCCACCACCACCACCACCAGCTCCCCCATCAGCCTCACCTACATCGGCGACGCCCCCCTCTCCACCACCAAGCGCTTCTTCCTCCAGCTCCTCCGCGCCAACCTGCACGCCCTCCCCCAGCCCGCCACCCGCACCGCCCACCTCCTCGCCCACGTCGCCCGCGGCTGGGACGCGTGCCGCGCCGTCGCCGCCGACGTCCGCCGCCTCCGCCTCGCCCACGTCGTCGACGAGCGCATCCTCGCCGACGAGCGCATGGCCGTGTCCGCCGCCGTGCTCGTGCCGTCCGTCGCGTCCAAGGTCGCCGTCGTGTTTGAGATTGCGGTCGCGAACGCGGATGGCGGGGACGTGGCGAGGGGGCTGGAGGTGGAGGTGCGGGTGAGGGCGAAGGCGGTGTATGGGGAGGCGTATAAGGAGGGGAAGATGGTGGAGTTTTTGCAGGAGAAGGTCGGGAGGGAGGTTGGTGTTTGTGGTGGGGGTGGTGAAGGGGGCGTGCCGAAGCCGAGGTGGGGGGAGGCGGTGGCGGATTTGAGGGAGAGGTTGGCTGCGAGGGGGAGGAGGGGTGGGAGGTTGTGAGGTGTTTGAGCGATTGTTCTATTCCTCCTCACCCTTCTTTTTTTTTTTGGAGGGGCTAGGCGCTTCTTGTTGATGTTGTTCGTGATGGATTCGTTGTGAGCGAGCTTGGTGTTTTTGATTGTTTCTTTGACGACGGGATGAGGTTTAGGCGTTTTCTTGTTTTTTTTTTCGGGGGGTGGATGAGGTCTGGTTTCCTTTTTTTTTCCTTTCCCACTCAGTCAATTGGTTAGTGAATTGGATTCTCCATGTACAGAGAGTAAAGTTCAGGCGTTTTCGCCTCCTTTTCCTCGGGTTTAAAAGGACAAATCTAGTGCTTACAACATTCTCTCACTCGCTTTTTGGAACTTAGAGGGAAGTCATTAGACTTTGCCTCTCTTTCTTAACTCGTTCGTTCGCTTTCAATTCTCTACTTTGTTCTCTTTCTCCAGGCAGAATCAAACTCATCCTATTTGACTAATCGCTCCGTGTGAAGGCGCGCCATGTTTACAGTGAACGAACGGGTCACTACTTACGAATTGTTCAGCCCTTCGCAGACATCTTTTGCGGGACATGTCGCACCCGACTTTATATATAGGGTGGGTTGGGGAAGATTGTATCTGCTTTGGCCCGATCTGTCTTACTAGTTAATGCCCGAATTGCGTTTGTGGTCGGATCCTCGTTGGAGAGTATATTTGTAATAGAATTTACAAACGGTCATGGGTATTTGATTTATTGGGTAAATGGAAGGAACGGTAAATATTTATTTTCTCCGACTGTACTCTGTGGAGTATAGTGTTAAAGCTTCACTTTGCATAGATTATTTGAGTTTTGTATTTGGTTATTGCTGGTTTCAATTTTAGCATCATGGCTATGCTCAGATGTGCCGCATGCGCACCCAAAGTTCTTTTGGAAAAAAAAAAAAACAGACGGCAAAGTCTAGTCACGCAACATGGAATAGAGTCATATTTATTCTTCTTCTTTATGCCTTGCTATGTGCCTCTGAATCTATCAGACAGCGTGTCGTTCGGCTGAATTTTCGAAAGCCTGTTCTGACCAAGGCCCAAAAGCGCCAGAGAGAGTCTTCAACAAACCCCCCCCCCCAAATCGTCATCTTTCCAACGCATACCTTACACTTCGACCATGCTTGTCCTGTCCAGCTCGCTCTTGCTCATCGCCTAAGACTGCCGGAGAGCATTCTAAGATGCTCCATGCAAACACACTCCGCCTGTAGTTCCTGCCCTAAAGCCTGCAGATTTTCAGGTGTATGACAGCCGCCAAGGGTGCACCTCCAGCGGGCTGACGCTCCTCCTACTGCTCATCCTCTTCGCACTCTTGCTCCTAGTGCTACTGCTGATGCTGAGGGTACTGACGCTGCGGCCAAAGCTGCTCCTCCTCGCGTTGCTGGTCAGTCTGCCGCGTTCCTGGTGATTCTCATCGTTCGACAATGGCCTCGAAGTGTTGTTGCTCATGCTCTCGCGGATGGACGACATGTCGACTTCGGTCGTGACGGTGCTGAGAGTGACACCATAGCGGAGAGGGGAGGAGCCATAACCATGCTTGGTAGTGTCGTGACGGTAGTTGGTGTAAGGCTGGCGGGGCGGGCCGTCCGCGAGGGCGCCGGCGTGGTGGCCAGCACTGTCGCCTCCAGCGTTGTCGTACCTGGTCGCGCCACAGGCGCTGTTATTACTGCGCTGAAGAGCATTTGCTCCAGTAAGACGGCGTGGAGATTCACCTCTCATGATTGCTAGCAGACGGGGAGGAGTGGCGAACGGGTTATCGCCGGCATCATGGCGTGCGCCGCTCATGTGGTAGCCATCACGGCCGCTTCTCTCTTCTCCGATGCTCCTGGGATCACCTAGATGGATGCTCATCTCTGAATTCCTGAAGTCTCCATTCTGGACCTTTGCTGCGATCCACATGCCGCCTCTTCCGGGCTGGCCGGGCGCCGCGCCGGTGGATGATCCGCGGAACTTGTCCCTATCGCGAAGGCCAGATTCCTCATCAAAGGGGCTGCCGTCGTTGCTCCGGAGGTGATGGCCAGTACCCGCGCGTTGATCGAGGCGAGAGTTCCAGATGTGGAGGATGACCAGGGTGACAATGGCGGTGGCGGTCAGCGCGATGCCGAAGATGGGGAGCGGCGTGAGAACGGGTGCCATTGTTGTGAACCCTCTTCGAGTGAGACTCGATGGTGCCTCGTTGCTCAGGCCAGACTGCGCCTAGAAAAGTGTGCCAGTGTCCGACTCTGCGCGACAGATTGATCGTGGAAATCGTTAAGAAGGCGTGCGCAGCTGTCTTTCAGTGACGAAGGTGCTCTAACAGCGAAAGTCGTCGCTTTGACGTTGTTTGTCGCGGTAGCCGTGGCCTTCCGGATGGTTCTGGGGTTAAGACGGTGTGTCTGCCGCTAAGGTGTGGACGGCAGAGCCTCTGGTCTGACAAACCCTCACTGCACCGCGTAAGAGGTGTAGATCGACGTGCGGGGTTTCCGTGGCTTGTAATAGCTAAATCTTACCGAAGAGTTAGGGTTTGCTTGTTGTAGATGTGCTGTCATGTGCAATAGGCCTGTGGTGTTGGAGCAGCGTTGAGCGTGACGAGGTCACGCGCGACGCAGCGCGAGGGCCCTGCGAATGCGAACTAGAGGTAGTCATTTGCCTGCTTTTCGGGAAGGAAGGAGTGACTTGCTTCAGATGGAGCGTCCGTCGCGATCAGAGTGTGGGGGAGTGAGTGTGGAGCGCAGGAAGCCAGTCGCGTCCGGGGAGGAAGTAACGCTTACCTGTGGTTGCCTCTTTGGGAATTATGCCTAGTCTCACCGCCTTGACGCGCCTTCAGGCTGCTCTTGCCTCTCGTCGTGGCCATCGGCCGGCTACGTCATGCCATCTGCCAGCCTGCGGCTTCACTTACCACACCAGTAAAATCCTCACCTATGTATCGAAGCTTGTCCGATTTTGCTCTCCCTTCCTGCCATTCCTTGTTTCAAGTTCGCCTCATGATATGATCAGTGTTGTCGGGTATGACTACGAGTGCAGTGCCTGCTACATGATGTTATTTGCTACCTTTAGATACGCATCTTTTGGAAATTACTTAAAACAACAGTGAGAAGTCGAGATCCCTTTTTCTGCCCAGAAGCCGCATACAACGAGAAGGAATACGAAGGACAAAGCATCGTTAAAGGAAAACCACCTCAAGTGATGTGACGAAGAAGCCAGGGCGAAACCTAAGATATAGCCATTACTAACCAGTACGGGAAGGAAGAACTGTCTCTTCGGCTCCGGACACCAGGCCTTTTCTCTCTGCCTGCGAGGAAAGAATATGCCGCCAGTACAGAATTTTTCGTGTTCAGAACAAACAGAATGCCGGAAACCCCCCCAAAGAAGTAAGCGTCAACAGGTATGCAGCCAGAGACGCTCTGTATGCATGTCCGAGCCGTCAGTCCCGTCGCCGCGACAAAAGCAAAACGCGCGTAATACGTATATGGGGCCAGACCGCTGCGTCAACGGCCTTGACTATCCCGCCTGCGGGACGGCGGGACGCTCCGCCTGCGGGAAGCTTCATCCGGTAACCGTGGCGTGCTGCTTCAGGAAGGTCATCCGAAAGCGCAGCTGGAGTCCTCGAGCCTGCATCATCGTTGACTGTGCTCGGGACACCTCCTCACAACCCATTTTTCCCATATCTTCCGTTGTGCGTTCGATACGAAAAATCCATTATCACCTAGCGCTTCTGGGCTCTCCAAGAACGAGTTCCTTCCGCAATTGCACCATGGCACCGACGACGGCGTGTCCGGCGAGATCATCGGGAAATCCATGCCTTCCTCTTCCGGCCCGTTGTCGTCGTCCGAAAAGTCATGGTCCGAAGAGGAATCTGTCATGTCCTCCAGGGATATCTCCGAATCGTCCTGCTCCGCTGTGGCGTGGGGATCCCAGTCGCTCTCGTCGTCACTTTCGCTGGCCCCGCCTGGCGGATCGTCGGGAACCTCGGCTCCAGCTACCGCCCATTGCTCGTCAAAGTGCCTCGCGTAGCCTATGCGCCGCAAGCTGACCCAATCTAGCCGAATCATGTCGTCGCGCAGAAATGCAAGCACATCTTTCCACATGCTGCCATCCTTCAGCAAAACGTCCCGAAGCCGCAGGCCCTTTAGCCTATCCCGATGCCGCTGCGCCAGGGCAATGATCTCATCCGCGTCCAGTCGCCACGCCTGAATGCCGAACGCCAGGAGTTTGTCCCAACGGACGTTGTGGAAGATTTCCTCCAGCCTCAAGCTGAGAGGACGGTGCGAGGGGAAGCCGACGTGGACCGCCTGCATGTTCTTGGCCGCGTTGAAAACGAGCTTGAAAAGGTCCGAAAGCTCTCTCATTTTGTTGTCCAGGTCCGTGCCGTCGTCGAAATGGAGTTCTAAACAGGTAAGCCGCTCTGCCAGGGCGGTGAAGGCCTTTGGAGGATGTGATGCCAGGACTATTGCGCTCTGAGGGCTGAGCATGGGCGAGGAGAAGCGCGAGCACGGCGAGCGGGACTCGAGCAACGCGGCGCCGAGGGTTTTTGCGCTATGCGAGCACGCCGGGGCCCATCTGAGCTCGACGAGCTGATTTAAATGCTCGTGTTGGCGGATGTAGGACAGCAGTGAGGCTGTCTCTCGGTCCTGCACGCGCAGGATCTGGACGTGCTGTAGCGAGGTAAAGGCGGCCAGGGCATGCTTGAGGGCTATTTCATCCTCGCCCGAGCTCACAATCTCCTTTTGCTCGTTGATCTTCCGCACGAAGTGGCCCACGTTCAGCGTCCCCAGAGCGTCCTGCGAGTCGGGCAGCAGCTGGTGGATGCGCTCGCGTCCTACTCGATACGTCAGTCTTTGGCTGGGTGGGAGCGGGTGAGCGTTGTGGAGGACCCTCTACGTAGAAATACGGCACCATGTAACTGAATTTCTTGACATGTCGGGACAGGTGCGGGCAGGCGGCAATGTTCTCCAGGCGGGTGAAGCCCTTGCGGGAGAAGCGGGTGGTGACACGGGCAAACTGGCACACGGCACCCAACTCGGAAAACCTCTTACACGTGAGGCGGAAGGCTCCGATGTCCTGCGCCTGGTTGGGCGCGGGTGGCGGGGGCGGCTTGAAGCTCTCCTGCGAGAGGTACGAGCGGCGGTCGACGGTGACCTGCTTCTCCGGGTCGGCCTCGACCTGATCGAGGATCTCGCGCAGCAGCTCGTTGGAGAGACTCAGGATGCCGGTGGAGGAGGCCATGTCGCAGGGTCACGCGGGGTAGGCGTGCGCATGGACGGGCGGACCGTCGGCGGAAGGCGGCGCGTCTGGCGCTGCGGCGGGCGGTGGTAGGTGGACGGCGAGGCGTGCGGCCGGCGGCGGGCAGCGGCGGGCAGAGCTGGCAGAGCTGGGGCTTTGGGCGGCGGGGCGGTGGCAGACGGTGGCAGACGGTGGCAGCTGGCGGCGGTGTCTTCGTTTAGGGCGACGGCGTGGCGCGGGGAGCAGCGAGGTCTGGGGCTACTTGTGGGAGCGGGAGGGCTGGGTGTAGCGGAGCATTTTCAGGTTAAGAGCGGTGCTGTTGCTGCTGCACCATGACCGAAGAAAAAGCAGCGCACGCTGAGTATGCAGGCGTGTCAGGCGCTATCGTCGGTTTTGAGGGACAGTGGATGGGGCATGCGCCGGACAGCGAATCCCAGAGCCGTCTCACAAGGCCAGCAGCCAATCGAGCCCGCGCCTTGGACCAGGCCCGTACAGCCCTGGATAAATCAGGTAAAGTCGCAACACGTGATTGAGAGGCTATGCGCGTGAGATGCAGGCGGGCTTCGACTTTGTCGGCTGGCATGGGTCTGTGGGTAGCTCCTAGGCTGCTTTTCGAACGGGCCCGGGGGGGGATGCATGAGGGCTGAGGTGACAACACATAGACGCATGTGCAGTCGACCACTCAACGCCCAGCCCAGCGCCCCAAAGCGCCCCAAAGCGCCCCAAAGCGCCGCCGCATTGGCCGGCCGGCGCCCGCAACGTCCGGCGACAAGCACGTCAGCTTGTTTCCATGATCGCAGCCCAGCCTGGAGCTGAGCGATGAGTGGAAGATCGACGCGATGCCCTGACTCTCCGACCCGCAGCGCCGTGCCGGTACGCTTAAAAGCCACCGCCGCCTAAGCTCCACCGCCCTGCTGACCGTCGACTTCAAGACTCGTCCGACGCTGCATCCTGGGACCTGCAGCTGGCCGCGCCGCCTGGACGACGCGGAATCCGCCATGCACGACAGAGCTTTCAGGCGCCGCCCGCTCCCGCCCGCACCCTCGCGTCACGCAAGACGCAAGATGCTGCCGAGCAGACTGATATAAACACCCTCCAACCTCGTCCGACCTCGAGCTGGGCACGGTCTGCACCAACGCCCAACCGCCAGCGCGCCCCCGGCTGATTGGCCTCCGCCTCCTCTCAGCTCCCGCCCCAGCACCCGCCCCAGCACCCGCGCCTGTGCGTCGAGCCAGACGGCGTGCCGTTACACGTCGACGGCCGCCTCGCTGAGACCGCAGCCCGACCTATTCCACCACTAGCCTCTGCAGCAGCATTAGTGTCGTGCACCAGCAAGCCGACAGCGCAGACTGCAGATTGATTGTATCATGCCGCTCCCGATGATGCCGCCGCCGCCACGTTGGTCTTCCCTTCTGGTCTCTATACATGGCTGCTCTGCCCCGGCCACCGCCCAGCCTTGTACTCCAGAGAAAGCGGAAGGAGACACGTACGCCTTGCAACAGCCGTGCAACCGTGCAAGCATTCGTCTCGTATTACATGCTGCCTCTGGCCCTTGAATTCCCCGTATGGGTGCCCTACTGTGCTGCAGTGCTAAAGAAAGAAATAACGTTGAAGAGGCGCCGGCTGCAGCCCTCACATCCGACCTTGTGCTCACGCATTGCCTGTTGGCCTAGACCTCTCGCTCTGCACCCGGCGGATCTCCGTGCTGCTGAGCTTGCTCTGGAAACTCTGCTCCACGCCTGCTCCCTGCGCATCCCGTTCCTCTTGCGCATCCAGGACATCTACTTCAAACACTTCCAGTTCCGGCCAGCTCTTCTCTTGGCGCTTGGCATTCACCGCTCTCCCGCCAGATCTCGTCTCCCCGGACAGGATCAAGGCAGAGATGCTCTCGTCTGTGATCGTGGGACCGTACGGATCCCAGATTTCGACGCACTTGAGCACCAGGTTGGTGGGTAGCGTGATGTTGATAGCGTGCCCGTTCGGACCGGGGTTGTTCACTTCCTCCACCTTCTGCATGCCTCCCCCTGGCGGGGCGAAGTCGATGATGCAGCGTAGAAACTCAGCAGTGCGCCGCTGCCGTGCATCCCAGCTTTCGAGATACTCGGCGTACTTCTTGTTCTTGAGCAGCTCGTCACCAGTGATGCCGACAGTGATGCCGCGTTCGGACCCCTCCACGCTCGATGCGGGCTCGACCGCGAAGGCCGTCATGGTAAGCAGCAGCTTGTGACCAATGTGCAGATGATCAAACGTCCCACCAACCGCGACGGAGACGTGCCTCCGGACTTGATCCAGGGTAGGCTCATTTGCATCGCCGTCTGATACCTGCACGATGCCCCCACGCGCCTTCTTGATGTTGTGCATATGCTTCCCACACGCCTGGAAATCCTTAAGCAGCTGCTCCCCTGCCTCGCCCTCCACGGCGTAGACCGTGTCCCATGATCTGCCGCTCTGCGCCAACGTGCCAATGTCGATGACCGGACCTTGTAGATCGGCCTCGGCTCGGCCCTCAGCGGGCAGATGGCTCAGCGCGCCGTTTCTGGGGTATGCCAGCAGCAGGATGCGTGCGTCGACGCCGTCTGCGCTCTCTACGTCGATTCTCTCCCGCGCGGCAATGACGCAGATCAGCTTGTAGAGGCCGGCCACCAGGCTCTGCGTGCGCGCAAAGAGCGCGGCGCGCGGGACACGCCCACTCGCATGCAGATGCGGACACGGCAGTGCGATTTCCAGCAGTGCAGCGCCGGTGGCGGAGGCCGAGGAGTGCTGGAGCTGCCGCAGGACGAGGCATAGCGTCGCGCCGTAGGCGGCGTTGAGCGTGACGAACGACGGCGGCGAGGGCGGCGGCGGCAGGAGCAGCAGGTGGCGGGCGCTCTGGCGACCGTTTTGGGCCATGGTCATGGAAGCGCGCCTGAAGGCGAATGGCTGGGGCCGTGGGATGGGAGTGTCGTGAGGAGCGGCTGTTGGGCAGCAGAAGTGACAACAGAGCTCTAGTCATGGCTCACGGCAAGGCAGCCCCGCGCGTGTCGCCAAACATCGACGACCCCTTCGCCAGTCAGTAGGTAATCAGCGGCCTCATCCCTACGCGGCCACAGGCCCTTGTTTGTTCCAGAGTCGCAGGTAACTATCCGCTCTCCTCGCCCTCTCGCCCAACCCCTCGCAGCCTGGCACGAGTCCAGGCACCGCCAGCGGCACCATGCCCTTCCATTCGCACCACCACCCCAGCAGCTCTGGCCAGGGCGCAGCGCAGGGCATCTTCGCGGCCACGCAGGCCTTGGGCTCCGTCGCCGCTCCGCACAGCAATCTCCGCATCGCGACGACGGGCACGACAGGCGCCGACTCGGACGCGCTCCTGCCCGGCAGCGGCAACGACCCGAGATTCAGCGCGCTGCAGTCCGCCCCGCCGTCGTCGGCGGCGGCGTCGGGCCTGCCAGCTCCAGGCTCGCGGTCAGCAAGCGCTGCAACTGGCCCGCAGTTCGAGGTAGCGCGGCGGCCGGTCGCTGCCCAGAGAGAGCCCGAGGACTTGCACATTCCGCCGGCGGGCCAGCAGAGCGCGTCGCACTCGCAGCTCTTCAACTCGCCCGTTGCCTCGACGCCCGGCGGCGGCGCACAGAACCTTAACATCAGCCTCCACCACGCGACGCCGCCCCAGAACCAGCAACAGCAGGACGCGCAATTCGCTAATTCCGGCAGCAGCGTTCCTGACCTGCCCGCTCCTCTACAGCCTGGCCCGGCCGCGGGTGCTCGCCCTGCGCCCTCCGCCTCCTACACGGCGCCCACCACCGTCCCGAAGATCAACACCAACGCCCAGCAGTACACCCTGCCCACCCGCTCCAGCACCATGCAGTCCTCATCCTCCGCTCATTCCTACTCGCGCTCGAGCCCAGCCGGCCTGGACCAGAAGTACATTCCCTTCAACTCGACCGTCCCGACGCCCGACGTGCCCAAACACGCGCCCACCCCGAGCCAAAGACACTATCAGGCACAGACGCCCTCGGGCGCCGCCTCTAATTCTCCGCTCGCCCTGTCAGACATACGCCCGCGCGCGAATTCGACAATTGGCGAGGACATGCCGTCGAGCACCCCGCTGCTGAACGACTTGGAAAATCGCGCGGCTGGGAACTGCAACTACTTGGCGCCATGGCCGGTATACGCCTTCGACTGGTGCAAGTGGCCTGTTCATGGCGGGAACAGCGCGGGCAAGATGGCTGTCGGCAGCTACTTGGAAGATCCGCATAATTTTGTGAGTATAGCGGATTCTTTCCCCAAGGCGGCCCTGGCAAGGTTCACCGGCATGCTTCAAGTCGCAGAATGAGTGAAGGGAGAAGTCGCTGCTAGCAGACTCTGTTCCCAAACTTCGTCATCTTTGTTGCCGGAGGCTCTTCCCCAGCACCCTCCGTTATGCCGAGAGGGACCAACCCAGTACTGATAGCAGGCATAGATTCAAATCGTCGACTCGCACATCGCTCCTCAGGAGGTCACCACGCCAGGTTCTCCGGCCTTCGGCGTCGAATACACTCGTGTCGCTGAAGCGACCTGCTCTTATCCTGTGACGCGGATATTATGGGAGCCTCCGTCTTCCCAGAAGCAATCCACCGACCTGCTCGCCACGTCCGGTGACCACCTGAGACTTTGGTCGCTGCCACAAACCACGGCGTCCAACGTCAGCAACACCATAAACCGCTCATCGCCGGTCAATACCCGCGATCCCCCGGCGCAGAAGCTCACTCCGTTGGCTCTCCTCTCGAACTCGAAATCACCCGAACACACGGCCCCGCTGACGTCGCTCGACTGGAACACGCTCTCGCCAAAGCTTATAATCACGTCAAGCATCGACACCACGTGTACGATCTGGGACATCCCGACCTTGACGGCCAAAACGCAGCTTATCGCCCATGACAAGGAGGTGTTCGATGTTCGTTTCTGCGCAGGGAGCGTCGATGTGTTTGTCAGCTGCGGTGCGGATGGTAGCGTAAGAATGTTCGACCTCCGAAGTCTGGAGCATTCCACCATCATCTACGAACCCACGGAGAAGAAAGAAGAGAAAGGTAAATAGAGCGGTCGACGGAGATGCGACAGTGTCTGACAGTTCATCCAGGTTCACCGGGCCGCATGTCCCCCACGAAAGCCCAGCAAATGATGTCCTACGCCCCGCCTTTGTTGCGCTTGGCAGCGTCACCACACGATGCTCATCTCCTTGCCACCTTTGCCTCTGATAGCAGCCTCATCCGGATATTAGACGTTCGTCAGCCAGGCCAGGCGCTTCTGGAACTGCGTGGTCATCAATCCGCTGTAAACAGCATCGAATGGTCCCCTACGCGCCGTGGCATGCTCGCATCGGGCGGAGACGACAGCATGGTGCTCGTCTGGGACCTCATCCATTCTCAGAACGGCGCCACCATCAATGGCGAGCACGCAGCATCCAACGGCAACACCATCAGCTCTTCTGGTCCGCCCTCGGGCCCCAGTGGCGTCAATATGAAGGGCCCTGCAGCCAGTTGGCGGTGCGACTACGAGGTAGGCAATTTGAGTTGGGCGCCCCAGAGCGGACTCACAACGCAGGGTGGCGAGTGGCTGGGCGTGACGGGAGGCAGGGGAGTGTGGGGCATCAAGCTATGATGACGAGCAGGGTTTGATATAGTTGGAGTAGTTGGAGATGATGGGATACGGCTTTGCGGGCAGATTCTTGGGAGGTGAAGACGAATTTTTCGTGTGAGAGCAACGCCGTGTATGTATTGACGATGATACGCATTTCGATGGCGTGTTGGGTGGGGGTGACGACTGAATGGGCGATATGCATTTCTCTTGGTTCTTTTTTTTGAACGCTTCTTCTTACCCTTCCTCCCCATTCTCATTCTCACATTGTCTGTTGAGCTTAGATACCTATATTTCTTTTTTCTTGTCTTCCGTGAAGGATAAAAAGAAGCTGAGCTGAGCAGGCTTTTCTTTGCCGCCGTTGGAGAAGAAGAAGAAGAGAAGTAATGTGTGCGTGATTGTTCGGTTGGTGTTCTCAATTTTCACGGGTTTCTTTTCTGAACGAACGAATGAACGGATGCAGCTGTGTGGTGGTTGGGTGGTTTGGCCGGACGTTTGGTTGAATTCATCACATGAAGAGAGTCATTGCCATTCTTGGTCGACTGTGCTTGACGCGTATCCTTTGGAGAAAGTGCATCCAGAAGTGGCTTCCCCCAGTCTTGCCCGCCAAGTTGAGCTGGCTAGCGCCACTTCCTCATCCACGACGGGGAGGCGGCGGACCCTCGGGATGACTTGCTCAGTTAGATGCACGTTCACTCTTCCCCCTGGTGCAACTGTTGCTAGAGGATTATATCTGGCCCTTCAGACAGACGAACCAACAACATCCGCTTCAACATTCGACATTCGACATTCGACATTCGTCTCAACGCCCGCCTCAGCATCCATATTCACAGGCGCACATTAGTAACTGTAGGACGGTGATCACAGCTGGGCACAGGAAGAAGCTTGTCGACTGGATGTCTCATTATACGCTGCTACTACGTGGTGTTTATATAGGTGAACGAAGAAAGGGGCACCCAACAAGGGTGTTGTTCAAGATAGCACGTTACTAAAGACGTCCTAGTTGGGTTGATGATGACGATCATCCTCAACGTTATTGAATATACGTGATGTCCAACAGTATCCAGTAGCATTTACAACCACTTCTTCGTCTTGGCGTCGTCAGAGCATCGGGGAACTGGTCTGTCTGTCTGTCTGTCTGTCCAGGTGAGACTTGCTCACCGACACCACCACCACGACCCTTGTTTACTGAGGAAGGAAACTTACTCTGTTCACAGCGACGCGAGAAGCTAGAAACTTTTCTCCTCGATCTCACCACCCAATCTTTACAGCCGAACATCCGGCGGGCGGCCTCGGGTTTTCGTCATGGTGTTCCTGATATTGGGAATACGTGATGAAGACACACCCGAGCTCTCTTGGACCTTCCTCATGGAAGCCTATCTTCTCACACTTCTCTTCAGCCTGGCTCTCCTCACTTTGTGGTCATCGTGCGCATTGTTCAACCGCATAGGCCTCGCGATTCGGGCGTCGGTCCAAGCCTCTCATCAGCCATGGAGCCCGGCCAACGTGGTGAACGCCACCAGTGGCTAGAAAATTAAACTCAGCAGTCTGCATTGTGCAGACCGGCAGCGAGCTGTGATGAGTCTTGGCAGGGAGATGGCAGGACTTTGGCGTCGAGATGCTGGAAGTCGAACATGGAAACCTGGGAGTAGGCGCAAATGGCTTGGATCTCACTCGCTGATGGCGTACGTTCTATCGGTCTTACGCTCAGGTCTTTGCATGAGTAGCTCGGCGTTGCGCTTGACGTTGGTGCTATAGGCACAGGTGGTGTCGGTCCCTTGGCCGCATTTGGGCATGGCCTTGCTTATTACTTCGTATGGGTTTTGTCTTTTCGACCTTTGTCAAAAACATGATGGGTTTGCGATTGGCATTACTGTTTTTTTGTCTTGCAGCCAGTATGTTTGAGGTTATGAGCAGCGCAGGATTACAGCACGAAATGGTTATGTTGGAATGTGACGGATAGCAAAAGGAGGAGAACAGCACCAATTGATACACACATTACTGCCTTTAACTTCTTTTCAAGAAATGTTGATGGTGCATTTTCGACACATACCCGAAGCATGCTAGGCTGTCGGAGATAGCCAGCGGGAACGCCCGTTTTACCCCGGGTCCACGGTGAACAAAGCGCGATACCGCAACTACTTGGAAGCAGACCTGTCGCATCGGAGCGGACTCTTGTTCTGCGACAAGCCACATTATTATTCGCGCCAGGTTCCTCACTTGTGCTACAGCGAGTACGACCGCAGGACGCAGCGAAAGGACGCCGAAGGAAAGGGAAACGCCCGGAACAAGCCGCTGACGTGCTTCGCGGCAAACTCTCGAACCCCGGGTCTGCGAACCCGGCCGGACCAACCCGCCCGGCAGCCCACGGCAGCCCGAGACGGCGATCCCGAATTGCTAATCAGCAGTGGGGGGGAAGCGATGGAGGAAGGAAACCGCGACAGGATGTGCAGATACAGCAAGTGCTCTCTCCTCCCTCCTTCTCCTCTTCTTCCCCTCCACATTGACCGCCGACACACCATCCTCTCGCCGGGGTAACAGTCGAGAGTCAGGGCTCATCCGATGCGAAAGACCCATTGACCAGGTCGCGAGCCGTGAGACTGACCCAAGCTCCTTCCTTCCTCCACCCTAACACGCACAAACACGCACCACACAGCAAGCAATCCTTTCCCCTCCGCCTCCACCGCTCTCTCAGCGTCCCCACGCGCCAGGTGTACATCGGAACCGCAGAAAAAACCGAGATACTCGAAACACCCCGCCGCTGATCGACGTTGAGCTGGCGCTGCTGCTGCTGCTCGCTGGACCTGCGTGTACCGCGCTCCGAGGAGCTCTCTACCTCTACCTACGAAGGCACCACGCGTCGTCTCTACCTGCCTCCTCCCTTCGTATTTCATTACTCGTAAAAAAAAAGAAAAAAAAAAGGGAAAAAGAGGGTGCTGAGAACCTACGCCACGCCAACACTGACAGCACGACACCGCCCCTCCCACCTACCACCTACCACCACCACCAACAACAACACCACTCCCCCCCACCGGCCATGCCGCCACCTCACGACCACGAGCCATCCGAAACGAGCCCGCTCCTGGGCGAGCGCCGCCGCACCTCCGACGGCCTGCAAGTGCTCGCGCCGCAGCCCGTCCCGGATGGCGCCGAGGACGAGGAGAACAACGGCGCCGGGTATGACGACGGGGAGGGGGGAGACAACGATGGTGGGGACTTGGAGAGGCAGGAGAGCCATGTCAGCGAGGGGGGCTCGTCGCTGAAACACAAGGGCTTGCCGGAGGTGAAGAAGAGGATGAAGTATATTTTGCCGGCTGTGGCTGTCGGGGTGAGTTTTGCGACGGTTTTCTTTTTTCTTTTTTTTTCGGGGACAGGGTTGGCTGGCTCCTGGAGGGAGCGGAGGGGGCGGGGAGGGGCATTGGGTCGGGGTGGTGTGGATTGGTGCGGTGGCGTGTGAATGCGTGCTGAGTGCTGACCATATTCTTTTTTTTTCCTGGACGGGCAGATCTTCCTCGCGGCGGCAGACCAGACGATTATTGTTTCCAGCTACGGACGAATTGGCTCGGACTTGGGAGCATTGAACAACACGTCGTGGATTGCGACAGCGTAAGGGCGCCGGCTTCCCTTCCCCTTGTATGAGCGTTGCAGGGAGACTGAGTGCTCTGCTGTCTAGGTACTTTTTGACCCTCACGTCCTTCCAGCCGCTGTACGGCAAGCTCTCGGACATCTTCGGGCGCAAGTCCTGTCTGCTCTTCGCCTACATCATCTTCGGCATCGGCTGCCTGGCGTGCGGGCTGGCGCGCAACATGAACGAGCTGATCGCGGCCCGGGCGTTCGCAGGAATCGGCGGCGGCGGCATGACGACGGTGGTGTCCATCATGATGAGCGACATCGTCACTCTGCGGGAGCGCGGCAAGTGGCAAGGCTACATCAACATCGTCTTCGCGACGGGCGCGGGCACCGGCGCGCCGCTAGGCGGCATCCTCGCCGACCGCGTGGGCTGGCGGTGGGTCTTCCTCTTCCAGCCGCCGCTCTGCCTCGTCGCCATTCTCGCCGTCACGCTCGCCCTCAAGCTGCCCGCGCGCGACCACGCCCACTGGGCCGCCAAGCTGCGCCGCGTCGACTTCCTCGGCGCCGCCGTCCTCATCTCCGCCGTCTTCATGCTGCTCCTCGGCCTCGACCGCGGATCCAACGTCGCCTGGCGCGACCGCCTCACCCTCGCCTGCCTGGGCTCCTCCATCCCACTCATCGCCATCTTCCTCCTCGTCGAGACCAAGTTCGCATCCGAGCCCTTCGCGCCAGGCCACATCATCTTCTCCCCCTCCCTCGTCGCCTGCTACGCCTGCAACTTCTTCTCCTTCGCCGGCTACATGGCCGCCCTCTTCTACCTCCCCCTCTACTTCCAAGCCGTCGACGCCGCCTCGGCCACCCTCGCCGGCCTCCGCCTCATCCCCGGAATCCTCTTCGGCGTGTCGGGCTCCCTCTTCGGCGGCTTCTACATGCAGCACACCGGCCGCTTCTACGCCCTCACCGTCGCCGCCTACGCCGCCCTCGTCGCCGGCGCCGCCCTCATCTTCGCCTGCGCCGGCGTCCTCGTCGACTCCGTCCCGGGAATCGTCGCGGGCTTGTGCATCGCTGGCTTCGCAAACGGCGTAGGCGTCACCACCACACTCATCGGACTCATCTCCAACGCAGCGCACGCAGACCAGGCGGTGGCGACCGCGTGCTCGTACCTCTTCCGCAGCCTCGGCAGCGTCTTCGGCGTCTCCATCGCCGCGACGCTGGTCAACCAGGAGTTGCGGCTGCGCCTGGCCCGCGCGCTGGGCCCCGGCGACGAGGCGGCGCGCTTGGCGGAGCGCGTGCGCGAGAGCATCGAGGTCATTTGGAGCTTGCCGCCGGAGGTGCAGGTGGTGGTGCGCAGGTGCTATGCTGAGAGCACGCGCGTGGCGTTTGGGCTGATGATTGCGCTGGTGGCGGGCGCGGCGGTGGCGGCGTGGTTTGTGAGGGAGAGGAGGCTGGGTGGGAAGTGAGTGAGTGAGAGAGAGAGAGAGAGAGAGGTGCTGGTTGGTTGCGTGCGTTTCGTCTGTGCGTCTCCTGTTCTTCTCTCCTTTTTTTTTGTCTCCCGGTGGTGGAGGGGAAATGTGTTGGTGTGTGTGTGCGTGTGTGTGTGGAGAAAAAGTGGTCGAGGTGAGTAAGTATGGTGGCGGTAGGTAACTTGTACAGAAGTCTTTGATAGAGATTGAGATTGTTCCCTTGCTGGGTTGAAGACGGGGAGGCGATCTTTTAGAGGAGGAATCCCGTGCAGGGGCTGGGGGAAGGGGATTGTTTCTTCATGGGTTTATGAGTTTACGTGTAAACGATCAACGTAGATGCGTGTTCAGAGTGAAAAGTCATTTGCAAGACTGTTTTTGTTTTTGTTGTTATCAGAATCCGCTGCTGCGGGAGAAGGTATGTACATACATACAATCTGCCAGATTGTTACCGCGTTGAAGAATGTGTTGATGAAAGTATGAGTCCATACATGGTCTTGTGTCGCTAGCTGGTCGCACGTCTTTCTGCAAGATTCTAACTGTTTTCGAAGTAGTCGGCTCCGACGCCTGTGGCATTAAAAGCGACGTTTCCCTCTCTACTAACTCCCACCACCACCACCCCTTCCCACCGCCACCTCACTCCATGCTCCCATCGCCGCACATCTTCTTCCCCCCATCGTCCAACACCAACCCAGGCGGCTCCACCTTACACCATGCGTCAACCGTGCTAGGTACCTAGACCGGCCCGTCATCATCCCGTCGTTCAACACCAGCCATATACCCTCCGCTGCCATCCCAATTGATATATATGTCCCTGCAATCAATCAATCATCCAGCCACTCCACAACATTCGCAGTTGGGACTCTAGGAGTCTACTACTACTACTCCTCCGTGGCACAATTGGCTAGCGGCGGACGGTTGCACCGTAGGTCGCTGAAGAAGTTGACATACGAAGCATCCAACAGACGCATGAGAGATGGCACTTGAAGAATCTCGTGGTTTTGCTTCAACACCCCATATTTCAGCGAAAGCCCTGTTGTCGCGCCTGGTATTTGCGAAACTATTGCCTGACGTCTTCTTTCCGCCGAGCTGAGTAAAAACGTGGAGGGGAGAAGAAAATAAAGAATATTATGGTTGTGGCTTCTTGCCGTCGGGCCTGGTGAAACGGGGTCGAAGAATGGTCGTTGGTTGGGCCTAGGCTACTGCGTGGTAGCCAGCCACGGCCTCGGTGATGTCTGCGTCAGGCATGCCATGATCCAGGAAGCATTTAGTGAAGCTTGACACCCGGGACACAGGAAGCACTAAGGTTTGCTTGTTTTGGTCTTATTCACACTGCAACCGATCCCCTCCAGCTTCATAATGCAGAATCTTTTGCCTGGCTCGAGTGCGGAATATCTTGTCAGTGCAAACATGACGGGTGAAAGTCATGGTCTGTGGAAAGACGTTGAAGCTCCGACACCGGGGCGGCCTTTGGTTGGACCCAGCCGGAAGGCGCGGGGAGCTTATATTTAGCTTCCCTTGGATGTCGTGGCCAAACCCGGCTCACCTTTTTTTGTTCGGATTGTGCCCGCAGACCATTGGACAAGCCAACGAAGCCGACGAGGCCAACGAAACCAACGAGAGACTGTTGTGGCATGGCTGGCAAACAGCGACAAACTGACGAAGAAACGTGAAGAGACGGCACGGCTGATGCATCACGTCACGTTCTGATCTCGATCGAGGTGACGCATTGCCTAAGCGGTAAGCGCCGGAGCAGCGTCCAAGCGAGGCCGGGGGAGCAGCAGCAAGGAAGAGAGCACGAGCAAGGATGCTGGAATTGGGAGGAAAAGCGGGCGCCCAGAATCCATCATTGGCCGCCACCAGCTCGAGCCGGCCACTCTCCTCACCTCGCCCGCATCCTCGTCCGCAATATCACCCCCTTTTCTGCTTCTGGAATCGACGGCAAAATATTGGTTTGCGCAGCAGCCTTCGCCTCGTGTTTGCCCGCCATCTCTGTCCACCTGCCCCGCGCGAACACGAGTCCGCTACTTTCGTCACACTGCGTCGCTAGCCACGATGCGCTGGCCGAGCCCGGACGCTCAGACAACCGACGGCAAACATGCGGCCTTTTTTCGTGCCTTTTCTCTGCGATTCTCGGGCGAGCCGGCGAGCATGGGGCAGTCTAGACAGGACTATGACGACCCTTTCCCATGCTCAGGCACCGCGGCAGGCAATGCCGACTGACTACTGCATCTGCGGGGCAGGTGGTGCCTGCATGTGGCCTGGACCGCTGTCCTCCGCAAATGACAGGCCGTCAACCCTGCAGCCCTTTGCTAATGATAGCCCAAGACTCGCCGTTGACAGACCGGCTCCAAGCCACCCACCTGATCCCGTCCCATCATCACATCGTTCCTGCGGCTCCCCGGAATAGAGTACGTCAGCCCATGCGGGAAGCAAGCCATGCAACCACTTTCACCCCGCTAGCCCGTGTTTTTTTTCCTGCTCGCCTTCTCCTTTGCCTGGCATATAAGCTGCTTCTGGCCTCCCCTGTCTGCTCTTTTGTTTTCTTCCTTGCTCTTCTGCTACATTTCTCTTTGGAAGACACCCACGCTCGCTATTCTTTCTAATCAATAGTCTTAATTCCAATGCGCTGCTCCACACTGCTCGGCCTCGCGGCCAGCCTCACCACGGCCGCCGCCCAGCTCAAAGGCTTCAACTATGGCAGCACTCTGACCACCGGCGCCGCCAAATCCCAGGCCGACTTCACCGATGAGTTCAACCTGGCCAAGAACCTCGTCGGCGCCTCAGGCTTCACCTCGGCCCGTCTGTACACCATGATCCAGGGTGGCACTGCCAACACCCCCATTTCCGCCATCCCGGCCGCCATTGATACGCAGACGTCACTGCTGCTCGGCCTGTGGGCGTCGGCCGGCCAGGCCAGTTTTGACAACGAGGTCGCCGCGCTGAAGGCCGCCATTGCCCAGTACGGCAGCGCCTTTACGGACCTGATCGTCGGCATCTCCGTCGGCTCCGAGGACCTGTACCGCGTCTCGCCCACGGGCATCATCAACAAGAGCGGAGCTGGCGCAGACCCGGACGTACTGGTATCGTACATCAACCAAGTGCGCACCGCCATCTCCGGCACCGCCGCGTCGTCGTCCAAGATAGGCCATGTCGACACATGGACTGCCTTTGTGAACGGGTCCAACAGCGCCGTCATCGACGCCGTCGACTGGCTCGGCTTCGACGGCTACCCGTACTTCCAAAACACGCAGGCCAACAGCATCGCCAACGCCAAGGCCCTCTTCGACGACTCGGTGGCGGCGACCCAGGGCGCGGCCCAGGGCAAGCCCGTGTGGATCACCGAGACGGGCTGGCCGGTCAGCGGGCCGCAGGAGAACGAGGCCGTCGCCAGCGTCGCCAACGCGAAGACGTACTGGGACGAGGTCGGCTGCCCGCTGTTCGGCAACACCAACACTTGGTGGTACACCGTCCAAGACGCCGACCCTGACACCCCTAGTCCCAGTTTCGGCCTCGTTCCCGGTGGCGGCGACACCCCGCTGTTCGACCTGTCGTGCAGCGCGAGCAGCAACGACGACCCAGCTCCCTCATCGAGCTCTTCGGCTGGCTCCTTTGCCGAGACCTCGGCCGCTGCCACTGCCGCCTCTTCAGCTGCTTCTACCGCGGCCGCCTCCTCAGCCGCCTCCTCCGCATCGACCACCCCCGCTCCCGCCAGCGGCACCGATGCCGCCCCTCCCGCCTCCTCCTCGGGCCTCACAACCGTCATGGTCACCCTCACAACAACCTACTGCCCCACCTCCACCTCCACCGCCGCCGTTCCCAACCCCAGCAGCAGCAGCACCTTCCAAACCGTCACCACCACCACCACCCCCTCGTCCTCCTCCTCCCCCTCGTCCTCGTCCTCCTCCTCTCCCTCCTCCTGCCCCGCCGACCTCTCCTCCAACCCCTACGAATACCCCCACCTCATCGTCCCCATCTCCAGCACCGCGCCCACCACCCCTCACGGCACCTCCTACAACGCCACCCTCTCCCCCACCACCTCCTCCCTCTTCAACTTCGACCTGCCCGCCTCCCTCGCCGGCAAGACCTGCTCGCTCGTCTTCCTCCTCCCGCAAAAGGCAGAGCTCCAGACGAGCGACTACACTCTTTTGGGGAGTGGTGGAGGTATTGCGGTGACGCGGTTGGCGGAGCCGGCGACGGAGGCGACGACGTGGGATGATGTGTCGGGGAAGACGGGGGGAGCGGTGGGCGGTGTGGAGAGCGTCGTGCCGGGTGGGGCGTGGGTGGTGGCGAGTGGAGAGTGCGAGGCGGGGGCGAGGGTGGGGTATGAGGTTAGTGCGACGGGCGGGCTGGAGCTGGAGTGGTTTGAGGATTGGAATCCTAGTCCGATTGGGCTGTTTGTGACGGTTTGTTAGGTGGTAGTTGTGTGTTTTCTTTTTCTTTTCTTCTTTTTTTTTTGAGGGGAATGGGGAAGACGGGGAGGATGAGAGGAGAGGAGGGAGGGAGGGAATGAGGGGCTGAGGGGTTAATACGTAGGCTTGTGTCGTGGCGTGTCGTATCTTGTCGTGAATATATTCGACATTTGTATAATCTTTGTTGTTGTTGTTATTGTCGTCGTCGTACGGAGCTGTGACGATCAACCCAACCTAGTGTTCCGCCTACTAGTGGGCTGTGGGGAAGTAGAATCGGAGGCGCAGTGGGATGTAGAATAAAAGAATTTGGTCTGCCTTCCTACATCCGCATCGTTTTCGACAGCATTCGCGTCAACGCCTAGACACTACTTCAACCAGTTCCCATCTCGTCGGAATTCCTCTTGACCGCCGCGCCCTCACGGATGTCTGCGATTGTGCGGTCGATGTGTTTACTGGTACCAGATCTTGAGGAGGGAGGGAGGGGGGAGAGGGAGTAGACAGGAGAAGAGAAGGTGTAGTGAGGGTCTGAGAGGATAAGAAACGGAAAGTAGGGACAGTAGATCGGCTTAGTTGATCCTCATGCGCAAGAGGAGGCCAAGAGAAACGCCGGTCAACCGGACGTGTACACCATTAGCAAGGTAGCTAACTCGCTCGCTCGCTCGCAATGCAGGGATGCAAATCGTCATCGTATGTATGTACCCCGAATCGAAGCGCGACAATTCACCGACTGCAGGCCGGATGGCGAGGCGCGAGACGGGTACCCAACCGGTGACATAACGTGATGATCAGCCAAGCACTCCCGTAACCACGAAGCTTTTAGGGGGGGTGTGCAGCGGACGAGTAAGTTGCTCGGCCAAGAGTGGGATCTGCCCTTGGCTATCAATGCTTGATAACGACATCTGATATCGCACAGCCCGACGTCAGACGACCGACGGAAACCACCGCTGATGGGACAAACTCGTGTCCAGTCAGCATGTCCGGAGAGGTTCGCGAGTCAAGGGAAGAGATACAGGCACGCAATCATTATTGCTGTCCCAGTAGCGTTCGGAATTCCGCGGCAACGACCAAAAAAAAAAAAAAGTCAGACTATCTCCAGTCAATCAGGAATCTCGTTCTAATATGACGACAGAAACGACAGTAATGACTCCAAGTTGTACGCCTGATGCTTTTCCCCCCTCGGGTGCTCAGTTACGGAGCAGAGCACGGTATCACCCCAAAAATTCCAATATCCAAGCTTGACTCCTGAAGTCACATGAGTTAAATCTTGATCCTATCTGCTAAAACGCCATTCATGCAAAAGAAAAGAAAGATTTGCTCCCAGTGTCCAAAAACTCTCAAGTCAACGCCAGTCGCCATCGTCGGCGGGCGAGAACGTCGATCCAGTCAATTCGCCGCTGGCCATTGCCAGGTGTGGTGTTGCCGGCGCGTAGCCGCCACAGTTCGTCCAGGACGGTGAGGGCCACCTCGACGTTGTGGAAGTGTCGGTAGTTGACAATGTCCAGCATGCGCTGGCGGATGATGCGTATCTGATCCGCTTGGTCCGTCTCGCCGCCGGCCATGAATAACGGAAACAGCAGTGTCGTCTCGGGCAAGCACCTGACGGGCATTTTCTCCACAGCCTCGACGATGCCCTGAACGGGGGTGGCCATTTTGCGATTCAGGGCGGGCGTGAGGTCTGGGAGGTGGCGACGCAGGACTCGGTAGAGGTGGATCAGTGCGGCGTTGCGGTAAGTCTCGGCCATGGCTCTCAGGTGAACGTCCTGGCATTCGGGCGGAGTCCACTCTTGGAGTTCGATTTCCAGGTGCTGTGCTCTACTCGAGAAGTCGGACCTGGCTTGTGATTGTCCGTTGGGCTCGGGCTGTGGGATGTCTGAGCGGTGGACGTGCTGAATCTCTGGGTCCTCCAATATCTTTGCTTCGTCTTCCCCAACCACGGTTGGGGATGTCGCGGTTGTGCATGACGAGGTCGGAGAGGGGGACTTGGAGGCCTCGTGGGCAAAGGCTGCAGCGGCCTCGGCCATGTCGGCGTTGAGAACACTGATTTCTGAGACGAGATAGATTATTCTGGATGCCAGGCCAAAATAAGAATCCGCCGCCTCATCATCCGCTGCTTGCCAGTAGTAGCCCGAGATGAGTGGGCGAGCGTTCATGGTGACGGTATGCAGGGCATCGTGATAAGCAAAGTTGCGCTTCAACCACCGACCTTCAAAAGTGTTGAAGAATTGGGCCAGCTGGTCTGAGCTGAGCTGGCCATCCTCATACATGGTGCCCGAGGTGGCGCGTATTATCTGGGACGCTCCGACCAGGTGGTTGTACCACTTGCTGGTGTCACCGAGAATGGACTCCATGGAGCACAAAACCAGGCAGCAAGACAAGTCGAGCTCGGGGTCTCGGTCGGTAGAAGAAAGAGAAGAGGCAAGAGAACTCAAGGCATTGCTCCGGCTCTGCAATGCAAGGACTTCGTACGACTTGTCTCTTAACGACAAGTGAGAAGAAGAATGAGCGATGATGGCATTGAGCAGCATGGGCGACTCGGTGGCCATGGGAAGGAAGACTGGGCGGTCAGCGCGGGGCTCGGTGGGAGTCGTCGGGGGGCAAGCTCACCAGAGGCAAAACAATTATTCTCAAGCGTACTGGTTAGAAGGGTGGAAAGGGTCTGAAGGTAATAGCGCAGGAGGAGTCTGCGGCTGGTTGCGGCAGACCCGTCGCCTGCGGTCCCGGGGTAGGTGGCGACGGGGTCCAAGGAGAGGGTCGGGGCGGTCCAGGTAGAGGTGGGCACGGCCAGCACGGTCGACGACGAGGTCGCGAGAACCACGGTGGTGTCGGGCTCGGCGGGTGTGCCGTTGGCGGAGCCTTCTCCGGGGGCAGGCTTGCCATTGCCAACGACGGGTTGACGAGGCTCCTCGCGGATGCACTCAAAGTTCAGGCGGCGGCAGTGGTCGCAGACGGGCTGCAGCGAGCGGTTAGCGGCAGCGGGCGTGGGCTGGCGGGCGACTTACATATTCATTGGTGCATTTCTTCTTGCTGCAGCGGCCAGGTCAGAAGGTCGATGATTACATGATGACTCTTGCTGGAACACGCACCGACGCCGGCAGGTGACGCAGCCGGTGCGTTCTCTGGTCGTGCCGGTCCGCTTCCGGACACGTCGTTTGGCGGTGGTGTGGGGGTCGGGCTGGTCGGCGGGGGTTGCAGTGTCGGCCATGCTGCTACATAGCGCGGAGAGGGTCGGGATTGGCGGACAGGCGGCCCGCAGCACCAGGGCTTGTCCACAGCGAGTCTTGCGAGGCGGCGAGCTTGCGTGGGCAGTGCTTGCGGGCCTGGCGAGGATAAAGGGCGTCAACGGCGGAGGGAGGGTTGAGCAGCGGCCTCAGCGGCGCGGAAAGCTTTGGTTTGAGCCATCAGCCCGGCCGCACGTGACCGGGCCACAAGCGGCTAGCCGGGCTGAGCGTCTCCTATCTCCACGCGGATCCGCAATCCGGATCCCGCTCCTCCATCCTGCTCCATCCGCACCCCCGCCTGCCATTGGCTCCCGTTGACTAATCCCCAACACCACCGCTGCAGAAAGCACCGTCTGACGGCCCCGGCCATGCCGCCCGCCTTGGTCATGGCCCACCCCGCCCGCCAAGCGCTGTATAAGCTCTGAGCATACCCAGCCCATCCCGTCACCGTCATCGTCGTCATAGCCATAATCACCCTCGCATCGATCCCTTCACCGCCCCACTGCCATGTCATGCACCACGCTCTGCGCTCCGGCCCGCTCTGCATCGTCTCCGGCTGCCGAGGTGGAGGTGGCCGAGTGGATGAGACACGTCCAGGCCTGCTACTGATGAGAGACCTGGCTGGGGTAGCTCCATGTCGACTTCCAGCCGGAACCGGTGGCGGCGTTTGGTGCCGAGAGCCCTAGCGGGATGATGCTTGGCCGTGTGTCGCTGCTCTGTCTAGGTATTCAGCGACGGTTCGCTTTGGCGCAGACTTCACCAGCTTTGGAGCAGGGCGTGTAAGGAGATCATAATAGTTCCATGACCGTCTTAGAGCCGCAATAATATGCTAGCTGATCTTATTCAACAGAACACATTCCAGGTGAGACGAATTGTCGAGAGCCGTGCCACAGTGATATACAAAACGGTTTACTGCCTACTTGATTCAAAATCCACATTGGCATCTGACGAACCCCCTCACAGCCCGTGCAATGTCGAGGCAGCAGCGACTGAGGTCCAAAAACGTCTTCTCGAAAAGTCTTTGTCAAGCAGGCGATGCAGCAGGCGCACGAGGGCTATCTCCAGATGCATAGTAGACAATCAAATTGCCGAATTCGGCAACCGCACGGCCACGGACGGCATTGCTTCCCGTTGCAGAAGGTGATGGGAATAGGAACCGGATTTGAGGAAGTGCCTGGGTCGGCCAATGCGGCGGGGTTGATATGTCAGGCCCTTGGCTGCGCCACGTGCGGCTGGTGTTGGGCCCAAGAAAGAGCTGCGGCTTCGGCAAAAACACCGTCGTCCACCCTCCACCACCATGCCACGAACTCGCAAGACATGATCCTCCGACCGCCCCTGCTGCGCAATGCGCCGCCTCTGCACAATGCCGCTCCCCTGTGTCTGCGCTGCCTGCGCAGGCTCGAACGCTCCAAGCTCCCGCCCGCCCGCCGCCTGCTGTCCACCTCGCGCGCTGTCAACGACGCCGCCATCGCCGCCCGCAACCCCCGCACCCCGTTCAAGAAGGAATACTTTTGGGCCAATGCCGTCCTGGACGACGTGCTGCAGGGCGCGCGACGCGGCGTATGGAGCACCGCCGTCCCCGGCCGCAATGCCGACAACAACAAGGACGATGCCGCCGCCGCCGCGCCCTCGACGCTGCACGACCAACCCAAGATAACCCACGTCGTCGGCACCCACGCCACCGCAGGCACCGAGCTCGCCAACGAGCTGCCCCACCGCCGCCGGAAGCGCCTAAGAGAAGAAGCCAAGCAGCAAGCCGCCTCAGAAACCGAGATCCGCCCCGACGCCTCGGCCGCCCTCTCGACCAGCGCGCAAGCCCTCCCCGCCCAGTCGCTCCGCCGCCGCTTCTTCACCTACCTCGCCCTCACCAAACCGCGCCTCTCCTTCCTCATCGTCCTCACCGCCACCGTCCCCTACGCCATCTACCCCGTCCCCGCCCTCCTCGCCCCAGCCGCGACATCCACGCCCTCCCTCTCCACCCTCACCCTCCTCTTCCTCACCACCGGCACCGCCCTCTCCTCCGCCTCCGCCAACACCTTCAACATGCTCTTCGAGCCCGCCCACGACGCCAAAATGAGCCGCACCAAGAACCGGCCCCTCGTCCGCGGCCTCGTCAGCAAGCGCGCCGCGCTCGTCTTCGCGCTCGCCACGGGCGCCGCGGGCCTCGCCTCGCTCCACTACGGCGTCAACCCCACCGTCGCCTTCCTCGGGGGGCTCAACATCGCCCTCTACGCCGCCGTCTACACGCCGCTCAAGCGCCTCTCCGTCGTCAACACCTGGGTCGGCGCCGTCGTCGGCGGCATCCCCCCGCTCATGGGCTGGACCGCCGCCGCCGGCCAGTGCGCCACGGGCGCCGGCGCCTGGCACGAACTGCTGCTGGGTCCCGGCAGCGCGGGGGGTTGGCTCCTCGGCGCGCTGCTGTTCGCGTGGCAGTTTCCGCACTTCAACGCGCTGTCGTGGACGATCAGGGAGGAGTACAGGAACGCGGGGTACCGCATGCTGGCGTGGACGAACGCGCGGATGAACGGGCGCGTCGCGCTGCGGTACTCGCTGCTGATGTTCCCCGTCTGCGTCGGGCTGGCGGCGGTCGGCGTGACGGATTGGGGGTTCGTCGCGACGAGCTCGGCCATCAACGGGTGGATGACGTACGCGGCCGCGAGGTTCTGGTGGTACGAGGGCGCGAGGGGCACCGCCCGCGCCTTGTTTTGGGCGAGCGTGTGGCATTTGCCCATCGTGCTGGTGCTGGCCATGGCGCATAAGAAGGGGTTGTGGCAGCGGGTGTGGAACTCGGTTGTCGGCGAGCCGGTTGTGGAGGAAGACGAAGAGGAGGACGATGAGTACTGGGACGAGGATGAGGACGAACAGAAGGCGGTGCCGCAGCCTCCGGGAAAGCCGCTTGTGCCGGTCGCTGGTAGGTAGGACTTACCGGGAATTGGTGGGACAGTGATCAGGGCGAATTGCGGTTTGATATGCTGCCTGGCCGCCCTCATTTCAGAAGCGGCAGCAACGACAACATCAGCAAAATGGTTGGCCGCCAATCGTGCTGCTAGGTCGTGAATTCTTTTTTTTTATGAACCCATTGTACGTTTGTATCTCTCGAGCTTTGTTTATCCACGGGGGTGGTTCTTTTAGGAGGAACGAATGAGCTGCGCTCCAGCAGAATGGCTTGGGAGAATCACGTAATCGGCACCTCTCAGGAAGATCCTTCGTATGAGTAGTTGAAGCAAAGTATCTCGACGTAGATGTAGGATTAAACGACACTTCTTTATGAGTAGCTAAAGCCAAAGTTGTGACGTGAATATAGGTTCAGTCGGTCGTTCCTTATAGGTGCGCTTGTGCGGTTTTGCTAGGGTGCGTGCGGTGTGTAGGTAGATTGCGAGGTGGTATGGTTTGATGCGCTCGTCGCGAAGTGAACGTTCGCCATACGCATGGACAATAACGGATGGTCTTTATAGTGGTAATGACGTCTTGGGTAGGTGGGCTTAACGCGCCGCTGGGTGCTCTTCGTCTACCCGTTCCTTCCTATCCACGCCCGTTCATTAACATTCTATCCACGCCCGTTCATTGACACTCTATCCACGCCCCATCTCCACTAATGGAAATTCTTACTCTCAGCCACCCGCTCACCATTACTACCACCTTCGGTTCATTCTAGAGCTGGCGGTGCTTCGCAACTCTCACTCTTCGGCTTGCCCGCCGGATATATGACGCTTCTCACCAATTCGAGGGCGTTTCCACAGGCCGACGCCGTCACTACTGGACCCTGAATCTTTACCGAGCTTCCACCGACTATTGTCTGTCAAAATTGCTTCACGGAACTCACACCCTCACCCAACCGCTAACTCTCTTTCGAGCACCAGATCGTGAAGCACCCACGGGTCACCCTCGTTCTCCTTTCGGCTGTTTGCCTCTCACTTCGCGCAACAGCCTCAACATGGCTAAATCAAGCCAAGCAAACGGCGCCACCTCGACCTGGTGGGTGAACTCATTCGTGACAATCAATGCGCAAAGCTGCAGCATCTCGTTTTTCCAACCGGTTAACGACGCTTCACCGACGAATTCCTCGCTTGGACCCGACCACCCGTTACCATCGGTCGAGGGAGGAATTAAAGAGGAGTCCCCGACCCCGGCTCTGACAGCTCCGGACAAGTCCAGCCCGTCAGTGTCACTAGAGGATGAGCAGGTCGACTCAGGCGAAAGCGCTGTAAGCGATCAGGAAGATGTATCGTCGCTATACAAGCGATTCGCGGTCAAACGCAGTGCTCCAAGAAGTAGTGGCTCCTCAAAGTCAACGAAGACGCCCTGCGCCAAGAAAAGGAAGACCAACCCGTTCTTAACGCCCGACCGCCCAATTATCTCAAACTCACTATCGTTGACCGCCGACTTTTTTCGTGAACAGGCTGATCAGCTACCCCAAAAGCAAAGGCCACACGAGTGGACGTTTCAGGAACGAGAAGCCCTTTGCCTCATTCTTATATTCTACGAAGTCGATACCGCATTCAATGGAGTTGCCAAGATCTTAAACGAATACTTTAAGGTCCCTCCTAACGACTCTTTTCGGCCTCGGCAAATTATGGCTCAATGGCAAAGTTGGCGGTACTTATTCCGGAAGCGACCTGTTTACGATCCCAAGACCGAGTGGCAAGAAAAACGCATAGTATACGAGGCAGCCGCTTCTCGTGCTAAAGTAAAGTTAAAAACGAGAGCCGTCCAACTGGTGGAAAAGACGCTTAGCCCCAAGTTTCCGAAAATCGCCGAAAGGGTTACTACTCAAGACGCATGGTTTATTACGCATCTACTTCGTCTAAGAGATACTCATCATCGACTCCCGTCTATGGATTCTCCTTTGGCCGCCCAGTCATTGACTACTACGGATAGTGATATTCTTCAACAGCTACTAGCCGCAGCTAAGCCCGAAGACTCGCCAACGCCATCATATAGTTCGAGCGAGATACTTCAAACTTCCTATATCACTCCAACGGCAAAGAACGACCAGCCCTCCCTCCTATACCGGGTATATCACGCCGAAAGCAACGGCCTCAACTCCCCCACCGAATTCCGCGCCGGCCTATTCAACATCCCCGGCAAAAGTCTCGTCCCCCCTCCACAAGACAACACAATCCTCCCAGTATTCGCCTCGTGGCACCTATGGCACCACACCGTCTCCTCCCCCTTCATCTCCTGCACCGACTCCCTCATCATGGCCGTCCACAAAGCCCGCCAAGCCGAAGCCGCCGGCCTCCACCCCGTCCACATCTCCATCATCGACGCCCCCCTCGCCACCCGCGGGTCCTCCAGCCACATCCACGGCTTCCCCGCCCGCCCCCTCGTCCTCGAAGCCCGCCGACGCGGCCTCGTCCCCGACATGCGCTACAGCGGCACCCGCGAGATCTTCGTCTGGGCGCGCATCGCGCCCGCCGCCATCATCCACGACGTGCCCTTCGGCCGCCTGCGCTCGCTCACCGCCGACGACTTGGGCGTCGCCGACCTCCTCGCCCTCGACGACATCGACCCCGACCGGCGGCTCGGCCGCGTGCGCAAGGCGCTGCTCGACGAGGTGGTGCTCGACGCGTCGGCTGGGTACGCCGTCGGCAGGCTTGCGGCGCTGTTCGGGCTGGCCGGCCGGTCGCACTCGCACTCGTCGTTGTCGTCGTGGCCGCCCATGGTGGAACAGTTTGTGTACGACGTCTTTCAGGGGTGGGTGCTGGGCGTGGTGCCGGGGTGTGAGCGGGAGATGGCGGAGGGGTTTCTTGTTGGGCTGAGGGACGCGGAGGCGGGAGCGGGGCCGGGGCCGGGGGCAGGAGGCGCACTGGTTGGGCTGCATGGAGAGGAAGATGGGCTGTTGCGGGAGGCGTTTGTGGGTGGCGTGGAGAGGGCGCAGAGGTGTTTGAGGAAGGAGGGAAGGTTTCGGCGGAAAGTGAAGTGATTGGGATTTGGGGGAAGGGCTTCGGAAGGAGGAAGGGGGCAGCAAGATGAGGGCGTCATACTCTTCTGCTTTTGTGGTTAACCTTCTTGATTGGTTTTGTGGCTTTTGGGAGGAGCGCCGCGCCTGGTGGGTGTCTCTTATCCTCGGTCATTTGTGTTTGTCTGTCTTTCGGAGATCCCTTTCTCTTTCTCTTTCCCCTCACCACTGTCGTGGATGCTCACGAATGGTGGTGGCCATTATTTCCAAAGGTGTAGACAGGACTAAGTCTTAAGTGAACGCGTGTTAGTATCGCGAGAATATTGCATAACAATCATTACAACGCACAAATGCTTGCATCACGCTCCGCCTTATCTTTCTGCATTCTCTAGCACCCCGCACCCCCTCCAATGTACGGATTCGACTACGGTAAGTACCCACGTAATAGTAGTGGTGGACGAACGAAAAGAAGAAAACAAACTTTCAGAAACGCCTTTTTGATCAAAATGAAAAGATGCCGGTGATGCAAAACCGCAGCAATGTTATTGGACGGACGGACGGATGGATGGATGCCCTTACTCTGATTGTTGCAAACCCCCATCGTTCTTTTCCCCAGAAAGAAACCAACAAGCCCCACGATCCCACGATCCCACGATCCCATCCCATGATCCCATGATCCCATCCCATCCCCTCCCGTCCCCTTTCCTCCCCTCCCTTATCCGCTCAATCAACCAAACCAAACAAATCAATCATACCCAGCATCATCCCCCGCCGCCGCCGGCGTCTCGGGCATGCCGCCACCATAACCCCCAGGCGTCTCCGGATACTGGGCCGGCGTCGGCGCCGCCGCAGGCGTAGCGCCGTACCCACCACCGTACGCACCGCCAGCACCACCACCGCCAGCACCACCACCGCCACCGGCACCACCACCGCTGCCACCACCAAACCGCGGTGTCGGCACGTCGGCGGCGGCGGGGGTGGGGGCGCTGAAGCCGCCCGGGGTGGGGGCGTCGAAGGCGCCGGGGGTGGAATGCGTCGCCCACGAGGAGCCGGGGGTGGCGTGGTGTAAGTCTTTAGAGGAGGAAGAGTTGGGGTGGTAGGCCGGGGTGCGGGAGCCGGCGGCGCCCCAGGCGGGGGTGCGGCCGCCGTCGGTGGGGGCGTTGTTGTTGCTGCCGCCCCAGGAGGAGGTGGTGGAGCCGGCGCCGTAGGGGGTGCGGGAGGAGGCGGACCAGGTGGATGAGGAGGGGTTGCGGGACTGGTGGGGCGGGAGGTGTGTGTTAGAAAGATGGTTGTTGCTTGCGCTGGTTGGGGAGTGAAAACTTACAGAGTCGCCGCCGTAGGCTGTGCTTCCGCCGTAGGCCGTGCTGCCGCCGTAAGCGGTGCCACCGCCGTAGGCTGTGCGTCCGCCGTCGCCGCCGTAGCTCGTCCTGCTGCCGTCGTTGCTGCCGGCCCAGGCGGGGGTGCGGCTTGAGCCAGAGTTCCAGGCTGGAGTGCGGCCGCCGGCTCCGCCGTATGATGTGCCCGAGCCGCTCTGTTGCCAGGCGGGCGTGCGGGAGGGAGCCCCTCCCCACGCTGGTGTCCTGCCACCGGACTGCGCTCCCATGGGGGTTCTACCACCAGACTGGCCCCAGCCTCCGGGAACGCGAGAGCCTGGGGTGGAGCCACCGTAGCCGCCTTGACCTGGCCCGCCGCGACCGCGACCACCACCGCCGCCGATGGTTGCTCCAGTGATGGGATCCTTGATGCTTAGGGTGTCCTTCGGCACCGTGATGGTTTTGTTCTTGGTGTGTAGCTCGACACGAGCCTCGAGGTCAGTAGTGTCTTTTACGATACCGAGCAGACCCTTGTAAGCACCCTTTCGGACGATGACCGTCTTGCCGAGCATTCTGTCGCGACCCATGGTCTTTGGTGGGGCCATGGAGCCGGGTCCGTTGGGTCCGTTCCGCAGATCCTGGCGCTGCAGGAGAGGATTCATCTTTGACAGATCAGGACCGGCACTACTAACTTTGCCACTCTTGGCGGCAACAGTAGTAACGTTTCCGGAGCGGACGACGAAAACACCGGCATTCTCTGCACGGCTTTTGTTCTGAACGAAAAGGAAGCTGCGGTGAATGTGAAGGACACGGCCCTGGCGCTGTTCACCACCGTATTCCTTCACGGTGTCCTCGGTGCGAATCTCAGAGCCATCCCGGTCAGTGGCGACAGCGTTCTTGCGTCTGTCAATCCGATTCGAGATGTTCGATGGCAGAAGAGTGCGAACGGTGCCGTTTTGGTCCAGAACACGGAGAGACTCGCGATCCAACTTGATGATACAGGCAACCGTAGAAGCATCGAGCTGAACGAGATCAAACAGGTCGTACTTCGAATCGCTCTGCATGCCACCGCTGTCAGACGCGACACGCAGATCACGACTGAACACTGTGATTTCCTGGTTGGTGGAGTCCGTAAGAAGAGTGACGCGGTCGTCCCTGATCTTGATGACCATACCAACTTCGTCATGGTACTTGCTACCGCCGACGACCTTGACGTGGTCTCCCTCCTTGAACAGCTTCCGGAGCGATTTGACGGGTGCTTCCACCTGCTGACCCTTCAACTCGCCTTCTTGTACCCTGAGCGTCACAATGTCGTTGTGCACTGCAATCGCTTTGCCAGACACGCCTTGCTGTTCGCCGTGGTAGATTTCTACCATGTCGCCAGGCATGAAGTCGGCGCCGGTCGAGGCTTGCTTCAGGGTTGCTGCAAGAGCCGCGAGATCCAGGTTTTCGGTGCCATCATCCCCGCCGGCTGCGAATCTTGTAACTTCCTCCAGGCGCGGGTTGACGTTTTCCGTCTGGAGTTGGTTGAGCTTGACAGTCTTGTGGAGGAATCCATCGATGTAACGCTCCTTCTTGTACGTCCAGATTCGGTGGCCGGACAGGGAGTTTTCCTGGGTCAGGAACTTGAGATGCTTCTTCTTGGCTTCGGTTTCGCTGAACAGTCTCGGAGCAGGGCGGGTTGTGAGAGGGCCGGGGCGCTTGCGCTTGGCATCAGCAGGGGCGTTAGGGTCGTCGTGGAGTCCATAATCCAGGCGAGGGATAAGGCGGATTGCCACCTCATTTCCGTTCGCCTCCACCTCGTGGACCTGGGCCAAGTCGCCAGCATAGAGACTGACGCCTTTGACACGGACGTACATGCCCTCAGTGAGCTCCTTCGACTTCTTGACTCGAAGCAAATCCGGCATCTCCTTGAGAGGGACCAGCACCATCTTGCCGCGGACGTAACAGAACGAGATGTTCTCACAGGCAGCCATGACGGCGGCCTGCTTCCGAGCCTCGACATAAACGTAACCAGCCGCGACGCCGCCGCGTTCGAAGACGGAGCAGATCTCAAGAGGTTCGCGAGTGCCCAAACGGTCCTCAAACCTCTTCATGATATCGTAAACGACCTCCTTCTCTTTTCCGGGCTTACATCCTACACCCCAAATGGTGGGATCATCAACACTGGGAAGAAGTAACCTCTGCGGAAGCACGTCGGAGTTCACGGCAGATGCGCGGTTGCGTCCGTAGCGCTCCTTCAGCGCGGCAGCCTGTTTCTCGGCGTCCATGCTAGCCTCGAGTTCGCGTTGTCGGTCGAGTTCTCTGTGGCGACGGTCGTCGTTCTCGGCGCCGGCGGGCATGTCAAGCAGGTCGTCGGGGTGAGTCTCCTCCGGAAGCTCGTCATCCTCGTCAAGCTCCTCCTCGTCTTCCTCGTCGACTTCGGCTTCCACATCGATGAACTGCAGGCGGGCATCACGCTTGCGGCGCTTGCGTTGGTGACCCTAGCATCTTGTCAGCAATCTAGCGCACTGAGTGACGCGCGAGATGGGGACTGACCACGACCTCCTCCTCGTCCTCGTCTTCCTCGTCATCCTCTTCATCTTCCTCGTCATCCTCACCGCCTTCTTCATCTTCACCGCCCTCCTCGTCGTCCTCGGCTGCGGCACCTTCGTCTTCGTCGGGGCTTTGGTGTCTGCTGGGCTTCTTGCCGCCCGTTCTGCCCGGCCTCACTTCATCCTCGTCATCTTGATCGTAGGTCCTGGCGACTTCATCCTCGTTGTCGGAACCAACAGCAGGCTCGTAGTTGAAAGGCTCATCGTCCGACTCGGAGCCAGCAAGGTCGTCGCGGTTTGACATGGTTCAATTGCGCGGTGGCGCCGCACGAGACGGGAGAGAGGCGGATCGCGCGACACGACACCAGGCGGACGAGTGCAGTGGTGGTGCGCGGGAGATTGATGTTGGGTCGAGGGAGCGGCGAGGGTTGGAAGATGTTTCTTTGTGGTGAAAGTGAAGCCAAGGTCGCGGCAGCTGCGCGAGCTGACGGGGGCGCGCCGGGCCGGCAAGTCCCGCGCCCAGTCGCCGAACAATCCCGTGACACTCGGCTGATCCCCGGCGGCTCGCACGCGCACCATCTTTCTCGCGCTCAACACCATGATGCTCTCTTAACCCTCCAGATGTCCGTCCCGCTGCATGTGAGCCACCCTTCTCTCCATCACCTGCTTAGCGGTACTCATTCCACCCCAGCATGCATGCACTCGCACCCCGGTGACTGCCCTTGCCTTTGCGGGCCAATACATTCTCACTGCCGAAGGCCCATTTTTGCGCGTCTTCCTCAAAAGTGGTTCGGACTGCCTCTTCACTGAGAAAATCTTTGAGAACCAGACGGTCCACGGGCTTGCAGTCGTCGATGCGTCCCACTCGGATTATTTGTCAGTGATTGCGTACGGAGGACACCTTGTCCGGCACCTGCGACTTTCGCATGATGGAATTGCGCGTACATTTGGTCTGGACCAGGGCCCAGTCGCCCGGGTTTCGGACTGGGTTTTAGATCTCGCCCACCCCTTTCAAAAGCTTAACACCACTGTTGCTGTCACTGCCCACAACCAAATCGTACGACTTTGCTGGACAAGCTCGCCGCCAAGTGCTTGCCTGACCGTCTCCAACCTTACCGTCAGCTCCCGCTGCATCCTCTACTCGGCGCATCTCTCTTGGCTGTCCGCAGCCAAGGTCCTCGTCGCCTCGGGAACCGCCTTCGGTGAGATCTTGGTCTGGTCCTGCGACTTCACCAACCTTGACAAGCCGCGCTCATGCGTCCACCACTTTTTTACCGGTCACGAGGGATCTGTCTTCGGCGTTCAGATCTCACTGCCGTTCTACGTCTCAGAAGACCAGACAAACCGTCATCAGCTGTTGGCCAGTTGCAGCGATGACCGCACTGTGCGCATCTGGGACATCTCCCAACTACCCGACGGAGGGGACTTCTCCACATCAGACGACGCTCTCGGCTTGGTGCAGGACCGAGAGACTGGCTTCGGCGCCAATGCCAACTCAGACCAGGAAAACTGCCTTGCCGTAGCATGGGGGCATACTTCGCGAGTATGGGCGATTCGCTTTATTGCTTTCTCCCCGGCCGACAAGGCCCGTCGCTTCGTCTCTTTTGGTGAAGACGCAACAACCCGTGTCTGGGACCTCAACTGCACCTTGTCCGCACACGACCGGTCTCCGCGCTTGAAGGTGGATGCCACGCTTCTGGATACGCGGGCTTTTCACTCTGGGAAGAACATCTGGGCCATGGATATAGCCACACCCACGCAACCTGCAGACTTCGAAATCTGTACTGGTGCGGCAGACAGTGCAATCGTCAGCCACCATTGGCCCTTGACACCCCTCGAGTCAGTCTCACCGCAACCGACAACTGATGCCCACAGGTGCTGCTCATTTGTCTCTGATCGCGTGGTCATATCCGCTACGAACAGTGGCAAAGTCATCAGGGGCAGTGACAGCAACAACGCTTTCGCCTGGGAGGTCGTGGACCAGATTGACGATCTCAAAGGCTACTCGGTTTCAGTTGGCTTGCCGGTGTGCAACCTAGCATTTCTGGCCGGCAGCAGCGGCAAAATCTACGCATACCAGGACAGCTCTCGCCAGTTTTCTGTTGTTGCCCAAATGAGTCGAAAGATCGCCACAATCTTCGCCTCCCATTTTTGCGACTTGGACGGTGCAGGCTTTATCAGCCTCATTGTCACAACCGTCGGCGCCAAGGTCACTGAAAGCTTTCTCTTTTCATGGGAACCTGACTCCGTAGGACTTGTACTAAAGAAGAAGACAACACTAGACTTACCGCGCTCGTTTGTCGTCACAAGCGCTCTATACACCCCGATGCTGGTTCAGACAATAATCTTCCTGGGTGCCAGAAATGGTTCAGTGGCACAGTTCTCTGACACAGCCCGAGAAGAGGCTTCGGAAGTTGAGACTCTGCAACCATGCGCTGTTTTCGAGCTTCATGCGCCGGAGACGGTGACCGCGCTAGCGTGGATACCACACGAGTCGTCAACGCTCACCCAAAACCACCTCCTTGGCTACTTGATATCCACAGGTCGCGACGGACATTATGCCACTACAGAGATCTCCACCGATATGCACGCCATTGTTGCTCACCAAATCAGCCTGCCTTTCGGTCCAAATATTGAGGGATGCTTTGTGGACAGAGGCAGTCTCGTTGTGTACGGCTTTCGCGGCAAGCACTTTGTTGCGATTGATGCTTCCACGGAGCAAGAAGTTTTCTCCGTCGAGTGTGGAGGTGCTCACCGCATCTGGAGCTTCTGTCCGTCCGACGCCAGCGAGGGAGGTACCTTTGTATGGAATCAAGCTTCCACGCTGAAGCTGCATTCCACTAGCGGGGTGTCCCATAAGATCATCAGATCCGGTGGCCATGGCCGAGAGATCAAGAACGCAGCTGCATGCCCGAGCAATCCACGCATGGTTGCAACAGGAGCCGAAGACACCACGATCCGTATCTTCGAGTATGGCGTGCATGACAGCTCACTTCCCGATTTCAGATGCGTGAGGGTGTTGCGAAAGCACGTCACGGGTATACAGCACCTCGCTTGGTCTGATGATGGAAAGTATCTCTTCAGCAGCGGCGGCTATGAGGAGTTTTTCGTGTGGAGGGTACGCCAACTCCCAGTGGTTGGTCTAGGCATCGTGTGTGAGGCAGTCTGTCCGCCGGAGAGTGAACTGCCCGACCTACGAATCATGGGCTTCTCCATCCAAGCAAGCCCCAAGGCGGGAGCCGACGCCAGCTTCCTCGCCACACTCGCATACTCAGACTCCACCATCAGAGTAAGCAGCCCCCACCACCACCAAATGCACTCAATCACCGCTAACACACCCCCGCCACCACAGACCTACTCCTACATCTCCACCCCCACCGCCAAGACCTTCACCCTCCTCCACGCCGGGACCTACCTCACCTCCTGCCTCACGCAAACCACCTACCTCACCCCATCGCTCCTCCTCACCGCCGGCACAGACGGCCACATCGCCTTCTGGCCCCTCCCCCCCACCAATAACAACAACACCAACGCCTCCGACGCCTCCGCCTCCGACTCCACCTCACCCCCCCTCCCCCTAACCCCCACCTCCCGCACCCCCATCCACCAAAGCACCATCAAAGCCCTCGCCCACACCCGCCTCTCCCCCACCACCTCCCTGCTCCTCACCGCCGGCGACGACAACGCCGTCGCTTTCACGCTGCTGCTGCTCCGTGCAGACGACAGCGCGGCGGCCGCCGACGCCGACGCCGGAGGAGGAGGAGGCCCCGACGGTGCTGGGTCCGCCGGCAACGACGCCGTCAGGACGAGCACTCTCGTCATCCCTCGCGCGCACGCCGCGACGGTTACGAGCGCGGTGTTGCTCTGTGCGGGTGATGATGGTGGTGGTGGTGGTGGTGGCGATGATGACGGGAAGAGAAGCGATGCGGACGCAGACGCAGACGCAACGGCACCAACGACATCAACGACGACGACGACGACATCGACGACGCCGAAGACGACGACGACGCAAATGAAGCGGCTCCTCGCCATCACGGCAGGCAGCGACCAGCGCGTCAAGGTGTGGGAGGTTGGCGTCGACGTCGACGATGGCGTGGGCGTGGGCGCGGAGGCGGTAAGGGTTAGGCGGTTGGCGGACGAGGGGACGGCGGTGGCGGATGTGGCGGATGTGGTTGTCTTGGCGGGTGGTGGTGGTGGTGGTGGTGCGGGAGGGGACGGAGATGGGGTGGGGGAGCTGCTGCCGCCGGGGCGGAGGGTGAGGAGGACGACGGGCAGGACGAGGACGGTGGTGGTTGTGGGGGTGGGGATGGAGGCGTGGGAGGTGGAGGTTGGTGGACTGTGATGTATCGTGTGGGCGCGGCGGTGTGAGCTGAGACGAGGGGGTTGGGCTGGTTTTTGGGGTGGATAGATGTTTGGTTGGTTTCATGATGCGTGTTTTTCTCTGTATAGGAAATAGATAGGTGTCTTCGCCTGGTCGGTTGCCTGACAATCGATACTATCGGTGTTGTACATACAAGATCTAGCAAAAGTCTTGGATCCTTCCGCACAGTGGTGGTAACACGAACTCCTTCGCTGTGTCTTATTCCCCGCGCAAAACAAGCAAGCGAGCAAGCAAGCAAGCAACATTGCCGAGGGTGGTACAAGTCGATTCTGCGCTCTGCTTTGTTGTACGCCTACATATATGTATCACCGCGGCGCGGGAAGCCTAATCGCGCTTCCGCTTCTTCGCGCCTCTGAAGAATTTTCAGTTACGCAGATAAATGCGAGTGAGGATGAATGTAACTACGGAGGACAGGGAGGAGGATCTGAAAGCTTGTGTCTCGCTAGTAGTGGGTTATTCCGACATGGGCGGAAAATTATCCGTAACAAACTGCTGTATGCAGTAAGGCGCGGCTCGGAAACAGACAGCAAGAACACGGATAGATGTCGGAAAAATCGAGCACAATGATGTTATTGGTGCCTATGAGCGGTAACAACAGCCGCCACAAGTGTACAGCTACCTGAGTATTTCTCAGATACAATGAATAGAACGCTTCAATATCAGCCGCTTGTGGTATTCCATCGCCGAAACTTGCCGTCGCTCAACAACGCGCACTATGCTTTACGGAAAAAGAGAGAATGAGAGCGAAGAAAAGGAAACGCCGGTAAACTGAGAGACAAATGGCAGGAAAACAAAACGCCAAGGAAAAAAACAAGATGAAGAACCATGCAAGAGGTCTACTTTTGCAATTCCCGGAAGAAAAGGAATTTTGCCGTGTTCAACTCGGCAGTCTTTTCGGCCTCACTACGCAATGGCCAGACCCGCAAGGGCAGTCTGATCAAGCAAGTTCGTCAGACCGAGCGAGTTCTGGCTGAAGCGAGCGTTGAACTTCATGACGCTCTTGATCTTGTTGTACGTCGCAACGTTCAACGGCATGGGCTCCTGCGTAATGAGGAACGTCACGTCCTCGGTGCACGGCGGCGTCGTCAAGCTGCCCGTGTAGGTCAGCAGCGGCGTCTCCTGCAGGTGCTGCGCCAGCGGCGCGAAGTCAAGGGCGGCCGTCTCCGTCACCGAGCCGGGCACTTCGACTTCGGCGATGTTTTGCGTGGCCGCGCTGAGCAGGTCGGTCGTTGCGCCGTCCTCCGAGAGCTGGAAGAGGACGGCCAAGACGACGATCTTGCCCGAGTCGTCGGCCGCCTCGTGCACCATGTGCATCTCGAGCGGGAAGTACTCGTTCTCGATGCGGTGCTCCGACGGCGTGTGCAGGTGGAACTGCGCGAGGTTGAAGGCTTCCCCTCCCACAAAAGTCGTGCCGTTGACGATGGTTTCGAGAGTGGTGCCGAGGTTTTCAAACTCGGCGGACTCGACGTTGGTGATGTTGACGGAGGGGGCTTCGGTCGCCAGGGTTACGGTACTGTCTGGGGTGGCGTTAGAAGAAAGGCTTGAGTGATATCAGGATTATGGGTCCGGGTTCGGGAAAAAACGGAGGTGGGAATATCCAAGGGTGGGAACATCCAAGGGTGGTTGAATGTGTGGGGAGATGGAAACTGGGATGTATGTGGGGGCGTGAAGATCCATACCAAGGTTGATGGGTGATTGGTTGGACCCGTGGTTGCACAGCTCGTTGCCGGCTTCAATGTTGTGCCAGTTGAGAGGGCCGGTCAGGCCAGTGTAGCCGTAGTTGCTGACCTCGACCTCGGCGCGCTTGTTCAAGCGGCGAGGCATCAACGAAGTGCCGTGGAGACAGCTTGCGCTGACCGAAGAGAGCAGCAGGGCAACGGGAAGGATGTTGGAAAGCATGTTGGCAGTGGAGAAGGGAAAGTGGGTGGTCAGTGAACAGATGTAAGAGAAAGTGAAGTTCAACACCACTGAATGAGCGGAAGACTGATACTTAAGAAAGGCAGGAAGATAGACGGATGAGCTGCCAGAGCTGTACAAACGTGGGTCTATAAACGAGAGGCAAATTGCAACTCGGGCTTATCCAGAGCCACAAGGCGCCGACGATGAGGACTCGGAAGGCCTCCAGCTCATCCTGGAACATGGGCAGTGCTCCGCGCCTCCATCTGGTTTGACTGGGCACAGCAGCTGCAGAACTTGGCGGAGACAATGCCGCCACGACGACGACTGTCGAGATGAATGGGGGCAAGGCAGGCGCGTGTCGACTGGATTATTGCAGCCATTCGGGCTGACTTGGCCCGTCAACTTGGCTTGGCGCTGATGCGGGCTGAGGCAGCGCGCGGCAGACTCCTTGAGGAGACGAAGACCATGTCCACAGAATATAAGCAAAGTTGGCAAAGAAGTGACGCTCCCTCAATGGGCATGAAGGACAGCCATCCGGTTTATGACGAACATGGCGAGCAATTAGAAGTCTACCGGAAGTTATAATAGGAGCTGTGGGATTCGCAGAGCTCACTGAAGGAGGGTGAGCACAGCAGGCATCCTGTCAGGCGTGCCGCGGTGGGCGCTGATTTGGCCGAACAGCCGGAGGGTTGCAATCAGAGACGAGCGGGCGATTAATGGCGGGCCGGGCTTCGATTCACGTATTCCTCACATGAAGGAGCTCTTGGCGACGACGGGAGGCGGCGGAGGCGGCGGCAGGCGGCAGGCGGCTCGCACAGAATGGGCGTTGTTCGGCTGCGCCGCGTGGATGACAGTGTGTGCAGGCGGTATAAGACAGCTTGGCGCAGCAGTCATCAGGCCACCCTGCGGCTAAACACCACCGTTCGGGAAATTCCGCCAGGACCAGGACAGGCGCGCGGGCGGAGAAAGATGCGGGGTCCGGTTGGTGCAGGTCCAGCCGGCATGGCCGTCGCCGTGGTGCGTGAGCGGCTGAGGCGGGTTCCTTTTTAACTCGTCGCATTGCGGGCTGGATCGGGTGAGGAGTGTTTGAGGGCACGACCAAACTGCCAGGCGGAGAGACGGCATGCAGCCTGGAAGTCAAGCACACGCGCGTAAACTTGGCTCGCGTGGAGAGTCAGCGGTGGTGCTCGGCACAACGTGCTGATACGGCGTGCCGCAAGGCCGTGTGCTGGCCGGTTCGAGGGTCCAGGGCGGGCCGTTAGGCAGGCTGGCGCCGGCAGAATTATTAATGAGGCACCCGCAGGGTCTAGGTCGGGTCTCGCAGTGCACGGGTGTGAGAACAAGCCTTTTTCTTGACTCGAGAGCGAAACGTGGAGTGCTGGTGCCGTCGTGGAGCCCGCCGTTGCGCGTCGGGCTGATTGGCTCCTGATTGGCTCGGCAGTGTGGCGCAGGGCTGGCTGCTATTCCCGGCAGGCGCGGGGCGTAGCGCGTAGCTAGCTCATCCAGGTCATCCGCCGTCGACACCTCAGGCTCGCCTTGTTGCTGTTCCGCTGTTCCCAGACAACCACTGCCCGCGTGGTCTGTTGGTGCTGCTGCACCCTGGCCCACTAACGACATCCACCAACATCAGCGTAAGTGTCCTCTTCGTCAACACCGGCGCCCGCCTTCCTCTGCGGCTAACCGCCATGTCTCTGTTCAGCTCCTGGTCCCGCCTGCAGCAGGCCGCGTCCACCCTCCTCGCCAGTCAGTCAGCGTCCGAGCATGAGCTACCGCTCTGGCACGAACCACCTACGAATATGGCCTCCGCCTCCTTCCACTCCCACCCGTCCGCTGCCGCCTCGCCCCCACCGCCTCCGCTCGTCCCGCCCGCCCCCATCACCGCGAGCATCCACGCCTCGACCGCCCGCCTGAGACAGAACCGCGCTCTGCCCGACAGCATGGTCCTGCTGCGCCGCCAGGAGAAGCAGCTGCACGACGACCTGCAGGACCTGCTCTACCAGCAGGACGAGGCTTTGCGTCTCGCCCAAGGCGCCCCCGCCGCCCACGACGATGCTGATCTCAGCGGCAGCGCCACGCCCACCGCGCGGAGCTTGGCCGACGAGCATCGCCATCCTCACCAACGGCGCCACTCCAACATCAGAGGGATCCGGGCTGTGCGCAAGGCCATCCGCACCGCCGTCAGTCAGCTCGCCACCGTCAAGGCCGAGGAGGGGCGTCTGCTGGGCCACGACCGCGCGGGCAACGACGCCGTGGTGCGCAAGCTGGCCAGCTGGGCCGAGCAGAGAGACGGGCTGGAGACGCAGATCCGCACCATCGAGCAGGGCGAAGAAGGCGCCCACACCGCCGCGCTCAAGGACGAGGCCCAGGTGCTGCAGGACGAGATTTGGGAGTTGGAGGACAAGCTGCGCGCCGCCAAGGCTCGCCATCGGAAGCTGCTGGCCGACGTGGCCGAGATTGAGAACTCGGTGCAGTCCAAGCTGTCGTCGTACAAGGCGTCGCTCTCTATCCTAGAGGCCGATATCAACGGCTTTCTCCGCACTTGCTCGGCGCGTGATCGTCAAGCAAGCGAGGCGCCTTTCTTCAAGATCCCCCCCAGACGCCGCACCTTGGACTTGGCACGGGAACACTGGGACGAGGAGCAGGCCAATACCGAGAAGCTGCGGCAAGAAAGCGAAACGGAACGCGACGCGTTGGAGCAAGGGGCTGTCATGTGGGATAACATCGTTCACCGAATCACCGAATTCGAGAAGCACATTGCAGAGGCAACAATGCACCAGGGCAGCGGCACGGACCCAACGGCCGAGGCCAAACATCTCATAGCTGATCTGACCGAGACAATAAATTACGTCGAGTCGCAGTTGGACCTCGCCGAGGAGAGAGGGTGGAAGCTGCTCGTAGCCTGCATAGGCGCCGAGCTCAACGCTCTACACGAGGGACGGCGAATGCTAGAGGCCATGCTGCAAGCGGCAGGAGAAACATCGCCTACGATCGAACGCGAGAAGCGCCTTGGCGACGTTGAGATCGAGTTCCAACCGAGCAGCTTGGCTAATAGCCAGACCCTGCAGCAGAACGGCGACGCGAGCGGGGTAGCGGCTTCGAAACAAGCCCCAGCTCGGCAGCCCAGACCCAACTACCATAGTACCGACGAGGACGAGCCGGACCCAGAATTGCTTATATCGCACCAGGACACGGATGATGAGCATCTTAGATGATTGAACCTAACGACATACTCACGTAGCGATCGCAACTGTCAATGTAGAATTCTTTGGGGGCCAGGATACAGGCGGGGCGCACACGGGAATTTTCCAATCCATCTCGTTCACCATTTCTGATCAATCTTGCTACGAATCATGACTATCGCTTCCACCTTCACCTCATTCGTCGTGCTGTACGAGGTGCCCGGTGTTCCCGGGTTCGTGCTTGTCAAACCGCCGATACGAGTCAAAGAAATCGAACCATCAGTATTCCCGGGCCGGGCCTGGGCGCCTCACACGAACGTCCGCCCTTCACCTCCACCATCTTTGTCGCCAAATCTAACCGCCACCAGATTCAAATAGACTACTAGACCCTTAATATGCTTCCCTTCCGCCCACCCCGAAGGGACGCCCTTCTCGGCTGCCGCTGCCGTTAACCGCAATCCGCGAGTCGTGCAACATATTAAGCCCCCTTTAGCCAGGACAACCGCAACTGTTTGTTTTCACCCTTTATGCCAACAAGGGCAGGCGCCTGATAAGTCAATCAAACTTTCTCAGTGGTCTTCGTCCCGGGCCGGTGACGACCAAGTGCTCATTCGTAAATCGTAATCGGAAGAACCGCTCGTGATAGACGCGCGGCCGTCTCCCAGATAGAATGAGAAGGGATGGCGCTGACGACGTTGAGAGCGTGCCTCGAGCTGAACCGTCGAGTAATGGGCAGGTGGCAGCGATTAAAATGGGCTGAACGAACAGCAACGGCAACACTACTAGCAAACAATACAACGAAGAGATGTCCATCGTCGAGGCGTGTGGCGATATCAAGCAGTGGCCGCCGTGAGCAGCCACCATCAATCAGGCGAGCATCAAACGATCAAAAAGCACACAGAGAAATGGGAATGAGTGAGACAGTAGGGTCAGCCCGCACTGATATCCTGTCCGCTCCCTCATCTTGTATACGTATACTTTTGTGAGGTTTGAATCGTGACGTCCTACCCCACTATAGCGCCAGCAGCGAACGAACAAGGCCCAAAGACCGTCTGGTGACCATCCAGTCGCCGAAGGAGGGGTTGAGGGATGCCGTTGTTGCTGGGTGGCTTCTTCTTTGTCGCCTTTTGGTCTTCTTTCACGCGGATTGGCCTTTTCTTTCCTCTGGCCTCGGGGTCGACGGTCACTTCGGCGCTTGCGGGTGCGACTGCAACATTACCAGCGGTTTTGTTTTTCTCATCATCGCCGCGTCGTTATTTTAGGGATTGATGTAGTTTTCTTGCCGCCGTCGCCGGACGATGTCCGACTTGGTCTATTCTGAAGACGGCCCCAGCCGACGTCTTCGGTCTTGATATACGTAGACAGGGGGGCGTCGGCACCATCAGGCCGCAGATGGGACGTCCTTTCGGTTTCGTCAGCGCATCCCTCATTCTCTTTTCTTGCATAGTCGTGTCCTATCTCCCTCCCCTCCCTTCGCATTCTCATCCCCACCTCTGCTTCGACTCTCCGCACGCACAAGCGAAGGCCACAGACGTTATACCGGCGTACCCCACAAGCGCCACCACCACCAACCCGCCCTCCCTTCCCCTCCCCCCATCACGCCTCCGCCTCCACCTCCGCCTCCACCTACCCCTCCGCCTCCACCTCCCCCTCCCCATCATCCTTCCACCTTCCCTCCGCCCCATCCCCATCCCCATCCCCATCCCCATCCCCATCCCCATCCCTATCCCCCTCCCTCCCCACGCCCCCCTCCCACCCCACCCCCACCCCCACCGCTCCACCCCGCCCAACAGCACCACCCACCAGCGACTCCCAGCCCACCCCGCCACCGGCACCGCCGCCCCCACCAGCACATCCGCCACCCAATGATTCGCCGTCGCCACCACCGTCAGCGCCATCGCGATCGGCCACAGCGGCGCCAGGCCCCTCACCCACGCGTGCGGCGCGAAACGTACTAAACAAACAGCTACGAAGAGCGCGGTGCCGAAGTGGAGGGACGGCATGGCGGCGATGGTGAGCTGGAAGCGGTTGTTGGTCCAGGCGGAGCCGGAGCCGGAGTCGGTACCCGGGTGGAGGACGTCGGTGTAGCCGTAGGAGGGGGGGAGGAGGCGGGGCGGGGAGACGCGGTAGGCGGAGAGGAGGAGGAAGGCGAGGAGGTTGTTGGAGGCGAGGGTGCGGCGGATGGTGCGGTAGGTGGGTGGGGGGAGGTGGGTGTAGCTGTTTTTTGGGGGTTGTTTTTGTTAGGGATTTGCTTTCGGTTGCGGGTGGTGGTGGGAGGGGGGACGTACGTGTAGACGAGGAAGATGGCGCCGATGGTGATGTGCGAGTAGTATATCGTGGCTAGGATGGGCATGAGCCAGGGGTGGTGGTTGAGGATGTATTTCTGGACGGCGAGTTCGACGGCGATGTGTAGGCGCTTCTCGAGGGAGAGGATGGTGAGGGCGTGGGCTTCGGCCTGGGCGAAGACGGCATCGTTGTTGCGGATGAGGGTTGCGGTTAGGGCGCGCGCGAGTTGGTACACCCTGCCTTTATTAGAGCGGTGGATAATAGCGCTTAGTGGAGGGCGTTTATACCAGTATATAAGGTTCCAGTACCATATCTCTACCAGGAACGGAAATTTTGCTAGGAAGAGTGATATGAGGTTTTTCTTGCGGACGTGAGTGTTGTCCGAGTAGTGCGAGGGCGGGAGCAAGGGCGCGTAAACATCTCCATCGCTATCGCGGATGGTACGGCGTCTGTTGATAAGAGCGCCTGCAGTGAAGACAAGTACTATGGCTATTTCCAATTAGAATCTCCAAGTACCGGGCTAGCTACGCTTTGGTAGCTATTGCGGCGACGAGTGACGTACAACCAGGCTCGATCACGTTCTTGAGGGCGCTCATGCTGAATGTCCCATGCGTTTCGAGATAGAGCTCTAGGAAATAAAGAGGGCGATGGTATAGATAGAATGGAAATCAAGGGGTAGAAGGAGAGAGATGCAGCGATCAGCGAGGCAGACGAGTGAGAGTAGCAGGCATCAGCTGCAAATCCCGAGACCGGCCGGGCAGTCCAATCATCAGTGACACGAAGTCGTCAGCAGGCACGACTGACCGACACATCAAGCTTCGGAAGGCCGGCAGCCGGCAGCCATAGGGCTGCGTGGTGCCTGACTGGCCAGTCCCATCCCGCCAGGCTCCGCGGCGGATGCAAGCTTACCTACATAGTATGCCACGGCTGCCGATGGCCCGATGTAGCACCATGGCACGTGGACTTGGTTGGCATACGCAGATCTCCTGCCTGCTTCCGCGTGGTGCATGACTTGTGGTCGAAGTCCTCGCCCAGGCATACGCGTCGGCACGCACCTGCAGACTGCGGTCGCAACGTCCTTTGCCAACGAATGGCTGCCACGCACCACCATGGCGATTCGCTGCGATTCGCTGTTGGAAGCGCGGATGGAAATGCCCGAGAGATCCGAAGACTCCGACACGGAAGTGAAGTGTCGCGAGATCCGGAGGCTGGAACCGCGGCAAGAGGTGAGGTGGAGCGATGAGTGGAAGACGGCAAAAGCGCCGGGCCGGGAAGGGATGGATGGATGGGTGAGGTCAACGCAAGGACCAGCTCACACAATAGCCATGGCCACTGCATCCATGTCGCAGCACGAACGATACACTCGAGCCGAACGTAAAAGAAAAAATGTCATGTTGCCGACTAGCTACGATACACGATGCCTCCATTTACTCCTCTCCCTACTTTCCACGTCATTTCATACACGTATATAATACAACTACGAGCAAGAGCAACACCAAAAGCTTAATTAGAAACATTGTGTACCGCCGCGCCTACCTAGCCGGCAATCCATTAACCAACACAATGCCCCTTTCCCCAAATATCCGTCCACCACCCTTTAGATAAACAGTTTTTTACTAGTATCCACGAACAAGCGGCTGTAAAGTATCGAGCAAAAGGGAAGAGGAGAAAGTAAAAAATAAAGGCTTATACCAAAACGCCATGCTTCAAACCACGAATGACGACGACATAAAGAAAAGGGAAGAAAAGAAAGAAAGAAAGCAGAAAACCGCTATGGTCTTTACCACGCAGACGACGGGGTATCAGAGCTACATAAGACAGCCCACTCCAACAGATACGCTTTTCTCCACCGCACAACCTCCAGACCAACGCAAAAAAAAAAAAACAGAAATTAAAAACGGAAACGTAGGAGTGGGTTGAAAAACCTTTTCAAAGCAAAAGAGACAAGGAAGCGGAAGCGGAGAGAGAAGAAAAGAGGGAAGAAGGCGACGTAGAGACGTAGAGAGAGAGAGAGACCAGATATCAATCACTCCAACCACAAAAACCACCTCACGCCCCTCCCCACGCCCCTCACCGCCGCCAACCCCGTCCGCACCACCACCACCACCAACCACACCCACCACATGACCCCCAAAACGCACCACTCCAGCAACATCCACCCCACCCGCCTCACCCACCTCATCCGCCTCCGCCTCGCCCGCCCCATCGCGTCCACGCGGTCCGCCACGGCCTTGACCGCCAGCGCCGCGCCGCTCGTCACCTCGCGCGTGAAGGCGTCGGCGTCGTCGGCGCACGCGTGGCAGCGCGGCGTGAGGCGGTCGCCGAGCTCGATGCGCAGCGCCTCGCAGCGGGCGTGCAGCTTGCGGATGCGCTGCGCGCGGAAGCGCTCCGTCGCGGCGGCGAGCGCGGCCGAGCCGGCTTCGAGGTCCGACGCGAGGATGCGCGCCGCGAGGACGTGTTGCTCCTTGCGGGCGACCGAGGGGATCAGGCGCGTGTGTTTGAGGAGGTCTTGCTTGTTGGAGGGAGGGGGATTGGTGGCGGCATCGGCGGCGGCGGCGGCGTCGGCGGCGTCGGCGTGCTCGATTGCTGTTTCGGCGGCGCGGAGGAGGAAGGGGGGAGGGGTGTCGGGGACGGAGTGGGCGCGGCGGGCGAGCTCGGCGGCTTTGATGCCGGAGCAGAGGAGGAGGGCTTGGATGCGGGCGATGTCGGTGCGCTTGTTGGCGATGATGGTGGCCGCGGCGCATGGGTGGCGGGCTGAGGCTGAGGCCCGGCGCGATAGGTTCTCGTCGGTGATGCTCCAGTGGCGCTGCGGCGAAGGGCGAGCGGGCGAGCGATCGCTGTATTTGCGGTCGACTGGGGCGCGGGAGAGATCGGATGGTGGGAGCCCAGCACGGCCGGCTCCGCCTGGCAGCTCCAAGAGTTTGGTCATGCGGCGACGGACGGCGGATGAGGAGCGAGAGTGAGAGACAGGGCCCTCGGAACGGGCCCGGGTACCGTTACCCACAGCTTGTACTTGGATGACGCCCGGGGACGATGAACGGCTGACATTGGTGTCAAGACGCGGAGGTGCCAGACGGTCGAAACGGGATGGTCGAGTACGTCCACGCCGAGGTTCTGCGGACGAATCACGCTTCTGGTCCTGTGATGCGGCCGACTTGAACGTCGGTAGAGAATATCCTTGTGGTCGCTCTGATATATCGGATGCATCCGAGAGACCTGCATCGGTCCCAGTCCGTGAGGCTGGCTTTGGACGGCGTCTCAAAACGCTCTTGGACATCTCCTCTTCCGTGTCTGATGTAGATGACATGTCGCTATCATCCGACGATGAGTCCTCGTCTGCCTCTTCCGGTGGCTTGTCTTTCTTGAAGATGAACTTCCTCGCCTTGGATCCTTCTCGTCCCACGTCTTTGAAGAACCTGGTCACGGCCGAACTCGGCTCCTTGTCTTTCCCTTCCTTCCGGCCCCTGCTTACCTTGCCTTCCTGTATGGACGCAAGGCTACTCAAGCTGTCAGTTGTCTTGTGCGATTTCAACAACATAGGCCTGGGTAACGAGTTTGAACGGCGGGGCTGGTCAATGCTGATGCTAAGGCGTCCACGTTCGGTCGGCTCTCCACTGGTCGGTCTATGACTGAACGAGTCAAGGGCAAAGTCAAGAGTATCCACTTTAGGAGCCTTCGCATTTCCGTCGGAACGGAAGAAGGGCAGCTTGGATCTCTTCGACTTGCTGCGGTCCGGCGATGCTATGCGGCTCGGCGGGGAGGATGCGCCGAAGCTGAATGTTTTCGACAGGGGTGTGTTGGGCACTGATGAATCGAGGCCATCCATGGAAGGTCGTGATTCGGGCGGATTGCTTGACATGAGGGTCAAGCGCTTCGTCGCCCTCTTTGCTCCGGCCCTGCGGTCAACATCACTCTCAGTCTCGCTTGCTACCCGATGGAGTGCTGGAGCCTTCGCTTGACTGGCACCCCAGTGTTTCTCTGGAGAGCTTATGATCGGGGACAGCCCACTCTCTGCACGTGCGTCATCTTCCAACAGCGTCTTCATGTGGCGCTCCAGAGGACCGATATTCTCGTCCTGGGTGCTCAGTCTGCGGTCGTGCTTCTTTCGTCTTGCGCTCATGTCATCGTCGCTCGAAGAAAGGCCCGAGGAGCTGCTTGAGCGGCCACGCGAGATCCAGCCAAGTCGCTTCCCACGTTCGGGACTATCTTCTCGGTGAGAGTGAAGAAAGTGGCGCTTTTTACGACCTCTGTGGCTTTCGGCTTCGCTGGAGTAGTTGGACCGAGGTTCTGAGAAGGTACCGCCGCCAGCCATGGAGCCTGCAGTGCTCACGCGCCGTTTGTCCATGCTAGGTCTAGTCTGATCCCTGCTCAGACGAGGGTTGAGTACACTTGCTGAACGTGGCGAGGGGAAAATCCTGTTGCCATTTCTGTCTTCAATCAAACTCTTGTGGTTGTCTTTCTCGAGCCACACCGCATCGGCCAAAAACTCAGTCGGTAAGGTGAACCAATCCATACGAGGCCGTTTCTGCTTCCCCAAAAGGACGCTCGGTCTCTTGACACCCTCTTGCGGTTGTTCGGGGCTGCTCTGGAACATGGGATTCGGTATGAAGGGAGGCAGAAGAACCTTGTCTTCTTGGCGATAGCTCTGCCGGGAAGCTGATTGCTCCACAGTGTCAATCCACAGTCTCACTCTGTCTATGTCTTCAAAATCGACGACATCGGGCTGAAGCTGTCTTCGTTCGCGGCCCCGAAGCTTCCTGTTGCGGATGAATTGCAGAGGATTGTACCGTCGGCCAAGGGGATCGGGACCTGTGCGTGAAAGGGTTTTCTTTAACTCTACTGTCGGGCTGCCAGGGGAGCTGAACGCACTGTAAGCATAGCCGGCTTCACTGTCTGGCTTGAGCGGCGGAAGATTTTGCAGTAACCGGCGATATTCTGCTCCCAGTTCGACATAAGTCTTTGCTTTCTCTGCTCGGGACAGCGTTGCTGCTGTGAAGGTGTAGTTATGCGACGGTCCAAGGCTGTTCTCCATGAGAGCATTAGGACTTGACATGGAGACATGTCGGGAGGCAGGCGTGCTCAACCGACCACTGGTGGGGGACATGTTGCGCGAGACGCGCCGCTGTTGTTGCAGATGCTGCTTGAGACTCCCTCCAATGCCGTAGTCATAGAAGCTTCCTTGCATGGGTATGTTTGGCCCCATGCCTGAGGCGGTTCCTCTTCTGCTGCGCGGCAGCGATGGTGCGGTCAGTTGACCATGTCCCAGGTTCCGCCTTCTACTTTCGCTCAGATTAAGAGCCATGTTGATAATCTGGGCAGGGTCAATACTGGCATTCGGCGGCGACACGGCATTTTCCTCATATTCATTTGCGCCCTCGACGTCGATGCCCAGCCCAGTCCTAGCTTGCGCCTTGTCCTGGCGATTCTCTGGAGTCCTTGCTCCGTATGGCTCGGGCGCATGGCCGTTGCCGGAAGGGCCAACATCCGTGTCGCCGCTGAGCGGACGGCTTCGGGAAGAGGAACCTCTGCTGTAAGCTCTGCGGGAGCCGTCGTAAGACGAGGGGCTCTTGCTCAGGTGCCGACTTCGCGCCCGCTTATCCGTCTCCTCGGCGCGGGTTTCCCGAGAACGGCGGCGCGCGCTGGAGCCGGGCAGAGCAGCGTCCAAAAGGAAGCCTCCCGATCGCCTGGGCAGGCGGCGCCTCTTGTCGCGCTCCCCTAGATCGGCGCCCAACAGCCCCTGCGGCCTCGTGTCGCTGTTTTGTTGGGCGGCGGCGGAGGAGTCGACGCGCCCCAGCAGCTTCCGCCTCTTGCCGGCGGCCGGGTCGGCATGGTCGTGGCGGTGGGGGTCGTGGGCGGAGTGCAGGGTGGTGGAGGAGGCCTGCGAGGGCTGCGATGAGGTCGAGTGTCGAGGATCGCTCGGGGGCGTGGAGAGGGCCGAGGCCATGTCGTCGTCGAGTGCTACCGCAGATTCGCGGCAGGAGGGCGGACGCGCCAGGCGCACATATCTCGTGGAGCAGGGGGTTTGTTTTCGCTCGGGCGGGGCTTCGGTCGGCGGGGAAGAGGCAGGAAGAGGAGAGGGAGGGCGGGAGTGGCTCAAGGATGCGACAGGCGCAGCAGCAGTAATTGCGCGGAGGGCAGAGCCTTGAGCACCACGTAGCTGGGGCGCTGCGTCGTGACGGCGGGAGATGACGACGCTGCGCACCCACCCGGCAAATCAACCGCCCCATGTGATGCGATCGCCGTTGCCCTATGACCCCAGGCTCCATCGCAGAAAAATAAATCACACGCAATCCCTGCACGCCTGCGTCTCGAAACACGCCCGCAGCCCAGGGACCTGCGACACGCGCCACGCTCCACTCTGCCGTGCAACCCCACCGCCCGCCTCCGGCCGCTGATCTTCGCGTCCAAATCAAACATGCGCCCAACCACCCAACATGTCTCTGTTCGGCGGTCCGCTGCCGCCCGAGTCGCCCGCCAATCCCCGCGATGAATCGCCCTACTTCCGCTCTTCGAGCCTGCCGCTGCCCTCCAGCCCACCGCCCGTCCCGGATCCCGACAACGATGAGCTCGTCTCGTCCGTCGAGCGCGATCCCAGCACCGACGGCCACGCGCCGGAAGCCGGCGACGACGAGGAGTCCGGTAGCGAGTACACCAGCTCGGACAGCGAGAGCGATCGCCCCAGGTTCCACGGCAAATGGCAGACCTACCGCAGGTACATCCAGGAGGAACGCGACCTCACTGAATCGCTCGTAAAGCTGCGCGCTGAGGATCTGAGTCTGCACCTCTACGACGTGCACGCCTTGAAGCGTCGCCTCCTCTCTGAACAGGCTGCTAGGAAGGCCGAGAACGAGAAGACCGGCGTTGCCGACGAAGGCGACGACGATGACGAGCAATGGAAGCCCGGGAGAATGTGGACCGCATGGCCACTCGAGCCGGAGCAGGTTCCCCGCCCTTACGAGCGCTTCACCATACTGCCCACGATTGACCCGGACGAGGAGCACACGGTTCGTCGGCCTGGACACGAGCGGCAGAGACCGATCCGGGATATCAAGGAAATTCTGGTGGGATTGGTACAGAAAAAAGCAAGGGAGAAGTGGGACAGAAAAGAATGGGAGGACGACACGGAGCCAGAGGCTGGCGAGGCAGGTCCAGCTTCGCGCGGGAGCTCTCACGAAGGAAGCATGGAGATTGATGGACAAGCGCCCAATCGCGGAGCTAGTGCAAGCCGCGCAGCCACACCCACTGGTTTCCGGCGGGAATTCATCCTGGATGATGACAAGGCGTATGAAGCTCTTGGCCCGACCACTCGCTCCATCGTGAGCAAATTAAACGTTGTGCTCATGGCCGTCCATGAACGCAATCGTTCCCGCGGCCGCAGCACCACGTCTCGGAAAGGGGCCAATACCGCAACCGACACCGAAGCGTCTCGCTCTCGCAGCACGAAACGGCGGAAAAAGAATCAAAGCGCGAGTGAAGGAGAAGCCAAAGTCAAGCGCGGCCGAGGCAGGCCACCGAAATCCGCCAGCCAAACTCCCGGGCCCGATTCCACGCCCTACGTCACAGAAGGCGAGGAGACGTCAGCTTCGGCGAAAAAACGCGGACGAGGCCGTCCGAAAAAATGGGAACGGCTCCCTGGAGAGTCGTACTACATGGTGAGGAAGCGTCTTGCGCAGCTCGCGGCTGATGGTCAGCTTCCGGACGCTGCCGCAGGCAGCAACCCCCCAAGCCGAGCGCAAACCACCGAGCCCGAGCCCGACAGCTCCAGACCACCGACTCCGAACAACCCGTCCGCTTCAGCAGCTAATCTGCTTGCGCGACCGCGGTCGGACAGCACATCCTCGGAAGACAGCGATGACAACAGACCGCGGAAGCCTTCTGGTGGGAAAGCACCGCCTCTGAAGGATTGGCGCGATGTCCTCGGCAAGGCTTCCTCGCTTGGTGGCTTTAGCGACGCTGTCATTGCTCGCGCAACGCGGCGCTGCGCAGAGCTTTTTGGCGAGAACGCAACGGTTCGGACGGCGGATAGCGGCGGTGCTGTTGAAGAGCCAGCCGAAGAAACTCAAGCAGAGCCTGTTGTCGTTGAGGATGTCGGAGAAGGACCGTCTGTGCGAAGGCTACCTCAAGCTAAAACTGAAGATGACAGAGATCCTGCAACGGAGCCAGATGCACACCGGCGGCAAAGTCACCCGCTGCCGAGCGATATTGACCCGGTGGATGATGACGAGGAAAGAGATGAACACGATAGGCCTTTCTGGGATAGCTCCAGCCTCACATGTCCTCATCCCGATTGTGATCGACACACCGAGCCTTATGAGAAACTCTGGCGGTTGCGGGAACATGTTAAGAAAAAGCACAAGTACACGCTTAACGCTCCCCGAATCAACGCAAAGGGATCGAAGAAAAAAGCACGAAGGACGAAGAAGAATAAAGAAAAAACAGAGGAGGAAAGCAAAGGAAAGGAGAAAGAGAAGAATAATGGCAAAGGGAACGAGAAAGATGATACAAAAGGGAAAAAGAGGAAAAGCGCAACATCGCAGAAACGAGAGTAGGAAAAAGCGAAAGGCGGAGTAAGTCGTGTTTGTCCCGAACAAAAAGCATAGCCTGGTCTTCACCTCTGTCTAGGCAATTGACGGTATTCCGGTCTTGTTCCACATTTGTGGGCATTTGCTCAGACGCTTTCCTTTGCTAGTATGAGCCATTCTTGTTCTTTTCATCAGCTACGTCGCCCATTCAGAGTACATGACTTAAAATAACAGCATTCTCTAAAGGTTACTTGGAAGACGAAACACCAAATTCAGTCATATAGCCATCTCTTCCCCCCTTAATACAACACGGCCATTGTGTGCCATTAAACCTACTCTCCATACCCCCCGCCGAACAACGTCATCGCCGCCAACCCTCCCCGCACGATCTCGCCCACTCCACCCATTCCACCCCTCCCCACCCGTACCACTGTTCTGCCATGACCTTCACCCAGTCCACCCCTCCCGGCTCCCCTCCCCACCTCCCCCACGCCCACGCCCCCACTGCCACCGCCTCCACAATCAACAAGTCCATCATATACTCATGCCCCATCGCACACGCAGCCCACCCCACCACGTCACCCATGCTCCTCCTCCTCCTCCTCCTCCTCCAACCCTCACTCCCACTGTCCCCATCACTCGAGAAGTCCTCCAAACAACGCACCTCCTCCTCCCCACCCCCACACCTCCCCCCCTCCGCCTTCTCCCACACCACCCCCACAATCACCACCCCGTATATCAACGCCGTCCGCGCCGCGAGCCAGCATCCCGCCGACGCCCCCGCTTCGTCTTCCTCCGCATTGGCTTCCCTCTCCCCCTCCCCCTCCTTCTTGACGGCCGTCACCGCTGCCGCCGCCGCCGCCACTACCACCCTAATTACATCCTCAACTAACCCCGCCATGACGCCCACCCGCGCCGTCGCCCCCGCCACCGCGCCGCATGCGCTTGCGACGATGGAGGCGGAGAAGGGGGCGAGGATGGTGGCGTGGTAGGTTGTTAGTAGGGTGGTGGGGAGGGAGAGGAGGAGGGCGAAGATGGTTGGGAGGAGGATGGCTGGGAGGATGGTTGGGAGGAGCTGGGGGAGGGGGTTTGGACTTGTGGTTGTGGGGATGGCTGTAAGGATGGTGTGGAGGAGGTGGAGGAGGGCGGTTGGGATGTCGTGGGCTAGGGATAGGGCGGGGGCTAGGACGGGGGCGATTGGGTTTGTTGTTGTTGTTGGTGTTGGTGTCGTTATCGTTGTTGGCGTCGGCATGGGCATTTTTTTTTCCCCTCTCTTTCTTTCGTTTGGGAGAGGTGGGGATGGGATGGATGGATGGGCGGATGGGTTGTGGAGATTGTTTTTCTTTTTTCGGGGGGAGGGGGTTGGAGGGGAAGTTGGAGTCTTGGTGTGGAGGTTTTCCTGTCTTTGTTTGGTAGTCCATTGTCACTTGCGAGCAGTGGCCGCTTTAAGAAAATAACGATGACGGCTCGATCGGCCAGACAGACGTTCATGAAAAAAGAAAATGGTATCTTTACTTTTTTTTTCGAGATGCGTGGTGGTTCGTGAAGGAGCGAGAAACATTGTTGTAATACTTCTAGAGATGTACCGATCTGGGTACGTAGTGAGTAGTGACGGCATCTTCGGCAGTGCTAGAAATCTACTAGCGGCGGGTGCACCGGCAAGAGACACAGCAGCTGGGGACTAAAACAGATACAGTCGAGGCCGAATGGGCGTCTTACGTTCTCGCCTGAGCCCGAGGCCGAGGGTGGTAGCTATGTCCGATGCGATGCGTCTCACCACCGGGGCCTGAGGTCGGTTGGTGTGTAATGAACGGGCGTTGATTGGCCACGCGTGTCGGGCAGGCGCCTTCACTTGTGTAGAAGTTGCACCCAGCTGCGCGACCGAGCGTGCTACCTCCGTTTTTCTCGTCGTTATTAAACCCGGTCCGGGGCGCCCTTCTCCCTCTCCCATCAGCCGCAATTTTCTGCTTTCTTTGTTGCGTTGCGCCCTCCTCCTTGATCGGAAACACCGCCGAGCCATCTCATAAGCGGCAACAACTCCATATCCAGAGCGCCGCTCTCTGCCCATCTCAAGGCCCTCCAGCATCTGATCAACACCAGCCTATCTTACTTCCTACACGCTGATCGCTTGTCGCCACCATGTCTCGCGACCCTCTCCTCTCCAAGCCGGCCCAATACCTCACCTTCCCCGCCTCTGAGTCGCAGCGCCATTCGGAAAAGCACTCGGGCAACAGCGCCATCATCCGCGACACCATCATCGGCTTCGCAGATGGCTTGACCGTTCCCTTTGCCCTGACTGCTGGCTTGTCTTCGTAGGTGCTACCCCTCTCTCTCTCTTTGGTGCCGTCGCATGCTCTCACGTTACCCAAAGCTCGGCCGTGGACAAACAAATCTCGGCGAAGAGCTTTGGATTCTTGTTTTCGTTGCCTTGATCCCACGTGCCGACTTGCTCGCTCTTATTCTTTTTCTTTCTTTTTTTCTCCACAGTAAGAACAAAAAGTTGACATTTTCCAGCATCGGTTCCACCCGCCTGGTTATTTTGGGTGGTCTGGCGGAGCTCTTCAGCGGTGCCATCAGCATGGGTCTCGGCGCGTACCTGGCTGCCGTGACCGAAAGCAAGACCTACCAAGTCGAGGAAGCACGAGAGCGGCGCGAGGTTGAGGAGATGCCAGAAGCCGAGGAACAGGAAATCTACGAAATCTTTGACGAGTACAATGTGCCGCGCGAGACGGTCCGTCCGGTCGTTGAAGCGCTCCGCCAAGACAAGGACATGTGGGTCAAGGTAGGCTATTTTTAATCCTGCAGTCGCGCACTCAGACTGACTTGACCAGTTTATGATGGACTTCGAACTCAAGCTTGAGAAGCCTGCCCTAAACCGCGCTTGGATCTCAGCACTCGTCATGGGCCTCTCCTACTTCCTGGGTAAGTCTGCCTACCAGCTCGTCCAGACGGTCACGTTAACCATCTCTATAGGCGGACTTGTGCCCATGCTTCCATACTTTTTCCTCGACGACATTCACCACGCCTTGTTCACGTCGGTCGCCATCACAGTGGTCGTCCTGCTCATCTTCGGTTACGTCAAGGCAAGTGCAACCAGCTGCCCGAGAAAGACGTGCTGGTTCAGCGCGTTCCAGACGCTACTCGTGGGAGCATTAGCCGCGGCCACCAGTTACGCCATCGTACGCGGCGTGGACTCGTTCAAAGCTGGCCATGACTAGGGCCTGGGATGGCGCGCATGATTTAGTCATTTTTCCCAAAAGGGCAGCTACGAAGGGTTCATTGGTTTCATCAAAATAAAAAGGGCATGGCATGGCGCGGAAATGGCGGGAAGGGCAAAAGGATTCATAATTCACATTGAAGACGACCGAGGCATTGTCTTGGTTGCCGTTGGAGAAATCCAGATTTCAAGTCTGTCGAGCATAACTGTTCCCAGATCAGACCCAGTGAATTGCTAATGTGACACTTCCGGAAATCACATTCACATCGCTTCAAGGTGCATGCAAACTGCTGCTATAAGCACGGATCCCGGACAAAGACGTTTACCTAAGCATAGCGGATTACAGGATATTTATACCAACTTCCATTGATCTCGCCATGATAACGCATCCGACTTACATAGGGATGGAAGCCTTACGTCTGGCTAATTATGTGCAGCTTTACTCGCTTGTACGTTCGGGTCTTCGCTTTTGAACTCGCCACGTCGGAAGGGCGCATCATCCTTCGCCGAGCACAGAAGGCTCAATACACCTTGGAACCTACTGTACAAGCAACAGAAACGCACAGCCTAGCCTGCTACAGTATCGCTGGATAGAGAGCCAATCGACCCTGCAAGCAAGCCTGACCCCCAACTTGAACGAATCGGCCACAAAAATTATATCGACTACGCTCCAGACAGACTCCTCACTGCACGGACAATGTACACAAACTCCAGCCTCCCCTTCCCCTCTCACCCAATGCCTGAATATAAAGAGAGAGAGAGAGAATACCCCCATCACACCACCAGCCAAAAAGAAAAAAGAATTTCTCAAGGAAAAAAACGATCCCTCACAGCAGCAGCAGCAGCACCACCACCACCACCACCACCACCCTCTCCCCTCTTCCCCACCCACCTCCGCACCTCCGCCCTCAGCCTTGCCATCGTGCCCCTCTCCTGCCAAAAATGCGACGCCCCCTCCACAAGCACGCCCTCAAACCCGGCTGCTGGACCCGGACCCCTCGTGCTCGAGCCTTCTCTCTGCATGCCCTCCGCCCACCGGACCAGCCTCTTCGCGCTCGTGAACGCGTCGTCGGCGCCGAAGATGGCGAGGGTGGGGTGCTGCTGCAGGGGGTTGGATGGGGTGGTGTTGATGTCGTCGTCATCGTTGCTGCTGCTGCTGCTGCCCGGCGCAGTAGTGGTACTACTGTCACCGGCCGCAGCCGCACCACCAGCGAAGGATAAGAACCCGCCGAGTCTGCGGCCCGCGGATGCGAGGAACGATGACGGTGAGGGCGACGGCGAGGGTGCCGGAAGTGCGGCTGGGAAAGCGGGCAGCGTGGCGAGGCCGGGCGCGATGGCCAAGGACGTGGGCGGTAGCAGCGGCGAGATGAGGAGGTATGCGAGCTCGCAATGTGGTGGTGGTGGCGGCGGCGTCACGGCTCCTCCTTGTCGTCGTCGTCGACTTCTTCTTGCGTCGCCGCCACTGCTGCCGTTGCTGTTGACCTGCTGCGGCACATCCGACACGCCTGCCTTGTCCTGGCGCCGCCGCCGCCGCTCCTCCGCCTCTTCTCCCTGTCCCTGTCCCTCTTCTCCTCCTCCTCCTTCCCCCGCCTCCGCCGCCGCCGCCACCGCAGCCACAGCCGAAGAACCCCCCACCGAACCACCCCCACGACGACCGACCTGCTGCTGCTGCTGCTGGTGATGGTGATCGTGATGATCGTTATGATGATGATGATCCCCCCACGCCCTCCTCCTCCTCACCCACTTCTCCGCCCCCTCCCTCGCCAGATCCAAGCTCCGTCTCACCTCCCTCACGGCGCCACTGCTCTTCCGCCGGGCATGGTGGCTGCTGCTGCTACTATTTCGACCGCCACCACCGCCGCCACCATCGTAGCCGCCCATCGTCACAGGGCTGCTGATGCGGCGGCGGTGATGCTGGTGTTGCCCATCCGCGGCGCTCGCGGATACCATCTGCTCTTCTTGTCGGCGCGCTTCTGCTAACGTCTCGGCGGCTAGTCGGCGTGCGCGGAGGAGGATGGCTGTGGCGGCGGGGGAGGTGGTGGGGTGGTGATGTGTGGGGAGTGGGGTTGGGGGAGGGGGAGAGGAGGATGAAGGAGGGGTGGAGGAAGAAGAGTAGAACGGAGCGAGGAGGGCGGGGAGGGGCGGCAGGCGGGACGCCACGAGCGAGCCGTAGGAATAGCCCGCAAGGATGAGGTGGATGGTGGGGGGTTTTGCTTGGGTGGTGTCGGTGGTGTCGTCGTCGTCGTCGTCTTCTGATGTGGTGGTGCCGCTTGAGGAGGAGGAGGAGGAGGGGCTTTCGCCGTGATTTTGCTGGTGATTGGGGAGTAGAAGGCCCTCGTGCAGAGAACGCATGTATTCCACCATCAGCCCGACGAAAGAGGTGTAATCCTGCAGCTCGGGCTTCCCTGTCCAACTCGTTTTGCCTTTGCCGTGGTGCTGGTGGCGATGATGGTCGGAGCCATGATTGTGGTGACCGGCGTGGGCGCCGCTGTTTTTGCTCGGAACGAGACGTCAGCAGCGTGTCGTCGTATGACGCCCAGCCATAGAAGCTCAGGATGCGATAAACAAATGAAGGCGTGCTTCAAAGGGTTGCCTCTCTCTCTCGATAAAAAAAAGGGGGGGAGACAAGGCGCGCAGAGACAAGGAAGAAAGAAGAATCGGAAGCCCCAGAAAAGAAATACACACCCCATCAACCACAACCACAACCACAACCCCGCACCACACCGCAAAACTCAACAGCAAACCCACTCACCGGAAACAAAACGTCCCCACAACCCACCCCAGCGCCAGCATCTCCGCCCCCACATTCCCCACAACCGGATCGTCGTAGCTCCCGCCCAGCGGCGCGTACGGATGCGCCACGATCGCCGCCTTCATCATCATCCTCGTCCTCCTCCCCCTCGTCGCACCCTCCTCCTCTTCCGTCTCTCCTGCTCCTTCCTCCGCATGACCTCCCCCTACTCCTACCTCCTCTCCTCCTCCTCCTTCCCCTCCTTCCCCTCCTTGCCCCCTTCTTCCCGCACCACTACCACTGCCCATTCGCAACCCCGTCACCAACCCCTCCGCAAACCCCGGCGGATGATACACCCGACACTCCAACTGCACGCCGTCGCTGTCGTTGTCGTCCGCGGCGTTGTTGTTGTTGTGCAGGCTGGGGATGGTGAAGCTGTAGGCCGGTCGTTGCGCGTGGAGGGGTCTCATGGCTGCTGTTGCTGATGGTGCTGTTGCTGTTGCTGCTGCTGATGGTGATGATGACGGCGGCGGCATTTTGGTTGAGGATTGGCCCGGGGTGATGGAGGGTGGGGAGGCGAAAGAAAAACGCAACCCAGATCGGCAGTCGGGATACGCGTAGGAAGGAGTTGAGTGTGGTCGAGGTAGGCAGCCTGTAGGCAAGGCTGCGCCGGGATGACGCGCCTTCCCTGATCCCTAGGTAGCTGCAACCGTGACGCCCGCTCAATACCTGACCTGGACCGCTTCGAAAAAAGAGCTGAAAAAATAAAAAAGTAAACGAGAAACCGTTACATCGTACGCAGAAAGACTAGCTACTAGCCGCCAACAAGGAAAAGAAAGAGTAGGTAGGTAGGTAGCTAAAGCACGCGAAGGAAGGCGCACGCGCGTGCGCGTGGCAGCCGGGATCTGACTGTCCAGATGACGTGCACACGGGCCGGACGGCGGGCTGCTGATCACCAGCGACGGGAAGGCACTACGACCTATGATCTCGAGCGATTGCTTATCGAGAACTCAATGGGAGAACGACCTCTCAAAAAGCATGAGAGATCGAGCTACTCGAACTATATTTCTCAACGCTAGCAAGCTCCTTCTTACTGAATATACATACATACATACGGTAGGTAGGTGAGGGAAGGGAAACGAAAACCCACCCCCTCCCATAACGATTTCAAACACCCCCGTAAACTTGACGCTTTAACTCCAAAGTTTTGCTTTTTTATAAAGAGAAAAAAAAGAAAGAACGAGCAAGAAGCCAATCACTATAAACAAATTACTAAGGCTTACTACAACTGCTACTACTATAGTACTACACATGGGGAATTCCCAATTCCACTCTCCTCTCCCTCCCCGAGGCCCCTTGTCCCATGCCGTCGCACGCATCTTCCATCCTAGTATCGCATCACCCACCCCATCTAATATTTTTCCCGGCCCCACCCACACACCATTTCCACACCAACACAAAACACGCAGAACGCATAACACACACACAACACACACAACACACACACAACGCACACACATATACATCCCTCATATCGAGAATTTCATACGTATCCCCTTCCTTCCTTTCTTCCTTCCTTCCCTCCGTCCCTCGTACACACACATACGACCCGACCGACGACCGTGCCTGCATACGCGCGAGAGGCAAGAAGAGAGAAAAGAGGCTAAAAAAAACCAAAACAAAAAAAATAAAACGAAAAAAAATTCCAGGATCCAGCCCCTTTTAAACCTGCCTGCCTGATTGCCTGCTTGCTTGCTTTCCTGCCCAGCAGTTCGAAGAAAGGAAAAAAAAGAAAGAAAGGAAAAAGACATACATGAACACATGAACACATGCACACATGCACACACACGGACACACGGACACACACACACACGGACACACACAGACACACACACACACACAAACAAAAAGAAGGGGGGGTTTCTCTGATGAAAAAAAAAAGAAAAAAGGGGGGCTTCATCCATCCATCATGAAGAATCCCACCGATGCCCGTATCTGAAAAAAAAAAAAACTCCCATGACACCATCGTTTCCCCCGTTTCCCCCGTTTCCCCCCATTTCCATCCACCCTTCCGTTTCGGAGAAAAAAAATGATGCAGAATATGATCGATCATCAAAGAGAAGGAGAAGAAAAAAAGAAGAGTAAAGGAAAAAAGAGGTGGTAAGACCGTAAACCTCAGCGTTAAACCGTTTCACACAGCAAAATCATATCATCCCATCCCAACCCATCCCATCCCATCACTCAGCAGAAGAAGAGCCCGCAGGCGGCGGCGGCGGCGGCGGCTGTTGCTGTTGCTGTTGCTGTTGCTGTTGCTGCGCGGCGGCAGGCGCCGTGCCATCATCATCATCATCATCATCATCCGCGGCGGCGCTGACCAACGTCGGCGCGATCCTCCTCCTCTTCGGCTCCGGCCCTTTCTCGCCGCCCTTCTCGCTTTCCCTCTTCTTCGACGGTTCCGCGGTGGACGATGATGCTTCCTCCTTCTCCGACTCGCTCTCGCGCCGACCGCCGGGCAGAGGGTTGACGCCGCCGGCGCCGCTGACCGAGCTGGCCGCGCTGTGCGTCCCCCCGCCTCCTTGCGTGCCGGGCATGGGCGTGTGCGGCGGCGTCCACATGGGCACCTGGCCGACGGGGCCCGAATTCGCCGCGGCGACGCCGGGCACCGCGCCCATCGAGGGCGTCTGCTGGTTGAGCGTGACGTTCGGGTCGGGCCCGGGGGCGAACGAGCCCTGCGTCGCGACCGACGAGGCGGACATGGAGCGGGCGGGGCTGGCCGGTCGGGCGGGGGCGAAGGAGGAGGGCGACGCCGGGAACCCGGAGCCGGAGCTCGAGGGTTTCGGGACCGACGGCGCGGAGGCCTGTGTGGGCGTGGGGGTCGGTGTGGATTGGTTCGACGATATGGTGGCGGTGGTGTTGATCGCGGCCGGGTGGTGCTTCGCCGGCCCCGGATGCACCTGTCCGAGCTCACCCGGAGCAAAGGTGAGGCAGGAACAGAACCCGTCAGACGATGTCATCAGAAGTGTGCTGCCGTCCGTGGACCTGTTTCAAATGTCAGTCGAGACTCTTAACATGTTTCAGGGAGAGCTTACCAGGCAAGATCGGTGAATGTGGCAAAGTGAAGGTTGCTGACAATGCACAAGGGCTTTTGCTGCTGCGTGTCGTAAATATGCACAGCATCCTGCGTAGCAACCGCGTAGACCATGCGATACGGAAGGCTGAATGCCGTTGGAGGACCTGAGGGTACGGGAGATGCTGCGGCACCGTTCTCAGACTCGGGTCTTGGCGAGGCCGCCGCCGCACTAGGAGACGGGGAGGGAGCGCTAGTAATGGGCGGCGGGTCCATCGAAGACGACGATCGCGGTGGCTTTGAAGGGATCGCCGGCTCGGGCAAAGAAGGGATTTCCTCCTCGGCAGAGGACGTGTCAATCGTGATTTGCTTCGTGGGCGGAGGCGAATCTCGTAGTTGGTAGTAGACCGGTGAGCATCGTACCGCAATGGACGGCTTCTTGTGGCCTGGAAGATAGGCAATCGGAGGCTTGTTGAGACCGGCTCGTGTGTAGATGTACACTGTGTTTATGCTGTCGTCCGCCTTGGACCCGTCGAAATTCCCAGCATTCAATGTCTTGTATTGACCGGCTGGAGTGAAGAGGAGACTGCCATCGGGGGCAAAAGTGAGGCGCCTGAAAAACGATGTGAGGGTCTCGTTCGCGTATATGTTTGCGTTGCGGACCGCCAATCCAGCATGAATATTCGGCGACGTCGACGGCATGACCGCAGGAAGCGGCATTGACGACGGAGCGGGGGAGACGGAGCGGCGGGACTGCGAGCCAAAGGACGAGCGGCGGCTGTGTGAAGTGGGAGGGTTCATGGGCAGCGCCAGCGACGCGGGCGTGCCCGGCGCAGAGGGAGTCGGGGATCCAATGGCCGGAGCGGAGCCTTCTCCTACAAACGAAGCTCGACTGCTTCCCCCCAACCCCAGGTCTGGGGGAGCAGGGCTGCTGTTCGACACGCGGCGAGCGGGCAGGTCCATCTTGGTCACCTTACCGTGCTGTGCCAGGGAGAATTGGCCGTCCTTCGTCTTCAATGTGTAGATGTGCACCGAGCGGTCGGAAGATTGCGTCGCGACGAATTCATTCAGCGGATCCCAGGCCACGCCCTGGACGTAGTGGCTGTGCTCGGCGATCTGGCGCACAATTTGGCCTGGTCGAGGTCAGAAAGCTTCCCCGCAGCTGGAGACGAGGCGTGCCTACCGTTCTGGGCGTTGTAGATGCGGGCGACGTTGTCCATGCTGCCGGTTATGAAAAAGGCGCCGTCCGGCGACCACGCCAGGTCGTATATCTCGGAGCCCAACGACCGGCACATGTGCTTCACCCGCCATGTTTCCTTGTCGTCCAGGCCGTCTTCGCCAAAGGGGCGATGGGTCTGGGTCTCGGACGGAACCCACAGCAGGACGTTGCCGTCGTCGCCGGCGCTGGCGAGGAGCTCGCCTACGGGAAGGCTGTGATCAGACGAGGATTACGGGGGCAGCGAAGAGGGGAGGGAGGAGGAGGGTTTGGCGCACCTCGCGGGGACCAGCGGACGACGTTGACGGCCTGGGTGTGCTTGACGAGGGTGGAGAGGTAGGTGACCTTGCGGTCCTCGCCGGAAGCTTCAACCTTCCAGAGCTAGCTCCGGGTGTCAGCAGTAAAGACGGCAGGCTGGGCGCGTGGGGGAGCTCACCCGGACGTTGTTGTCGCCGCCGGCAGTGGCCAGGCGGCCCTTCCCGTGGGACTCGAAGTGGGCCGAGTAGATGGCGGCGTTGTCGTCGTGCCAGGCGACGAGCAATGGAGCGGCCTTCATGGTGGCCGAGGGGGCAGCCGGAGCCGCGGCGCAGGTGGGATGGCGGTGGTGGGGAGCAGTGGTGTGGCGTAGGAGTCAATGCAGGGCGGAGGGCCGAGCTGAGGTCGGGCTTGGGCGGGCGCTGGCGGGCGGCGAAGCAAGGAGGCGTTGCGGGATGGGCGGAGGAGGGCGCGGGTGTTGTAGTAGTTCAGGTGTTTGTCGAGCAGCAGCTAGGGACCGGGGCCTGCGCCCTTCTGGGCGACCGAGCAGCGCGCACCCCGGCCGCCGCACAGCGCGAGCGTGACACAACCCAGCTGTCTCGCATGCTTGCGGGCCGCTTGAAAGGACCGTGGGCTTTCCTTGATCGTGATCGAGGAGCCTCCGCGCCAGACACGCGCCGACGCGCCATGGCCCGAACGGGCAGCACAATGAACGGGCTAGCGACCAGCCGTGCCGCCAGTCACTACTGCAGCCGCAAGCATCTCAGCCACGGCCAAGTCACATCCACGCCCGCCATTGGCCGGGAGAAGCTCCCCGCCCTGGCCTGCAAGTCACGGGCAGCAAAAACAAGCGTATCAAGGGCCGCGCTGCCCGCTCACCCGACACCACTGCATTCCCTGTTTCCTGCCTACCCGACTACTACAAGCCCACCTCTGCCGGTGCATCCAGCCCGATGGCCAGCTCTCTTTGTGCCGCCATGACCCTCGAGCTGCTGTTGTTCCCGCCCAGCACCCGCACCCCGCTAATCACCGCCCCCGAGCTGTAGCCAAACGTGCCGCCCAGCCCCAGCGTCCGCCCGTCGTACGTGAACACGATCTCCGACGTCGCCGCCTGCTCGACCGCGTCGCCGTCGTCCAGGTACAGCCGGCCGCTAGCCGTGCCGTCCAACCCCGGCGCGATCAGCAGCGTGAAGTTCTGCTTGCGGAGCTCCGTCGTCGTGTTGGCCGACGATGCGCGCAGCGGCACGATGCTGCCGCCTCTGATGTGCAGCGGAATCGTCGTGTACGGCACGTCGGCCAGCGTGACGTACGAGCCGTTGCCTCTGACCGTGTCGCCCGTCCAGAAGTCGTAAAAGACGTCGTCGGGCAGGTAGACGTCGACTGTCGTGACGTTCTCCTCCGTCACCGGGCTGACGAGGATGGAGTCGCCGTAAAAGTACTGCAGGTCGATGCCGAATGTGTTTGCATCTTCCGGGTACAAGAAGAACAGCGGGTTGAGTGCAGGCTCGCCCGTCTGCGTCTGCCGGTGGAATGCCGTGTAGAGGTAGTCGAGCAGCTGGTAGCGTGTGTTGATGGCCGTCTTTGCTGCCTCAGCTACGAGCGGCCACCGGTAGAACTCTTGGGAAATTGCACCCTGCTCGTTGTGGTTCCTGTAGAACGTCGAGAATGCTCCCAGCAACGCCCACCGAGCGCACAAAGTCTCCGTCGTGTTGGAGCCGAAGCCGCAAACGTCAGATCCGACCATTGGCAGCTGGTAGAGTGCCGCGAACTGGAGCAGCTGGCCAATGGAGAACCTACGCACTGTTAGCCCGGCTTCCCCGTTTCCGACGGCTCGTCTCACCTGTATTGTTCCCATTCGGACAGGTTGTCGCCCAGCCAGTGCCCCACGTCCTTACCGGCACCGGCGAAAGTGCTGCGTGTGATGATCAGAGGCCGTCGGCCAGGCCGGCGGTTCTCCATGGCGATCCTGCTAGCAGTCGACATCATGGTGCCGTACAGATTGTGAGTGTCGTACTCGGCCAAACCGTTGTAGTGGATCACGTTTGTGGAGACTGTTTTGTTTGAGAGCGAGCCAGCAAGGTTGTTGATCTGATATGGCGGGTCTACAAGCTCCCTTCCTGGAAGACCAGTCTTTGTCCCGGACGTCTGACGCCTGAACATCATCCTGTCCGGAGGAGAGACCCCGGCAGGTTGGAAGTCGTCGGGAAAGCCGGGAATAGGCCGGCCACTGTTGGGTCGAACTGGGGGTGGGTCCGGTGGCTGGTCATTCGCCTCCGCGTACCCATACGGGTCTGAGCAGGGCCAGTTGCAAAAGTTTGCTGCTTCGTTCATGTCTATCCATAGAGCGTCAATGTCCACACCGCTCTCGGCGCTGAAGAAGTCTGCAAACTCGCTGTTCCAGTACGGCTGAGTGTTGGGATGGAACCAGTCTGGGAACACCGCTGGGCCAGGCCAGACCACACCAAGGAAGTAAGAGCCATTGGAAGCCTTGAGAAAAACGTCTTGGGAAGCTCCGTTTTCATAGGCCGTGTTGTTGCGATAAGCAACGGCCGGATCAACCATGACGACGTAGTGCTGCTGATGGGCATGAAGGTGGTCGACCAACTCGCGGACCTTGGGCAGCGGGAAGCGCGCTGGGTCGAGGGTGAAGACTTTGCGGAGATCCATGTAGTCGATGTCAGTCCACATGGTCTCCAAAGGAATGCCCGCGAGCGAGTAGTTGGCGACTACTTCGGCAACTTCATACACGTCCCGGTATCCGTATCTGCACTGGTGAAAGCCAAAGGCCCAGTAGGCTTGCATTGCGGGCAGTCCCACGATCTCGGCGTATTGTTTGCTGACATCCTTTGGAGAAGGGCCTGCGAGGAAATAGAAGTCGAAGATGCCACCCAGCGTGTTGATCTCCAGGTATTGGCCATCTGATTCCGTCTTATTGATCTTGACCTCAATTCCATCCGAGTTCAGCAAGAAGACGCCATGGGTACCGGAAGAGCCCCTGTGGTCGTAGTAGACTGGATGCGCGCCGTACAAGTTGCCCCCCGGTGGAACGCCGTACGAGTCGCGATTCCAAATTGTGTGGGTGTAATTTGTGGTGTTCAAGCGGAACGGGTCACTATGTTCACCCCAGCCGTAGATATTAGGCTCAGTGGGCAGTTTGGTACGCAGCCTCAGGTACTGAGATTCAAAGATCAGGGGTGAGTCAGCAGTATCGAAGAGGGTTTCGTTGGTCGCCGTGCGGACGACTGAGAACGAAAACGGCTCTTGCACCCACTTGAACCTGACTGCAGCGCTGGAAGCCGGGAGGGAGCCGTTGCCAGCTGTAGGTCGCGGAAGAACGGATTCCGGCACCTGGTAGACGCTCTCTGCCGCATCGTAGATTTGCACATGGAGGCGATTGGCTGTGTTGGCGTCTCGCGCGTCAGTAAGTGTTTCGGATAAAGCCGCGAGTCTAATCCGTATGCTTGTTCTGAAATGTTGCAAGGCTGCACACGATGGGCAAGAGGCGTTGATTTGAAACAAGCACAATGCAGTGGCAAGCTTCTTGTCACGTCCCTGTGTGACGTGTAGACGGAAATGCCTCCACCCCAGCCAATCACCACCATGCAAACACTCGCCGCCCGACTTGTTTCTTACAACATACTTTTGCTGGGGTCAAAGGCCAGCTGAAAGTGCAGGAGACGCGTACTTACCGGTCTGGTACTCGACAGTAAGCTTGAGATCGGTGAGGTCATCGCCGTAAGCATTGCATGGCGCACCCGCCAGGCTCAAGTCAGCTGTGAGAGTGGTGCCCGCGTCGACGACATTCGAGGCGGTATATCCTGGGCAGCTGTCGGCGGCGGCCGGGCTCTGGCGGGGTGAGATGGTGCCTGCAGCGCAAGCGGTGCCCAAAGCGGCAACCAGCAGCAGCGGGTCAAGCAGCATGGCTGTCGGGCTGTTGCGAACAAAATAATAGTTGTGGAGTCAGCCTGAAGAGGACCAAAGACCCGGCGCGGACAGCGAGCTGGGAAACGAGCGGCCTCTGGCATTGCCTTATATACGGCTGTAATGTCTCGGCATGTCTTGCATGCCTTGTCCTGTAGGGGAGGCCCTGGTGACTTGTGGATTGACTGGGGGGTCAAGAGCGCGCCGTTTCCCCGCATCTTCCTGGTCATCCTACGGCGAAGCACGCTTCTGCTTGGCCGGTTTGCACAAGGCGAGCGGGCCAATTGGGCAGGTCGCGGACCGAGATGCCGGCTCGTATTGTAGGATCGTCTCCACTTCTGTTTTGTTCCGCGGACGGTGACCTGGTGCGGCTCACAGGCGGCGTTGGCTGGAAGTGGTGCGGAATCAATACGCCCTCACCGGCCTGGGGCTCTGCGCGCGGGGTTGCGAGGTGGCATCCGCCTGCGTCTCTCACCGCGTCGCATCAGAGGCTGCCTCGCTTCGCCGCCTGTTCGAGCCCCCGCTCAGCCCGATTCCGGCAAGCACTGCGGCGAGAGAGGTGCCCTTGAAAATGGTTTCGTACTGCTCCGACTTGAGGCGCGAGTGGTAGGGCTGCCGGGAAACGCGCAGGAAGGCGGCGCCGGTGACCAGCAGCCATGCGCCGAAGAGAAACTTGTAGCGGTACCTGGACAAGGCCGTTTCAGGCCCCTCGTCGGCCATTTCGGAGGTGAAGTTTGACTAGAGTTAAGGTTGTGACGGAGATGAGGAAACGTGAGACCCCGACCACAGATCGATGACGCTGCCTCGGCCGGGTACCTGGCCGCTCCAAGCCCCGGCGGCCCAACTCCACAACCACTCTCTCTACACGTTTCACTCTTTCGAGTCTCAGTCAAGAGCGCCCATGTGCTTCGACTTCATGCTTCCTGCTGTTGCTGATCTGGCGTAAAGGTAATGTGTCTGACCCAGATACCGCGTTCGAGACTTTCATGGGCCCAAAAGATGGGTAATCGACACCTCGCACCGCCTTCGCCGCACTTCATCATGTCGACCCCCACGCTCCAAGAATCTGTCGTGTGCTTCCGCTTTAGCGGGCTGTCCAGTGACTTCTCGAAGCCGATTGGCTGAATGTCGGTACAGAGTAATGGGTAGATTAGCACCTCCATACACCTCACTGCACTACTTGTAGCAATGGCCTCTCGGCTCATGATTTGGAGTCACTTCGAGCGAGATTACACCATTTACAGTCTATTCCGTTGACCCGTTACTGCTAAAATGTGTGAACCAGAGCTCCGTTCCCAAGTCTAGTCCAGTCCATCCATGAATCCGTCTTTGACACCATGTCAGATCATGCGTACATGATCCCGCGTAACGCTTCCATTGACATGAGTGTTTATCTTAGGCAGAAGCCTTGCCCATCACCTCAGCCTCGACCTCGATCTCACTTCCCACCACCAGCTCACTCACACTACTCTCACGCTTGTAGATGACTGTCTTTCCCTGGAGAGACTTGGGCAAGACCAAGCCAGCGTCAACACACTTGTGTGTGAAGACGATCTTCTGCAGTCCGTCGAAGTACTTGGCGAAAGACGTATCGTCAACCACAAAGCCATCGAGTCGAAGAGTGGTCAAGGGCATCGCCTTGAGGTCGTCCATTGAGAGGCCCATCGATTCCATGGCCACGTTGCGAGCCTTGCTGATGGCGACTCCATCAAGGTACTCACCATAGCCATGCGTGTGGTGAAGGTTGCCGGATCCCTCGTAGCCGCTATATGCAATCAGTCGCAGACACAAAGCAAAAGGTGCGCACACATACCGGTACTTCTGAGCCATTTCGCGCTCGGGGTTGTACTTCCAAGAGTGATCGATAGCCGGCATCGGGTTGTTGCCATTGTCAGGGTCGCGGGTGATCGGGTTGTAGCGCATGCCAAGCTCCAGGGTGTCGAGGTTGGCGTTCTTCCAAACCGTCTCCCAGATGACAGACTGGAAGGACTCCGGCATGTTGTAGACACGGAGACGCTTCAGGTTCTTGAAGTTCTTCAAGTAGGTGAGGTCGTCCTTGGTGAAGTACTCCGGATGCGGAGCATACTCGTGGCGGTCTTGAGGATCCGGGACGAAGACGTTGATGCTCAAGTTCTCGATGTTTTCCGGGATGACGGCCCAGATGTCCTTGAAGAAGGGAAGATCGGTTTCCCACCTGATGTAGTCAACTGGCTCTCGGAAGTTAGCAAGGATCTACTTACTCAAGGGAGTTCAGACCCTCAATCTTAGCAAGGATCGACTTGATAAGGTTGATGGCCAGGGACCACTCAATGTCATGCTTCTCCGGGGTTGCCTTCTGAGCGGCGCTGCTTTGTGAGCGGGCGCGAGTGAGATCGCCCGAGCGCATCGGCTCGTCCGCCTCAGTGTCGACGGCGTCCTCAAGGTCCATCTGGCTGTACATGGACTGCAGCGCCTCCATCGTGTCCGTCGAGAAATGCCAACCTCCAGTGACGACAAGCTCCTTCTTGTAAGACAGCAGATGCGGCTTGCAGAGGAGTTTGTCGACGCGGTTGCCAAGCAGAGCGAGTGAGCTCGGCGCGTCAGCGATGGCGGAGTCGCGAGCGCCGGTGGAGAGGACCAGGCGCTCGTCGGTGGGCAGCAGCGGGTTCGCCATATTCGCAATGGTGCTCGGTACGGGACGCTGGAAGGGTTGCTCAAAGATTGCTTTAGGTTGCTTTAGGTTGGGAGTTGTGTGGTGTCGGAAGAAAAGGTCTGAACAGCGCGATGTTCCTGGAATTTATAGGGCCCTGGTGACTGCCTTTTTGGGAAGGAAGCAACGGCTTCCAACACGATCCCCGTGAGCAAGCCGGTGACGTCACGTGAAGAGGGTCTTACTGTTTGCTGTCATGCCAAATTAGGCAATCTCGTTCCGCCAGCGTAGTGGTCCTGCGCATCTTGTTATTCCAACCTTCTATCATAACGCATGGCTTCAACCCGAACGGCGATCGATAGCGACTTTACTTTCCCAGACAAAAAGGACTTTTGGTGAAAACCCTATTCCTAATATATATATCCTTATACTTTTTCAGGCTCTTAGTCAACTAACTTTCACTCGTATGGAAGAAGCGTTAAATATGAGTCTTCTTCCCCTTCACTTCGACCGGCCATAAACACGGGAGCACCCACGTCCATCGTTTTTGTAGTTGAGAAAAGCTCTTTACTTTAGACATCGAGCATTGCTGAAAGACACGCAGTTGTGCTTGCTCATGTTAATTTACAATTTAAGACCCGGATCTCATTGGTCCAATACGTGGACGCAAATTTCAAGGTATTGGCGGTATTTATAGCATGATCAGGCACACGGAACCAGTATACTTGCGTTGGAAATGTGAGATTGGCACAGAAATAAAAATTTCAGGGAAGTGATGTTTGCTCGAGCGACGTGCGGGTGCACGAGCAGGTAGTATCTGGCAAAAATCGTTGCCGCCTCCCGCACCACCCACGGCGGCGCTTCCCCGCCGTCCAAGCTTTCCACAGCTTTACCACCACCAAATCAACACACACACCAACACTTCCCCGACGCAACAAACCAACCATGGCAACGACCGCCGAAGCCGCAGCAGCAGTAGCGCCGCTCACCACGCCCGCTCCCGCCCCCGCAACCGCCGCACCACCATCACCCGCCGTATCCACCACCCAAGCAATCACCTACCTGACCCAGTTCATCGGCCGCAACCTCCGCATCCACGTCACCGACAAACGCATGTTCATCGGGCAAATGAAATGCACCGACAAAGTAACAACCGTCCCCCCCCTCCCAACCAACGCCAACACAACAACAACTAACGCGCCTCCCCCCCAAACACAAAGGACCGCAACATCATCCTCGGCCTCACCCACGAATACCGACCCCCCAGCGACGCCGCCATCCGCGCCGCGATCGCGTCCTCCGGCGACCCCTCCATCCAGCTGCCGCTGTCGAGCCGCTACGTCGGCCTCGTCGTCGTGCCCGGCCGCTACATCACCAAGGTCGAATGTGAAGAGACGCCGTGGGCGCCGGCGCCGGTGGCGTCGTTGTCGGCGGCGGCGGCATGAGTTGCGAAATACCAAAAGAAAAAAAAAAGAAAAGAAAAGTAAAATTTGCACCGCAACACAACAGGCAACGCAAACCAAGGAGTTCAAGGTGCGGTTGGTCTGGTCGCGCCGCTGGTCTCGAAACGCCAACGTGTGTTCGCGCGACCTTTTCATGGCACCGTTTCCTCCTCCTCTACGTCGTTCTCTTCCGGACTAGGTATAGCTACGCTTTAACCGCCGACATGCCTACCGCTCGCAACTCCGGTGGCTCCCGAGGAACATCTGCACGAGACACCCATCGTCGGACCTACCGAGTTTGTACGACGAGCTTACCAAGCAGTGGTCAGGGAACAAACGTCAGGACGCGTTCCATCAGCAATGCCAAGTTCGAGCCGCCAGAAGGTCAAAGGAATCGGAGCCTTCCGGTCCAAGACTCCCTCCCCATGACACACGCGCTTCCGTTTCGACTACGACCGCGCAAATATCCGGCATCTCGCTTGGTTCCCGACTTCTTTCCGCGCCGCGCTGGCTGTGTGAGTGATCCGCTACTCCCGAAGACGCAGCTGCCCGCTACGAGAACACCCCGCCTCTGCTGCCGCCCCGCCCCGCCATCCTCGCCTTCTTCGCCGGCGGCGGAAGTTGGCCGTTTGGGAACGAGAGTGAGGGCGGGACGGGGCGAGGATCGGACGAGGATTGATGGCTTTGGGTGGCGGAGAGCTGGGCGTCTGATACGGTACCAGAAAGGAGGATGTGCATTTAGCATCGATAGACCGAGCGGGCGAGTCTCTGGCGTGATTTGAAGGAGAAAGAGAGGGAGAGAGCTCGAAGCAATGGCGTTGGTGCGGCATCGTCATCATCATCGATAAATGTGGTCAGGGACAAGTTACGGGACGCACGGCCAGGTGAAGGAGCCATGAATAACAGTTGCAAAATCATCGCTTCAATTCAAAATGCATAGTATACACTACAACTCCCTCCTGCCCACCTGCCCGCCTCGCGGGAAGTCGGATCCCACTCGGAAAGCCCTTCTGAAGAACTCACAAAAAGCAACCATCAGAGACGCGCGCCCAAGTCTATCACCCAGAGAAGAAGAAGAAAACGGAAAAGGAAACTGTAATTTCTCTTTATTCGTTCGAGCTCGTTCCCCAGGCTTGGTTTGATTGTTTTTTTCTGCGCCAGCCAGTGCCATTGGCTTACCGTCTTTGTAAAAACCCCAAAACCATCCCTAATCCCCCCTTTCACCGCTCGTGCACACGTACGTAATTACCGCCCTACCATGTTTGTCAGGAGGATGTCGAGCTACACTCACCCCCAGATGATGGGGCCGAAAACAGCTCTTGAGAACTAGTAATCCATTTCCATGCGAAAGGAGAAAGAAAAGCCGCTCCCTAACACAGCACCCGATTGTGATGATGTACAAGGAGTAAGCAATCGGGTTTTCAGCTCTCTACTCGTCGCCACCGTCAGAGTAGTACTCGAAATCATGGGGTGCCTCCGCCTCCTCGCCGTCCTCATCCTCATCCACGGCGGTGAGAACGCCGGCGGCCTCTGCGGCGCCGGTAGTGGAACCAGCACCGATGTCGCGCGAGCTGTAGGCATCCTCGACGCGGTCCTGAAGACTGTGGCCGGGCGCGCCGGGCGCAGGAGTGGTGGCGGCCTTCTTGACCTTCAGCTCGAGAAGCTCTTTGGGATCCGAGGGCCTCGTGTCTGTCACAAGGATGACACCTCCGGTAGCCTGCAGATGGGGTTAGCGTGGTAACAAGATAAAGTGTACGTGCAACATACCTTCTTGACAGGCACGTAGCGCTCGCCAGGGAAGCTGATGTACTTCAGCTGTGCCGGTAGGACCCTCGACATGTTCTCAAGCTCGTAGCCGACCTTCTCCTTCTCGACCTTCTTCTTTCCACCTTCCGCAGACGGAGTGCCCTCCTTCTCACCCTCCTTCTTCTCGTCCTTCTTTGTGTCCTCATCGGTCTCCATCTTGTCGTCATCGGCCGAAGCCTTGGGTGTGGCCGGGGTCGGGTCCACATCCATGCTCTCCCGGCGTTGTTGCCTCTCCTTGACCATCTTGCGACGCTTGGCTTGGGCAGTGGTCGACAGCACCGCCGTCTTGATCTTCTCCGGTGCCTCTTCAGTCTTGACCTCCACTTCCGGCGGGTAGTCGAACATGCTTGGCCTGGTTGCGCTGTAGAACTTGAAGCTGGGGATTTCGAGTTCTTGGTCGACGCCAATGATCGCGGTGGGGGTGAAGCTGAGGGAGAGGAAGTGGGTCAACGGGAACCAGTACCAGTACTGGGTGAAGACAGCCATGCCGACGATGGCGGTCATGTTCAAGTTGCCGGTCTGGGTCTGCAGACCAATGGTACAGTTGCGACCACCGGCATCGATGATACCAAGGGCAATAGCGGCACCGAACTTTGCCATGGCATCCTCGTGGCGATCACCCACGACCTTCTGGAGAGTCTTGCGGATCGTTGCCACCTTGGGGTTCATCGATTCGTTCTGCTGGACCATGATCATCGCGAGGGAGATGAGAGCACCCTGGCGGACGAAGTCGGTGGAATCCTTCATCATGGGCTCAAGAAGGTCAATGGCCTCGTGTAGGCCGGTACCGGCACAAGCAATACCGAGGGCCATGGTTGCGCCGTACCGCACGTGAGGGTTGTAGGACTCGGCGAGGAGCTCGACCATCCGAGGGACAGCGCCCGGCTTTCTGAATAGAACGAACCCCAGACTCATCACGGCAACCCTGCGGACGTCATCACTGACATCACTGACAGCGACGTGAAGCAACTTGCGGACGGCCTTGTTGCTGCTGGTGCCGCAGTAAGCGAGGGCAATGGTCATGATACCGCCGTACCTCAGGGTCGGGTCAGGATCCTCAAGGAGACCGTTGATGAGCTCATCGGCAGCCTCCTGGCGGCCATACATGATAAGAGCCATGCCAATGGCCAGACCTCGTACAATCTTCTCGTGCTGAGTGTCGTGGGCGTACTGAATCATGTCCTCCAGAGCCTTGATGTTGCCGGTGCCAAGCATGACGAGACCCATGGCAAGACCGACGGCCTCACCGTTGATGGCAGAGTCGGTGTAGAGAACAGTCTTGAGGGATTCGTAGATGTCCTCGTTACCGGTAGCCATGCCCGCCACGCCGAGGCCAAGGGCACCGCCATGCTGCACCACTTCCTCCGAGGCTTTCCTGAATTGGGTCGACAGGTACTCGAGCACATCGGTGCCGTGGTTGCTGTAGATCAAGCCCAGGGCGAACAGAGAACCGCCCTGGCTGTACGACGAGCCAGAGACGCTGCTGTCCTTAGGAAGGTAAGGGTCGAGCAGTCTCTGGCCTTGAGTGATATTTCCACGATGAATGACACCCAAGGCTGCGGTGGCGGTGAACTTGGACCAGTTGACAGCCTTTTGAAGCCAGTCAAGATTATCCCGGAAGAAACCGTCATTGGTAGTACCAGAGTTCATGAAGGCGTTGGCGAAAGTGACGGCCGTGTGGAAGATGGAATTCCGAGCCTCAAGGCTGTCACGAATCTTGTTCAAGACCGCGCGATCAGCATGGTTGTTCCTGTAGAGGAACTCCAGGTTGAGCTCAATCGTCTTGGTGCCCTTCAGGATGTGGCGAATAGACGAGAAAGCTTTCTTCTGCTCCTCTGTGGCCGGGTTCGACTTTGTCCTTGACGGAATGGTCGCAGTGTGAGTGCTCTCCGCATTCGCCAGCAGTCCATCCGTTTCCCTAGTTCCCTCGCCCGACTCGGTCTGCATAGCATCCCCATTGGCAGACGACTGTCCACCAGCCTCGTCCTTCTTCTCCTCCTCCTCAACCTCGGGGAGCTCCTCGATCACCTTGGAGAGGAATTCTTGTGAGCTGTTGTCGTAGAGGTCGAAAGAGATTTGGTATGCAACGGCCAAAGAGTGGGCATCTCCACGCTCGACGAGGTGGCGAAGCATGTTCGACGCCATCGAATGTTGGTTCAAGTACACGACACACTTTGCGATGGAGAAGTAATCGGGGCTCGGGAGCTCGTTGAGAAGGTCCAGGATCATTCTCAGGATCTGAAAAGCGGTTAGTACACGCCCAAAACATGTGCCGGTCTTCACGTACCTCGTTCCTAAGACCGCGCTCCTGAACAACGTTCATGCAAATGTCCAGGATGTACTCCAGGAGCTCCTCACTCTTGCCCGGAGCACCGCTGGCAGCCTTCTTGCCCTGCGACTTCTCATCCTGGCTCGCCCTCAGGATTGTCTCGCGCAGAACGTCGAGATTCCTGGCCTCAATAGCGATGCCGACAACCTGCTGGTATGCGCTAGCCTGGTAGCAGCTCTCGAACAACCTCCGAATCACCGTCTGCAGATTCTTCTGCACTGGCCTCGGCAGGGCTAGAGGAGACGGGTGTGCGCCGGGGGTGCCGGCATTGCCACCGCCGGGGACCGAGGGGTCAAAACCCGTGGAGTCGTCGCGGGAGAGCAGAGACTTGGAGGGAAGGGTGGTTTGTGAGAATGGCGTAGTCGGCGAGGTAAGGCTTGCGGCCGTGTTTGCGCTACCGTTTGCGTTCGCGGGGAAGGCGGTCGTAAGTTGGGGCGGAGGCTGGTTTGCTGTGCTTGCGGGCGCCGGAGGGTTGTGCAGGGCGGACAGAGCGATGTAGGTGTCGATGCACTTGGCTGTTCGCATCAGCCAGTCAGCGAAGCTCGTTGAATGAGGGCTGCCCAGCTGGAAACTTACTAACTATCGTGTCCTCGAACTCGCCAGGGTGATCTAAGCTGAACAGCTTTCCTGCCCCCAGCGCGAACACCATGCTCTCGTTGTACTCTTGTAGCTGATAGTAGACCTTGGCGGCCACCAGAGCAGCAAGCTCTCTCTCCGGGAACGTCTCATCTTCGTACAGAGCTTCTCTATCAAGACGGATATGTCAGCACGATGATGCATGGTGCAGCAGCGCACAAGCGGACTGGCTTGGTGGCGGCCGGCAGAGCTCGACGACGCAGCACAGCTGAGCTTCATCGGGCGGATGTATTGGGGTGAGACGGGAACATGGTGCTTGACTCACATCTGACCGACAGAACCAGCAACCTCGGGCCACAGCAGATCGATTTCCTCGTTTAACCGGTGGAGGGCAAACGACCTGAGGTCGTTGTCCGGCTCGGTCAGGAAACCGACGAGGCCGGCAGCGGAGGTCAAGCCCCCCATGATGGACTGGTCTGAAGGTTTGGTCGGAGTCGGCTTGGCAGGATGGGAGGCGGTGGTCATGGTGGGTCTGGATGGAGGATGGGAGGTGGTGAGGTTGGGTTGACGTTGTTGATGATGATGGGGAGCTTCGACGACGCGGACCTGCGCCAGGCGGCCAGCAGCTCACAAGCCCCAAAGCCAAGACTCGGTCATCCAGCGGCCACCCAGCCATAGAGGTTGCCGCTTACGCAACGCCCCAGGAACCACTGCCCGGCCGCCGCATGGCAGATCGCACTCGCGCTGGCCGGAATCGCGCGCGCTCTCCTCCCAAGAGCGTCTCGGCCTTTTTGCGCATTTCCTCACCTTCGCGACCTCGTGCGCGACGGCCGCCAAGCAGCGCCCACCAGCCTCACCCGGCAGCGACTTGACGGCGACGCGCGCAAGGGCAATCGAGCGGGCTGCATTCTACACCACCACCGGTGCAAGCGCTCGGTCACGCAAGTTTGGCATCTTCGCACGCGCCGCGGCAGAGCGGCTGTGTGTTGCGCCCACAAGACCCGCACCGTTCCCGGCGCTTTGTCTGGTGAGCGCGCAGGCATAGCTCCCGCGTCCAGTGCCGTCCGACTCAGCACCACCTCCCGCGCGCCCATCGCCGCATCTCCACCGACTCAGCCGCATATCCCACAGCCGACTCGAAGCGCCGACGCGCAACTGGACACCCACCACCATGGACCTCCGCGGCATGCTTAACGACGATGGAAACCTCCCGCCAGCGACGCCGAAGACCGGCCGACAAGCTTCAGTCGCGTCCATTCTCTCGCCTACACCACCATCAACTGCTGCCTCGTACGCGTCCAAAACATCGCCCGCACCCCAGACGTCCCCCGCACCACCCCCTAGGGCCATGTCTATCGCAACTCAGCAACTCCGGGAGATACCCCCGTGGGCTCGCCGCTTCGATTGGAACGCGCTGCAGCGTGGAGAGATCAGGCAAGCCCACATACCCGAGCGCCCGCCGCCCCCGCCACAACAACAGCAGCCGCCTACGCCGCATCACCAGCCGCCGCCCGTACAAGTCGCGCCCCGACAGCCGCCCGCGCCTCCCCCCATTGAGGGTTCCAGCGGCGGTCTAGAGCCAAGCCTCACCAATGTTCAGCCCTATGATGAGGTTGTGCGGAGGGTCTGCGACTTCTTATGGCAGTCGGTCGTCGACCGGGATGATCTCCACGGCGGTGTGCCCGGTGGCTCCCATCCCGGCATCAATCTCGAGATCGAAGGAAAGCTGGGCACGCTGGTGGACAAGAACACCAACGAGCGTTTCACGCTACCCATCCTCACTCAAGCCGTCTCCGCTCTCCCTTCCCAGAAGCTTGCATTTGAGAGTTTCATGAATGAGGTATGTCCGCCGTCACTTTGCGGCTATATCCATCTAACGCTCCATTCTACAGCCGCAACACAAGACGTTGAACGACTTCCTCAACAAGACCGTTGGGGATTCCCTCAGAGGTGGCCGCCCGAAGATTCACTACAAGCATCTGCGCGAGACGGACCAGTTCTACACGGCCGACGAAAACATTCTTTCATCTCTGCCGCCTGCTGTGCGTCCATACCTCCACGGCCAAGGCCGCATGCGCAAACCACGCGTCCGAGTTACGAGAGATACGAATACGAAGGAAATCAAAGCGCAGATCGTGAAGGTACGCGTCGCCGACCTCGACATCCTATCGCCCAGCGAAGCGTTCGACTGCCGCATCAGCGTGAACATTGAAATCCAGCTGGATGAGGATCTTTCCGTGTTCGAGGCCTCGGACGAACCGGGCCGCATGAAGGACCGTGTGAGCTACCAGCATCTGCACACGCAGGTCGACTTGACCCAAGTCAGGAAGGCCAACAGCCCCAACGAAAAAGTCCACGAACTGGAGGTCGAACTCATGGCCGACAAGCTCATCGAGCAGGGCATATGGACCAAGCAAGGCCGTTCCGACGCGTGCTACGAAGAGATGGTCAAGACTTTCGTCAACAACATCAGGGTACTCTCCAGGGAAGCCACTCTTATGTAAGGCGGTCCAGGATGCCCATGTGATCTGAGCGAAGAAGTCTACACTGACCGGAGTCAAGGAAGCCATCTTCGTCCTACTTCTGGGCTTCAGCTTGAGCCCTTGCGGTTGGTTTCATAAGAGTAGCATTGAGGGGGTCGTCAAGGCAGGAAGGAATACAGGAGGCATTAAGGAGTCAACAGGCGTTCTGGGTTTACTAAAATCGTATCAAGATACCCCCGTGGCTGCATTCAGGGACTTTCCCCAAGCTCATCAGGGAGCTACAATGTATAATAGATCAGTAGCAGTAGAAGAGCCATTGCGCAAATGTAGGGCAAACAATGTTGTGATCTATGATCGGGTATCATTGTTCTGTGTAGGTCATGTATTCATACAGCATTCCCCCCTCCAATCCATTCATCGAGCACATCCTTCTCAATCAGCCAACCGAACACGAGTCACTTTCTTGGCCTTGCGTGTTGTGGCCCTCTTCACCGACTTCCTTAACCCCTTTCTCGCCTTCGTCGGCTTAGATACGGTCCTCCTCTGCTTCGTTCGCAGTCCCCTCTTAACCCCACCACGACCAACCTTCCCCTTCCTCTCCCTACCAGCAGCCGCCGTCCTCCCACTCCTCCTCGGCGAGTCACAAGCAACTTCCTCCACATTCCCACCACCACCACCCCCCCGTCCATCGCCTCCACCCTTCAACCGCACTGACAACCTCCTCTCACCCTCCCCCGCCACCACCCGCTCCGCCGTCCCCCTCCCCTGCCACTCCCCCACCACCTCCTCCACCCTCCCCGCCACCCTCCTCCTCCCCTCCTCCCTCCCCACCCCCGCCCTCAACAACCCCTCATACCCCGTCCACTCGTGCCTCACGTGCGCCCTCACCCCCAACACCACCCTCTCCTCTAAATCCACATCCCCCGCCCTGCCGACGCGTCCGCTCCTCTTGCGAAACGCGTGCTCGACGACGGCGTCGACGGCTTGCGGGGGCGCGCGCGGGAAGAGCCGGACGAGGGCGGCGCGGGCGTCGGCGAGGAGGCGGGCGTCGCGCGCGGCGGTGGCGGCGAGGCGGGCGGACTTGGTGGCGGCGTCGGCGGCGAGGACGGCGGCGTGGATGGTGCGGGGGACGCGGAGGCCGAGGGGGCGGGGGCGGCCGCGGCGGGTTTGGTCGTCCTGCGTGGGTGGAGGGGGAATGTAAGTGAGGGGTTTGGTTTCTCGGGGGGGGTTTTTTTTGGGTGGACGTTGGATGTTGGGGGCTGGTAAGAGAGAGAGTGTGTGGCTTGCTTGCTTGCTTACCACGACGACGTAGACGTCTTGGCCCGTCTCTTTGGTTAGTTGTCGGCAGTGTCGGGTTATGTAGGGATCGCCCTTTGGGACGAAGACGTAGTCGGGGCGGATGGGGACGCCCTGGTGGACTTCGCGCTCTTGACCTGGGCGTGGAGCCATGTGGAAGAAGAAGGGCGCACGCCAGTGGAATATGAAGGGTGGGCGGCCGATACGCTTGAAGGGGTTCCCGGGGAGGAGTCTGAGAGCCATGGTAAGAATATGTAGGATTTGATGATTGGGCTTCGTAGGGAAAGGCACGAGGATAGCTGTAGCTGGCTTGGAGTACTATACTTACTCTGGTGAGTGGGTGAGGAAGTCTTGGATGGTTGGAGCTGTGAGGAAGGCGCTATCGGTCGTGGCGGTTGTTTAGGTGTCTTTGTTAACGACAACAAAGCTTTCGGATACAAGATTGATTCGGGCTACGTTTGCGTGTACTGCGATTGAAGGGGAATTTCAGAGGAATAGAGAGGAGATGGCATGCGTCCAACAGCGAAAAGCAGCATCACTGATGAGGCCCTTTCATCGCACGTTCTCGTTGGAAGCGTCGGTTGCAGTCATTCCACGGTTTCTTTGATTGAACCACAGCCAAGCTCTTTCTTCAGGGTGGCGGAGGTACGGCGGACCTCTTGCTGTGGTTATGTTGCTTGGACAGGGGAGCAGGTTGCGACACGTATGTTGTTGAACCAGTGAGACTGGAGGCGCGTTGGAGGAGCAACTGCGTGCCTGGTGTAAAGTGGTTGCCGCAATCCTTCGCGAAATGACCGGCAAAAGCAGTCACGACAAATCGAAGGACCGAGCACCCCCGAGGTTTTTCCATGCATCCCTACCCCACACCCCTCTCCCCAATATTTCAACACCACAACATCATCACAGCCAAACCCACTCCAGCTGCTTTCGAGGTCGCATACGGCAGATGGAACGCAGGAAGCAGCGCGTGACGGCGTCGCTTAAGAGCTTTTATACAATTCGATAGTGCCGGCAAGGACAGCCGCCATGCCGGGCGGCACGACGGCACTGATGTCAGAGATCCCTGTCGTCGAAACACTTCATCTATTCCCGTCCAGCCCTCATCCCCATGTCCCCTAAACAAAAGCTTCGCCTACTCCCGTCTCCAATAGCATGCCTCTTCTACTCGTCCCGAACTCTCCTGTTGATACAGCATTGAAACGGTGGCAAGGGCCAAGCCCCACATTTCGCGGCGAAGTTTCATTTCCATCCTGAGATCTTCGTTCCGAATCTTATGCGTACCAGCTGCACCCGTTTCACACGATCGGCTACGGGAGAACTGGTCACTGATGGGCGTGTTCTCGATCGCGAACGGCCGCCACGAAAGCTTAGCTCAGGGTATAGGGACTAGGGGTCGGCGCGTGCTGTCTCCTGCTCGGCCTTCGGCTTTCGGACACTCTGCAGTGAAGTGCCACTTTTAGCCGCCGGAACGTCTGACCGTGAAGCAGAAACGCCCGAAGAGGGAAATGACGGCGGGGAAAAGGATAGGACTCGATAATGCCGACCATGTCGCGTTTGGAGACCTTTCGACTTAAAAGCGACCCTCCTTCGCATCCTGTTTTGCTCTTCAGTGCTGGACACAAGCTCAGATTCGATCATTACCATTCACAAGCCATTTTACATTCGTTCCAACTACAGTCAACATGAAGTTCTCTACCACCCTCGCTACCCTCGCTGCCGCGAGCCTGAGCAGTGCTCACTACACCTTCCCTGCCCTCGTCAACGAGGGCGAGGTCACCGAGGACTGGAAGTACGTCCGCATGACTACCAACCACTACTCCCACGGCCCCGTGACCGACGTCACCTCCGACGACATCCGCTGCTACGAGGACTCTTCGAACCCCACGACCGAGACTCTGTCCGTCAAGGCCGGCAACAACCTCGGCTTCACCGTCGATCCCGATGTCTCTCACCCGGGCACCCTCCAGTTCTACATGGCCAAGGCTCCCGACGGAACCACCGCCGCCGACTTCAAGGGCGACGGCGACGTCTGGTTCAAGATCTACGGCCAGGGCCCGACGTTCAACAACGGCGAGCTCGGCTGGCCCTCGCAAGGTTCGTCTGCACACTACACGATGCATCCCCTCCCTAACCGAGAGCCATCCAACAATTGAGAAAACTAACCTCATCCCGCAAAACTCCAGGCCTGAGCCAGGTCAACGTCACCATCCCCGAGTCCACCCCCTCGGGCGACTACCTCTTCCGCGTCGAGCACATCGCGCTGCACAGCGCCGGCTCCGCCAACGGCGCCCAGTTCTACATCTCGTGCGGCCAGATCACCGTCACCGACGGCGGCAGCGGCAGCCCCAGCCCCAAGGTCGCCCTGCCCGGCGCCTACAGCGCCACCGACCCCGGTCTGCTCATCAACATCTACTACCCCGTCCCCACCAACTACACCCTTCCCGGCCCGGCTGTCTGGTCTGGTTGAGAACGTTGGCGTGACGAACTCGATGCGGTTGGAAAAAGAGATTAAAAGGACTCGGAGATGGGGAGGAGAAGGTGTTCCCTCGGCTCTACTTCTCAGTAAATACTTGATACTTTTGTGCTGTAAATGGATGATTGTTCTGATGCGTTGACTCGGTTGACTTATTGATATACATTTTTTCCGAAAACGATGAGTGACGCGAAATTCATGCCATGGAGCAGGAGGTGAGACCGGGAGAAGTGACAGAACAATTTCTTCGTTCAAGTGGCCCCAGAGGTAAACTACCGGAAATCACTCTGAAAACTGGAGCATAGTATCCTAACATCGTGACCGAAACCATCCCGCCACGCCTGCTTAGCGTACGGGCACCACACATGCATGAACTGCCTTGTTTATGATGATCTAATGTTTCCTCCGGCAAAAGCTGAAAAGGGACCACCACACTTCAGCGTCTAGACGCGACTGATGCTATACGTTCTCCATTCCAAGCAAGTCCACCCAAACACTACATTCTCCTCCATATCCCGTTCATCTCCACAATCGTCCACACATTCGTAAATGTGCGTGAGTACAACGAGGCTCCACCTCAGGAACCGCTTCAAGCTGCTTCTCGACTATACACCACTCGCAACAGACAGACCGCTTTGAAGCCAGTGCTGCAGACCGGCACGCCCGCGACCGCCTCCGGTTCGAACACTGGCGTCGGAATGCTTGGAAGCGCGGTGCGTTGCGCGACAGTTCGACGGCCTGGTGAGACGGGCGTATGTATCAGGTGTGTGCCCTGATGCTGACCATCTCCTCGAGTACGACAGCGCTGCTGTTGCCGCCACTCCGCCGCTTACGAGACAGTTTAGTTAGAATGATCCTGCCACGACGAGATAGGAGGCTTTGGCTTCTCGTGTATGTCTGGGTCAGTCAGTGTTTAGCGGAGCTGATGGATCAGCAAGTCACGTCTGGTGGTGCACAACACACACCCATCAGTTCGAGTCGTTGACTGACCGCCAATCAGTGCCACTACACAGACAAAAGCCAAAAATGAATTTCACTCCGAAATGGGTAATTGAAAGGGCGCTCAGGTCAACACAAAGGTCAGGTAATTGCGGTGCAAAAAAAAAACAAAAAAAAGGAAAACTTCGCAGGATTCCCAAACCTTAACATTCCGACTTCGACATCCCCGCTTCACGCCTTCTCTTGGGCCTGGCCAGCCTTCCGCCTGCGCACTTTATCGAGCCTCAATCGTGTTGCCCATTTCCTCCTCCACTTCACATGCGCCCTCTTTATCCTACTCCTCGGATAATTGATGGGGCTCTCACCACCGACGAAAATAGCGATATCGTACAGGGCACCGCCCACAATGGCACCGGAAATCGTAGCAGCCCAGGGACCATACAGCCAGTACCCGCTTGTGAACCCGGCGTTGCCGTACCCCAAGGCGAGAAGAGCAAGCCGTGGGCCAAAATCGCGGGAGGGATTCATCGCGCAGCCGGTGTTGTTGCTGAAGGCGTTGCTCTCGACGGTGATGACGAGGCCCATGATGAAGGCGCTCATACCCGCACCGGGAGGGGCGTTGGTGTCGTCGCCAAGAGCGAGGACTGCAACGGCCAGGATGCTGGTGGCGACGAACTCGGTGAAGAAGGCGGTGCCGACGCCGACGTCGCTGTTTCGCGGGCCCGTCACGAAGGCGTTTGCCGTTCCGCTGACGGCCAGGTCGGCGCCGCCGAACTTGATGATCTGGGACTTGTAGACGCCGAATGCGATCAGTGCGGCTATGAAGGCGCCGAGGACCTGGACGAAAACGTAGGGCGGCACCTTGCGGAGGGGGAAGCCGCGATATATCCAGAGCATTATGGAGATTGCTGGGTTGAGATGGGCACCGGAAATACCACCGGCTACGTAAATGCCAATCATGCTTGCAAGGCCCCAGGACAGATTGGCAGCCAAAGCGTCTCCACTGACGCCACCGGATGTGGTTGAAGCAAGATCGGCGCAGAAGCCAAGCGTGAGCTGTACAATTACCTGGTGAAAGGTCAGCAAACAGGCGTCCAACACTCGGCATACATGGGTCAGGCATACTGCTAGCAGTTCAGCCAACTCCTCCCGATATCTGGTTCTAATCACGCTCCAGTGGGTGTGATGATTGTGGATCTCCTCTGCCGAACGAATAGGCATCAAAGCTAAATCCTCGTCCACCCAATCCGGACCATCGTCAAATTCCGTCGCTGCACTCGAGGCATCATCAGGAAATCTGTTGTCGTGTGGGACAAAATTATCCTCATCTTTTGCGACCAGGCTTGGCCGATCATCGGTGGGGAACGGAAAAGCCTGCGGCTCGTCCAATCCAGGAGTAGTGGGGTTTTCAGGTAGAGGGGTCAGCGGAGGCTGTGGTGGATCAACTACCGAGCTTTCCCTCCTGCGGGAGCTGGTGCGGGATTCGGTTCTCGTGATAGGAAGTGCCGCACCCGATGTTGACATCCTCGAGCCCATTCTTTCCAGAAAGTTGTTTTCCCTCTGCTCACGTGCATCTCTGAGATGGGATGAGATCCTGCCCAGATTGAGGGTCTGGTCCACTCTACCTTTTTCTATATCCGGATCAATTGGTGGTTTGTCGGGCTCGGTGGGGGTTGTAGTTCCGGGGGTAGGGACCATTCCAGGGCGTACCACACGAGGTAGGGGTTTAGCCAATCCCCAGACCGGACGAGCGTTGGTCGGCTGCTCGTAGGCCGGATTGAGTTGGGCATAGCCTGGATCGACATACGGCTGGTTAGTTTGGGGCGCTGGCTCTGCTGGTCCGGCAAGCGTGAATCCGGATGGCGGTACATTCCCAAGCATGGTCGGCCTACGGGCCAGCGTGGACGCGCGAGGTCGGCTGGCGCTGTCATTCTTCCTCCTGCGCTGAGAACCGCGAGAAGAGGTGTCGTCCCTTTGCCTCGAGGAAGTGCGTCCGACCTCCTCTGGGATGTCCGGAATCCTTTCCTCTTTTGACATTGAAGGACGATTCGCGATCGGGGGTTTCTCAAGGTCGCGATAGGACACGGATCGGCCTCTCCGGCGAGAAGGGCCACTGGGGCCTGCATCGCCATCAAAGCGGTGATGCTGGGTAGGGAGAGTTGAGCTTCTGCGGATCGGCCTTGGTCGTGATCTTTCGGAAGCGGTCGTGGGGACAGTAGCTATGCTCTCGGGGTGGCTTGTGTTGTCGTCTGTCGCTGGCGAGACTGCATCTTGCTGGTGAGGATCGCCTTCCCCTTCTCTGGGGTTGCTGGCTTGATCCGGCTCCATCTCTTATCGTGTTACACTGCTCGGAAGGATTGTGGATGACGGCAGAAGTCAAAGGACGCAGTCAATTGGCACAAGCATGATATTGACGTGAGGTACAAAGCTATAGGAACAAGGAGAGACCAGCAGGTAGATGGCGGGTTGAGGACCGAAGGTTCGGAGAAGACAGTCGAAGACGTGATGTGCGAGCGAAGGGTGACCATGACGTTCTGCGGCTCACCGCTCAGGCGGGGATGACGCGGCGGAAGAATCGGAAGGGCTGGAAGACGGTTTTGAGTGGGCCTCTGCGAGATTTTGAGGTTATCGGCAATGTTGATCCATACACACGGTCCACCGGCTGGATACGAGTCGAAGCCACGAAGCGACGAGTGCCAGTGGCGGGCGCGCAGCGCCACAATGGCGGTTGACACGTCCGGACTGAAACGTGCAGGCGTGCCGATCGGCGTGGACGAGAAAAGCTTGGCAGGAACTTTAATGGGCTAGGGAGCTTGTCAGTTTTGGAGTTGATGTTTCGGGACTGCCCGGGCAGCAGAATGCCTGCAGCCTTCACATGGGTGCGGCTGGGCCGCTCTCGGCAGACTGCGCGACATCGGCACAGGCCGGTAGCACAAGCGCAACGGAGAGACGGGGGTGGGCTTTGCGGCGTGTGGAGCGGGGACGAGAGCGAGGACGGGGCCGGGGGGGAGGGCGAGAGCAGCAGAAGTCGTCATGGAGTTGATGCAACGGAGCTGGAGCTGAGGAAGGAACGAAGGGAGATGGCTTCCATGCCCGGCCCTGACGCTGGCCAACCGGCCCGGTGAAACCCCGACGTAGGAGGAACTGCGCCTTCCCTCCCCAGATCGTCTTTCCATCCTGGCCGTGTATCCACGGGCTTGTGTCGAGAAGCTTCTCCCGTCCTCTGCTCTGCTGCCGCCTGCTGCCGCCCTCAAGGCCTGTCGTGTCAAAGCTTCGTTCGCCGTGAGCAGCGCCATCCACCGCCAACAACCGCAGCACACCGTCACGAGCTCCGCTTTTCACTCGCTCACAACCGTCGCCCTTGCCGTGCCCGGTGTCCCCTCCAAGGTGCATTGGGTGAGCTTCGGGTCGAGCTATGCTGCGAAGGGCGATCGGTCCCATCTTTGGCCGCCACCGTGCGCTCTTTTCAGCGACATTCCCCCTCCTCTCGGGGGCTAGCAGGGTTTGCGCAGCGGCGCCCTTCGTTTCTAAGCAGCCATCGGCTCATCTGCCAGCGAGAGACGTTTGTCTGCTGGCCAAACACGGAATGACTCTGAAGACACCTGCTCCGCCCTGGCCGTCCTGACGCTGAACACCTGCACCTTTGGCGCCTAAGCCCGTCCCAGCGAACATAAAAACGCACCCAAGCTCCCGCCGCAGGGAGCAGGAGCCTTGAAGAAAAAACGCCTGCTTTTGTCAGCCTCAGGCGTAGAAAAACATGGAAGAACAACGGCACTCCGGCTCGAACTCGAGCCAGCCTTGGAATCGACGGCACCGGCGTGCGGCTCCACTACTACCTCGACTGTCTTCCCTTCGCCCTCTGGATTGTTGCCGGAAAAGGGCGTCCTTCTTCTGATCCACGGCTTCCCCCACACTTCTTACCAGTTCCGCCATGTCTTGCTTCCCCTGGCGCGCGTTGGCCACCGTGTGATAGCGCCCGACTATCGCGGTGCGGGTTAAAGTCGTCTCGCCCAGATGGCGCCTTCACCAAGTCGGTCATGGCTGCAGACCTGTCCTACCTCGTCCACGACCATCTCGGGGTCAGAAAAAGTATCCATGTTGTCGGGCACGACACTGGCGGCATGGTTGCACACGCCTAGCCGTCCCGCTACCCCGACTACGTCGCCTCCGTCATCTGGGGGGAGTGTCCCTTGCCGGGCACAGAGGCCTATGAGCAGCACAAGGCCATGATGCCCCAACAGTTCCACTTCCATTTCCAACGTGTCGCCGGCCTGCCCAAGCCATTGGTTGCCGGCCGCGAGCACCTCCATCTCCGTCACTTCTTTGACAACATCTCTTTCAACGCCGGAGCCATCACCGGAGGCGACCTCGATCGTTACGTCGCCGACTATTCGCAGCCCGGGGCAGTGAGGTGTGCGTCCGGCGTGTACAGGGCCTTCGAGACAGGTGCGCTAGAGAACCGCGAGTGGCGAATGGCGAACGGCCGGTGTCGAGTCCCGGCGCTGGGTTTGAGCGGCGAGCACAGTTTGCAGGCGAAGGAGGCGGCGGCGACGCTGGACGAGATGTACGAGAATGCCGAGCCGTCGCTCGTCTGCGACTCAGCGCATTGCATCGCCGAGGAGAATCCGGATGACTTCACCCGTCAGGTGTTGGCTTTTGGTGAGCGACACTCGTGAAGACGTCAGCGTGGTGGAGTTGGCCGGGCGGCCGTCTTGCCGCTGCCTTGGCCGGGCATTCCGCTACCGGCGGATGCCCCCAGGCGTGGGATAGTCGTTCCCTTCAGCTCAGCGAAGCCATGTGTTTCTCTCTTCTGCCTGAAGCCGGGGCTGTTGCGGCCCATGTGACACAATCCTCCGTGAGACGTGGTTTCACAGGCTCTGCCGGACGCTTGACGAGTGGGCTGGGGCCACGCAGCAGCAGGAGCCAAAGACAGACACGGCGGGTCGACCTAGAACGGCTATCCGCCGGAGAGGACAAGCGGCAGACCGGCAACAGGCTCGAACGCCACGGGCCGCTCACCTTTTAGACCGAAACCCTGTCGCCTTCGCTAGCCGCAGATACGAGCATATTGCTAGCTGGGCAAATGATGGCGGCGTAACCTGAACGGGGCTCCCTCCGGGCCCGGTCCAACTGCGCTAATTGGCCGCGCACTTCGAGAACATCATCGCCCAGACGGTGATCGAGCGCGTCAAAGCGGCAGCCCTACATATGATACAGATGCGGGCGCCTTGAACGGAGGCCTTCCAGCGGCCTGTTCATTGGCCGCTTCCTGGTCGCTGGATGCTGTTGGTCCGCTTGTGCAGAGTCCGTCTATGTTTCCCTCTGCTTCAAGTTCCCCGCGTCCCTTGTCTGCCACTTGGCCCTGCTTTGCTGCTTGTCTGCTTCCTGCGCCTTCCGCAATTTTGTTCCTCCACCCCTCCGTTTGTTTGCCTGCTTTTGCCTGCGTTTGCCTACTGCCCACACACACTCTCCCCTTCCAGGCACCCATCCGTTTTACATCATCAATTGCTCTCGGCGGCTCCTGTCCTCCCGGCACGCGTGCGAGACCAGCCTAGTGCATGAAGATTTCCATTATGCCGCAAAGTCCTCGACCGATCCTCCCCGCCGCCGCCTCGAGCGTCAGTCCCAGCAGTTCCACAAACGCCGCGCCTGCAACATCCTCGAGTACAAAGCCAAACACGAGTCCATTTGACCCTGCGTCTGGTGCCGTCGGTGCCGACTTATCACCGGCTGCTGCTGCTGCACAGCAAGCACGAGCACGTGGCAGGAGAACCGTCACTCTAGTAGCTTGCTTTGAGTGCCAGAAAAAGAAAACCAAGGTCCATAAACACTGATAATAAGTGCACATGTTTTGTTTCCTCTTCCTCGCACATTTTCCCTTCATGCTCTGCATGAAGCTGGTTTCCTCTTCACATCCTCCGCCCCCAGCTCAGAGGTGTTGCCACCCGCATTAGACCTCCAATCATTTCTTGTAGCCCCTCATTCGTGTAACCATCATCGGAGCACAGCCAGCCCAATCGTTAAAGCCTTCCTGGTCTGTCGGAAAATCTCTTGAAATTTCCGACCTCGACGGTTCAGCATTACACTGCCGGGTACCCAAGTCTGCGCAAACCATATCCAAAGACTATTTTCAAGAGCCCCGGCTTAAATTCCCCCATCCAGACTCGCAAGCAGAAAAAAAAAGATCATCGTCTCCTACCGTCATCAAAGAAACATGAAAGAGAAAGGGAGCTTACACTACTACTGCCTTTCCTAGTTCTGTTTCGTTTGACCAGCCACGTGTTGAGGAGACGAGTCCATTTCCCCCCCTTTTGTCACCAAAAAAGAAAAAGCTCATGGATATCGTTTCTCGCTGACTCGACCTCCACTCTCTTTGTGGAGAAGGGGTGACATATAGTGTGACGGAGCGCGCCCGAGCTGCTCGCGATGCCGGGCCAAAGGCTGCAAGTGCATGTGGGAGACGGACACGCGCGAGCAGACACGGCAACAAGCGACGTACAATAAGCTGGAGGAGGCGGTCCTGAAGCTCGAGGAGGCCAACGTGCGCATCGCGGGCTACGAGCGGCTGATGCACGAGCTGCGCACGCTCCCGGACGACGAGGCCGTCCGCCTCTTCTGGCGGATCCGGGACTCGAGCAGCGAACAGCGGAGCGATGATGCAGGAGGCGGCGGTGGCGGCGGTGCCGACAACGAGGGGTATGATTGGTTGGTCGGCGGCGCGGGTGGCATGAGCATCGGAGAGGACGAGTACGGGGTGCCGACGACGCAGCAGCAGCACACGCACCAGCAGCAGCTGGCTGGGGAGCTGCCGCCGCCGCCGCCGCCGCCGCCGCCGCCAGGGCCGCCCGGGTCACAGTTCGCGTCCGCGGCTGCTACGATGGGGATGGGCGTCGAGATGGACGTGGGCGTAGGTGTGGGCGTGGGCGTGGGCGTGCAGGGGGAGCAGCCGCATCCTCACCTTCCATATCATCATCACCAGCAAGGTCCACCGCCGCAGCAGCCGCAGCAGCAGCAACACCATCACCACCACCACCAGGCATACGGGGAGGGCGCATATCAAGAGAGGCACTTGTATGGGGACCGGCATCGACACCATTGATGATGAGACAGACTCCTGGGGCCTGGACATACGCCGACGACCCGACGAGGGGCTGTGTGCCATTCATGCGGAGCGCGAGCTGCGTGAGCTGCATAGTAGTAGTGTCTCTTAGGGGGAGTAGTGGAGACGAGCTGCGTCTGATGAGATCACATTGCTGCGAGTGGACGGAGTTGACACCAAAAAGGGGGATGGGGGGGCTGTCGATTGTTGGGTGGACGTGGTCGCGTCGTTGCACGATGACGCTGTGGGGGAGGGGGGGGCGGTGTGCGGTTGGGTTCATATTCCTGTTCGTGAGGTCCATCATCACGATCTTTGGCGAAAGACCTGCGCTCGGGTTGCAGTGGAGGGAGGGGCCACAAAGTTGTCCTTGGAAGTGGAGTCCAATTTTTTCCCACCCCCCCTAACCAATTCCCTCTTTTTTTTTTCTCTCCCTTTTCCTTCAGACCTCGTTAAAATGAGGCGTACCCTGACATCATGCTTGGTGTTGGGGGGGGGGAAGTGCGAGGACGGATCCCCCTCTCCCCGAGACGTTATGCGACGCGGCTATGGTTTTCGGCTGTTGTTTCCAACTCGGTTATTTATTTTGTCTCTGATACTTGCTTTTCCCGGCATCATCGATCCTATCTTTTGCATTAATGTATCTTTCCTTTTACCCAGAGGGGCATGGTCGCACGGCGTTTGCTTTACGAATTTTTCGATTGTAAGGGTGGACGTCCTTCGGTTGGGGGTGGGTGGAGGGTGGACGGGGGGGAGGTAAAAGGGTCTCATTTACCACATGGACGGGTTTCCCTATTTTCTATCGACACGGTTGCTTACTCGATGCGGCCAAAGGCTCCGACTGAGCTAACGGGGTGGGCCAGCTGGGTTTTGCACACCGGACTGCTGCGAATAGCGAGGGCTCCGTATATTTGCTGTGCATGATTGGACCGCCCCCGAGGGGACTTTCCGAAGCCACCAACAAGTTGGAAAGGCGCAATGATCAGGCGACCACCTCGGCGTCTCGTTGGACGAATATGGTAGGGGGAAGTTAGTTGGGAAGATCGAGCGGATGTGGCTCTCGAGGCTGACGTCACTTTTTCGGCGGGGAGGGACATGAGCGAGAGGCTGGTCTGGGTCTGGGCTGGGTCCACAACTTGTTTGGGAGTCGGCGATCAGCAGTCTGGTGAGGGCCAGGGCGAGAAGAGTGGGCAAAAAAGCATTCATGAGTGTCTCACGAGTTTTCGGCGTCCGGGCGATCGGATAAGCGGGTACGAACGAAGCTTTTCTTCAACAGAAAAAAAAAAAAAATCAAAGGAAACCGCTCCGACAAGCGAGAGTTTCTCGAGCGGACAGCGCTGAGTTGTCGCTTGCTTTTTGTTTACTTCTAGCCCTCTCCCCCAACGGCGGCAGCACACATCTGGCTCGTGGCTGTCGTGCTTGTACCGTTTGTTGAGTCTATCCTAGGAGCGCCCAGGGCCCACAGACAGACGTTTGACCATTGACTCAGGACATGGTTGTACCGTGTCGACGATGGGGACGGAGGTCAGATCCAGACTCGACCCATGCTTATAGGGCCGACCGAGATCGGGAACCCGTCCAATATCTTTGGCAAAGGGAGATGAGATTTTCGGGAGCTCCCGCTTAGAGGCAATGCTGCCGGCCGTCAAGGCTCCTTCCTGATTCCCTGCCCACCCCATGATGGGGTGAGCGGCTCTCTCTCTCCCTCTTTTCGCGGCGGGGTGGGCCAGCACTTGTGCCTCAGCCCGCCGGCCGCGGCGCGGGGAGGCGCGCCCATTGGGCGATAGGTAATATGCTTCTGGAGGAAAAGCCCTATTGCCTTTCCCCAGATGCGTGGGCCTTGGGACGATCCTTGGCCCAAACGCTGCCGTGGGACAGCCGCTAGTTAGTATCATGGATAATGCTTACGAGCACGGGAGGTTCCCGCCTTAGTGGCCCTTCCCCCCCCAGCGCCTGCTGAAGCGGGCTCCCGACGGCTTCATTTCAGCCGCCGGAAAAGCGCGCCGAGATGTGATGGCGAGCCGGCTCGAAAGGGGGACGGGAAACGGCAGTGAAAACGGCAGCTTCCTTTTTCTGCGGCGGGGCGAGGGGAGGGGAGGGGGGCCATCCTTGGCCGTCCGTCGAGCATTTGGCGCCCGGCCGAGTGCGTCTGCATGATGAGGCGCAAGTATCACGTCCTGGAGGGTTGTCAGGTGATGATAACAGCAAGAAAAATTTGTGATTACTCACGCGGAAACGATTCATAGGCCAGCCATCCATCCAACATGGAGCGAGATTGGGGCTTGTGCTTGAGTAGGATACGCGGAACTTCTCGGAGCGGCGGCGCATCTGATCGCTCTGTCAGCGGCATCGCCGTTTGGTCGGCAAAAGCGTGGGTGTACCTAGGTAGGGCCGTGGGCTGGCGAAGGGGTTGTGCCAAAGCTTGGCGCTAATGTTTTGTTGCCGATTAGTTGCATTTAGGCGCGTGGAAGAACTTCTGTTAAACTCGTCGACATGCACTGGCAGAGGGAGCAGGAGGCAGGCAGGCAGAGGTGTTTTGGACGGCGCATCCCAGGCCGGACGGGTGTGGCGGCGTCAAAGGGCAGGTTGGACCCAGTCGAGCGGAGCATCTAGCTGCATGTACACGTATTCTAGCGCGGCGCAGGAGGTGGTGAGGACGGGCGTTGTCGTTCTTGAAAGCGCGTGCGCCATGGTTTGAGGTGTGTGAGGGCCATAGAACGAAGTGGGACGGTGTAACGCTACGGCGGTGGTGTGGGCAGGAGAGGCTCCGGTGCGTGTCATTGGATCCTCTCACGACCAAGGGTCCAGCCTCGTACCTCGATGCAGGCGCTAAATCGGCCTTTCCCGCCATGACGGCCGCATCATGATCCGACGACTCGCGCGTCCACCACGGCTGACTCTGCTCTGCGCAACGGCGAGCGCAGCCGTCGGCTAGGGTTTCACGGATGCCGTGGCCCACGGCAGGCCGACATCCGCTGCGGCGCTGGCCAGTGCGCGAGCTGCAGGCCCCGAAGCCGAGAGGCCGGAAGAGAGGTAGCATAGTGCCGTGTACACACAAGTGTGGTCCCCCAAGACGGCGAGCCAGAGAGCAGTTTCGGGTCGGCAGATCTAGGGCGCACGTGGCATGGACGGGTTGCAGGAAGCAGCAGCAGATCTCCCGGCAAGATCAGCACAAGGGCGCAGCAAGAGGCCGTCGGACCACGGTATACACCAGGGCGGCGCGCGGCAGTCAAGGGCGATGCCGACGGTGGAAGATTGGGCACAAGCACAGCACTGCGGCCCGGTGACACAGCGGGCATCCGGGCGTGGCAGTGCCTGCGCGGCCGGAGAACAGCAGCCAGAATTAGGTTTGAGAAGCGGCAGCAGCACCACGCCGTGTCACCCCGAGGCGGCGGTGTTGAGTGAGTGAGGTGCTGCAGCCGGAAAACAAGAGACGCTGGGCCGGGGCGCCGGCCACTCAGCCGGCTTGTCCTCGGCCTTCCCGTCGCCGCTTCCCCGAGCGCCCCGAGCTGCCAGCGCCAGCTCAGCGACAGCGCGACAGCTCTCCAGACGCGTGTCCTGCCAGAGCTGCTCCAACACGCGACGCGACATGGCCGACCGCCCACCCACCCCCCCGCCGCCCGAGAAGGCCGCCGCCAACCCCGTCGAGCCCGTCCCCGCCTTTGCTCCACCCCCGCCCGAGTCCCCCCAGAGCATCACGACCCGCCGCCTGGTCATCCTGTCTTTCTGGGCTGTCGCTCTCCTGCTTGGCCTGCCGCTATGGTTCAAGACCACCACCATCTACCGCGCCAGTCTGCCTCTGCAGCAGATGCTCGACTGGGCTGACGGAAAGGTCTGCTCCTCCCGCTCCCCGCCGCCTCTGCTGTTTGCTGACAAGCTCCGAGACCTGCCGCCCCGTCTTCCCGCTGCGCATTGCCATTGACGCCCCCATCCTGCCCGAGCAAGACGCACACCACCTTCTGCGCACTACCCAGCACGCTCTCGACGACCTCAATGACTTTTCCGCCCATCATCTCCGTCTTGTCCTCGCCGACCCTCCCGGCCAGCAGCAAGATGCCCAGCCCGCAAGCCCCAGCGACACCGATATTGCATTGACCTTGAACCTGATCCCCTCCCCGAACGGCCCCACGCCGAGAGCCGAGCTGCGTTCCTACGAGCCTATCCTAGACGTCTACTACACCCAGAACCAGATTCCCTCGCCTTCCTCGACCTCGTCTCCGCTGGCCACCTTTCTCGCCAATGAGCTACAATCCATATTCTCCGAAGAGCAGGCTGCCTTGGCATACCTGCTGTCCGGCACCGGCATGGGCAACATGGCCAGGATGAAGACGCTGAGCTCCGACATGACTGCTGCGCTGGAGAGGCAGAAGACGCGCTCCTTCAAATACGCCCCGACCTACCATCTGACCTTTTCTCTCTTCACCCCCGGCTCTGCTCCCTCGGACTGGGAGATCGAGGCTGCACTCAACGAGTACATTGCTCCCTTGCTGCACTCGCTGTCGTCCATCAGCAATTTCACCATTGATACCCAGGTCCAGCTCTATGCAACCTTTGCCCGTTCGATCCGTGAGCCTGAGTTTGACCCCGAGACGAACGCATGGACACTGCACAAGGAGGACCTTACCGGCTTCATAAACGCTGCCGAATGGCCTCTTAGCCCGTCCATCGGTACCGGTCCTACCGTCAACTTCGTCCTCTACGTCCCGGCGGAAAACCAGAGTCCAATGGTGGTGAAAGAGAACGGCGGAAGCAGCTGGCTCGTGCCGCAATGGGGCGGTGTGTTGATTCTGAATCCTGCCAAAGCCTCAGCCAAGACGACATCCAATCCGGCTTCCCTGGACAAGGAAGCTCTGCGCCCCGCCATGCTCACCTTCTCCAACCAGCTTCTCTCTCTGCTGGGTGTGCCCCAGTCACCCGACTCGTTGCCCTTGCGCATCACCACGCTCACCCGCATCCGTGCAGCATCGCTCCTTTTCTCTGCTTCATCTACGCTAGGATCGCTAGCGCGGCTGAGTCTAGCCTTGCCATCCATTGCCATACCTGACAACGTGGCCATCTCAGTTGAGCAGACGATCGCTCACCTGCATGCCGCATGTGACGAGCTTCGCGAGGGCAAATTCGGCAGCGCTTTGAAGCATGCACGTGTCGCAGAGGCCGGGGCCGAGAAGGCCTTCTTTGAAAGATCCATGGTTGGGCAAGTTTACTTCCCCGACGAACACAAAGTCGCTGTCTACCTTCCTCTGCTCGGCCCAGTTGCCGTCCCCTTGATCATGACCGCTCTGAAAGAGCTCAAAAACTTATCGGCCAGACGGAAAGGCGGCAGCTCTTGACTAATGCTGGAGTGTAGCTTCTTCGGGCGTCTCACTTCCGATATCCCTCACTAAAGCCAATTCCGAAGGAATGACAGCATATCTTCGCCTAGTTTACTCCGCAGATTGACTATTGCAGCAATGAGGGGTCGTGGAACGTGCTCATGTGTCCGCAGCGGATCCGCTCAGCCCCCAGGTCCACTGCCAAGTCCACTGCCAGGTCCACTGACGATCCGTTCGACACCAATGATTCCGGCATTCCGAACATGGATCAGCCTGGCTTTACCGGGGGGAGGCTGGTTAGACAGGGAATCGGTGTGAGGCCAAGCCCGAGCGCTGGGACCATTCGGACCCCGCGTGCCCAATTGCGGGGTGCAGAGGGTGGGGTAAACAACACAGCTCAGCTACATCCGGTCTGCCGCCAGTGTACATACATAAGCATCAGTCTTCCAAGTCTGCGAGATACCCAACTATCCACTCTTGTAATTTTATTCAAAACCTTCCTGTCTTGAAGCGACACAGTTCCGCGAGCATGTCTTTCAATGCAGAGGCGCAAGCCACCATCAAGTCGACCCTCGACGCCGTAACGTCCACGGGCTCAATTCCGGGAATTGTTTTTGTTGCTGTCGACAAAAATGGAGATGTGATCACTTCGCATTGCTCCGGCACGACAGGTGCAACCACGTCGACGCCCATGTCGCTTGACTCAGTCTTCTGGATTGCCAGCTGTACCAAGATCATTACGGGCATTGCATGCATGCAATTGGTAGAGCAGGGAAAGCTCAGCCTTGAAGATTCGGAAGCTTTGTACAAGATTATTCCGGAGCTGAAAGACAAGAAAGTACTCCAAGCCGACGGCACTCTCGTACCCAAGAAGAAGGAGATCACTCTGCGCATGCTGCTCGACCACACGGCTGGGTTCGGGTACACATTCTTCAACCCAAAACTCAGAGACTGGGGCAGGCCTCTGGGCTTCGATGAGTTTTCTGGCGACGCAAGAGATATCCTGGACGCCCCATTGGTCAACCAGCCCGGCGAAACCTGGGAATACGGGGTAAGAGGCCTGCAGGCTCGCATACTCCTTTTCGTCCGTGATATCAGATGCTAACTCGGAGCCTCCCCCTAACTCAGACGAACATCGACTGGGCCGGCCTTGCGGTCGAGCGCGTCTCGGGCCTGACGCTGAACGACTACTTCCACAAGAACATCTTCGAGCCGCTCGGCCTCAAGAACATCAGCATGTTCCCGACCGAAGAGATGATCAAGAACCTCGTCTACCTCCACGCCAAGACGCCGGACGGCGCGGTCACGGAGCAGGACCACGCGCTGCGCAGGAGCCTGATGGCCAAGACGCCCGAGGAGCGCGCCCGCATCATCAACTCGGGCGGCGCGGGATGCTTCGCCAAGCCCGCGGAGTACTGCCGTACGTAAACACATTCACATTTCTCTCCTCATCCCACCGCTTGCATGCAAAAGCCTTCTTCTTCTTCTTCTTCTTCTCCTCCTCCTCCTTCTTCTCTCCCCCACCTCTCCATTCCCTTCCGCTAACCACCACCACCACCACCACCAGAGATCCTCGCCACCCTCCTCAACAACGGCACCTCCCCCCGCACCGGCGCCACCCTCCTCTCCCCCCACGCCGTCGACACCATCTTCACCAACTCCCTCCCCCCCACCTGGCCCGACTTCGCCCGCACCGGCTTCCCCGCCGCAAAGCCCCACCAGACCAACCCCATCCCCGAGCTGTACGCCCAGCCGGGAAACCCGCCCCAGGGTTGGGGCCTGACCTTCTTGCTGACCAACTTGGACGGTGCGCAGAATGGCAGCGAGGGGACGTGGCGCGGCAAGAACACGGGGCATTGGGCGGGCATCGCGAATCTGTATTACTGGGTCGATAGGGAGAAGGGGGTGGCGGGCATGATCGCGGCGCAGGTGCTGCCGTTTGCGGATGTGGATGTGGTGATGCCGTGGGTGGTGTGCGAGAAGGCGGTTTATGAGGGGTTGGGGAGGTTGAAGTGAGGTGAGGAGCGGGGAGTGTGGGGAAGAGTGGATGGATGGCTGGCGGGGGGAGGGGAGGAAAGGAAGGGGTGGTGTGGTTTTGTTGGTGGTGTTGTGGGTGGGAGAGGCGCGGGGGGTGGGGGATGCGGCTTCTTGTTGGTTGGTGAATTTGCGTCGTTGATGTTGCGTCGTTGATGGTGGTTGTTTTTTTCTTCGTCTTTTTTTTTTTTTGGTGCGGATGGGGGGTTTCCTTGCCTGGTGTACGTAGCACGCATTCGCTTTTTGCCAACACTTCCTGCTTTCTTCCTCCTATCTATGCGTTACCAACTACCCCTTTCGCTTTGCGTTGCATGCTATCTGGGGCGAGATGGATGCCATTTTTGTGGTGTGGTCTGCGACTGCCCATCGATCGTCCGAGCGACAACAACCGGCAAGGATCTACCCGACGTTCCACAACCAGTCTGCAACGAGCTTCGGGCGCACGTATATGTGTATAAACAGTTATTGCAGCCGAAGGACAGCGTGGGATTGCGTGCTTTCTCGCTTTGCAGCAAAAGTCCCAACGACTGCCAGAAGAGGAAAAATAAAGCAGATGCTCGAACGACTAGCCTATCACGTCATCCGTATAGGACGGGGCATACCCACTCGCCAATTGTTGGGGTGATATGGCGCCTGTCTGCTTGTCTGTCTGTGTCACGCCATCTTTTACGCCTCGTCATGCTTGGTTTCGGAAGTTTGGTGGTCAATGGGCTCGTCAAGACTCGACAGCATACATACAGCAATAAGATAACGTGGCCTGTACACAGTAGTCAGTAGACAGACAGGCAGACCTTGACTGGAAAGTCATTTCCTGGTTACCACCCACTTTGAAAAAACCACAGTCCAGTTCACATCTACACAGATTGTCAATTGCACCGAAATCAACAGCTCCAACCCCCGAAATAAATGCGGCGATGGAGATGTTTATTTCCATCCCCACGCGGCCATCTTCCCACCGAGCGCAGACAGACAACATCGCCACCCCATCATCCGGCTGCATCCCACCACCCCGGCCTCCAATCGACCCAGTGAATCCCCCTGAATCTGATCGCTCGACCATCCACAACACCAACGAAAAGCACCGCCGTCGATGCCGCTTATAATACACCATCCATCTGCTTTCTGACACCGACGTGACATCCCAGCCCCCGACGTGCTAGCTCCCCGTACCACACAACACAACACAATCGAAGCAGCAGACCGCCGCCGTACCGCACAAGCCCTACGCAGAATCAGAGACTCGTAGCTAGCCGAGGTGCTGGTGCTGGTGCTGGTGCTAGTAGTCGGGGAGGGGGAGAGGACTCGCTTGCTTGCTTGCTTGCACGTATACGTACATATGCGGTTAACGCAGCTGTAATTCGCCGCCGCCGCCGCCGCCGTCGTCGTCGTTAATGCATTGTGGTTAGTAGTCGGTAAGTAACCCCCTAGCTCATGTGCCGGGGTTAAGTATCCCCACCTGCATCACGTCCACCACTAGCATCCTAGTAGTGAAGAGCCTCTCCTCTCCCCAGCTCCCCCGGGGCCCTGAAAGGACCGAGTCAATAGGCAGATGCAGCACCGCTAGCTAAGCCAGGCCGGTGATGAATACGAGGGAGGGAGGTGATGGTGGGCGAAGTGAAGCGATAAGCGAAGCGAAGCGCCATGCGGAGGCGGAATCGGAGGCGGAAGGAGGCGGAAGGAGAGGGGGGAGGCGGGAGCGGGAGTGGAAGGAGAGGATGGGCCGGATAGGGCGGATAGGGCAGATAGGGCGGATAGGGCGGATGCAGGGGCGGATGGGGCGGAGGTATAGGCATCTGATAAAAGGAAAAAAAAAAAGAGGAGGGGAGGAAAGAAAAGCGGAAGCTCCGCAATGCCCGCCAGCCCTTCTCCTGGGGGTGATGTTCTGGTAGGCAGGCAGCAGCGTTCTATACCGGACTTTTTGTGAGACCAATCTCGTTACGTGTTGCGTCATTGGTAGCAGCCGGGGAATTATTAGTAACTCTATCTGATGGGATGTCTCTGTTTGCGATTACCTACTTTTCAGCAGCGGAATGTCGTTGCGAGGTGTTTCGGGGCTTGCTCTGGCGGTATGTGGCAATATGGTGATCGGGTCAAAACAACTGGAGTTTTCGTGCTCGTTCGTGAGAGTGGTGATGTTGGGTCGGAATTGAAGCCCGTGTTTGGCGAGGGACAGCATTATTGCTCTAGTGGCGGTCAGCTTGCTGCAGGGACGCGTTCTTAGTTGTATATGTGTGCCGCGAAATGCCTGCGTGTGGCGTTGATTGGCAAGACCGCAAGAGGGGTTAACACGGACGACGGGAAGAAAGAAAAAGAAAAGGGGAGAGAAGAAGGCAGCATAGCGCGGGAAAACGCTGTGACCATTATCAGTGTCTGTGTTTCCCTCACCGCGGTGCAACCTTTTGTGGCATGTGGGTGTCAGCATCTATCGGGGGTTGGGGATTGGGGGTTCCCCTTCAAAAAAAAAAAAAATAAAGTAGGCGGCCCAGCCGTAGGAGTTAGCGACAAAGGAGCCCCCGTCTGGGACTGTACTCTGTAAATTGATATTTGGCTTCTTGTACATCTACGTAGGGTGACTGCACTAGTGCCCTTCCCACTGCATGTGTGATATCAGTAATGGATACTATTACAATGAGAACAGAGAAACTAGATGTGGCCACACAGAGGGCAAAAGTTCACAAAAAGCGAACATCATAACTTTCTTCCACGCGTCATTAGCCTTGATTCCACCGAGGATTCAGGGTCTTTTTCGATGCTTGCCTAGTGCAAAGCTCGCACAAGATCGGCTACGGTTGGACTCGCGCCTACAGCCGGTCAGTTATAGGGCCAGCTCAAGCCAAGCCAAGCCTCCGATGTCCTTTACAATAAAGGGGGAAAAAAAGAAAAGAAGGGAAGGGATCCCTCATGCACAATAGCCAGCAGCTAGCGGATCCTCCTATTCGGCGACTCGGCCGCTTATAGAGCCCACTCCCGTTGGTGTTTAGCGGCTCCTTCTACCCCACTAGGTACTCTCAGCGAACATCCTTGCCCAAAACGGACAGCAGGAGCAAGCTAACAACATCATAAGATAAAACCAAAAGCCAATCGTGCCTCGTCCCGTCGTAATCCTCCGTGGCGGAAGCCACCAAGCGGGGTAAATGCAAGCCATATGCATTTCCTTATCGGTTGAAGCCGCTCCTGTACACACAAGATTACAAGCAACATCAACAACATCGGTGACAACAGCCATAGACAATGTTATAGATTAAGATATATAAGTATCCAACATAAGACATTAAAAAGAAGTAAAAGCGACAAAAGAAAAAAAAAAGTAAAGGGGTATCACCACAAACCGAGGGGCCGTGGCCGACTGATATCGACATCACCACCCCCCTCCAAACCTAGCATCATCATCATCCCATCACCCGACTAGGTCACCTCCCCCACCCCCTCGTCGCCGTAATCCGCGTATCGCACCCGACCTCCCCCGTCGCCGCGCCGTCGTCATCATCCCCCGTCCTCCGCCCCTCGTGACGAATCTCATACGTCGTCTCGACAAACACGATATTGTTGTTGTTGTTGTTGCTGTTGCCGTTCCCCGCCGCCAGCGGGCCAACGCCGCCACCACCACCAACGACATTCGCACCGCTCATGCGGCGCTGAAACTGCTGGCGCTGCGTCGGCGGCAACGGCGACGGACTGCTCCGATACTCCCTCCCGACGATGCCATCCTCGCTGCCGTCGTTGTCGTCGTCGTCGGACACGCTGGGGCCCCTGAGGACGCGCGCGCCGGCCTTCGGTCTCGTCGTGGGCGACGCCACCCTCTCCCTGTCGCGCTCCAGCAGCTCGACGATGGTGATGCTCGACGGCTGCTCCTTGGAATACGTGCTCGCGCGCTCGAGGTCGACGTCGTCGCTGCTGCCCCCGCTGCTGTTGCTGCTGTTGCGCAGCTCGATGGCGGCGCCTGCGCCTGCGCCTGCGCCCGCGCCGGCACCGCCGTCCTCGCCGTACCCCCCCTTCTTGCCGCCGCGATGACGATACTTGCCGCCTGCGCCACCGGTGACCGTCCCGCCATGCGTCCCCGTCCTCCCATCACTCGCACTATTCCCATTCGCACCACTACTCCCCTCCGACACCCTGAAATCCCCCCTCCTCCAAAAATCCCTCACAAACAACGGCCGCAAAAGCGGCAACTGCACCGCCACGATGCCCACAATCGTCTCCCTCACGCCCCAACGGTTGATGTTCAGCGCGGACGGCGCCTCGCCCAGCGTCAGCGCGGCGCGCGTGACGGCGGCGCCGATGACGAAGACGCCCGACGAGAGCAGCGCGGCGATGGCGAGCTTGCGCGACGTCGCGACTTTCAGGCGCCACAGCAGCGGGATGGGTATCACCAGGATCGCCGCGTCGGTGAGGACGTTGAGCGTGACGGTGACGAGCAGGTTTTGGGTTTTGAAGGTGCAGCGGCGCGGGGGGAGGGTGGGGGCGACGGCCCAGTTGTCGGAGAAGCTGTGAGGAGGTGGGTTTAGTGAATGTGGTGGTGGTGGTGCGGGAAAAGGGGGTTGAGGGGGGGCTTACGGGAAGCAGCCGAAGGTGAGGGTGAGGACGACGATGAGGTAGGTGATGCCGCAGAGCCAGAAGAGGTGTTTGATCATGCGGTTTTGGAGTGTGCCGAATGTGAGGCGTTTGCTGGGGAGATGGTGCGTTAGTTGTGTGTGTGTGTGAGTGGCGCCGAGGGCGAGGAGGGAAAGTCAACGTACTAGAAGAGGAGCATGGTGAACTTCATGCACCAGATCAGGGCTGTGGTGGGATGCGCGTCAGCATTGCGATGGTAGACGTTGCGAGGGGATTGCTTACCAGAGTAACTGTACCAAGCAGCCGTCTGACACGCTGAACCCAGGATGAATTGATCAATCTCAGCCCGCGTAAGCTGGTCCACGATGGGTTGAGTCAGGCCTGCGTTGGCGCCAGTGTGGTCTGCAGCGTTCGTTGTCAGCTCGCTGCCTCGAAAGCATGCGTCCTGGGAGATGGTCTACTTACAGACTATGTGCACAAGTACAGCGTCTGTTCTAAGTTAGCGGTTGATCCCGTGGCTTTTGGCTGTGAACTCACCCATCGTGTAGAAAGCAAGTGTCTAATGGGGCATTAGCCGCAGATCATTACTTGCGCGAGAGACATGGACTTACAAGGGCCGTGATGTAGTCATCTCCGGCGAGGCCGCGGAAGCCCACCGTCCTGATGCGAACAATCCATCGCAAAGTAATTGTGGTGATGCCGATGATGTACCAGGCCTGAGACAAGGACGTGAGCGATTGGCAGAGGGTGATATTCCTCGGTGACCACCTACCCAAATCTCTCTCAAGAAGCTCGGGTCTTTCTCCAGATGGACTTGATAGCCAGTCCCATATTGCATGATTATTGTCGGTCACAAAGCTGTGATGTATGATCGAAAGGCCGGAGGCGGTATGGGGGTTGGAGTTGTGTTCCAAGTTCGCCCGGTGAGGTTCCCAGCAAGGATCCGAATAATGAGGTAGGGAAAGAGACGAGAAAGACGGCAAGGCAAGCACCCAACTTCCAAGACTCAAGACCAGCACTTGGAAGGGAGAGTGTATAAGATGCGGCTGCAGCCAGGAAAGAAAAATGATTCATGGCGAACGGAGCGGGAGACCCATATATCGCACTTTGGGACATAACGACGACCACCCTGACCGGCAGTCCCGTACCATCGCAATGATGACGAGCCGCCAAACACAACCAACCCTGCGCAGATCTAGAGCACCGGCGGGCCTGCGTAGTAGCCCTGACGAATTCTTCCACAAGCCACTGATCAGCGGTGATCCTTGCGGACCCCGTGCGTGCGCCAAAGTACCTGGATTGGCGTGTGAGGGTGGTAGTGGCCGCCAGGATTCCGAAGGGGAAGGGCGGCTCGTCTACTCCGACTGCCATCGTTCCAATGGGAGGACCGGGGTGGCCTTTGTGGCGGTGTGGCGAGGAGAAGTAGGCCCTTCTCCGGTCAGTGTGGAGGCGCTTGTCGGGGTGCAGTAGTGGGGATGGCAGAGCCGCGATGGCGTTGGAAGCTGCGGCCATGGAAGCGCGGCCGCAGTAGCCGGCCGATCAGGGTCATTACTTGGGCTGGCACTAGATGAACTCGAGCTTCAGCCCATGTATCGGGGATACGCTGCCGGCGATCCTCCCGTGCAGTTTCCGCTGTCGTGGGTGGGTGCAGAGGGAAGGCGTTGGATCCCGACTTCTGCGGTGGCTACGACGCCAGATGCTTTCCATGTATGGAAGAAACCAACGAGCTTCGCTAGCAGGTACCCGGCTGGAAGCGTGCCGTCTCACGTGCAGGCGGAACGTCAAGTGCAAATCTGTCCGCGGAGTACTATGTCTGGCAGCACACGGGCCGGACGGTTTGGCTAGTGTCGGGGACCCAGACTTGGCCAAGTGGCGGCGCCATTAACGCAGCAGAGTCCACCTGAGAGGCTCGGCTCCTCCCGACGATCACCAAACAGGTGCGCAACGTCCGGATCGCGGCCATGCCAAAGGGGGTGTTCCCTGTTGATTGTGGAGAGGGAGCCTTGCAACCTGTGCAGGATGCTTAAACTTTGCTCGCGACGGAGCAAAACTAAGCTCGAGATCTAGAGGCTCCGCCATACAAGTAGCGCTGCAGCGGACGACTTGGGCATCCTCGGTTTGTCGTAGCACTCACTCCAAGGAAGGTGTAGCTTCTCCGTTCATCACCGAGCCCGGAGCCTCACATGCCCCGCCAGGTACGCAAATCTTGTTTTCAAGCTTGGAGCTTGGAGCTACGGTAGATTCGGGCAAAGACACTCAAGATAGGCCTGCGCCTCGGTCTCGAGCCAAACCTTACAGCCTCATACGCAACGCACGAGTCCCGCTTCCTCACGGGTAAAAATTCCGCGATGGAAAACAGCGGGGCTGCGATGGCCCCTGATCCCACCGGAATGCACCTACAAATCCAGGCGGATTCTGGGGGGAACGAGTGGTCATCCATCGAACTCGAGGAAGGAATGTTTTTCATTGGTTCAAGGCGCCGCTCGCGATTCCCTCGACGCCACCATGGTCACGCTATTCCTCTGTCAGGAAATGGTGACGGACAGCCTCGCAGACTTCTGCGGGGAGTAGTACACATTTCCGGCGATTGTGCCCGACTCCCCAGACGCTGGCGGCTCATCAGGTGCGGCCGGCCCGTCGGTAACCGTGCGTCGGCCGATGAAATGGCCGTAGCCCGCCGCCACAGGAGATCCAGAACTCGAGCCGCCTTCAGCTCTGTGTGGCTGCCATCACGCCTGCGATTTGTGGCCTGTTGTGGCATCTTGATCGTCTTTTGAATGGCCACAACGGAACACGGCACGGGAAGGAATTCCAAGTACGGCCGGAATTCAACGACAGAGATTTGGTGAAAACAGTGCCCCCGCAATCGTTGGTGCCTCCGCCGAGCCTACGAATTTCGTACGTAAGCCATCTGACTACGGCAGAAAGAGCTGGTACGTGTCACTGCGGGGCCGAGGGGGGTTGCTGCAGTTATTGAGACGGCGTGAGTGCATTGTTGCGTAATTTCTGGTGAAAATCCAGCGCGTCCAGTCCAGCCTGGCATCACCCGGCCCAATCTAACCAGTCCATCCAGTCAAGATTGCTCGCATACGCCACAGGGAGATTTAGATCGAAGGGTTGCAACGCGTTCTGATCGTTTTGGATGGCCTGGTCGATCTCGATGTCCGACATCGTCGAGAACAGGAGCGGCTGCGGCGTAATCGTGGCCTCTCCTGCCCAGGAAGCCACCGGCGGAAACTGTGGTCCGGGGATAGCGTCAGCAGTGACGGGCAGCGCGGCCTCAGAGACCGAGGGGCGGTGTTTCTGCCTCTGTGCGGGCATGGTGGAAATGCTGCGCCCAAGCATCGCCCTAAGATACCTCCCGAGGATTGCAGATACGCCCTCTCGGTGGCGGGGCGTCGTCCCGATGCGCTCCAGCGCGCCCGCCGTCTCTTCGATAAGCTGGCGGACGCTGGGGGCTAAACTCGCACTGAATCCTGCACCGAGGCTGTGCAGTCTGAGCGTGAAGCAGGCGGCAAAGGCAACCATGATGGCCGTGTTGTTCGGCATCGACGCCAGCTCTTTCTCACCGTGCAGAGCGGCGCGCATGACGTGCAGTGCAGACGACAGTCCGGCAGCTCGGAAGAATCTTCTGACCTCTGCCGGAGCGGTGGGGTGGTTGACGACGCTGCTGTAGAGGGATAGCCTGGTGTGGCTGACAAGAATCTGGACGTAAGGTGGAAGGCGATAGCCCGCTGCCGTAGTCAGAACCCTGCGCCTTGCTAGAGCGGCCTAGACTTACGTTGCTGAGCATATGCCCAGATGCGATGCCACTGCTCAAAGAAGCCGTCGATCATGGCTTTGATGCTGTGCCACGGTAAGCAGGGGTTGCGTGCAAGCCGAGACTGGCGCTTACCGCTGCACGCTTTCCGAAGACGACGTGACCTCGGGCACGAACATATCACAGCACTCGCGGATGTTCTTGATGAGAACGTCCAAGTCCCTCCGCATCACGGCCACGGAGATGATGGAGCTGTCCCAAATGTCGGCAATGTCGGAGATGTGCCAAGCATCACACCTTTCCACGAGCGAGGTCTTCGGGACGACCGGTACACGTCCTCTTGCAAGACAGACCCTGGGCAGAAACAATCAGCACCGACACCAGACAACATGGCAAAGCGTTTACCCTCGATCCAGCACGAAGAGCGAGAGCCAGGTCCGCTCTCTCCGCCGGAGCAAGCGCCTTCCGAGCATCGAAGCGGGATCGACATTGTCGAAGCCATCGAGATACAGAGCCTTTTTCGCATCGAGGGTGTCAGAGCCGGTGTAGCCTTGCAAGCTGGCGTCAGGCACATTGTTGGGGGAGGGGGTCACGATCTTGTGCAAGGCAAGGTCCATGGCGACGGTCAGAGCAGCAGAAAGATACGAGCAGGTCTCGTCGTCGGCCCAGTGTTCGCCAAAAGACAGCCAAGGAACGTTGACCATAAAGGCCAGGACAACCTCGACGGACCTGTAGCGTCCCACCATGGCGGCGTGAGCGAGCTTTCGGCAGTGGGCGGACAGCCTTTTCGAGAGGGCTTCGGCAGACGGGATGAACAGGGCAGAGGCAGCCAGGATGGACGTCAGCAGAAACGAGGAGCGGGCACGGACGAAGGGCAGAGAGTGCACGTATCGATCCATGCCCCATCGTGTGTGGGTGAGGTGCTCGAAGAAGTACTGGAAGAGGTCGTCGGCTTCAGCCTGGGTGACGAGGCCCAGCTCAATGGGGTCCGCATCGGAGCTGACATCCAGCTTGGGACGCAGAGGGCTGAAGAAAGCCAGGACGGACTCGCTGCTTTGGTCGACGTCCTGGTAGGGCCCGGGGTTCAGACGCAGCCTGGAGAGGTCGGAGGCGTGGGCCAGCAGCTGAAGGGGATTCTCGGCATCGTTCAAGGGATAGTCGGCAACAGCAGTGACGGGCGTGGGCGAGTCGGAACTGGAGGGATTGGAGGGGGAGTAGGCTTCGGCAGTGGAATGGGCATCGTTGCGATCGGGTTGGGGCAAGTGGCGGACCTGGTCCAGCAAATGCTCCAGATGCAGGGCGGCGTCGTTGGTCTGGGGGTCGGTGCGGCCAGACTGCAGCTGGGCGACAGCCTGCTCGACCTGGAAGATGGCCTTTGCCAGGCCGGTGCGCTTGCTGTGGGCGGGTCAGAGGCGGGTCAGAAGCGTGGCGGGCTGGGGCGGTGGAGAGGTACTTCTTGGTGCCCTTCTGGCGGCCGACATGGTGCGAGGGAATGACGCAATCGGAGCCCTTCTGGCGGCACTTTTTGCATACGGCGGCGCCGGGGTCTCGCAGGCACTTCGTCTTGGTGCGGCGGCAGGCGATGCAGGCGGCCTGCTTGCTGCTCTTTGCGCGGCTTTCGCGCGTGTCGACATCCATGGCTGTCGCTGCGTCGTGGCACGGCTCGTCTGGCGACAGGATGTTTACACGCGCATGCTGTGAGGATGGCTGCGCTGCGGAGGAGCGCGGCTGGATGCGGGCTGGGCCGGGCGTTGGCTGTCGGGCCGCCAAGCTTCCTCCGATCATTCATCATCAGACCGTTTTGCCCGTTACATATGGTCGTATTATTAAGTGACGGTGCTAGCGAGATTTGGCGACACTTGGTCCGATGTGTCCGCATCTCCACCATCACCACAACAATCCTCTTGGTCCGGAGCGCAGCCCATGACCGCTCGCTTGTGCAATGTAGCCGAGCACTCGGCTTCTCGTGTCGCAAGTGACGCCCTCTCCCATTTCCGACGTGCGGCTCCCGTGACGCCGCCCAAACGCCGGAGCTACTTTTGCACCCGACCCACACCCCAGCTCCGAGCTCCATCCTGACAGCCGCCGACCATCTCAGCGCCCTCTCCTCGACCCTCACCTCCACCCATTGGCGCCATGTCGAAGCTGTCGGAGCCGCTGAAGGCCCTCATCAACGCCGGCTTCGCCAGCCCGGGCCCTGCGCCCGCCTCCAAGGGCATCCGCTCGCTGTTCGAGCACATTGCGAAGGACTCGGCCTCGAAGAACATCGCGACTCGGTGCTGGCTCACCATTGCCACGGCCACCTCCATGACCATGAACTCGCCCGCCTCCATGAAGGAGCTGTACGACGTCGCCACCGCCGCCGACAACCAACAGACGCCCGTCGAGGCCGCCGAGCTGATGCGCGAAGTCGGCCTCAAGTGCATCGGCTTCAACGGCATCCCGCGCTCCATCAACTGCCTCGGCGCCTTTCGCAGCAGCCTCCCCGAAGACGTCGTCCGCAGCCTGTCGACAGAGCCCACCAGGTCAGTCGTCCGCCCGCGCATCCACGAGACCGACTGACAGAGAACAACAACCCCGCAGGACACCCAGCACCTCCAACATCGACGCCATGCGCGCCCGCGGCCTCGCCCTCTGGTCCGACATCTACCGTCCATTCGACGCAAAGCTGCTCGACAAGCTGGCCGCATCGCACCCGGACCTGCCCGTTCACATCATCAACAGCCACTACTCAGCCCTCTTCACCGACCCGCCCGAGAAGAACCAGTCCATCCCCCGCGTTGGCCGCACCCTGACATCGCTCGTCGGCATATCGTGTCTGCGCGCCCAGACGGGCGTCGGCCCTCAGGTCTTGTCGCACGTCTTCGGACTACGCAAGGCCTTCGACGACGACGGCATCAAGACGAATCCCGAGGCCGACCTGCCCGGCGCCCGCTGGCTGGCCGGCGAAGAGGGGAACTTTTGGATACTGCAGACGGTCGATGCCATTGTCAGGGAGATTGGTGAGGGCGAGGGGACGACGTATGCGCCGGGGTTGAGGGCGAAGTTGTGAGTGAGTGAATAAATGCATGTCTTGATTGTCGATGATACACCAATTGGATATATATACAAGTATTCCGAAGCGAACGCGCTTATTTATGCACAGAAAAGATGGACAGCTTCTGTATCTACTCCATGGTCCTCAAGTCCTCTGCCACCTTGAACTTCGCATCCGTCTTGCTCTGCACATCTTCGACAGTGACCCCAGGAGCAACCTCGGTGAGCGTCAAGCCGCCGTTCACTCTGTCGACTTGAAACACGCACTGTCCAACGTCAGCATTCAGCAAGTCAGTCATACCCAGGAGCAGACGCACCATGTCAGTTATGATGGTGCTGACCACCTTCGCACCAGTCAATGGGAGGTTGCACTCCTGCACAATCTTTGACGACCCGTCCTTGGCAACATGCTCCGTCGCAACGATGATCTTGGTGACATCCGGATTCGACACGAGGTCGATGGCGCCGCCCATGCCCTTGAAAGTCTTGCCGGGGATCATGTAGTTGGCAAGATCGCCCGAAGCGCTGACTTGGAGAGCCTGTTGACGCGAACGTTAGCACGGAAAACACTTTTTTTGCATCCATTGCCATCGAACTTACCCCGAGGACAGAGACGTCGACATGACCACCGCGAATCATGCCGAAGGACTCGGCACTGTCGAATGTCGAGGCGCCGGGAATGAGCGTAACAGTCTCCTTTCCGGCATTGATGAGATCGGGGTCGACTTCGTCTTCGGTCGGGTACGGTCCCTGGTCCTGAATCAGCATCCATCCAGCGGAGAAGAGAGAGAGAGACCATACCATTCCCAACAGCCCATTCTCACTCTGAATCCACACCTTCACCTGCGGATCCAAAAAGCTCACGGCCAGCGTCGGGATCCCCACGCCCAAATTAACATAAAACCCCTCCTTCAACTCCCTCGCCGTCCTCCTCGCAATCCTCTCCCTCCTCGGATCCAACTTCCCCTCCCCCTCCTTCCCGCCCCTCACCTTCCTCACCTCGATCGCCTTCCCCTCGGTCGCCGGCACGATCCTATCCACATAAATCCCCGGCAAATGCACCATATCCGGCTCGATCTCCCCCTCGGCCACCACCTCCTCCGCCTCCACAATCGCACACCCCGCCGCCTTGGCCATCAGCGGCGCAAACGTCCGCGTCGCCAGCCGAAACTGACAATTCCCCGCCGTATCCACCCTCGCCGCCCGCAGGATCGCCACGTCCCCATACAACGCCTCCTCCAAAACGTACCGCCGCCCCCCAAACTCGCGCACCTCCTTCCCCCTCCCCGCCTCCAGCACCTCCTTTCCCCCCTCACCACCACCCAACCTCACCGCAATCCCCCCCGTCTCCACCAACGTCCCCACCCCCGTCGCCGTGTAGAACGCCGGTATCCCCGCCCCCGCCGCCCGCAGCCTCTCCGCGATCGTCCCCTGCGGCGTCAGCTCGACCGCGATTTTTCCTGTCAAGTACGCCCGCTCCAACTGCTTGTTCGCCCCCAGGTACGACAGCACCAGCCGCCCCAGCTGGCCCGTCTGCGCCAGCAGCGCGAGGCCGTGGTCACCGGCGCCGGCGTTGTTGGACACGGCGGTGAGGGAGTGTAGGGATTGAGGGCCGCGGCGGGCGAGGGCGCGGATGAGCGTTTCTGGGTTCGCGGGTTAGTTTGTGGTTGGTGGTGGGGACGGGGGACTAGTTACGTGCGATGCCGCAGACGCCGAAGCCGGCGCTGAGGATGGTGGAGCCGCTTTTGATGTCGGCGACGGCGGCGTCGGCGCTGGCGTAGAGCTTGGACGACCCGCGCGTTTTGGGCGGCGCTTTGGTGGCGGCGGCGGGGGTGGGAGTGGAGGGATCGGATGCAGGGGCGGGGCGGGCGTCTTTTGTGAAGGCCCGGCGCTGGGGCGGCGGCTGCTGCTGCGAGGAGCTGCGGAGTGCGAAGCGGGTTGTGGTTGGGAGGGATGTTGTGAATGGCCGTGGTGCGGATGGTGCGCCGGTGCGTTGGACTAGGGCAGGCAAGCGGCTGAAGCCGTTGCGGGCAGCTGTTCTGAGGGAGCGCTGGGGGAGCGCCATCCTGCTTGGTGGTGGGGGTTGTGAGAATGTCTGGTGAGTAGAAACGACAGTGAGATAGGTATATCAAGGGATATGGTGCTTCGAAGACCTCCGGGAGGTATGTCTACGCAGACGCAAATCAGTCGACTCGCTGGCGCAAGGTCGCAAGAGCGGACAAAGGTATAAGAACGCTGATGTTGAAGCCCGCGATGAGCCAGGACCCCAGTTCTAGCTCCGCGGTCGCCTCGTTCTCCTTCGCGTCTCCTGGATGTCGGATGTTTCGTGGGTTCGTTCTGTCGCAATTAACGACTGCGGCGACCGGTGCATGACGCGCCCTCGGCGTCTACATCTGTCGCCGACGAGACGCCCCGCAGCCGCGGCTAAGATGACGTAGGATATTTCTCCGCTCCATCTCCGAGCACGCCGTGTCGGATGGAACTATTTACTAGGAACGTACCTATGGCCGAGCATCGGCGGAGGATGAGAGTGACAAAATAAACGATGCGTTGATCCAGAAAGAACACGGTGCCATCTACAGCCTTTGGAATTTGCAGCAATGACTCCTCATATCGACAGTACAATAGCTCGACAACGATAAAGCTTTTCAAAGAATCATTTAAAAGCGCAGCATCAGATCAGGCGAAGGGGAGACTACAACCGAAAACTAGAGGGAGTTGAAATAAGTAATGTGAGCACAAGGCACGCTGCGGTTGAATCCACTGGTGATACTAGTCTTGAAATGCCGTAGTATGATCGACCATATGTAGAGTGGTTGCTAAATATATTTCCGAAGCCGCCCAAAGACGACGACTAAGGAAGTAGCTATCCAGTGTTCAACGGGTGCGGAGTGTCTACTTTCTCTTCATGCAGTGGTTTGTCCCAATACAAGCTTAGTAAACCTGCAGGTCAATTTAACAATAAACATAGACATTCTAGAACATATCGAAGGAGATAGTTGCTGAGCAGTGATGTCGTGGCAAATAATGGGTAGTATGGGCAACCTTCCTGCATTAACGAGGCCGATTGGGACGCAATATATAACTCTCTTTTCGATTCAAGTCTGGGGTACGAAAAGTGACAGAGAAATGCGGTGAGGTGTATGCAGGGGTAGTGGTACTGAATGCACTACGAATTCAGCCTGGCCAATCAGGTACGGACACAGCAGAAGGACCTATATAACCAGGTTCGCGGGACTGTCTTGATCACAATCGCTGCCGAACCTGCTCTTTGACATTGCCCCAAGTTCAAAGTAGAGTCAGCTTCCCGGTGTGCGTGATTGGTGATTGGTGCTCATCGCAATCACTGCGCAATACGCGGAGGAATTTCCGAGGGAAGTAGAGGGGTGAAATATCAACGTCGGAGTTCGGAGACGGAGTTCATGTACCTTGGAACCCCGGAATCGGGATAGATGCAACATGACATGTCTCAGTGGCGTGGAATTGCACCTGTAGGAACATGACAACCGATCATTGTGCACAGCACTCCGCTTTTCGTGCGTTTCCGAGTTACAGGATCAAGTGGCAACGGCCGACACAAATACAGAGCTGCAGGCACCCGCTTACTTTGATCCTCCTCCCGCTTAGCATACTTCACAATGTTCAAGTCTCTCAACCGCAAGCAACGGTTGTCGCTTACGATAGCAATATCATTCACTTTTTTCGCCGCCGAGATTTCTGGTTCGCCACGTCCTATGCCCTGCTGTTTCGTGCGCTGATGAGACTTGCGCACAGCTGGCTTTTACACCAGATCATTGGCACTTGTGGCCGATGCCTTCCACTATGTGAGCAAGGTAGCCCGATTGAAGGAGCAAGTACCGACAAAAAAACAGATGAACGACCTGATTGGCTTTATTGTTGCCCTCGCTGCTGTCCAAGTAAGCTGCACAGCCAAGTTCCTCGGACTGATCTAACCGTTACCGGCAGGCCACCGAGCGCGGCAGCTCCCCGCAAGGCTTCTCGTTCGGCTGGGCGCGAGCGCAGCTACTGGGGGGTTTCTTCAACGGCGTCTTCTTGCTGGCGCTTGGCGTGAGCATCTTCCTCCAATCAATTGAGCGCTTCATAGCACTTGAGCGTGGGTTACTTGACACGATTGCGTACGACGACGCTCACTGACGATTCGTCTCCAGGAATCAACAACCCCTTGGTCGTTCTGATAGTTGGCTGCGTCGGCCTGACTCTCAACATCATCACTGCGGCCTTCCTCCACGGTACGGCGCCCTGCTCCAACGACTCAGCGCAAGCTCAATGGAGACTGACATGGCATCCCCAGAGCACGACCATGACCACGGACACGGCGGGCACCCCCACAGCCACGAAGATGCCGAAGAGCAGGCCAACAGCACCGAACTACCCGTAAGTCGACCATGACGCCAACCCGAGGATACTGACCCCGCGAACCGGCCAGAACCTGGACCACGCCGAGCACATCCACCGCACAACGCAGCTCAAACCGCCCGGCTACGACCTCGGCATGATGGGCGTCATCGTGCACGTCCTGGGCGACGCGTGCAACAACGTGGCCGTCATCGTCGCCGCGCTGATAATCTGGCTCGTCAAGGCCGACGCGCGCTTCTACGCCGACCCGGCCCTCAGCACCGTCATCGCCATCATGATCCTCGCGTCTTCCATACCGCTGAGTACGTGCTCGCTTCCTCCTTTCCTCCCTCCCCCAAACCAGAAAAGAAAACAAACCAACCCCAAACCCACCCAACTAACACCACCCCCCGGGGTCCCACACACCCACAGCCCACCGCACCGCCCTCATCCTCCTCGAATCCGCGCCCCCAGGCGTCCGCCTCGCCGACGTCCAGCACGACCTCGAGCTCATCCCGGCCGTGCACTCCGTCCACGAGCTGCACATCTGGCGCCTCGACCAGCGCAAGGCCATCGCCTCCGCCCACGTCGTCCTCGAAAATGTCGACGCTGACGCTCGCGACGGCGACGGCGACAGAGACGGCACGGCGTCCCTCGCCGCGTTCATGCGCATGGCGCAGACGGTGGCGGAGTGTCTGCATGCGTATGGGATTCATTCGGCGACGCTGCAGCCGGAGTTGATGGTTGGGGAGGGGGAGGGGGAGAGGGGCGGGTGTGGCGGAGGGCTGGATGGGGGTGTGGAGGTTGATGGCGCGGCGGCCGGCGGGGTGAGGCGGCGGGCGCAGGGCGGAGCTGGATCGGGCGGTCTGGCGGGGTGTCGGTTGGCGTGTGGGGACGTGTGCGAGCCGTTGATGTGTTGCAATTGAACGCCATTGATTTTTTTTTTCTCTCCATCAGCCTTGTTGAGAGGGGTGCAGGCGAGTGTGTTGGAGGAGGACCTGAGTGAAGGGCCGGGACGATTTGGATTCCCGGCTAGGCCAGGGGTAGGGTGGATAACGCGGGTGGTTGGGGTCCATATGCTTCTTCTCTGTTTGGAACAAATTGGCTTTAAAATGCAGGGGTCTTGCTGACGGGTCGGATCGATAACGCGGTCGTCGGGGAACTTGTGGTGGTACCAGGCGGATGCCAGCCCTTCAGCTCATGGGTCTGCCGTGTCAACTGCGCCTTATCATTGGGCTGCGAGGGTCAATGCGATCAATGAACAGGCAGTGATGCTCATATCGTATAACCGACTTCTCACTTTGCGATATATTGCTGGACGTGTGACTGCTCTTTAAGCCGAGGAAACTAATTTTCACGAGAGCCACGGCTTGGTTCAACCGAGCTTATAGTCGCGATGGCATCTAGATCCATCGTATCTCTATAGCCGATTCGTGTAGGGCACCCCGAGGCGAGTAGCTTAGACGCCACCAACTCTTTCAGCTCGGGGGCGGTTCGGAATGAGAAAAGCCACTATTTAGCCACCACGTCCTACATCCGAGACCGTTATGCCATATCATCAAACCGTTTAACGGTCAAGATAATGCACGAACCTTGTAGACGTTGGGGTCTGCGGCCTTTACGAGGACAAAAAGTAAGAGCATCACATTGAAATCTCAAAGTATCAGCTTTCGGCGGAAATCATCTGTTACGCCCGCAAAAAGCATCCAACAATATTATGTGATTTGTCGACAGTTTGTAGCAACCCTGTTCGTTAATCATTTTTTTGGCTGCTAGTAGCCTTGTTAAGCTTATAAGGCGGAAAGCAGGCTGTGGACCTACAACGAGGCTGAGAGAGCCACTGTCGCGCAGCAATGCTGCACTACGGATGGTATGTATTATTTTTAGAACATCTATCATTTGTGGAGGGCACCTCTCCTGGGGCTCTCATGCTAAGTACACGAACCCTCACACGAATTGACAGGATCATCAAGCGCTCTTGTTCACGACATACGCCATGGCCTCTTCGCTCGAATATGACGACAGTATCTACCTGGGGGTCTGGACAAACTGGGAACACGGAAAGACATTGGGCGTCACGTTGACCGTGACGCGAGCTCATGGAAACTTACTCATTGCATTCCTCTCCCTCTTCGTAACCATCGCTGGCACGAGCTTTTGGAGAATCAGTTGCTTTGCCATGCACTACATGTACTCGGCAAAAACCCCGCAGGACGGCCTATACCATCAACGGCAAGCAATCTTGCGGAATGCGGCAAACGGCGCTACTGGCCTCTGGAGCTTCTTCCAAGTCTTGTACGCGTGGCGCAGGACTGCCAACAAACCCTGTCGCCGCATTTTGCCGCTGATTGCATTCACGTCCATGGCTCTTGTAGCCTTCGCCCTGGCCAGTATCTACTCGTCGCGCATCTCAACTACAACCGGAAACCAGGTAATGCTCTCCGGCGGTGGCTGCGGCAAAGTTGACATTTGGGATTCGCCTTCGACTGACCTCTATCGCGCGTATTTACCGTACATGTTCCAGGCCATTTCCACCAGTGCAGGTTACGCGCAGGAGTGCTACCTAAACGACCTTGCCGGAGTCGGATGCGAGAGATTCATGAAGAGAAACATAGCCGCGACGGTGGATCGGAATGCGACTTGTCCATTCAGCCCGGACATCTGCAAGAGCCAAGACTCCAACCTTCTCATTGATACCGGATTCATCGACAGCCGAAGCGATTTGGGCATCAACACAGACCAGAACGGACGGTTCCTCTACAGACGCACGCTGCACTGCGCCCCCTTGGTCACAGAGGGTTATGCTGTCAAGAGGCCTCAAATGAACGCAACGGGCGCTGAGGAAGATGTCATGCAGTACTTCTACGGAGAAGTGTATGCACGATATGGCACCCCTGCCAACCATACGTACCAATACCCCATTCGCCCCCGGCCGGTCAATTCCGAGGACGCCATCCTGGACTTCACAGTGTGGTGAGTTTACGAGACGAGAGTGTCCATACATGGCGAGCCAGACAGCCAACCAAACTCACAACAGGATCGTCTACGCCGCCTCCATAAACGGAAGCTGGGGCCCCAATCCGACGTACAAGCCAATCCCCGCACTGGACAGAAAAGACTCGACCGTCACCCTCATCTTCCTTTCGACCAACCAAGTCGACTTCATGAGCAACTCGGGCGACGTCTGGTACTCAACCAACACCCTCATCTCCAACCAATCCAAAACCTTCGACCCCATGTACGCCGGCGACCAGCCCGCCTCCCCCCTCGCCTGCGTCTCGCAACACCAACTCTGCAACCCCAACCTGGCGCCGCCCCCCGGCGGGCGGCCCGGCCCAGCGCCCACGGCGGCCACCTGCACGCCCCCCTTTTCCTCCTGGCCGGACAGCCTCCGCCACGTCGCCCACCTCTGGCCCTCGCCCTCCCACCGCGCCGCGATGACCTGGTCCTACGAGCACGCGCTGCGGCTCGAAAACGACATCGTCGGCGTCCTCGGCAAGCTGTCCGCCGCGGCGCTGGACTCGAGCGCCACGCGCGCGCTCGGCGTGCAGAGCCCCATCGCCCGCAACCAGTGGCAGCGCGACGTCGAGCGCTTCCACAACGTCTCCATGGCCGGCGTGCAGCGGCTGTTCGTCGAGGCCGCCACCGGCCCGCTCGATCCCGCCGTGCGCGCCTTTTCGGTGCGTCCGCCGGGTGGGACTGGGAGCGGGAGCGCCGGCGCCGGCGCGCTTTGCGGATCTCAGGTATGTGGTTATCCTGCCTACCTACCTACCTACCTACCTACGCGGTTTGTCTTGCTACGTCGGACGGAGGGAGGGTGCTTGGGTGGCGTGTGTGTGGCTGTGGTTACGTACTTGACTGAGACGCGGGCAGATGATCCGGAGCAGCGCGCACGCCAACTTCTCGGTGCTCGGTCTCGCGCTCGTGTTTGGTGTGGGAGGCGCTCTCATTGTGGCTTCGTACGTGCTGGAGCCGGCCGTGCTTTGGATCCAGGTGCGGTGCAAGCTGGACGCGTATGCGCGCTTCGAGTGGACGATGAACGAGACGCTGCAGCTGCAGCGCCAGGCGCATGAGGGGCTGGAGATTGGCTCGTGGAGTGGGTGCGACAAGGGGATTCCGGTTGCGGGGAGCAGGGATCGGCTGGCGGTGATTGATTTGGAGGACCTGGCGCACCCGAGGCTGAAGGCCCCGCCGCCGCGCCCGCTGGTGGGGGAGTTGCTTCCTGGTGCGGTGGACGAGACTGGGGGACGAGTGATGGGCGTGGAGACTGATGGTCGGTGGGAACATGCAAGAGAGACGGCGGAGCCAGGCTTGGTCTGAAGATTGCAAAAGGCGTAGGTCTGTCAGTCGTTGCCAACTTTCTATTTTTTGACGGAAATTATTAAATACTTACCGAGAAACCTTCAAGCATGGGTTCGTGTAAAGGACAGATCTACCAGGGCCATAGCAATCACTGGACTGTTGAATCACACCTCGCATATATCTATATACGGGTTTCTTAGAACACGTTTGCCTCTGTCGCAACGCAAAAAGCATAGCGTTGTACTGATTACAGCGCGCATGGCTTGAACCTCAGATTTCAATGCCAGCTCTTGCCGGCATAGATACTCGGTCCGTTCCGAAACCAGATATCTTGCATATTGCCGTGCGGACTTGACACCAAGTTCAGCTTCGCGCAATGGCCGCATTACTCGAACCAGATCTCGCGCAAATCACCACCGGAGATGACGTGCTCCGAAGATGCAGCGAACCGTGCACTGCAAAAGCGATCTGATCTGCGCTTCCTCTTAAGGAGTCGATCCCCACTAGGTACGCCTTGTGCTCGACCACCACTGCCGAAACTCAAATCCAACCACACCGCTCTCTTCAACCATGACGATCGCCGCCCTAGTGCCGGCCGCTCTCCTCAGCATCCTCGCCTGCGCAGAAGCTTCCATCACCTGTCTCCAGCCCGGCGCAACCGCAACCGCGACCTGGACCAACAGCGAGAGCAAGACGTGCACGTTCGCCGGCGTGGTCGGGTCCAACTACGGCAGCAACCCCGCCGGTTCGGGCGAGTAAGTGGCACCGCCCATCGATCCGTGACCCAGAGACTGCCGTTTCGGGAACACAACCAGTCTAACGGGTTGCCGCTTACTTTTTGTTCCTTCTCAACTCGCAGTTACAGCTGCAACGGCCGCTGCGGCGCGGGATGCACCGGCACCGCCGTGGGGAACGCGTACACGCAGGACTGCTTCTCCCACGACATCTGTTCGTACTTTGAAAACGCCAGCGGCGGAGCGAGGTCAGTATGAATGAATCGATGCCTGCCGAATGAACAAGCGAGGCGAGGCGAGGCGAGGCGGGAAATCGGGATCGTTGACGGCGGGTGCAGTGATCCCAATTGCGGAGACGCATACGACGCGGCGGTGGACGACACGCTTTTCGGCGCGGCGGCAGGGTGCGGGCAGACGAACCCGTCGAATGCGGTTGAGAAGCCTGCGGCGAGCCCGGTGTGCGCGTGAGGTTGGACTGAGTGTGGGATGTGTTGAGAGATCGGAGGGGTGCTTGGCGTGGTGTTGTGGTCTCGGTCGTTGAGTTGGTGGCGTGGTTGATCTGCGTGGGCTTGGAGATGGAGAAGTGGGTTGTAGCGAAGTAGGAGTTCCCAGCTGAGATCATGTGTCAGCAGGAATGGGATGAGAAAGGTCTGGTCCCACGGCAAAATACTCACAGTGTCTATCGTTTCATACTAGAGAGGTTTAGCAACCCCAGGCGCATACGCAATACACTCTAAAACAGAGGGAGGCCCGCACGACCCAGTTTTGAGAACGGCTTAGTGCGCGGTCAAGATCCGTGTCTAGTCGGCGAGGTATAGCGATTTTGATCAGGGGACTATATGCGCTATACCCCGTGTGATGGTACTTTTCCTATCTTGAGCATTGCTTCGCGCTTGCATTTAATGCAAGTGAGAAGCAACAAGTGACCAAAACGGGGGGTGAATTGGCGCGTACGGTGACAAATCGGTCGAAATCTTGTGTTGTGGGAAGCGAAACCGCGGTTGCTAAACCTCTCTACTGCTGTAGAGAAAGTATGTCAAACTGGAAACGTGGTACCTGCAAAACATTAGCTACTAGGATAGAGGTGATGAAAAGTAGAGAAGGCAAGAAAGAAAGGAGCGAGCCGGAGCTTTGGTTTTGAATCACTTACAGTGCAATGAGCACGGAACCACGTAAGTAGTCTGCCCTCCGCTCCTGGGTAGCTACTGAGATGACCCAAGTGACAACAAAGATGATGGTGACTTGAAACGTATTGAAGATAATCGTGGCGTCCCACTCCATCGCCCAGCTCAAAAGGTTGAGCATAGGTACTACTACAAGAAGCATATGTGAATTTGCAGCGAGGGCGCTATGCGATGCTTGTGCGCTCTGACCAGAATATGACTGTGACAATAGAGACAATGTGGTTGATAGACGAGGTATGATTGGCACACAGAAAAGTGTTAGGGGAGCCATTGCACCAGTGGGTAGATGCACCAAGTTCTGGAGAAGGGCATTGCTGCAGAATGCGGTTGCTATCCCGGATAGTAGTGCGCTTGCGAAGGCAACTCGAAGTCCAGGCTCAAGGTTGGCTCCATCGTCCTCATCCGGTTCCTCGCTGACGTAGAAGTCCGCATGCGAGTGTAGCTCGAAATAATGTGCCAGCAGAGATATGCAGATCCCAAATACACCGGCACCCCGAGTTACGGTGACCGCTATGTCTAGGGTATTATAAAAACCCCCGGCCATCCGGATAGTGCTTGGAAGGATTGTGATCAATGAGCCTACGAATGTTAAGCTCACTTGGATGGTGGTTGGGACTTCAAACAACCATGACTGGCGATGTTGGATTCCATGTGCGATCCAAAGCATACCTAGAAGCTGTGGAGAGATGTAAGTATTAGTTCTTGCTAATGCTCAAGTACCAGATGTGGAACTTGCCAACAATCCGTTGTATAGCAGGGCAGACAGGATAATGTTGCTGACAAGATCCTCCTCATTTTCCTGAAGCCCGAATATACCCATCTGAATCGTGAAAATTTAACCTAAAGCTCTTCAAGGTCATGGTTTTCCAAGCTATTGCACTTACAAATAGCTCCACCAAGCTTGTTGTGCCAACGGCCATGTTTCCCATATGGTCTCCAAAGTGTCTCAACCGTGAGACGGAGACGCTAAACAAACCGCAAAGAGGAATCAGGCTAGCCAGTGCACAGCAAGTTCCAATCCAAGGGCTCCAGCCGGCGGGTTGCGTGGCGAGTGCGAATGGTATTGCAAGCAGCAATATGTCAGAATAAGCCTTTCCGGTCAAATAAAAGCCACGCTCGAAGCTTCTCGCTCCTAAAATCGAATACTGAAGATAGAAGAGAACAGTTGGGGTTGTGAGATCAGCTTGACGAGAGGGGCTGGCCTGATGGAATGGAGGGGGTGGATTTAAGAGATGGGTTGATTCTCCCAGCAAACCCTCGACTGAGGAAAAATGAAATGCGTTTCGACGTAACCTACGGTAGTGTGGCTGCTGTTTCACAGGCTCGAGCACAGCTCGCAGCTTGAGCCTAGTGTCTTTGATATCATCTCGATACCATTGCTCTGTGTACCGGTGCGCGTACTGTTTTGTCCTGTACTGGTTCTGAGGTAGGAAGGAGAGCAAGTCCAGGTGATAGATCAGCTCACCGAACCCCAGTGCGAGCCTTCGATTCCTGAAAAAGCTGAAACAGGGTGTCTGTAACGTCAAGGAGTTGAAATGGCGGTCCCTATACACTCTGCGATCTGGGTGCGGGAGATCAAAGACGTCCCAGCCTGCGGGTACCTCGAACTCGGCATCGTCCTCCCTCTGATCCTGTTCAAACTTGTCGAGAAGACCGATTATTTTGTCGTTCTCCAAGGACAAAGACCGAGCATCTTCATTAATGGTACGTCTTCGGATCTCCAGTGCCCTTGCGTATGCCGTCTTGTTCTCGGAATCCATCGCTCTTGTGTTGAATCCAGCTTGGATCAGGATGCCAACAGCCACATGGCATCCTGCCTTGACGCTTTCATGAAGAGCTGTAGTTTGAAAGCCCGAGTCATCACTGCTTGTGGACTCCCCAAAGCGATCACCCAGACCTTGGCCGGTCATGAACCATTTGAAAGACTCGTCCTCTCTCGACCTACCAAGAAGTATCTCAAACAAAGTAGGTAGTTGCTCATCTTCCGAAGAACCGATACTGTGTAGAATTGAGTAGAGAATGGTTTCGGTGGAGCCAGCGTAGATGCGATCAACTCGAAGACCTTTTTCCAAAAGAATCATCAAGTTGGAGGCTTTGCGTGGTGTCATCCTCAACACCCATGGCATGCGTGCAAGTGTCATACCGTCTATTTCGCTCTTACCGAGTTCACCCCGGCAGAGCCACGCCGTAATGCTACTGTCGAGGTCTCTGTAGAAAACTCCTTCAACAAGGTTCGTCGTGTCCAGTGCGGACGCGAGTCTGACCTTGTCCCAACAACATGGAAGGAACCGACTGCGAAGTCGAGCGATAGCGTAGAGCTGAGCGTCACTGCGGGCTAACGTCCAGTTCCACAATAGCGGACTAAGGTCGTAATGTCGACCTGAGGGATGATTCAAGATATCGAGTTCTTCTGCATTTATGCGCCGTATTCCCAAGGAAGAAGAGAGCTCTGCGCAGAGCTTTTCGCAGGCTATCTGCCTCTCCGACTTTGTTCTGGACATGGACCGAATGGTAATTCTTCGTACGATAAGCAGGATGCAGACGAGTGCGAGGCCAAATAGTGCGAGGACTCCTTGACTCAATGCCGAAAAGCTGGGCCATAGCATAAGTTATATTGCAACACGAAAAGATTGAGTAGTACTCACAAGCCATGTAAAACGGATGTCAAGAGTTCCCACACCTTCCTGACCCTGGATGTGGTTGTTTTCCATTGATGAGACCATAGATCGACGAGCCTACTGGTAGAAGAAGCAAGTTTCATCAGAAGAGTTGGTTCATCAACGATGATGTCGATTGATGGGAACCTGTCACAGTCAAAATAGACCCAAGGATGCTTCTCCCAGAGCAAGGGGTCGTGGTGCACAGAGCTGACCAAAACGTTCAGAATTCGATTGAGCGACATGTCTTGATCTTGGGCATAGGCGTTGGAGTTTGGCTTGGCCTTCTTGGTCAAATCGTCCTTGGCTTTGCGGTAAATGTCCTCTTCCCGGATTTGGAATCTTCGATCGGCGAGAAATGTGTCACTGCGCTCCATGAAGACACACCATACGACCAGGCCATAGGAGAAGATATCACAAGAGACCATGTCCCCTTTGATGACACGGCTGCTTCCTGGCAAGGGCGTCCATCCCTTGGTGCCAGTGTACTCTGTCGGCTCGCCGTCACCATCGCCGACTGCCATCTTCAGGCTTGAATGGCTGAAGTCGCAAATCTTGGCGGTCCATTTGTCGTGTTGCTTGGACACCAGGATGTTGCGTAGTTTCATGTCGCCATGTATGATGTCTGCCCTGTGCAAGGCGTGAAGTCCACGTCCGACATCGAGACAAAGATGGCGATACATGTCGAATCGATTTGGATCGTGCTTGGATCTTTTGATGAACGTCTCAAAATCAAACTCGGCTCTTTCCAGAAGGAGCAGCGGTATGATTGGCTCGCGGTAATCTTTGGGATTGAACGTTTCCAACGCATCCAGGTCAAGGGCCCAGCCAATGAGTTTGACAATGTTTGGATGATGGCGCACGCGAGGATGGGAAAGGACTACAATCTCTTGTCGGATGTAATGGAGCTGCTTTCCGAAGCCGATGGTGCTGGTATGCGAGCCTGCGGAGGACTCACGTGACTGTGAAAGTGGTGTATCCAGCTGCGCTTTCTTGACCGCGATCTTACTCAGATTTTCCAGGCCCTTCTGGAGGTGCTCGGTTTGCCTGGCACTTTCATCGTGTGTCAGGTCTCGCAGAGCACCAGAAACCGCGGATATCCGGCAGGTGCGTCCTTCGCCCAGGTCCGTAGAGAACTCACGCGAAAGGCGGACGAGAACAGGCCCTTCGATTTGAGATTCTCGAAGAAGGTTTCGGACGTCGGAGAATAGCCTTAATGGATCCGAAGGCTTGTATAGGCCGATTGAGCTGAGAGTTTGGTAGCGGCTCCGTCGGTCTTGGAGCCCCACTTCGGGATCCATGTTAGCTGGTCGGCGCTGAGCGCGAAGACGGTAAGGCGAGGGACTGCGGCCTCAGTCGCGGCGTAGAGGTGCAGCGGTCATGAGGAACCCTATCAAGACCTTCAGGCTCTTGCACTCGTGGAGCGAGATGTCGTGGAAAATCAAGTGGGATGTTGTGACAGCAGTCCTCGGAACGCGACGCAATGGTCGCAGAACAAAAGCCTCGCAGCTCAGCTTATGGTTAATTGCGTATGCAGAGTTTTGGGGGCCGCGGGCATTGAAACCGAAAGCAGAACGTGTTGCAAGCCACCATCCATGACCCCTGCACTCGCCTACCAATCAGGCACGCTCCTCTGATGAAACCCATCAGCTACGGCGACGCGTGTAGGCAACCATATGTTGTGTCACCCATAGCGCCTAGGCAGCCGTGTGAGTTCCGATCAACAAGCAAGTTTCTTATGGTGCTTCCTCCAGCGTCGCATACCAAAGCCTGCTCCACCTCATTTAGCACGATATGGATCCGCTAAGCATAACAGTGAGCACCGTGTCTCTGTTCAAAGAGGTACTTCTCGTGTCTAGATTCATGTAAGTTCGCAGAACAATGGTCGACATGTCACTAAAGTGCTGTAGCTATCGAAAGATGGAATCTGCCAAGGACGCCCAATCTGAGAAGGATGATCTCTGTGCGCAGTTCGAACTGGAGGTCTTGTTTCTCCAGTCGCTTGGCCATGTCTTTCAAGGTGGCATTACCAAAAACCAGGCAATTGACACGGTAACCGAAAACGCGCTCCTGCCATGCAGAACTGTGCTGACCCTGTGAAGAGATGGATGAATTTTCTGCACAGGACGCTGGAGAGAATGAATGACGCGTGTTCGGCATACCGCACGCTCGCAGCAGAGAAAGATGCAGACTATCAGAAATACTCGCCATTCCTCAACAGCACTGAGCACAACACCAAGATTGACTTCGACGTCGACGCGCCTTTGTCGTCCAAGAAACGTTTCTCCATTGGTCAACTCCTGGGCGCGGGTGGAAAGGTCAAAGACGACCCCAAGTGGGACTGGAAATGGGCTTTCATTGGCAAGCGCAAGTTCGAAAGCCTCATCCGAGAGTTCCAGAGATTGAATGGACGACTGAAAGATATCCTACCTCTCGCAATCGCTCACATGAGCCCGTCGAGGCCGGATGAGAAGAGTGCTGCTCGCTTGGGATTGAAGCCCCATTACCATCTGAGAAGCCTTGCTTCGCAACAGCCGGCAGGCGTAGGGAGTTTTCTATTGAAAGACAAGATGCTCGAGGTGGACGAAACCGGTCCGTCGGTCGTGGTAGGCCTTCTGTCTCGGACCAAGAAAAAGACGGCCGGCCTGGATGCAGTACTTGTGGAATACAAGGAGTACGCACCTGAACAATCATCAGACAGGCAGCTCTCTCTCCACAAAGAGGGCTTAGCGCATCTCGCAACACTGCTCAAGTCAGCTGGAGAGTGCGACCTGGCCACCCTTCCTTTCAAGGGCATCATGGAGCAGGACCGACAACACAGGCACGCCTTCATATTCGGGTTCCCAAAAGGCACGGATGATTCAGTCCCGCCACTATCGCTGAATTTCATGATTTCGGAAGGCAAGAACGAGGACCGGCTCGATCTCGACCAGCGGTTCGCGGTTGCGCAGCGGCTGGCCAAGAGCATGGGCGTACTGCACGCAGACGGATGGGTGCACAAAAGCATCCGATCCGAGTCCATCCTTTTCTTCCGAAGCCGCGATGGCCGATCCCTACTGATACACACTCCGTACGTGACCAACTTCGAGTTCTCGCGGCCCGAGGGCCAGTACACGGGCGAGCAGCACTTTGTGGAAGACGAAGACTGGCAGAGGAACTTGTATCGACATCCAGAGCGACAGGGAATGCCCACATCCAGCTTCCGGAAAGAACACGACATCTACGCGCTGGGAATCATCCTGCTGGAGATCGGCTTGTGGGAGGAGGCGGCCAGCATCTATCGGCACCAAAGGGAGAAGGCGCCGAATGCTCAACTGCGCCCAACCCATCTGCAGAACATCTTCTTGAAGAGCGCCAAGTCCCGGCTGGCCCATCACATGGGAACGAGGTACTTGGAAGCTGTTCTTGCCTGCATCGATGGGGAGTTCGACGGTGCCGCGGCCGAAGCAGACTTTCCGATGATTTTCTACGAGAAAGTGACTGAAAAGCTGGAGCGGCCTTTTGACAGCTAATCGCCGGCTCTTCCACGAGGCCCGAACGGGCACGAGGAAAAAGGGCGGGAATACCGCATGTCCGAGACTTGTCTGTCAGATTCCCAGCCCGGGAAAGGATGTGGTAGCACTCACGTTGTAAGACAGGGTGGGACGATGAGAATAGTTCCCCAACGAAGAAGAAGGCGAGGCAGCCGGTGTTACGGTGGTACAGTTTCAGACGCTTTCGACCGCGAGAGCGATTGCGGCGGCTCCCGAGTGCAGTGAGCAGTGTATATTGGTGTTGAGCAAAGTCCCCCGACCCCGCGCCGCTGCCCCGCCTTTTGTCATCCCTGGCTGACGCCATCGCCGCGTTCCGCACACATCCCCCTTCCTTCCGCCGCAGCAACGCTCTTACAAACCACACATCCGCCCAGCTCCGAGCCCTCTTATTAAGCCCCCCAGCGTCCGTCCATCCGCCAGAGCCATGCACCCACCCCAGCGACGCCCTCGCCATCGCCCTCCACCACCTACAATCCCACAGCCGCTCAACCCGTCCTAACCAGCAACACACACCCCACAACCAAACCCAACGAACCCACCAAAAACAAACCCCTCTCCCCTCCCCCCCGCCGACAAAAAACCAAACCAAAAAGAAAACAAAACAAAACCCACAAAAAAATGCCCCCCACCAAGCCCGCCCCCCCCGCCGACCTCGCCACCCTCGCCCACACCCTCCTCACCACGGGCCCCGTCCGCACCCTCGCCGCCGCATCCAAGCGCATCCGCGTCCAGCTCGGCGGCCGCGTCGTCGCCGACTCCACCCGCGCCCTCTACGTCTGGGAGCACCCGTACTACCCGTACTACTACCTCCCCGCCGCCGACTTGGCGGAGGGGTCGTGGAAGGTCGTGAAAGAGGTGGAGGGGGGGAGGGCGAGGATTTTGAGTTTGGGTGGGGGTGGGGACGGGGGTGAGGGCGGTACGACGGAGAGGGTTGTGGCGTTTGGGGAGGATGTTGGGGGAGAGGCAGAGGGGGAGAAGAACGGCGGCCCGGTCGGCGGGGCGGGAATCGCAAAGGAGGGCGGCGACGCCATCAGGGCGCTGCGGGGGATGGTGCGGATCGAGTTCGGCGCGGCGGACGCGTGGTTCGAGGAGGACACGCGCATCGACGTGCACCCCAAGGACCCGTTCAAGCGCGTCGACGTCGTGCTGTCGATGCGGCCTGTGCGCGTTTTTGTGAAGGGAACGCTGGTCGCGCATGCGACGTCGGCGTATCACCTCTTCGAGACGGGGCTGCCGCCGCGGTACTACTTGCCGCCGACGAGCGTGGATCCGGGCGTGCTGAGGCCGAGTGCGACCAAGACGAAGTGTCCGTATAAGGGCGAGGCGGAGTATTATGACGTTGTGGTGGGGGAGGAGGTGGTCAAGGATGTGGTGTGGTTTTATCGGAATCCGACGCAGGAGAGCGCGTTGATTGTCGGGGCGCTGTGCTTTTATAACGAGAAGGTGGATATCGAGTTGGATGGGGAGATGCTGGAGAGGCCGAAGACGCTGTTTGGGTGAGGGGGATGCAGTGAAGATTCGGGGATTGGTCGGATGGATTGAAATTGTGTCTGGATTGCTGGCATTTACTGTCTTTTGAGGGCGGGTGTCTGGACTTGAACGTGCGCGTCGCTCGTTTGGGTGGTTGGAAGTTCAGTTTCTTTTTCTTTTTCCTCCATTCTCATGGGGGAGGATTTGGGGAACTGCGTATTGTACTTAAGTCTCCTTGCATGACTGATGACCTTTTACCGGGATTTGTAATTCTACTTGACGAAATTGGCACTACGAGGAGTAGAGATGCGGAACAAGAAGAAAGACGCCGTCATCTTTCTCACGACGGTGTATGCTACTGATGTATGGCCTCACTCGGAGCGATTGGGTGGAGAGTGCGCAAAAAAAAAAGATGACCAGAAGGATTGACCTGCATCTCGATACAGCGCAAGCATCTGACGGAAATTCGTGGCCAGTTCCCAGCTCTTGGACGCCCCCATGCAAGCAATCAGTCAGGAAGTTCCGTGGTGCCTTCTTGTAGCCTTACCCTAACGATGCATGCCAGGAAAGAACAAAAAGAAGATTGGCTCTTTCCGCCCCTAGAATTACCAAGTTGCTGTGCAGTGTAGGGATTTCGGATACTTATCCGCCGAACGTTCAATTCCCCCAAACGTAGGCGGGCTTGGAGAGCGGGGCGTGGGGGTGGGGGCCACTTTTCTCCACCCACTCAAACCCCGCAGAATGACATTCATTGTCACCTTCAATGCTGTTTCATTCCATACATCTCTAACATCTGATCAGCAAGGTAGCCATCATGCCATTCACCGACGCAACCCTGCCCGAAATCCCCGAATTCGACGCCCTCACGCTGGACCCCCGAGGGCCTCCCGGCAACGCGTGGGGCCTCTTCGGCGACAAGGACGAGCTAGGCATGCTGAATCTGCTGACGCCCGAGACTGTGGCCGCGGCAGCAAAAGAAATCAAGACAGGCATGCGTTTCTCGCTGGACCTGCCGCTGAACCAGCCCGCGTTTCCCAGCTTCGGCCGCCAACCCTTCCACCACGAGATCCGCCAACTGGGCGACCGCACCGTCAACGACGACATTGTATCATTCAACACGCAGTCAAGCTCGCAGTGGGACGGCTTCCGTCACTACGGTCAGCATCCCCCCTCTCTCCATTTCCCAAGAACACCACCCCGGGCGCTGATCACGCCCCACAGGCAACCAAAACCTGAAATGCTACTTCATGGGCCACACCCAAGACGACATCCTCAAGTCCGACGTCATCGGCACCAACGGTAAGCACCTCACCATCCCCCTCCCGGGCAGCCGGCATACACGTACACACAACCAAACTAACCACCCCCCGACCCCCGCGGTCGCCCTCCCCCCCCCACCACAGCCTGGCTCCACACGGGCGGCATCCAAGGCCGCGCGATCCTGCTCGACTACCCCAGCTGGGCCTCGTCCCAAACGCCCCCCCTCCCGCTCCCCTCCCCCTTCACCTCCACCGCCATCCCCCTCTCGCACATCCAGCGCCTCCTCGCCTCCCGCCGCATCGTCCCGCGCCGCGGCGACATCCTCCTGCTGCGGACGGGCCTCGACGCCGCGCTCAAAGCGCTCTCCGCCGACGAGCAGCGCGCGGTGGCGACGCGGGCGGAGGCGGATTTCGTGGGGCTGCAGGCGGGCAGGGAGACGCTGCGGTGGTTGTGGGAGGCGGGCCCGTTTGCGGCGGTGGCGAGCGACGCGCCGAGCTTTGAGAGGGCGCCGGTGTTGGGCGCGCATGCGGAGGAAGGGTTTACGCTGCATCAGTGGTTGTTGGCGGGGTGGGGGTGTCCGATTGGGGAGTTGTTCGATTTGGAGGGGTTGGCGGCGGCGTGTGAGAGGGAAGGGAGGTGGGAGGTGTTTTTTAGTAGTGTGCCGTTGAAGGTGAGTGGGTGGTCTTTTTTCTTGTTCTTTTTTTTTTGCTTTTGGTGGGGACTGGGATGGGGGTTCTTTTCTTTGCTTTTTCTTTTTTCTTTTGTCTCTTTGAGGAGGGGAAAGGGGGGCGGTTGAGAGAAGTGACTGACCATGCTGATGACGGGGTTCTTATTTAGGTTCCTGGAGGCGTTGCGAGCCCGCCGAATGCGGTCGCCATCATGTGAAGAGGATGCGTGGACGCGGAGGCGTGGAGGGGGTGGGTTTGGTTCCGGTTTGGGGAAGTGGTAATCCTTGGGGCGGCAAGTTCAGTATTACGGATTGGCCGATAGAAAGCAATAGACGCTGTCCGGGATTAACGAGATAGGAGTGTAGTGCCCACGTATCAAGTTTTACAGATCCATCACAGTTTGGGGAGATAGAGTCTACGAGAAGGCGACTGCTACATATACAACAAGGTGGGATAGAGGTTAGAGGGAGTTTAGCATTGAGCAGTGAGTTTCATCCATGACCGGTCTCAAAGCTTTGCCTCATAAATGTAATGCTTTCTTGGTGGCGTTGAGAAACTTTTGCTACCTGGTACTCTGATGAACGTGATTCGATCGACCTAAAGATGCCTTTGTCCCAGGGCGAGCATGACTTTGATCGCATCATCGATGATAGGTGGTAGCTCCTTCCCAATTGATTTATAAAAAGCGTGGATCTTCAAGACCCTGGCCACTACAAAACCAACGTCAAGTCTTGAACTAATAACTCAGAGCTGATGCATACAACCGATATTCCGGTACATACAGACTCCTACTGGCGGTCGAGTGGAGAGTTACTACATCTTCATCAAGCCCCCTGTGCATCCAAATGGGGTCCACCCTCCATCCGATCACCACCCCTTCCACGGATACCACACCTCGCGCACGACATCCTCCTCATCCACGACAAAATAATAGTAATGCGCCGCCGCCGTAATACACGCATGCTGAATCCACAACCACACCTTCTCCCCCACCTCAAACACCTCCTCCACGCCCTTCTCCCCTCCGCCCTCCCTCACCAAAATCCCATGCTCCTGACTCAACCGCCCCACGCACCACTCCCTCCGCCCAACCACCTGCGCGAACCCACTCAACGGCCCCGCCTCCCTCGCCAGCGCAATCACCCCCGCATTCACCAGCGCCTCGCCCCTTTCCGGATACACCGAGCACACCTCGGCCAGCACGCGCACCGCCTGGTCCGCCTCGGCGACGCACGCCGTCCCCAGCTGCTGCAGGTCGTTGGCGGGAAAATTCCCCGCGTGCAGCTCCAGCGCGAGCGGGCGGCGCCCGCCGGCCACGAAGCCCGCGTCGCGCACCTCGTCCTTCAGCGCCGCGACGACGTGGGCCGTCGGCGTCGAGCCGAAACTGACGACGACGGGTGCCGTAGCGGCGGGGGCGTCGTCGTCGTCTGCGCCGCTGGGAGATGACAGCAGCTTGGCGGCGGCGAGCGCGGCGCCGACTTCGTCGCGGAGGACGGATTGGGCGGCGGAGGGGTCGCGGGCGGCGTAGGAGTGGCCGGCGTGGCAGTAGAAGCCGTGGATGTGGACGGCGTGGGGGGCGGCCTCGGCGGCGCGGATGAGGGCGGGGAGGGCGGGCGAGGCGAGGGGGAGGCCGGCGCGGCGGGTGCCCATGTCGATTTTGATGAAGCAGGACCACGGGGGCGTGGAGGGGTGGGCGGCGGCGAAGGCGGCGAGGTGGGGGATCTGGGACGGGTGGTCGAGCATGAGGAGGATTTTGAGCGGGGGCGTGGTCGAGGCGGCGAGTTGGGCGAGCTCCGGGAGGGCGGACGGCCGGATGGGGAGGCCGTAGAGGACGTCGTCGAGGTGGCCGGAGGCGGCGAGCGGGAGGAGGCCGCGGATCTCGCGGATGGTGGAGGCGACGGCGCTGCGGGAGACGGTGCCGAGCATGAGGCGGGTTACTTCTTCGGACTGGGGGTGCGGGTTAGCGTTTGCGGAGAGTCGGTGCAGGCGATTGTACGCACCTTCAAGGTCTTGACGTGAGGCCTGAAGCCGATGCCCAGGGTCTTGACATCGTCGTGTAGTCTCTTGCAGTTCTTTTCGATGACGGGCTTGCTCAGGACCAGGGACGGGGTGGGCAGGTCGAGGGCCGGGCGGCCGATGAAGGAGTTGAGGTAGTCCTTGGAGACGTCAACCATGGTTGTTTGTTTGTGGCGTCTGGTCTGTCTGGGGTGGGTGTCGGTATTTAACATGAGATAGTCGTGGCCGCGTGGGGTTGCAGGGCTCGGCAGCCGACATGTCCATGACCGGCCCGACGTAGGGCGGGTCCGTCAGCGTCGAGATGCAGTCAGCACTCGCCATCATCATTGGCAAATCGGCTCAAATTTGAAGCGTGGCCCTGAGAGCATCACGCGCTCTTATGGTCCAGAAAAAGGGCCATTGCCCTGCTCCGGATCATGTTTGAGCCTCGCGATGAGTCTCGTGGTGTTGGTCCTCGAATCGGCTTCTGTGCCCCGAGCCGATCGCTGCCGCCGAATGCGGGGCCGTGACTAATTTTACCATCTTCACCCCCTTTGACTCATGCTGCGCTTGAACTTTTAGTCTGGAGCATCCGGTTATTACACGCACGTACAATATCATCTGAGCAACTCTTCTCCATTCGTCTTGTCTACTTCTTTCCCCGAAAAGGCTCTAGAAGCGATCCCTCCTCTAAACACTTCAGTTTCAACGAGAGAGCGTAAAGGCAGAAGCAGAGCAAAAAATCAGCTCGAGTGAGAGAAAGAGAGAAGAGAAAAACGAAAAACCAGCCACCACCACCACCACCACCAACAACAACAACAACAACAACCCCCCTCTTCCACCCACGCGCCCCATCCATCCATCCATCCATCCATCCATCAAGCTCCGCTCCCACCCCCTTCCACCAGCCCAACCTCAACTTTCTCTCACCCACATACCAACTTACGCCGCATTATTCGCCAACACCAAGTTCCCCCCACTAACATACGCCGAATTCCTCGTCAACACCCCACTCACCGCCCCGCTCTTCACCGCCGCCTTCATCCCGCTCGGGCTCTGCCTGAGCCCCGCGTTGCCCACCGCGAGATACGCGACCAAGCCCGCGACGTGCGGCGTCGCCATGCTGGTGCCGCTGAGGCTCTGGTACGAGTTGGCGCCGGCGTTGGACGCCGACACGACGCCTTCTCCGGGCGCGAAGACGTCGACGCAGGGGCCGGTGTTGGAGAAGGATGACACGGCGTCGTTGATGTTGGAGGCGCCGATGCCGAGGACGGTGGTGGAGCCGGTGCCGCCGAGGGCGGCGGGCGATTGCGTGCACGCGTTTGTGGCGGAGTTGCCGGCGGCGACCTTGGGGAGGCGGGTTAGTGGGTGGGTGGGGGAGGAGGTTGGGGAGGGGCAGGGGCAGGGGAGGGGGAGGGGTTCGTACGACGGTGTGCACGCCGGCGCCCGCGAGGTTGCGGACGGCGGTCTCGACGGCGGTGGAGCGGCTCTGGAAGCCGAGCGACATGGAGGCGACGGAGGCGATGAAGTTGCTGGCCGACTTGCGCGTGTTGTGCGTCGAGGCGACGTAGTCGAGGCCGGAGATGAGCTGGTGCGTGTCAGCGTTTCTTTGCTTTTCTTTCGCCGGTGGAGAGGGAAGGGGAGGGGAGGGTTTCTTACGCCGGTGGAGGTGCCGGAGCCGAGGTTGTCGAGGACCTTGACGGCGATCAGGTTGGCGTTGGAGGCGACGCCGACGGTCGAGCCGGCGATGGTTCCGGCGCAGTGAGTTCCTTGATGGAGGAGGTCAGTGTCGTTGCGCTGGCATGGGGGGAACATAGCAGGGCAGTTGTATCGAGAGGCAGGACATAGACCCGGCTCTCACGAAGACGAAGAAGCCGTGATGGAAAAGACAACAAGAGAGAAAAAAAAAACGTACCGTGCCCATTGTCATCCGTGTTGGACGAAAAGACGGTGTATCCGGCCCTCGCCCGTCCGCCAAACTCGGAGTGAGAAGTGTAGATGCCCGTGTCGACAACATAGACATCCACGCCACGGCCGAGCGCCGTGTCGTCGTACGTGTACGTGTACGTCCTCGCGCTCGCGCTCCCCGACACCCTCGCCGTCTGCGAGATGCGCTGCAGTCCCCACGGCGCGCTGCCGCGGGTGGCGAGCGCGTAGATGGGGACGACGGGCTCGACGACCAAGACCTCACTCTTGGCGTTGAGGAAGTCGGCCTCCTCCTGGGTGAGACTGCCCGAAAAGCCCTTGAACAGCGTGTTGTTGTACGTCGCCTTCACGTCGTCCATGTCGGCGTTGAGGTTGACCTCGGCGAGCAGGGCCGCCACGTCCGCCTCCGGTGCCGCGACGAGGTCGAATTCCTTGGTGTCGCGACGGACGCGGTCACGGGCGGGCGCGGCCAGGACCGCAGTCAGCGCGGCCTGGAAGGCGAGGAAGAGCGAGGCCTTCATGATGGTGGAAAAGGCGGGATGGGGGGTAAATGGAGAGGAACCGGTTGGAAGAAGAGATCCTGAGGACTGATCGCTGCTGGAACTGAGGATGATGGTTCAAAGCCCGTGGTCTTCCCTAGCTTTTATACACCCTCCGCGAGGCCTGCCCGCCATTTTTCTTTTCCTTAATGCCATCGCATATCTCGCGTAGGTGATGGAAGTGAGCACCTTGGTGTACCGCTCCGTACTACGCTTGGCGCGCGATTGCCTTCTGGGAAAGAGACAAAGGTTGGACTGCATGACAGTATTGGCTTGGCCTGACTTCGTGATGGAGGAGAGTCACGAAGTCAGGCGTTGAAGAAACAGCCAAGAGCCGTCCAAGCCGTGACGGGATCAAATGATACGGCCACGGCAGAGAGCCAAGGGCGGCTTACCGCAGGTACTGCTTCTTAATGCCCCGATTAGTTGCCTGTTTTGGCCGGCGAAGACGTGACTACCGCCGCCTGAGGCGTGCGCCACTGTGGGGATACCGTTGCCGCAAACCCATCGCGGCGGCTGGCCACGGGCTTGAGCGGCGTGTCTGGGTAGCTTGAAAGGGAAGGCGGAAAGCGCGAGAGTGCTTTTTCAGGGCCGGACGGGGTAAGGCGGGCGAGCCTTGGGGCGTCCTCGTGTAGCGCTTAACGCGCGCGGCATCAAGTCACAGACGTCAGGACCTCCGTCCACGCGCAAGACAAGAACAAAGCATAGATTTATATCTCAGCGGTGAGACTGATGATCGGACCCATACGACTACATTGACGCGTAAGCTTATTGTGATTGCCTCGGGGCAGCCTGACGGATCTGTGTTACAGACGAGGTGGGACGAGCAAATCACTTGTCGACGACAAGTTGCCGCAATGTTGAGATAATGCAAGGTATCGGCCATGTCCCAATAGCAGTCTGGTAGTGTCTGATGTACTTTGCGGACGAGTCTCGGCGCAGACCGCTTATCGGGCAGGTGGGCAAGGCCAAGTGATTGCGGCCCGTCGAAGGCGTCATCCTTGGCATCCAGAGAGCCAAGCTTAGTCGAATCCTCTTGAACAGGTCTTACCTCGAAGTCGCACCTGATGGTAGGCCTTGGCAGAAGCATAGTATAAGGCATGGCGGACCTTGTTGGTGTGAAGAAGGAAGTTGGGTTTGACATGCAGCTGTGGCGTGGGCCGTCACGCGGCGCTTGGGATGGTAGACCTGCCGTTTTGGGATGATAAGGCGCTCTATCGTGCCTGCAGCACCCTGTCTCAATAATTCCCTCAGCTGCAAGATGCGTAAGCACCATCGGCTATCGCCTGGGCTGGATTGGCATACTTCAACGCTTATGGGCCTCGCCTCTCTCGAGCATCCCAGGCAATCTCAGAAGTCCAGACGTCGCGGAATAGCCACAGCAGTCGAACTTGTTGAAAACTCCGACGTAGCGAGGGGTATATTGAGAAATTAACGATAGCTTCAATGTCTGTACTCCGTCCGTTTTTATGGAGAGACGCGTCCATGGGGCATTAGCGAGTGGCGCCGGTGCCGTCTTTTCCTTCCTCCCACGACAAATGCACAACGCCTTCATCTTATCGATTCAATCTCCTGTCAGATTCCCTCTCATCGCCCGCCCTGTATTCTCCTCGCCTCTTCCGCATCCATCTCGACCGGACTTCTTCCGATAACGCGCGCATCCGGACTTCCCACCTGATGAATCTCATGATCGCCAGGTAACTCTTGGGCGAACTCGGGGGCGCCCGTCTGGCGGTTGTAGCCCACAAACGTCAGGTGCTCCTGCGGGGGCGGGGAGCTGTAGCGGGGCTGGTTGTTCGCATTGGTGAAAGCGGTGCTGTCACTCCAGCGAGCCGGGTTCGCGGGCTTCTCCGACCCCAGGGGCGGGCTCCCCGGCATCGTGGGCGGCGGGCTGCCGATGCGTGACGGTGTGTGATCCGACCACGGTGGCATCGAACCGCCACCGACGGCGACGCCGCCAGGCTGGCTGCCGTGGTCGCCGATTTCCGAAATGGGAGGCTGCGAGTGCGCGTGCTTGAAAAACTTGCCGTACGCCCGGCTGCGGCCGACGAAGAAGAAGAGCGCGGCCGCCATGACGACAAATGCAACGGCGCCGACAACGATTCCGGCAATGGCGCCGCCCGAGAGGCTGCTGCTATGGTGGCTGGAGCTAGATGATGACGATGAACCCCCTCCTTCGGCGGGCCAGGTCTGTCCCGGTGCCAACTGATACACAGAGTCCATGGCTTCGGTATGCTGGTGGGCAAATGAAGAGCCATTTTGCTACATGACGTCAGAGTGTGGGACAGAGGGCGTTGCTTTTAAGAGCACTAACCGGGTTTATTACGCCTACCATGCCGTTCGGCGAGCATGAGTCCAGCGCATCACAGTAGAACCAGATGGGTTCTGTGTTGTTGACGGTGAGATTCCATGTTTTCCTCTGTCGAATGATTAGTAATTTGTTCATGTATTTCTCATTGAAGAGGCATCAGAAGGTCTCTTCAGTGCAGCTGATGTCTCAACAGGGTCGAGGTCCGTGCGAAGAAAGGCTGATGGTCTGAAACATTTTGACGTATGGTGACGATTGCTCGTGCATGTTTGTCAAGACAATGGCTTTATCATGCAACCAGATGCTTCAGACATTTCAGCCGCGCGAAATGTGGCGCTTACATTTGTGAAGTTGTCGATCAATTTGTTCCCGGAGAAGAAGCCCTGGTAGTCTTCATCGGCATGGTAGAGTTCCCAGGGCACGCACGGGTTGCAGCCAGCGGGACCGCATAATGAAGTGTTGTTTGAATACTCTCCGCGGATGACCGAGTGGTTGGTGGGGTAGAAGTCGAAGACGACGATGTCGCCAGGGTCAGCGTAGGTCGTGTTTGGGGTGAAGTTGTGGCCATTGGCGCCGACAGAGACGGTATGGGTGGCGGCGAGGCTGCCGGTTGCCAGGCCCAGGGCGGCGACGGTGGCCAAAAAGCGTCTCATGGCTGAAGTCGAAGGGCGCAAACCCTAGGGAAGCGCGCGACGAGAGCAAGAGAGGAGCAGGCGGCTACATGAGCAGTGCCGGCAGATTGACAAAAGCGGGGGCAGGGTGCAGGGTGGGTGCAGGATGGGTGCAGGGTGGGTGCAAACAAGGCGGCAGTTGGGCCATGGGGTTTTCTTTAACAGGCTGCGCCCTCGGGGCTGCCGGATCCCCCCCATGCGGCTTGCACACACAGGCGCAACCGCGTACCGAGCACGCTTGGCGGCTGTTGGAGATTCACAGGTGTGGGCGCTAGGCCGTCGTAATGCTCACTGAGTGTGGCATGGCGGGCGGTGGCGTGGTCGGTCTGCGCCTAGCCGACGCATGTCAGACGGAACACTTCCTCAGGCCTGACGGCCAGCGAATGCAAGTGCTGAGCCCGGGCAGGGATGTGGGAACCTCCAATCCTTCGACGGCCGCCAGCATCCTGGGGGCTGATGGGGGTGCCACGTTGGGATGCAACGGCTGGGTCCGTCCGCCGGATAAGGTACGCCCTCGTGTTGGCTGGACGAGGCGCGCGCGGGGCCGCAGTTCGCGAGAGGTGGCAGCCTTGTCAGGCCGCAAGGGTTTGCGTGCGGGGCTCGCTGCAACAGCGCGTGGCGAGAGGAGCTGGCGATGTGCCGGCGTGGCAGGGCGTTCGCAGACGACAGGTGCTGGCGGGCGGGCGAGGAGCGGCACGGATGGTGGAGGAGTGGTGGAGATGGTCGAGGTGGAGAGTCACCGGGTCTGGATCCGCGTTGGCGAGTGTGGCGCCATTGGTCGCTTGCGTCCCTTCCGTTTTTGTCAGCTTAGCCACGCCCTAAATTTAGCCATCCTGCGCCATTATTGTTATTTTATAAGAAGGAGGTTACGTGCAAGCTTAGAAGAAGGCTTGCGAGTTCGACTTGATCAGAGTCTCGTCCGCATGCTTCAGAACCTCGTGGAACCGCTGACGCAACCGTGTATATGTATATTCTTGCCCGCGCCGTGACGAATCCCATCCATTCCACATGCTTTTCTTTTTCTCCAATCCTCCTATCATCTCCTCCCTCATTCCCACCACCGGCGCCATCCGTCTCGGCCCATTTATACGCCGAACGAACGAGGTTGCAAAGTTAAAAATGGAACCATCTGAGCCTCGTCTTGGCAATGTATACTAAGCAACGGCAGTGGCTGGCTGGCCCATTTCCCTACGCCTTGAATGTCTCAAGCTCCGCCTCCCAGACACTCACCCCGACATGCCGTCGCCAAAGCGATGACGCGGCTTCTGCTTCGGTGCCGCACCACCAGCAGTCCCCCTTTGGTGTATGGTCATGGCATTCTCAAACCCTCCCACAGCATGCCGTCAGCCGCGAGGCTGTTCCCGCAGTAGCACCTGTCAAAAACCCATGCAAGTCAGCTCCAAAGAACTTCAGCCTCGTCACGCCGCCGACCCTGTACTCACCCGTTCGCCTATCCCAGCCCCGCCTACGTGTAACCCAACCCATCGCAGTGTCCAGCACACTTATTCTAGCCGTCGCTCGTCGGGAAACGTGCGGCCTGACTCGGGCTGGTCGTTGCCGTATCCGACCCAGTCCCTGCAGCGGACGGTCCTTGCTGGGTTTGAAGACGGCCTTGTTGGCGCCGTTCTTGCTACGCCTCAAGACCTCGGCGCATGATGTAGGTAGATGACTTCAGATCATCTATATAACATCACATGATCCTCAGTGAAACCAATGGCAAGATGACCGCGACGACCAGTCTTTGTTCTGCCCCCGCAATATCTCATGCCAACGAGATGGCGTTATTCGTAGAACCAACCAGAAAAAGCCATCAGAATCGTATTCGTTGAAACGTCAAGGCAGACCTGTGGTGCTAAGAATAATTACAATTCATGGTGTCATCTTACAGCCAAATCATATGCTCTTTTGCCTTACGTCTATCATACACAGTGAGCCGAGATGTCATTCTCCACCCGAATTCGCATTTCTCAATGTCTTGGGTTAACATCTTTGTGATAATCCTTTTCCGGCCGGCCTTCCTCGGCATTCCAGCCCGGGGCGGTGAGCCCCTTGGCAGCAAACTCCTTGTCCGGAATAATGGTGATGGCCTTGACCTTCCACTTGCCGATCCTGATGAGCAGTTGGTTCTCGTCGAAGATGAACTTCTCTGGGATGCCGTTTTGGCCGTGCTTGATCGGGGTAAATTTCAGCGAGTCGCCCATAGGAGCTATCGAGCTGGGCTCGCCGCCAACATAGGCGCCCTGGTTGACGACGAGGCGGTGGCCCTCGCTCCTAGATGCTACAAGGCCGGCAGACCAGAGCACCTTGGCAAAGTTGCTGCCGTAGACTAGCGACTCGGGTAGGAGGACGTTCATGTCGGGGGCATTTGCGGCAGTCACTTGCGGAGCAAACTTGTTGCCGCTGGTTACGTTGATGAAATTCTTCGGGTCCCCAGGCCTCCCCGGCACGGCGTCGCTTGTTGTCTCGGGCACGGCAGGCGGCGGAGGCTGCTTGCCGAAATACGCCTGATGCTGCGCTGCTGTCGCCTCGGCAGCTGCCTCACCATGGACCAGGTCGACGAACTCGCGGGCAAGGAGATGCTGAGCGAGGCGCTTGCTCGGATCAAGCTCGTGTTCTTGGACGACTTTTTTGATGGTGGATAAGGGCAGGAAGGTGAACAGTTTCAGGTAGCGTTCGACGTCAGCATCCGAAGTCCTAACCAAGAACTAGATTCTGCTCGTCAGCCTTCAGCGTCACATCAGGGGTCGGAGTGGTGAGTATTTACGGCATATAAGTCAAAGCTGGACGTCATTTCCTTGCTCAGCCAGATGGCGTTGCCCGCGCTCTTGCCGAATTTTTCGCCCGACGAGGTTGTCAGAAGCGGGACTGTGAGGCCAAAAGCGGACTTCAACACACCCTTCTTCCGCGGGTCGGCGAGTTTTTCAGTGAGGGCTGGGTCCAAGTTGGCTTTCTTGACGTGATTGATGGCGTCAATGCCGGCGAGGATGTTGCCAAACTGATCCTGGCCGCCAATTTGCAGCTGGACGTCGTTTCTGCTGAAGAGATGCCACCAGTCCCAGGCCTGCAGAGCTGGATAGGTGAACTCGCCCAAAGACATGCCGACGCCGGCTTGTTGGCGCAGCTTGACGGTGTCGCGACTCAGCATGGGACCCAACCTCATGGCGGGGCCCATGACGCGAAGAAACTCGACAATGTCGACCCTGCTCAGCCACTCGTTGTTGTTCATCAAGGCCCTTCTCCATGCCCACTCGCGCATGTAGCCGTACTTGCGTCCCACACGCTCGACGCTGACCCACAGCCTCTTGATCTGGACGTGCATCTGAGCCATGTTGGCCTTGCGGAGGGCCGAAGCCTGATGGTCGCGGTCGGTGGTGCGGCCGGTTGGGTCTCCGATCTTTGCGGTAGCGCCACCAAGGAGAGTGATGGCGTGAAAGCCGTGCAGATACATCCAGAAGATGACCATGAACGGCAGCAGGTGGCCGACATGGAGCGAAGGAGCGGTTGGATCGACGCCGCAGTAGGCGCCAATGCGCTTTGCGGTCATGAGGCTGTCCAGGTCCTCGCGTTTGCTGGTGAGGGTCAGCACGACTGCTTGGGGGAGTTGTCGGGCTCAAGCATACCCGACGACCTGCTGGACGAATCCGCGCTCCTCAAGAAAAGACAGAAAGGCTTGCTTGCGGCCGGCCTGGATCTCTTTGGCCTGCTCCTTCCAATGCCACTCGGCCTCGATGGTCTTGCGGAGGTGACCCTGGGTAATGGGGCGCGCAGAGAGGCGCGGGGCGGGCAGCCGCAGCTGGCACTGGCGGCAGACCCATGCGCGCGGGCGGGCAGCGTGCTGGACGAGGGCGGAGACAATCATTGACAGGCTGAATAAAGTTTTGGACGCGGCGGCGGCGCGCGATGGAGATGCGGCGAGGCGACGGGCGGTGGCGGGCGGCAGAAAAAATGGCCCCTGCGTTGCGCCTTCCTTCTCCGCAGTCGATGTCATTGCCGCCCAGCGCCGGCCGCCGACAGCTCACGACAGCTCACCATCAACGCTGCCATCGACTCCCCGTCAACTCCCCCACCGCCCACCGCTCACCGCCCTCTCGTCAATTGACCTACAAAAGCTCCTCCACCTCGTCTGAGCGCGATTCCTGCTTTCTGTTCGCTCCACAGCGCGTGTCGTGCTTGTACCCGCCAGCTTTTCCCCGCATCGGCTTGTCTGTTGCTTTGCAATCCATTGAGCCTAATTCAATTCCATTGCCAATCCATTGATATCTCCGCTCCCGCTCTGTTCTCTGTGCTTGCTGCCTTCTTGCAAAATGTACGCCAGTCTCGTCTGTTCGCCGCCGCTGGGTCAGACCACGGTGGTCCCCGCCGACCAAAGCTCCGTAAGCTTCCTGGCCCACCGTCCATGCTTCACCCCTCACGCCCCTCCAGGTTCGCTTCACCGCCCTCATTGAAACCGACCCTTCCTCGGAAAAGACGTGGGAAGTCGCCCTGTGGCACAATCATGCCGCGAATGCCCAGTGGGAGAAGCTTGTCTTGACCGAAGGAGACCCTGGCCCGTCTCTGGTATGCGTGCGCTGCTCATCCGCTCAACCTTAGCTGAATCCACCTCAGATGGTCGTCGCCCGCCACGAGTCGGCTCCACGTCGTCGAAGGTGCTTCTCTGCCGACCTGCTCGGACGACCGAACCGCCCAGTCTCTTTCACCATCACCTTCCGCGCTGGCCAAGACGAGCCTTGGAAATGGGCCAACGAGCAGTTCTCCTATTGTGATGGTCACCTCTTGTACCAGCCAGATGAGCTCGCCAAAGCTCCCCTCTCTGACTACCTCAGCGACATCAGTCCGGATCTGCATATCGACCACGAAGCAAGTCAAACGTCTGATACGCTTCTGTGGACTGCAACCGGAAAGGTTGCCGCTGCAGTTGGAACCGAGTCTGGATGGGCTCGCCACACCCTTGGCCTTCCCACACATCAAACTAAATGGTTCGCCCTTGTCCGCCTCTGGAGTCCTTGGCTGGCCCCCCGTCACGGCCGCGAAGTTTTCAATCCAGACAAAGAGGCTGTCCTCGCGTCTTTTCTGAGGAACGACGGCTCCCACTTGGTCGTCCTTGCCATAAGCGGCATAAACGACGTTTTATCCGAACTTGTGCACGACGGCCACGGCAACGTCGTCATTCGTGCGCGCAACGATGCGTCCGAGGAGCAGGATTCCACCGTCATTGTTGCGGTCGGCAAATCTTTTGAGCTCGCCAATGCTGCAGCCATGTACCACGCCCGAAGACTCGTCATGAAGTGGGATGCTGCCGCCGGCGAGATCGAAGCCGAAATCAAAGCTATGGAAAAGAACGAAATGCACGCTCAGTGGTTGCAGGAGTGGTACGATGGGCTGACGTACTGCACGTGGAATGGTCTGGGCCAGCACCTCACTGAACAGGCAATCTTTGATGCGCTGGAATCTCTCCAGAAGAACGACATCAACATCACCACCCTCATAATCGACGACAACTGGCAGTCCCTGGATCACGATGGAGAAGACCAGTTCAAGCGTGGCTGGTTGGAGTTTGAAGCGAACAAGGAAGGCTTCCCGAACGGTCTTGCCCATACCACTGCTGAAATCCGCCAGCGTTACAAACATGTGTCACACATCGCCGTTTGGCATGCAATCCTTGGCTACTGGGGGGGCATCTCGCCGGATGGGAAGATTGCTCAGAACTACAAGACCGCCGAAGTGGTCAAGAAAGACGGCGTGTCAGGAGGAAAGTTCCTGGTGGTCGACGAGGAAGATGTGCCCAGACTATACCGGGATTTCTACTCCTTCCTGTCCTCATCCGGGATCGACTCGGTCAAGACTGACGCTCAATTCTTCCTCGATGAGCTCGACGAAGCGGATGTTCGGAAGCGCCTCATCCGGACCTACCAAGATGCTTGGACCATCAACATCCTGCGATACTTCTCCTCCAAGGCGATTTCCTGCATGTCGCAGACGCCTCAGATCCTGTTCCACTCGCAGCTCCCATCAAACAAACCACGACTGATGGTGCGCAACTCGGACGACTTCTTCCCCGAGGTGCCAGCCTCGCACCCATGGCACATCTTCTGCAACGCTCACAACTCCCTACTTACTCAACATCTCAACGTTCTTCCCGACTGGGACATGTTCCAGACGTCGCACCCGTGGGCGTCGTTCCACGCCGCGGCGCGCTGCGTCTCGGGCGGCCCCATCTACATCACCGACGTACCAGGCCAACACGACATCTCACTCATCCACCAGATGACAGCCAAGACGCCGCGCGGCTCCACCGTCATCCTGCGCCCGCACAACATCGGCAAGACCATCGACGCCTACACCAGCTACGACGACCCGACCCTCCTCAAGATCACCACGTACGTCGGCCGCGCCGCCACCGGCTCCGCCATCCTCGGCGTCTTCAACACCACGCAGCGCAGCCTCACCGAGCTCCTCTCGCTCGACCACTTCCCCGGCACCGAACACGGCGACTACATCATCCACACGCACTCGACCAACCAAACGTCCCACACGCCAACCAAGCGCGGCAGCGCCCACAAGATCCACGTCGACCTCCCCGACCAAGCGTGGGAGATCCTGACCGCCAGCCCCGTCCACACGCTCTCGACGCCCCACCACGCCGACGTCCAGGTCAGCGTCCTCGGCCTCGTCGGCAAAATGACGGGCGCCGCCGCCATCGTCAACTACGACGCCTACGTCGAGCGCGAGGGCTCGCGCCGGCTGCGCGTCTGGACGAGCTTGAAGGCGCTGGGCACGTTTGGCCTGTGGGTGGCGGGCTTGGAGCGATACGACGTCGATGCGGATTTCATGGCGCTGGTGTTTGGCCAGCCGGTGCCGAGGCATTGCGTCGCGGTCAGGGGTGATGTGTTGGAGATTGATGTGGCGAGGGCGTGGGACGAGGGCGGGCAGAAGGCTGGGTGGAGCAATGAGGTTGCTGTGGAGGTGTTTGTGCGGTAGGGGTGGGCGGATGGGAGCGGCTGGGGCTTGCTGCTGCTCACTGCTGCTGGGTGGGTAGGAGACGGTGTGTGTCGTCGATTTTGGTTGGGAGGTGTTGTTGCGCTGTACGTTGATGCCTCGGGTTGAGATGTCACACCGCGCCACTCGGGCCTTGGGACTTGGGATCGGTTAGGTCATCATGGTTTGGAAACAATACAACGATTCGGATTGAAAGCTCCAAGTTTCGACGGGAATGTGGGACTTTGAGGTTGCATGGCAAATCTGGAGGCTGGGGCTGGACATTGAGAGGCGGAAGGTGATGGTGGCTATGCTCAAAAGGGTTGTCATGTCAAGCACTTTGAATGGTATAGATTAGTAGCAAAAATTGAATTTTCCATATTCTTTATTCTTGCTGAATCTCAACGCTTCGGCGCCTACGTTAGAAAATGCCAACCATCTACTCTCTCACGGGTTGCTTCCCCTTTTCCTGTGACGGTCTCAGCCGGAGCGTAGGTGGACTCCTGACTACTACCTCCGGATACTCTTTACCCTCGAACGGCTCCACTTCCTCTCCGCACCAGAGCTTCGGCTTCTCGAACGTGATGAATCCAGTCGTGCAGTCTTGAAACAGTGCTCTCTCTAGATCTTGACCTTCCGCCATTTGGACAAAGCCGATTACCTTCCAGTGAGGAGGAAGGCGCCATGCCACTTTCATGGAACGAGCCACGCTGTTGAGTTTTTTTTTGAACTTTGGGCCCCGTTGTTCTTGTGCGACTCGCTCAAGTGCTTTTCGCTTTTGGAGACGCTTGCGCCGGACCTTGGGATTGGCGATCTCATCCCAGCGAGCTGTTACACTCGAATTGGTCGGACGAGCACCCTCCTGTTCAGGCCGCGCGCTGCTGCTGCTGCTGCTGCTGGGGTGCGGTATCGGCGCGGGCCAGCTGATCACTGATTGTTGTCTCCGCTTTAGACTGGCGATTATGTCCTTCGCGCCCGGATCCAGATGCTCGGCCAACTCCGCGAGCCCACCCGACCTTATGAGATGTTGTTCGATTTCCGCGAAGTAATTGTGGACTTTCTCGATGTGGAAGTCTTCAGAGTAATTGCTGGAGGCTGCGAGTATTTTCATGATTTCCTCCATATCCTTCTCCCAGCTCAGCACGTCGTACAACGAGCCTTCGTCAATGTTAACACGGGCGGGTCCAGGCGCGGACATGTTGAAGGAAACAAGGTCCAGCGTCGTAAGGCCTCGTGCCGCACTACTCCCTGGCAATGGCCCATCGGTGTTCACAATGGCGTCTACATTGAACTTTCGCTGCTCAACGAGCAGCTTCACTATATCCACATGGCCATTTAGGGACGCCTGGTGGAGTAAATCCGTCCGTCGTTCTTCTGTATCCACTCGATAGGGGAACTGGTCGAGCATGAACTCAAAAATCTTCAAATCCAGTATCTGGTCGGTCCGGGATGAAGGCCTAGGTTGGCCGATAATTTCTGTAAAGCAGTATGGGGCGAAATGCACGCCCCCATGAGCCGCAAGCCATTCGAAACTGCGGACTAGACCGGGCGTTCCGTTAAACTCAACCCTTTGGAATGCTACCTGCGTGGTGTTTATGCGCTTGCGGAAATGCAAAAGATCAGAGAATACCGAACGCCCATAATAATCTGGGTCGCGGCACAGCAGCGTCCTCAGCTGCTCTTCTGAACAATGTTCCGCAATCATGTCGGCCGCCGGAAGGCTGACATGCGAGAGGGCAAAATAAAGCGATGCAAATCCGTTGCTGTCCTTCTCCATGACGTCGGCACCGCTTGCCAGCAGCAAGCTCAGAAAGCGTGTGTCCGGTTGACGTATGCAGGCCACATGGATCGCTTCGTCTTTGGCCATGGCAGGAAGATGCGGGAATTCGGTGAGGAGATATTCGAGACAACGGATGGAGCCGTATAGGACACAGCGACACAGGGCCGTATAGTGGAGGTGCTCCTTGCCCTCTTGCCACAAGTTTGCGGGATCTTCTAGGTGAGCCACAATGTCGGATCCTCGGTCCCGGAGATGTTGGATATAGAGCTTGACACTAATGATATCGTCGAAGCGGAGAGCATCTGCAAGTGGGCTTGATCCAATTGATCCTTCTGCCGGATTCAAGCCCTCGGCAAGGAGGACATGAAGGGTCTTCGTGTAAGCGTTGTCGTACTCGCCACCGTGCATGGCTCGTCTCTCGACTTCGAAAAGGTCGATCCCGGACTGTGCGATTGATAGAAGTTTCGAAATGGGGATCTCCGTTGCATCCTGCAGTTCGGGACTGTGCTGGCACATGGCAGGGTTTTGATTGTAGAGCTGGAGAAGCATCCCGCCTATCTCGTGGTATAACAACCCAAAGCTGAGTTCAAGGGCCGTGGAGATGTTTGGTACGGGCACATCACATTCGACATGGATGCAAAAGATCGCAGATGCGAGGAGTGGCTTCCCACGTTTGATGGCAGAAGAAAGGGGAGAATGCAGTGATAGATCATCACCCAACACCCCTTTGATCAGCGGGGACTCGACAGCGGCGAAATGGTCCAACTTTGCGCCCTTTTTGTAAGCGGTTCTCGCAAGGGAGGCCGCTTGTTCATCAGGAAGAGCCGATAGTTCATGTAGAAGACCCGACAGAACTGCATCCCAGTCCGAGGCAATAACGGTGCCATGCAGCATCTTCTCCACTTCTTCCACCTTTCCAAACATAACGCTCTCACGTAGAGTGAGCTGTCTCTTGAGGGGGGGCGGCTGAACGAGGTATGGCTCCAACTGAGACATGAAAAAATTGGTACTTTTGATGTCGCCATTCTCTCCTGCCTCCTTGTAAGCCGAAGGCCTCTCCAAAATTACTTCTCGGATGAGTTGAGAGAGCCGTGGCCACCGTGTGGAAAGAATTTGCATTGCCCGGGTCGAGTGTGAAAGTGCGAGGAGTGAGAGGAAGAGGCGCATTGGAAACTGTGACTCGAGAGAGGTTCCCTCCACCATGAAGCTGGCCAAGCAGATTGCCGCCTCACTCCCGTGGAGAGCGGCATCACGTATCCATTCCATAGCCTTCTCACGGTCTAGAGATTGAGAGGACAGGGAGGTTATTCCCATGAGGATGGAAAGCCGAGCTTTGGTCGCAAGATCGTCCGGTCCGCGCAAGTCTTTCACCGCCGCCTGAAGTGCTTTGAGCTTTCTTGATACAAGGCGCATTAAAGCATCATGTAAGCAGTGTAGGAAGTCTGTCGTGGAAACTTCATCGGTAAAATACCCTGGGATGTCGTCGGTGATTGGTACATAGTCAATCCGGCTGTCAATCTCTTTGATCCCAAGAATACTTTGTTGGTTAACGATATTAATGAAAGCGGCCGAAGATGTCCAGCTTCGAATTTCTGGAGGCTAACGTTGTGTTAGCAAGCTGAATTTACATTAGTATTTTTCAATTATCACTTACCAGATCTGCGTAGGCGCCGTAGGCGCTGGGACGATCGAACCCGGAAATAGTTGCGCCTTTCTCTTCCCTTATAATTCAGTCAGCTTTCCTAATCATTTTTGATACCTTTCTTAACTACGCCCTTTGGACGGATAATAGACGAAAAAATAAATAGCGCAAATGGAAAAGGGGATGGTTTTAGATCCAACTTACAAGATGCTTCTTCCGACGCACTCAGCGAATGGCAAAAGACTATGTACCAGCCCTTCGGTATCAGGCCTTAGCCAAAAGTAGGGTTGGAGCGGTGGAGTCAGGAGGCCGAGCAACTCAGCTTGGCCCATGTCGCCCGTTCCGACTTTGGTGAGCCTCTCTGCGAGTGCGGCTATGACGACCTTTTGGCTCTTGACGTTGCATAGGTACACCCGGACGTCACTCTCTTTCAGCCCAAACGGAGGTATGAGGGATGTCAGAAAGCAGGAGCTCGGTCCTTCAAGTGCTCCATACGCGCGACCAGCCCCACCCCAAATGCTTCCCACAATCAGACCATATGAATACACGTCTGCCTTTTCCCAATCAACGTCGGGATCTCGGTTGAGAATCTCGGGAGCACACCAGAGGGGAGTAACATGGACGGGTTCCCCACCGACCTCTTCGCAGTCTTGGAAGCTGCCTCCAAAATCGGTAATCTTGGCCACGACTTGACGGATGGGATCCATGTGACTGAAGATAAGGATATTGTCCGGCTTTAGGTCACCATGAGCGAAGCCGGCTTGATGAATGGCGTAAAGCCCTAGCGCGATGTCGATGGTTACATGCGTTTTCTGCTGGCCTGATAGCCCCCCGCTAGGGTATTTTATCATGTAATCCAACGTGCCATGTTGTCCGAGCTCCATTGCAAGGACCGGGAATGGATCGTCCATGCGCCATCCGATGAATAGAAGTTGCACGACATTGGGATGACTAGAAAGCGAGCGGTGGCCGAAGGCTCTTACTTCTCTCAGGATCGTGTCGAAGACCAGATGGCGAGCAGTTTTACTACTGGAACCGTCGTTAGGCTTGTGCTGGTGGAAAAAAATCTTCAGTGCGACAGTCGTGTTCGGCGCCAGCACCGTCTCGGTTTGATCGTCTGTGACATGTCGAACGACTTGGGCAGTCAGCCCACTGCCAAGTACCGACACCTCTTGATCGAAATCCTTTCGCTTGGTGAGCCCTATCTCACCTATATTCACTGAAGGAATGCCATAGAGAGCGGACTCCGCCAAGAGTATCTCGAAGCCATCCCCACCAAGACCTTCAAGGAAGCCGATGGTGCGCGATGTCCCGGAAGAAGCAGAACCTGACCCAAACCTTCCAGAGCGCGGGTAGGCTTCCTGATCGGAACTTTGGGGGTCTGAAAATGACATAGTAAGGTGGCAACAGACGGATGAGCTTGAAGTAGTTGAATGTGAGCAAAGCAAATTCAGGAGCCTCTCATCAACATATTGGATCCAGCCAAATATTGATTTTGGCCGCGTTATATACAACGCCGAGACGCAGCTCTCATTCAGCACATTCGGCTTGTCACTGTAAGACCATACCATACGCTTAGCACTGGTAGGAACCGTTGGATGACGTTCATGCAGGCTGACGCATTTTCATGCGTGACACATGCCAGTACCAAGCTGCCTTCAGCTTCTCACGTTACCAGCGCTGGGGGGCCTGGCAGCCTAGGTAGTCGATAGCATGGTAAGTTGGGTCTAGAAGCTAGCGTCCGTAGCGGCGGTGCCCTGGTCTAGCTGCATAATATCGTGGATACCCATACAGCCTGCTACGGAAATCTACGGCCTCAGTCCACGATTAGCGCCTTAACAAGCAAGGGAGAATGCGACGTAATTAGGTCGATCTAGCTCTGGGCTAGCCAGATAAATTCCTCAACGCTTGTCGACTCTACAATATTATTCTCATCCAAGGTTAAGAATGCGCCCTGTGCGACACACATTTTAAGGTACCGCATGCGATTAATTCTAGGGTTAATAATGTAGCAGCCCGCTAAATCTTCCCGTAAAACAGCATACTGCTATAGTTGTAACGGTTCCTTAATGCACACAATAATACCCAGCCGCCGGGTTGATTCTATACATCCCGTTTTACGGGGTCGGGAGTTCTCGTCTAGCTAGTATGATTGGCTTGCTATGTAAGATATATCTGCAAACAATCAGTACTTTAGGGTTATATTAAGACGGCTGATGACATTATATTTGTTCCAAAGGATTCACCTATATTATTATTGCCTTGGGTGACTGGCGCTTTTCACCGGTTGAGGTATACGAGGCTATAAGTGGGATCGTAAGTTTAGCCTCGAATAGCCGGAGGGTTTGGTTAGGTTCCGGAGGCGGCTTTCGGAGGATACGTAATACTATTCTTAGTACTAGAGCGATTTAGCAAGAGTTAAAACGCCCCCTTATTTAACTTTTTAATTACATGTTATCACATACATTACTATATCGGGTATCATATTAGGGTTCTTGGCGCTCAAGTTGAACCAAGCGTTTCAACAATTAAAACGCATTTTTCAACTTATTAGTTCGCCGCTTAAGGCAAGGTGTTACCTAGTAAGCTCCTTAGCATAATAAACATTAGACTCCCGCCGCTAAAATACTCGGCTACCGCGTAATAGCCTTAACTACCGCATAACAGCCACGCGATCGTGACATTTGGCGATAGAACCAGCAACCTTAGTTTACTATACAAACCAGTCTTTCTTGCGTCATCGATTGAAAAATCCCCCTAAATTACCCCGTGTTCATGTCTTGCTAAATCGCTCTACTGAAGGATGGCGCTGTTGATTAGCAAGTGCATATAGCCTAGAGCGGAAGGGATGCCTTCTGTTTGGTATCACGGTGTGACCGGTGAGTGTGGGGCCAAGAATGGATTTTCCTGAACTCGTGTTGTGACTATAGATCATTGCCAATATAGCACTACTGCTGACGGTTCCTGCCACACCCGCACTACATAGCCTTCCAGCCTTCTACCGTTTGTGCACAGCCTAAGCCTTGCATGCAATCAGCGGCCGGATCACCTTCTCCAGATATTGTTGAACGAAAAACATGTCATCTGTTTCATCATCGTTCGGGAGGCGATCCTGTAGCAGCGTCATCACCACCTTCTGATACGCTGTCCCCATCCGCCACCCCAGATCCTTTACTACCCTGTCCACCAAGTATGTTCGCCACGCCGCGCGGTCCGTCGGCATTTTTCGCGGGTCCTTGAACGAATTCGCCACTAGGCCCCAGCATCCAACCTCGTATAGCACGACGCCCAGGCCGTACAGGTCTCGCTGCTTGGAGAAACCCATGTCCGCGTCGGGGTGGTAGTAGTGCTGCAGCTTCCTGTCTTCGAGCGGACCTCGCGATTGCGAGATCTCACCTTGGGGGCGCGAGTACTGGAAGCCAGTAATAAAGGGCTCCGTCACTGAGATACCGCCATCGTCATCGCGTTCGAGGAATACAATGTTACCGCTGTGGAGGCCCTTGTGCAGCCATCCAGCGGCGTGGAAGCGGCTGAAGGCCGACGCTAGAGTGAAGGCAAGCTGGAAACGGTCGCCAAGGGGCGGTATGGGAATGCGCCCTTGATTTTTGATGAGCGTGCGCAGCGTCTTTGGGGGTTTAGTGTGTAGATCTCCGTCGTAGGGGTGCGGCGTGTGGTCTTGCGGGGGCCCGAAGACATAGCCGATTCGCTTGGTTCCGTACTTGGACTCGTAGTCCAAGTCGTCGTACACACCGTAACAGGTCGGTAAGCGGAGGGTGCAGCCGCCTAATCGTTCAAGTTGGTAACCTAAGGAGTGGATCCACTCGACGTATTCTGTCCATCTGTTCCCTGTGACGACGGGATTCCACTCGATCCATACGGTGAGCATGGTACCACTCTGTTGAGTGAGGATCCCAAGTGTCGACGAGCTTGTAAGAAACTTCAGGTCTTTGTCTGTGATGAAAGACGGGCGCCTGAGGGATCTGGGTGGATGATCTTGTTGCTGTAGTTGGTCCTGTTGCAGTGATTTCGCTAGAGCAGACACTGCCAAGGTGCGATCAAAGTTGTATCCTGGGTCAGCCAAGATCTTCAGAAGCTCGTGATCGTTGACAGACACTATGACGTGCGACAGTAGGGCTTTTGTGAGCAGCTGTGGTTCGTCGTAATGGAGGGTGAAATCTCGCAAATCCACATTGAGTGCTTGAATCTTCGAGACGACTTTTTCAAAATCGGCCTTTCTCTTCAACGTCCAGAGGAATCTCGCCTTTGGTTTCACCGGGTACTTTGCCGGTATTCGATGTAGAGAGACGCCGGCTTGTAGGTCGCCGCTTGAGTCCCGGCTCCGGAGCTCTGGCATACCGATTTTGTGCTTTTCCACCAGACGACCTGCCTCTTCATTTAGCTTGCCTATCTCGCCAAGGATACGCACTACCGCCTCTTTGATATAGGCTGGTCTGTCTTGGAGCGTGCATTGCTCGACATTGGCTGGATTGACCTTGCAGAGGTCCCCCCAAACCCGCAGCCGTATAGTCTCGATATGGTATCTGAGGGCAAGGTGTCCGCAGCCCTCCTTTGCGTCGTCGGAGAAAGATTGGATCCAGAGTGCCCCGTCGACGGCACCCTTGAAGGCCATGATGAGACCGGCCACGCCAAAACCTAGGTCAACACCAGACATGTTTGATCGAATGGGCGACGATATGATGGAAGCGATTGGAAATAGAAGAAAATATCGCGTGTGTGAGAGCAAAACTGTCGAAGACGGAATGGACGGGGTTTAAATCTCTTCTGTCATAAACCTTATCATATTTTGGAATTACTGGCAAGCTAAGCAAGAACACGGAAACACTCTGGCAACAGATTTTAGGGCTTAGTTGAAATGAATTGTCTTCCACGAGTAAATGCATCCGTGCAGTCCGAGTTAACAGCTAAGCTGGAGTTACGTCGGCTAAGGCCGTAGCTGAGGTTGCGATTGCGTTGCCTAAAAATAAGGCTGTAGCTGAGTTCGAGACCGCGTCCGCCCTTGGACACCATGGTTGCGCGATTGGGGCCTCCAACCACCCGCCAAATCGGGGGGTCGGCGGCGCGGGTCGCCGGTTGTTATTTAGGGCACGCGATTGATCTGATTGACAAGCGCAAGCGGGGTCCGGGGGTCCAATTATAACCCAGGAGGGGTCTTCAGGTTAAGCGCAAGCGGCCTACTTATAATTATTAGACATCTAAAGCCCGCTTGCAAGCATTAGCGCTTACGCTTGAAACCCCTATACCGGGTCTCTATAGCCGCTTGCAATCTGCTTGCGCTTGCAGCGAGCCATGCCGGTTGTTCTGGGTACCCGAACATCCCATCGACCCCGATCGCCGCCCGCTCGCCCCTGCCATCAGACCGGACCTGCAATAATAATAACAATGCACGCAAACTGAACCTCGCTGGAAAAAAGCATCCGAGGCGCAACGAACATGGACACTTCCTGTTCCAGGAAAACCAAACCATCCATCCGTGCCCGGCTTCATAATCAACGACCTCGCCATCGAAAACGATGCCCAAGGATTCGGCACCATCGGTCTATACTCTATCCGTCGACGAGACCCAACTCCCCGCCGAGTGTCCCGAACTCGCCGGCATCATCGGCGCGAACGCGACGTCCTTCACAACCTTCGTCTGCAAAGCGTCCATCTCGGAAATCACCGTCGCCACCGACTTCAGCCTGCCCGACTACGCCATCAAGCGCATCACCCCCGACGAAAGCTCCGCCCGACCCGTCATGACCAACAACTTCCTCGGCACTTGGCTGCGGCCGCTGTCGTTCCCAAACGACATCATCCCCAAGCTCTTCCTCCAACCCACCGCTGACACCTCCTCGTCCTCCTCCTATAGCACCTTCTTCCAAGCCCTCATCGCCCACACCCGCACCTCATCCTCCTCCTCCTCCTCCGCAGACGCAGACCCCACCACCTTCCCCGCCTCCTCCCTCCTCGGCGCCGCCAACTTCCCCGCCCTCTCCGCCCTCCTCCGCCACCACTTCCGCATCATCACCGCCCAGGCCGCGCACCACGCCCTGCGCGTCCCCACCACCACTAATCTACCCACCACCACTAATCTATCCACTACTAACCTACCCACCACCATCCCCGCCACCCTCACCAACCCCAACGCCCCCCGCCTCCGCCAATCCGCCATCTCGACGCACGTCCTCGCATCCCTGCTCGGCACCATCGCGGCGTGCGTGGCCGTCACGTCCCTCGGCACCGCGCGAAGTGGCGGGGATGTGAGGCGTTTGTTGCCGAAGAATCCGTGCGGTATCGCCGCGATGGGGAGCTTGTTGGCGGGGGCGGGGGTGGAGGAGAAGGAGGAGGAGATGGTGATGATGGTGCGGGATGATGATGGTTTTGTTTTTGGGTTGGGGTGGTGGAGGGGGAGGGAAGACGGGGAGAGGTTTGGGGTTGGGGTGGGGAGGAGGAGGAGGGGGAGGAGGGGGCAAGGGGATGATGGTGATGACGATGATGATGGGCGGATTGAGTTGAGGGGGATGTGAGTGATACCGCACGGTGAGGTGGATCGGGATGGGGTCATGTACCTGGTAGGTAGCTCGCTGTTTCTTCTTGGGAATGAAGAAGAGAAAAAACAAAAAAAAAAAGACAGACGAGCGATCTGTCTCATCCGCGGAGCCACGCCCCGACAGCTCACCCGCCATCTAACGCGTACCGGATGAATGAACGTACATGCACGAGCACAGAAAACAAGACAAAGCACCTTCTCTCAAACAAGAAAAAGAATTCTTTTTGACCACCGTGATTATCTCCTATAACTCCTTTACCGAACGATTCGTTTTGGAAAACCCCCACTTGCCACAGTCTATCCGTTGTGACGGCGACGACGTAACATAAACAACATACATACCAAGCGACTGAGATACTTTTCTTGCTCCACAACCCCCCCGTCCCCGTCCCCGTCCCGCCTATCTACAACTCACATCTCACGCCTTGTTCTTCTCGAGCCTCCTCCTCTTCGACCGGAGCTTCTCGGCCTGCTCGTCCTTCTTCTTGTTGCTGTACGTCATCTTCTCGAGCAGCTTCCTCTTGCTCCGCGACATCATCATCTTCTGCCTCTCCAGCTCCTCGTCCTCGGCCTTGTCCTTCTTGGCCTTGCGTTTCCGCGCGTCGCCCTTCTTCTTGTCCGCCTCGTCCGCGGCGTACGGCTTGCCCTTGGCCTCGGCTTCGAGCTCGCGCTGGTGCTGGATGCGCGCGGCTTCCTCGTCGTCGATGTCGGATTCGAGCTCCTCGGCCTCGTCCTCCTCATCCTGATCCTCTTCGTCCTCGTCCTCCTCGTCAGACTCGTCTTCGGAACCGGCGACGTCCATGCCCTCGCCGGCTTCGACCTCGTCGGGCAGATCCAGGAGCTTGCTCTCCTTGGCGGCCTTCTTCTTGGGCGCCGCCGCCTCCTCTTCCTCTGCCTCGGACTCGTCCTCCTCGTCGGCTTCTTCGGCCTCGCCCTCGCGCTCCTGCTCCTCGAGAGGCTTGGTGGGGTCGTACTCGCCCTTCTTAGGCTTGACCCAGGGACTCAGGTGGGGCGGGAGGGTTGCGCCGGGGGCGTAGAGGTCGGGTCGCAGGAGCCTGCCTTGGTTGACGCAGTCCCACACCCACTGCGGCTGGATGTAGGTGCGGCCGGGGACGCGGGTGCCGGGTTTCAGTCTCTGCACGCCGTTGGCCTCGCTGCCGTTGAGCTCGGCTTCGGAGAGGGTGGGCACGGGGATGTTCGGCCGGTCGACGATCTGGTGGGTGATGGCCGGATCCGACTCGTTGGTGGTGTAGGCTCCGTCGCCGAGCACGGCGTCCCAGCCCACGCGCTTGCAGCCAAAGGACTTGAGGAGGAACTCCAGCGGCTCACGCGGCGTCTCGCGAGAAAGGAAGACGGTGAATTTCTCGAAGAGCGCGGCGGCCTCGGTGCTGCTGGCTTGAGGCTGAGGGAGCACGTCGGCGTCGTCGCCGGTTGCTTCGAACTTGTCAATGGCGTCGGTGGGCAGCTCTGCGTCGGCAGCGTCGTCGGCGTCGTGCATCTCGGCGTCTGGCTCGGCGAGGGTTGCGACCTTGTCGGCAGCTGCCTGAGCAGCCTCGGACGTCTTTGCGTCACCGTTGGCAACGGGCGCGGCTGCGATTGTGGGCTGCTCTCCAAGGGCCTTGCCCTGCAGGGTGAAGGCACCCAGCTCTCCACCTTGGTCGTCGCTCTCCTTGCTAAACTTGGGTGGGTACAAGAGGCCGACCGAGTTGTACAGACGGAAGTTGACGAAGCCGAGAAGGGTGGTGTAAAACTCGACAAAGGTGCCCATGATGCGGAAATCGACGTCGTTGGTGACGCGCTGGACGAACTTGTAGGGAACAAGCCAGAGGATGTCCTGGCCCTGGATGGTGGCCTGGTAGTAGATGCCCTTGATGGAGAGGAAAGACTTTTTGAGCGAATGCGAGATGATGAGGTAGTGTTCAAACTCGAGCGTCAGGCGCTTGCACAGGGCGATGGTCTTGGCGGGAACGGCGACGGTCGAAGGCAGGTTGGCGAAGAGGAAAAGCATGGACAGGCAGTCGTCGAGATCGCGGAGGGCGTCGACGAAGGTGGGATAGCGCTCCTTGATAACGTGGTCCAGGGTCATGCGCGGCGTCAGGTTCTTCTCCAGACGGGCGGCATCGCGGACCTCGCCACGGCCGAGAGCGCGGCTGATCTTCTTGGCCAGAGCCTTGTGGTCGCGGAACTTGGCGAGCAGGGGTTCATGGAGCAGGTATTGGATGTCGCGGGTGTAGTAGAAGGTGGTCGAGTGCGAGGCGCTCTTGTTCGCCTTCTTCTTGTTGCGCGGCTCGCGAGGGTAGATGCCCTTGAAGATGCATAGGCGGCGGAAGTCGGGCAGCGAAATCTGCAGCTTGCGGACGGCCTGGGTGCGGGTGATGTAGTTCTTGGCCGCGCCAGACTGGCCCTTCTTTTCCTTGCGTTTGGTCATGGCTGCGCGTCGTCTCTAGCCAGTCAGCGGCGCATTAGAAAAATGAGATTAAAGATTGAAACAAGGAGCCAAAAGGTGACTTCGAAACGGCGCATGGGGTCAACAACGCCGAGAGCGACTATGAAGAATGCTATGGCTATCTCGCAGAGAGCGAGAGTAGTGAGAAAGAAGACATCTGCGAGACTGCGGAAGACGGCGATGTTGCGGTTTAAACCGAAGACGAGGAGGTCCTCGAACTGGTGGGCCATGGCGCGATGGTGGTGGATAACGTGTAGACGGTGATGGGGATGGCATGGCGAGAGCCGAGAGAGCAGCACTTACAGGATTGAGCAGCCCGGGGGAGAATTGAGCGGAAGGCGGGCGGGAGAGAAAGAGGGAAGGAAGCGGGCGGTGTTTCTGGATGCGACGAGTCGGCTCCGCAACTTTTTCTGCCACCGCCTTGGCCGCCCTGCACCTTCCCTGCAGCTCCGGAAAACACCACGGGGACCTCCCGTCATCGCCCGTCGCCGGCCACCATGGCATGACTCCCGCACCTCCCCCACGGCCCCCAATGGCTCTCGACAAGCAAAAGGCCCTGCTCTTCGGCATCGCCGCAGCTCTGCGCCTGTTTCTCTTCGTCGCCTTCCCCTCGCTCCCCAACTTGCTCACCGATCGTGTCGAGATCTCCACTCCCGTCACCAGCTTCAAGCGCCGTATGTTGCGCCCCACATGCTGGATGAAGGCCGTGCTGACTCTGCGCAGTGCAGGAGGGTCTCTTTCTTTACAAGCACAATGTGTCCCCCTACGACGGCGGCGTCTTCCATCAGGTCCGCTTGCCCGCCCGCTGCTTGCGCTCTCCGCTGACATGGCCCAGGCTCCGCTCCTGCTCCCGCTATTCTCGCTGCTGCCTGACATCTACGTCTTTCCGCTAGCCACCAATCTGGTATACATTGCCGTGGACTTGCTCAGTGCCAATGCCCTGATGCGCATTGCCGAGACGGGAGAGAATGTGTCGTCGCGCCTCTTCACGTCGCCGCGGAAGGGCCTCCACTGGGGTGGCTTGGCGGTTGCCGCCGGGTCCGTACACATGCGTCCTCTGCTCAGGCTGATACTGACGGCGCGGGCAGCTACCTGTTCAATCCTTTCATCATGGCGACCATGCTTGGCCGCCCGACGTCGGCCATCACGTCGCTGCTCCTCTTGACCTCGATGGCGAGTGCTACGCGCGGTCGGCCGTTTACCTTCGTCCTCGCCATATCGCTCGCGTCGTACCTGTCGCTGTACCCGCTCCTCCTGTTCCCGCCGCTGCTCCTCTTGTGCTACGATGCCGAAAGCCGACGCGCCAAGCCGGACAAGGCGCCCACGCCGCTGGTCTTCGCGCTTTTCCACACTGCAGATCTCGTCTTCACGGTTGGGGCGCTGTTGTTCTTGTCGCGTCTGCTCATGGGTAGCTGGGAGTTTATTCCCTCGACCTACGGTGTTCACCTTCTGCTACCAGACCTCACGCCGAACGTCGGGCTGTGGTGGTACTTTTTTATTGAAATGTTCGACTCGTTCAGAGAGTTTTTCCTGGGCGTCTTCTGGCTTCACATGTCGGCCTACGTTGGCGGACTGAGTTTCCGCATCCGCAGCCAACCGCTATACGTGGTGGTGGCGCTGCTTGGCATATTCGCCGTATTCATGCCATACCCCAGCATCGCCGAGACGGGGCTGTTTTTGAGTCTACTTCCTCTTTACATTCATGTCTTTCCACGTGAGTAGTCCCCGCCCTCGCCGTGATTCGTGTCGCTGACAGGCAATCAAGTGACGCGCTACGTCTTCCTCGCATGCGCAGCGCTGCTGTACGCCAGCTTCTTAGGGCCGGCATTCTACTACCTCTGGATCTATGCTGGTTCCGGCAACGCCAACTTCTTCTATGCCATCACGCTGGTGTGGAGTCTCGGGTTGACTCTGATTGTCGCCGATGTTACGTTTGCAGTGCTTCGCGATGAGTGGGAGGCAGAACGGCCGGAGATGAGGGGCAAGGAGGTCCGCCAGATTTAGGCAGCATGCCCAGGTAGAATAGCGAAGATATCTTTATTCCTCGAGCCAAGTCTCATTTTTGTGTCGGGCAAATGCATGGTGCGCCAGACACAGGTGAGGGTGTTGTTTCAGCACACGTGCGCGGTTGTCAGGGTCCAGGACACGGGCGAGGCCAAGCTTAAATGGCCCACCCTCCCCGGCTGCACTCTCGACCTTTACCTCAACACCAGCTCTTTGCAACACCTTTCTGTGGCTGCAATCTCAGCGGACCTGCAACGCTTCTCTGGGTAAGTGGTGCTTTGACAAGCTGAATACCTATGCTCTTACTCCCCACATCCTTCCCTGCCTCGACATACGGTAGACACTTCATCCTATCCCACTCCAGCTCCAAGCCGGACTCCAACCTCACCTTTCGCACGACCGTGTCTGACAACTTCTCCAACCAGCCACCAGCCGTTCACTCTCAAATACCATCGAATCATCGCAACCCCACGCGACCACCGACAACATCCACCATGGGCGCCCCTAAGAGCAACACGCTCACGCCGCGCGACCTCGAAGTCGCCGGAAAAGTCTGGCAGTGCTTCAAGACGGAGCCGCAGGTAAGCTCTCCCTCTCAATTCGACTTCACCTCACCTCACCTCACTCACCCGTCCCATCTCACCTCGCCTCTCTCCCTCCACCTCACCTACCTTACCTCACTCACCTCACCCGCCGGGCCGCCCTACTCCTCCACAACCAACAATCAAAACAAAAAAACGCCCAAACAAACACCCCCCACCACGAAAACCACAAAAACCACACACACACACACTAACCAGCCCCCCCCTCCCCCACCAGGTCGACTTCATCAAGCTCGCCCACGTCGCCGGCTTCAAGAACCCGGCCTCCGCCTCCGCCTGCTGGAACCCGATCAAAAAGAAACTCATGATGGCCGGCGGCGCCGGTGCCGGTGACGTCGCCGCGTCCGCCTCCACCCCTCCGTCCGGCTCTCGCAAGCGCAAGGCCCCCGCCGCCGCTGCCGCCAACAGCAACGATGACGATGACAACGATGACGATGACGAGGAGTCTCCGGCGCCGAAGAAGGTGGTGAAGAAGAAGGCGGCGGCGGTGGCGAAGAAGACGAAGGGGGCGGTGGTGAAGGACGGGAAGAAGGCTGCTCGTCGTGGTGCGAAGAAGGAGGTGGTGGAGGACGATGACGATGAGGAGATGGGCGATAATATCACGGTCAAGGTCGAGAACGAGGGCGCGGAGGATGCGGACGATGAGGAGGTCTTGGCTGAGTTGGACATGTTTGAGAGTGCGATGGGTGCGGCTCTGGGTGGGGAGGTGTAGGTTGGGGGATGGGGTTGGTGGAATGATGGAATGATGGACTGATGGATGGGTTGAGTGGAAAAAGTGCTTTGCGATCGGATGGGCTGGCTGGCTTGATGGATGGTTGGCTGGATTGAGTGGAGGGGATTCCGGTTTTGCTTTTTCTTTTCTTCTTTTTCCTCTTTTCTCTGCTTCTTGATTCGCTCGCGCTTTTCTTCACCTTTGCTTCTTCTCGGAGAGGGGGGAGAGTGGCGAGAGAGATGGGCGCGAGGAATTTCGGGAGCTGAGAGTGATGGGGAAGTTGGAGATTGGCACAGTTCTGCTGCGCTGGTTCTTTGATCGACGGGAGTCACTTCGTCACTATTGATGATCAGAGCCTCATATAAAATCAAGGGAAGCATTGCTCGACGTGGTGAATTGAGGTCATAGCTGTGAGCACACATGTTTCGCCCTACCCCATGTTCCGTGTCACAGACAGTTGGCGTTGAGACTCCGATCACAGGAGCACAGCAGCCTATGGAAGTGTTGCCAGTAAACCCCGCCGAGATCGCTATACTCTTTCTACGTGGTGATTCAAATATCTGGACGTAATTTTCAAAGTCCAAGACTCGCATGGGCGTCCGAAACTTGGAGTCAACTGACCAGATCATCAGACTCGTTGCCAGGCGCAAAACCATGGCTTAAGGTGTTCGACCGCAGTCTTTTCTTTTTTCGCGCGGCGAGTTCTTTTTCGTGCCAAGAGTTTTCTTCGCAGAGAAACGTGGACGAAAGCAGGTTGTTCTTTATACAAGTTTGGCGGCCCGCCCGAATGTCCAGTTGGGGCATATGCTGCGATAAGTCTTATCTAATTTGCTGAGGTATTGCTTTCTTGGGGTAGGCATCCCCGCGTTGGGTTATCGGTCACTTACCCCACTTTCAGATACAGCCGGCTCTTCGTGTAGCCTTGGAGTTCTGTGCGATGCTGCTAGATAATTCGTCGTTATCGCTGTACCCCCGTCTAGCTCGAGTTCGCCTATGGTTGCAGGCCAACGGAACTCGGCTTGATACGTTCTACCCGAGATCAACAACATATCAACAGGCAGATGCCTCGATTCGTCTTGCAGCCGCCTGCCAAAGCGATTCCTCCTTCCAATTGACGACCATGAAGCTCTTTTCAAGACCTGCCGTCGTGGCCGCCGCCGAGCTACGGTCACCTGCCGAAAAAGACCTTGTGCGAAGGCTGGACTTCTTCCTTCTCACCTTTGGCGCAATAAGCCAAATCATCAAGTACTGCGACCAAATAAATTTAAACAATGCCTACGTCTCGGGCATGAAAGAAGATCTCTCCCTCTACGGAGACGAGCTCAACTACTTTACGACATGCTTCAACGTGGCCTACTGCCTGTTCGCCATACCCAGCCAGATCGCCCTGACATACGTCCGACCCAGCCTCTGGCTCAGCGGTTTGGAGGTCGCCTGGGGCGTCATGACCGGTCTAATGGCCATGGTCACAAAGCCATATCAGGTCTACATCATCAGGTCCGTCATCCCTCGATGGATTCCAGAAAAACCAACTGACCGGGTACAAGAGTCTTCCTCGGCCTCTTCGAATCCAGCGCCTGGCCGGGCTTCATGACGCTCCTCACCTACTGGTAAGTCGCGACGGCAGACGCAGCAAAGGTCCCTTGCTGACGAGAGGCTCAGGTACACGCCCAAAGAACTCGCCAAGCGCATGGGCTTCTACCACTCCTGCCAAGCAGTCGGCAGCATGATGTCGGGCGCGCTGCAAGCCGCCATCATGAGCACCATGGACGGCTCCGGCGGCCTCGCCGGCTGGCGCTGGCTCTTCGTCATCAACGCCATCATCACCGTCGTCTGGGGCTTCCTGGGCGTCTTCCTGCTGCCGGACCTGCCGAACAAGCCCAACCCGCGCGCCAGGTTCTGGTTCCGCGAAACCCACGCCGACGTCGCCATGGGGAGGCTGGCACGCCACGGCAGAAAGGAGCCGGAGAAGCTGTCTTGGGCTGCGGCGAGGCGCACGTTTGGCTCGTGGATCGTGTATTTCGTTGCGGCGCTGTACGTTGCGACTGTGCTGACGACGTCGGGGAATGCGTATTTTGGGCTTTTTCTCAAGGCGATGAGGAATCCGGATGGGACGGCGAGGTGGACGACGACGGAGGTGAATGCGATTCCGATTGGTGGCTCGGCGATCAACGTCGTTTTTGGTGAGTGCAGCTCTCGGGCCATTAACTTGGGGGGGGGCAGCGCGAGTGGCTGACGGAATTGTAGTCTGGGTTTGGGCCATACTGTCGGATCTCCTGGAAACACGCTGGACTTTGATCATTGCGCAAGGTAGGCGATTCACCCTCGGCCTCATGTGCTATCTGCTTACATCTGACAGGCCTGATCGGTCTCGTTCCTTCAATCGCTCTGTCCATTTGGACCTCTCACCCCGAGTCGACTCCCATTGCGAGTGCTTACGCTGGGTACTTCCTCACTTTCTCTTGCATGGGCACAGCGCCCCTCATATTCTCCTGGCTATCCGATTTGTAAGTGCCAATGCGCTGTCCTTCATCATATTTCACATGCTAAGTAAAATAGGCTGCCCCAAGATCCCAGCGGCCGTGCCTTGATCGTTGGCGTCTGTGTTGCTTCGTACTACGCAGTTTCTTCGTGGAGTAATGTCTTGGTCTGGCCAGCATCAGAAGCTCCGTATTGTGAGTCCCAAACCGCTCTCTCAAATGCACACTCGTTCGCGCTGACAGAGTTTGATAGACCGGAAGGGATGGCAGTTGTCGATTGCGCTCTGGGTGTTCGTTATGGTCATGACTGCTGCGTTGCGTTTCATCGATGTGCGGTACATGAAGTAAGTTCCAAACTGGAGATGACCGTTGGATGTGAATGGTGCTAATGCGGTGTACGAAAGGCCAAAACGCGAAGCATACGCTGCAACGATCGAAGGCCAGGCGGTAGAGGAGGTCCAGGTGCAAGTTGTCGACAAGAAGAGCGTTGAGACCGGCGTGTAGCCATTGCGTCGGGGTGTATTGATACAGCGCCAATTATGCAGTGGCCCAATGATCGGCACAAGTCTTGGTAATGCCCTGAGCTTTAGTATACTCGGAGCGGTCCTTCGCTTCGAAAGAAGTTGTATCATACTTGATTGCAAGCGTCGGAACGACAATGTAGATCTCCACTGCCTCGAACCTCCGAGTCAAGCTATCGGGTTAACCCTTTGGTGGTCGCCGCCCGGCTTGCGGCTGAAAACGGTGTAGGGATTGGCGAGATGCAATCGGTGGTAGAGGCAGGATAACGAAGCTCAGGCCAAGCAAAATTAACGTCGATCTCGCTCCACAGTAGTAAAGTGAGTTGTAACACTTTCTCCATGGGGAAAGTCTGACTGAGCCTTCTGCCGTGCCCTCGTTGCCTTGCGACCCACCATGGCCCCAGCTTGCACACCAATTCCCCACTGCCTCCCCATCGTCCCACCCCATCCATGGTCACTCATACCGCTATTCGCGTAATGGATGAGAGCGGTAATGTGCGGAGTCTATACCGTGTTCGAGTTGAACGCAAGTCTAATCGCCAGGCGTACGTCTCACAGCTCTCTTCGCAGCAATAGACCAGGGGTCTGGTGGGGTCGGTCCACCTTTTCTCGCCCTTGCGCTATGCAGAACATGTTGCCTATGTTCCTAGATGGCGGTGCGTGAGGCCCACATTCCGGGTTGAAAAATAAGCCTTGTGGCGTGATGAAGCTGTCTTGATTGGGTGTCCGCTGACGACACATCCACACATCTTTGGCTTTTGTATTGATTATGATCGACAGAGCGGTAAATCTCATTGAACCTTTTCCATAGTCGAAGCTGCTCGTTGCTACTGTTGCTTCTGCCTACAAAGTCGTGCTCCACCGTATATCGCTGCGGAATCGGATCAAACCGTGAGAAGCGTAAGACGTCAAGGCTGTACAAACTTACGGTGGCCCTCACTGTGCTCGGATGCTGGCTAGTGGAGTGAGCTTACCACATCAAAAATGCCCGATGCGGTTACAGCTACCCCACAATACTTAGTGTTGATGTACGCCTCGGCCAACTCTGCGCCAGCTCCAGGCAGCAGATGCTGATGAGCCCACATCGACGTTGTCGTAGCGGGGATAGAGCAATGTGTATATGCTATCACCCCAATCCTCTGAAAATCTTCGCCAGAATTAGAGAACAAGCAGGCACTAACTCGAGGCTGTAGACCCAACACGTCGAACAAATCCACCAAGGCTGAGTGTTGCAGGGAGTATCATGTCGGAAGAGCTGAGCATCGTATGAGGCCGGACCGCTGGGTATAAAGAAGAGCAGAGTTCTCGCCCAGAACACGAACCATCAAATCCATTCCTCATCACAAGAGAGAACGTTCATCGAACCTCAGTCTCGACCACATCACAACCAACCATCATGCGTTTCGACCTCGTCGCCACCTTTCTCGCCCTTGGGGCTGGAAGCTCCTTCGTTGCCGCTGCACCTATGGAAGGCGGCTTGAAACCAAGAGCCACCCAATATGGCGTCAGTAACGTTCATCCTAGAACGAGAGAGAGTTCAGCTAACAAGCATCCGGGGAATAGAAATGCAATGGCACCAGTTGCTCTTACGGAGGTATCAACTACGACTGCGATCAAGGCACTTCGGTGAGTACCCAGCCATCGAGCGAGGGATCAGTACTTGGATGTTCTGACAGTTTTCAGTGCATCGGACCGGGTGGTGGAGACGGTGCATCTTGCACCAAGGTCTTTGGTGACCTCGGAAAGTTTCAGTGTCCTGTCAAACACTAAGTAAGGGTCTAGAGGTGCAATTCGGAGGGTTGGTAGATGGAGCCTTGCGAGGGTCAAAAAATGGGAGAGGTGTCTTGAATTGAAAATGATGATTTCCTTTCCAGAACCGAGTAGCGCAGTATTATGGTACCAGCAGTGCTACCTTTAAGGTGATAACATTTGAAATTCTTTGCTACCAATTTCCACCGTTCTACAGCCCGCTACGTGAGAGGATGCAACCATCAACTTCTTCAGACACAGCGAAATGCACCACAACCTATGCGGTCCGTCACGGAAGAATTTGACCTACAGCAGTTTTTCGTATGGGTAATTGAAGTACATGTTCAGATGCAGATTCCACTTTGAAACCATCTACGTCTCCACTGACTACATCAGTGATTGAATACCCGGGTCGAGCTTTTCTATATGTAGAGCTTCCCGTGTCCACGTCCGAGGCAAGCGAAACACAGTGTCGCTATAGCAGTTCCTGCTGACTATCTGATGGATTCCAGTGCATAAAGTCCCATGCCCAAGACTACCAACCACAGTAAGGGTGTCATCCTCTTAACTATTTTTCTAGAATTGATTTATACCGTATAGGTCTCAATATATGCGCCACAGCTCGGATATTTCCGTATTTTGCCGCTCCAGAAAGTGAATGCCCATGCCGCTTGTTACGACATATCTGCTTGAGGTTGGAACCGCTTATACGTACATTCCATCAATGCTCCGCGGCGCAGTCATGTATCTTCACGCAGGTAGCAGCAGCCTGACTAAAGACCCAAGACTTGATTCATCACGTGGAGCGTCCGATAAGCTAGCCTCGCTTACCGACCGAGTAGGATTCTGCAGGAATGCGGGGTTGCCGGTGACGAGCCCGTGGACTTCCAGACACTGCAACCGTGCTTCTCGCTGAATATACCATGGACAGACCCAAGAAGCGGCCCAGACCCACTCGTTCCTGTCGCGAATGCCGCCAAAAAAAACTCCGGTGTGACCGGGCCCAACCATGTCAGCAATGCGTCAAAGGACAGCGCGAGACGCTCTGCGTCTTTGATCAAGGGCTTCCTTCTCAGAATTCGGCGTCCCAAACCCCAGAGAACCTTGATGGTCAGAATACTGGAGGCCGAGTTTTGGAGAACAAACGAATGGAATGGCAGCCACACACTACCCCGGCTTTGAAAGCGAACAGTACCGCCGTTGAAGACCTTCAAGCGAGGATCAAATCCCTCGAAGCAATGATGCCTGTGAACCACACTCCTCTGAGTAAGGCTCATAACAGCGGTCAGCAGCCTGTTGGAACCATCACGGTCAAAGGAGATAGATGCCGGTACTATGGGAGCGGATACCAAAGCGGCCTGTTCAATCGGGTCCAGAACACAGCCAAGTCGATGCTGCAGCCATCAGCAGACCCGGACCTCTGGACTCTTGTAAAAGAGGTTCAGGGCTTGTGGAAGAGGCACGCTGCCGATGCAGCCTCGGCACCGACGAGCGCGCTCGATTCGATGGCTCAGCTTCGAGATCAATTACCGGAGAAGGACGTTTGTCATTTTCTGATCCAGTCCTATTTTTCCATGTACGAGGAAAGACTGGTGGTTTTGCACAAGCCCACGTTCATGCCACTCTTCTCTGACTTCATGGCCAAGCTGCCTCAAAGCAGCAGTGGTATTGAGCCACAGATCTATGCAGCAATGGCATTAGCAGCATACCACCTGCAATCATCGGACCACTCTCACCGGACAGCCGCAAAGGCGTGGCTTCGTCTCAGCCCATTTGCAGTCATCGAGGCATGGCTGAAGGCACTTCCAAGACGAGCCCGTGGCCAAGTATCAATCTTGCAGACAAGAGCCTTGATCATCCTCTCCCAACAGGCAAGAGGTCAACATATCGAGGAACATTGGCAGGCGACGAATGCTCTCGTCCGATCTGCTATGATCTTAGGGCTCCACCGTGATCCGGCCCAGTTCAAGTCATTCTCTCCTCTTCAGGCTGACGTCAGACGGCGACTTTGGTGGAGTGTTGTGGAAATGGATCTATGGGCCTCACTGTCTTACGGTATGCCAGCGGCGCTATGCCCGGAGGATACCGACTGCATGCCGGGTATCCGCCCCGACGCTGTGGACCTCAGCGTGTACCTGTCGGGCTTGCCGAGAGATTCCTGCTTCGTGATCCAGGATTTCCTGGCGCGGTCATTGCTCGGGCGTCTTGCCATCATCAACATCGTCAGCCACACGCTCGACGAGGCATCTCGGACCAGACTCAAACAGCTATGGGGCGAAGTGGAGGAGGCGATGAAGGACTTGCCGCATCTGGTAGAGTCATCCACTGCACCGATGGACACCGGTCTCAAACCCGTTGTCATCTTCCTCAAGTCGCTTCACAGCACCTTGGTCATCTCTGTGGAGCGCTCCCTTGCGCCCGAGTACACGCCAAACATCACATGCGTCCATAGCGCCACCGAAATCTTGTCCTGTTTGGCGCTTCTTGCACCCGGGAGCGAGGAGACGAACGCACCAGAGCCCCAACTCGGTCAGTTCCTCGTCGAGTTCATGCACGGTATATACAAGGCTCTGACTCTCATTTGCATGCATCTGGATCACTTCCAAGACGTCGCCGAGACGGAGGATTCGCCCTGGGACTCGACGAGCTTATTCCAACTTCTCGAAGTATCTCTTCAGATATTCGTAGGTAACGTGGCGTTCGAACATACGACTTTGAAGACGATCCTCGCTCTTAGCATCTCCACCTCTTTGGCCCGAGCGAGAAGCAACGGCTGGGCGGAGAAGAACGTCGTGCGGGAGGGGTTGATGGCGACGGTTGAGTCATTGCGCAGGAGACTCTCTGACGCAACAAAGGTACGTGGCGTAGTTTCAATCATCAAGCGTTTGTACTTACATGCTGTATACTCAGCCTGCTGAGCAGTCGGGCTCGGGAACAGCTGACGTGAGCCTTGACGAAATCATGAGTTTGGAGAGTGCATTTGACACAGAGGTAAGTTTAACACCACACGGCCGTTTACCGGACAAGTTGATGCTCATCCATGCACAGGCCGTTGTCGACTGGCCATCATCGGACTGGCTGCTGGAACTTGACGAGGCTTGGCTTTGAAAGTGTTTTTTCTTCAGCGTCGCAACATTAACTTCTTCCATATCATCCAACAAAACGCCTAGACACGTAGAACCCAATAAAATAACCAACCATCAAAACACCACCCATAGCACCCCACACCTCCCCCCGCTTCTTCCTCCACCCTCTCAATTCGCAATAACCGGTGTCCTCCCATCCCACTCCGCCCCCTCACACGCATCCACCAAAAACGCCGCCACACTCGCCCTCGTCACCCTCCCCACCCACGGCGCCCCCACCCCCTCATCCCCAAACACCCGCACCGGCGCCTCCGCCCCCTCCACCAGCATCGCCGGCCTCACCAGCACGTACTTCAACCCCTCTCGGGCCTTCATCTCCGCATCCACCAAGTCGTGATCCGCAAACTGGAACCGCATGTTCGTCCCGCGCAGCACCGCGCGCAGCGCGCACAGCAGCTGCGGCCCCGAGTCCGCGACGCCGAACGCGGACATGGTGACGATTTTGCTGATCGAGTGTTGCCGCATGGCGAAGGCGAGGTTGGCGTGCGCGTCGGCCATCATGCGGGGCGGGGCGGCGGGCGCGGCGAAGGGGCTGTCGCTGGCGCGGGGCGCGTTGAGGGTGACGATGATGGCGGAGGGGAGGGTGGGGTGCAGGATCGAGGTGGCGATGTCGGCGGGGGAGAGGGGTGTTCCTGTGGGTGGTGGGTTAGTGGGTGGGCGGGTGGTGGCCCGGTGGGCGCTGGTTGCTTGCTTACCTTTGGCGAGGGTGAGGCCGTCGCGGGCGGGGAGCGCGTCGGGGTTTCGGACTAGCGCGGTGACGGTGTGGCCTGTGGTGTGTGTTGGTTGGGTTTTGTTTTGTGTGGGGGAGTTGGTGGCGGAGGGTTACCTCGTTGCAGGGCGTTGTCGATGACCATCTGGCCGGTGCGGCCGCTTCCTCCGACGATGTAGAGATGCATGGTTGGATGGGGATATGGATGTGGATGAAAGGTCTGGAAGACGGGGTATTGGATTTGGATTCTTGGATGCTCTGCTGTAGAAGGTGAGGGCTGCATTTCATAAATAGTCCTGGTTCCGGATCCGAACGGTTCGGATCCGAATGGCTGCCGGATCCGGAGCTGGGTACATAAGACCATCACTCCCAAGCCATGATTGTATCCACCACCAAACCGTCCTACAAGCCCTTTGACCATCTCCCAAAATGTCTTCACCCATCACGTCCAACATCGTCATCATCGGCGGCGGCCTCGCAGGCCTCACCCTGGCCCTCTCCCTCCACCAACGCGGCATCCCCTGCACCATCTACGAAGCCCGCCCCGAGTCGGCCTCGACCCCCGGCGCGCTGATGCTCTCGCCCAACTCCCTCCGCATCCTCGACCGCCTCGGCATCTACGCCCACATCCGCTCCCAGGGCTACAACTTCCAAACCGTCGCCTTCAAAAACGCCGCCGAAGAAACCACCGACCTCTACCACCTCGGCGGCACCGCCCACTACGACTACGACTGCCTCCGCCTCTACCGCCAGACCCTCCTCCTCGCCCTCCGCGCCGCCGCCGCCGCCGCCAACATCCCCATCCACTACTCCCACAAATTCTCCCACATCATCACCCCCACCGACCCCTCCACCAACGCCATCACCTTCGCCCTCACCACCCCGGGTACCCCCCTCACCACCACCACCCTCACCGCCTCCCTCCTCATCGCCGCCGACGGCATCCACTCCAAACTCCGCACCACCCACGTCGCCCCCTCCGCCCTCGCCACCTACGCCAACACCCTCGCCATCACCTTCGCCACCTCGCGCGCCCGCGCCCTGCTCCCCGCCACCCACCCCACCTCACCCGTCGCCATCCACGGCCCCCGCGGCGCCTTCGTCCTCGCCCCGCAGTCGGCCGACGGCGTCTCCGCCCTGCTCGCCGGCACGCAGGTCGCGAACTACCCGGAGCAGACGCGCGCGGGGTGGGAAGAGCTGGGGAAGGATGAGGAGAGGTTGGTGGGGATGTTGAGGGGGGAGGGGTGGGAGGGTGGTGTCGATGGGGATGGTGGTGGTGTGGGGGAGAAGGCGGATGCGTGGCCCCCGACCGTGAGGGCTGCGCTGCGGGATATCCCGCGCGACTCGCTGGCCATCTGGCCGTACTACAGCGTGCCGCGGCTGGAGAGCTGGGCGGACGAGCGGGCGCGCGTGGTGGTGGTGGGGGATGCGGCGCATGCGATTCCGCCGACGGCGGGGCAGGGGGCCAGTCAGGCGTTGGAGGACGCGGTGACGTTGGCGGAGGTGGTGGGGGAGTTTGAGGGGGGTGCTGGGGAGGGGGAGTGGGCGGCGGCGGTGGGGAGGTGGCATCGGTATAGGCAGGGGAGGGTGGATCGCGTGGTCGAGTTGACGAGGCGGTTGAATAATACGAGGTTGCCGGCGGAGGAGAGGGCGAAGCTGGGGGAGGGGGAGGTGTGGAAGAGTGGGGGCGAGGGGGAGTTGGCGTGGCTGTATAATGCGGATGTTGTGGAGGAGTTGAGGGCGTTTGAGGGGTAGAGTAAGGCGTGGTGGACGGCGCTGCGTGGGGCGTGTTTGGGTATTCATGGAACGTGGTGGTTCGCGGTTTGGTTGGTTGTAGAAAGAATGCATTGTTTTGTTTTTTTGCAGGCTATATTTGTGAAATAGGAGTGGGAGACAGAACCACCGCTGCTTTGTCCAGACAAGTGATGACGTTGAAAAACTCCCCTTCCGCGTTCCCTTGCTTGTAGACTGCAGGAGTGACGACGACTTCCACTGTCTCCAGTGTCTTTGATGCTTCACGATCCTCAACCTTCATGTAGGCGCTGTCAAAGAGAAGGAGGTCTGCCGTCCTTGCCTGCTGGATGCCAGGGAAGCCAAGAGTCCAGCATGCGCGCTGTCGTCGGAGTAAAGCAGAGATACTCAGTGCTTGTTGGAAAATGCAAAGAAGCTGATCCTCGACTTCAGGAAGCGCCTTGCCAGATTTGACCCATGGTGCAATGACTGAAAACACCCTTTTGCATTCCTCCTGCAACCATTGAGGAGCTGATCTTCCCGTCTCACTCCCACATTCTGGTTCGGGTAGCAGTTGGAAGCTGAGAGCTCTCCAGTCGTTGACCTTTCCTGGAGGCACATCTGTGATGACCATTCAGACAACTGGCTCGCAGCGCAAGATAGAACAAACTTACCCATCGAACGCATCATGCTCTCCAACGCAAACATTCTTTCGACAGCAGAGTCATCGTTCAGCCGGTCGTCGCGAGGTGTAGAGAAGACCGCATCACACATGGCGTACGCGGTCCACCCACGTACGAACAATCGTCGGCGCTTCTTGTCCTGGAACTGTTGCTGTAGTGCGTCAAGATTTCTCGCCCCAGGAAACACGGCACGATAGTGCTCGAGATCTGCCTCTTTCAACGCAGCTGGACCGACACTGCCGGCCCTCAGGAAATGAGTGGACCAACCCTTGATCTGGCCCAAGAGGCCGAACACTCTTCCCAGGATGTAGTCGTCGGGCGGTTGATCGGCAAAGATGACGTCCTTTTTGTTCATGGAGATTTGAAGCTTGTCGGCTGCGCGCTTGATCCTGTCGTTCTCATCGGCCAAGCGTCTCACCTCTTCTTTTTCCTCGTTGAACTGCTCCTGGAGACGGTGGAGATGTTGCTGCAGTACCATGCTGTGCTCCAGGGCTTCAATGGATTCGGTCCCATGTTTGTACCCGCTCATGGGCCAAAGCTTTCGCTGTTTCGGCGGCCAGTCTTTTGTGCTGATCGGCTTCCTCGGTAGTTTGGGTGGATGGTGACAGCGGTGCTTGTGTCTGTTGCCATCTGCAGCCGTGTAGTCGGGAAAACCATTTCCGCGGAGAAGCGTCTCGCGGTCAGTGTCCGCGGAAGAACTGCTGCGCCCCTCACTGTCCACTGGCGACTCTGATTAGTATTCAAAGAAGAGTGTGTGAACACATGGGGCTATTATACTTGCAATGAATCTCTCGTCTGGGCGACTCGGAGCAGACACTGATGGCGCGGGTTGTTGACAAGGAATGTCTGCAGCAAGTTTTGAGACCATGGCGAGACCAAACATTGTTTAGCAAATGCTCGAGGTGGGCATGGAGTAGTCTGTGCATCGATTGCTTCAAGCAATGTTAAATGACAAAGTGTGCCGCAAAATGTCTGCACGATCTTGGCGCTGACGTAGTGTTGTCAGCAAAGTCCACCATTCCGTCGAGGCCGATCGCGGCGGTCGATGCAAGGCTGAGTTTCAGTCATCATCCTTACTTTGTCGATCCATGGTTGAAGGCCACGGCTATGTAAATCCGTGGCTGACTTAGCGTCGCATGCTAGTTCAGACTTCAGGTATGGTTTTATTCTTGGAAAACCAAGCTACCGTGGGTCACATGTACTTGATCGAAGCCGTCGTAAAAATATGAGCAAGGAGTCAAGTCAATAATATCAAACATCCCCTCAGCGGATATCAAGCAGCCGTTCAAAGACGTTCGAGGACAGCCCGAGAAGTCCAAGAACAGTCGGAAGTAATCGAAAGCCCCAGTCCAGTAACCCACCACCTCCTCCAGACCTTGCTCTCTGGACTGATCTCTGGACGTGCGCACCAACCGGGGCCCGGAGGCTTGACTGCTGCTGTTCAGCGCTTCTCAGGCGCTGTTGTTCCCTGACAAAGTCTTTTTGAATCTTGCTCTTCAAAGCTCTATCGCTCTCGACCAAGTCTCGCTTCAACCGCTCCAGGTCGGCGAGCTCTTTCTCGTATTGAGCTTTGACAACCTCGAGACTGTCGTTCACGAGAGCACCCGCAGCCGTCTCATTCAGCGGCCTGCCGTGGTCGACGAGCTCTTCTTGAAGTCTCAAGACGACTCTGTCCTGCACCAGGATCTGGCTTGCAAGTGCGACGGCCGAGTGCGTATCGCCGTGAAAGCGACTAATGGTCGCGCCGTGGCCCAACATGTACGCCCAGAACTCGTCGCGCAGCTCGCGCTCCCGCTGGGCTCCCACAGCCTCGTCGACCTGATCCCACATGGAGGTGACGAGCAGAACGTTCTTCAGCGCAGCCTCGCCGCAGATTTCCTTGAAGATGTTGAGCGTGTTGATGGACGAGCCCGTCATCCGCATGTCGGTGATGCGCTGCATGTAGACGACGCCCTTCAGCTGCACGCCGACCTCGTACTGCGCGGCCAGGATGTGGGCGATCTCGCTGAGGATCTCCGAGTCCGGCCGGAACGTGTCGTCGAAGCCCGGCGTGTCTAGCAAGAGCACCTTGCTCCTGCCAACCTCGGCCCCGACCAGTTGACACGAATGCGTGCCTGCAACAACGAGTCTACCGTTAGTATTATTCCATGCGGCGCCATCTGCCTGGGGCGGCACGTACAAGACTTCATGCTCGACCCCTCCTGCACTACCTCCCGTCCCACAAGCCGATTGATGAAATAGCTCTTTCCGGAACCAGTCAGCCCGACGACCATGACCATGGGCGCGGCCTCGGTCCGATAGGAGGGTTCGGCGGACATCACGGTGTTGATGTTAGTTTGAAGTGGTTGAGTAGTGTCTGAATCGTAAGAACGGGATGTGGTAGAGAGCTGCACGAAGACCCCTAGGGTTATCTATCAGCGGCTGAGATGCGATTCCAAGATCTTGTTGAACGGAAATCAAGTAAAAGTTGCCGTCCTCGGGCTTCGGTGGGGCGTGTGGCAGTAGTGCGTAGCATCGTCGTCTGGTAGCGTGTGGGAGCGCGTCAGTGCACAGCAGGATAATGCAGTCGTGCTGGTGGCAGATCGTCACTCTGCCTCGCAACTAGATGCAGTAGTCGGACATGGTGTCGTCAACAAGACTTAGCTCATCGGTGTTCCCAGGGTTCGTCGGAGCGTCCGCCGACGTCCGAGGTGGTCCGGCTGCGGGGAAGAGTTAGCATTTGCACACGAAAACCGTCGCTAAAAGCCGCTAGGAATCATAGTCCGAAGTTGGTGATTAGTGGCCGCTGTCGATTTTGACAGCAAGCAAGGGGTTACTGAGTCTTGGCAGCTAGAACCAAGACAACAACGAAGCTAGACCTGAATTTGTCAAGTTCTTGCTGCAAGTCATAGTAATTCGTGCTACTCGTGCTAGACGATCCAAAAATCCTTTTGTGAGATTCCACCAATGCCAAGCCAAGTGCCCGCCATCTGGGATGCCCGAACACCGAAATGCATTCCATTCACGCATATAATCATGTAGGTTGCATGTGCAGATGGTAAAGTGTCAGAACTTCTTGCTCAACGTATCTTCACTCTACGCGGTTCCAAAATGCTGTCACAGATCGTGGTGGGCGTGGACTTCGGAACGACGTGAGTTGTCGATTGAAAAGCCATCGATAGTTGGACGATACTAAAACCCTCCTTAGCTACTCCGGGGTCTCATGGGCGGTCAGGACCAAGGCCGCAGGCCAGAAAGTCCGCGTCATCAACGATTGGCCTGATCCACATGCTCTGAACTCGACGTCAGAGAAGGTGCCAACCACTACAAGCTACACCAACGACGGCAAACTAGCCCGGTGGGGCTATGCCAACTCTCCCGGTGAATTCACCCTCAAGTGGTTCAAGATCCTGCTGGAGCCCGACAACAAGTACAAGAACGCGGTAGAGGAGGTCTACACCTCCAAGAAGCTTCTGAAGGCCATCAAACGATCTCCCGAAGACTTGGTTGCGGACTACCTGAGGCTGATCTGGAAATACACCAAGGACGACATCTGTCGACACCAAGGGCACGACTGGAAAGAAATCTACGGACTAAAAGTCGTCTTGACCGTCCCGGCCATCTGGTCTGCGGTGGCCAAGGAGAGGACCCTTCGAGCAGCGAGAGCCGCCGGGTTACCCAACGACATCACCTTGGTCACAGAACCTGAAGCTGCTGCTCTCGCCGTCCTGAAGGACAAGGCAGCTGAAGAAGGTCTCCATGTAAGCAACAACAGATGTTTCTCATGCTTTAAGTCACTAACATCCCTCCAGGTTGGCGATTCTTTCGTTGTCTGCGATGCTGGTGGTGGCACAGTGGTAGGTTGTCATACAAAGAAAGACCCTGGTAGAGCGTTGATTGATAGGTTCCAAGGACCTCATAAGCTACAGGATCAAGACCCTTTGCCCGCTGCAGATTGAGGAGAGTGCTATAGGCAATGGTATTCTCGTCTCTTTCCGCCTTCCCTAACGAATGCTGATCTGCTGCAGGTGATCTTTGCGGATCCGTCTTCGTAGATAGAGCTTTCGAACGGTACATCGCCACCATCGTTGGGCCCGAAGTGTACAGAACAAGATTCAGTGAAAAGGCCAAAGCGAACATGATGAGGGAATTCGAATACGGCGTGAAGAGAGTGTTTACGGGTGACGGTGGACTGTACACTGTTGATCTCAAGGGAGCAGGTGACGATCCCAAGAACGGAATTGATGACGACACCATAACATTGAAGGTGTAAGTTGCCCTACTCGCTTCAGTATGGCGAAGCTAATGAATGGCCTAGGTCAATGCTCAGGACAATCTTCGACCACATCTGCAACCAGGTCGAGACACTGGTCGAAAGGCAGATCGACTCAGTCCACGAGTACGGCTCAGAGGTCAAGGTAATGCTTGTCAGGTTGTGTCACTCCATTGGCACTGCTAAAGTATACCGCTAGGCTGTGCTCCTCGTCGGAGGATTCGGCAGCAGCAAATATCTCTACAACCACATCTCCGCCGCTCAGAGGGCTTCCGGGATACGTGTGCTGCAGAGTACGAACGCGTAAGTGCCGGTTCATGGGTTAAGCAGGTTGTCGGTCACTGATTCTTGAAGATGGTCGGCAATATGCCGTGGCGCAACCGAATGGGGCTTGGAGAATGTCGGCTCCGTCGTAGTCCATCCTGGCCGCACTAACAAGACGATCGTGTCGCGCTTGTCGCGCTATAGCTATGGAGTAGCCCTGTCTTGCCTTTGGGACTCGTCCATACATGATGAGCGTGATCGATACTTCGACGAGGCAGAGGGCGTACACCGGGCAAGGAACCAAATGCGGTGGCTCCTGAGACGTGTAAGCGCTGTACCGATTATGCCTTGGTGGCTTGCCGCTTACTTGGTTCGCAGGGCCAACAGATTACCGATGGAGAGGAGCTGACATTGTCTCTGTATGAGACAGTTCAGGTGGGGTTCTGGAGCTCGGGGCAGCTGAACTTCACGAGGTGTCTGTACATCTGTGGAGAAGATGTTCCCCCTAGGAGGCGAGACAGCAGTGAGTATCAACCCATCTCCTACATGCCGGCATTGCTGATTTGGCGCAGCCGTCTCCAAATTCTGCTCCGTTGCATATTCCATCCCTTGCCCCGAGCTATACATGGAGAAAAGCTACAGGAGCAAGGTCAATCGGAAGCGATATAGAGATGTTACCTTTAAGTTGGTGATGAAGCTGGGAGGAGCGAAGGTGGACTTCAAGGTCTATTACAACGACAGGCTCGCCGCATACTGTGAAGCAACGTACTTGGAAGATGCGTAGTTTTACTTGGATCTTAACTTTGATTTGTGAGAAACTTCGTAGGATCCTGCAAAATGCAAAGTTCCGCCTTCTTCCCGATTTTCTATGTTGTGATCCCTCCATATGATACGAACCATTAAAAATGACTTGCTTCTCTAGATCCATGCGGCTTATAAACTATGAATATCTGCATATGATAGCTTTGCTCAGTATCTCAGCGCTTGTCATTACACTGGCCGTGGCAGCGAGGCTACATGAGTATGGTGGACAAAGTACAGAGGGATGGCACGTCTGACCGTACAAACGGGTGTCTCAGACAACTTGTTGTAACAGGTCAACCGCGGAAACGATAGCTTCATACCTATTGTTGGATGCCCCACTGCACAGTACGGTGATGCTTCGCTTTGTCCGATGAAAGTTGGGGGCCAAATGCAAGCGAACAGGATGACTAGGATCTTCGTGCGGAATACCCATGCTAGGTAAACCGGGGCTCGTTTCCTTGCCGATTTGCAGCTTATCAGCTGGCGTTACATCGGCTCGCACAGATTTTCAGGCGCAAAACCCCGCTTCCTCTCTACCTGGCTCATCCTTGACCCAAAGACTGCCGTCCCGTCCACGCATCAACGTCTACATACGCCTCCCTTGCAGTTGCAGCCTCCAATAATCATGAATTGGACTGCTCAATCTTTAGTCTACGCCTTCCTGATTGGTGTAGTCACTCTTCTTATCAGCTGGAAGATCATACAATTAAATCCGCCCAAGCCTGAAACACCTCCGACAGGTGAACGGAGCAAGAGTTCAGACTCCAAGACCTTTCGAGTGCAGGGACTACCAGCGAAACATGGCAATGATGGCATATCTCCCAGGCACGTCGAAGAGCTAGTGAGAAAGACTTACAGGGTCGGAGAAGATATCCGAATCTCGATCGGGTCTCTCGCCCCGCATCCGACAAGGACGGGGGAAAGCGTTGCGACACTAAGCTTTGCGGGGACCCCGGAGTCTTTAAGGAAATCCCATGCGCTTGATCCAGCTTCAACACTCCAGGTGCGCTTGGACGACCATTTTCATGGCCTTACGCCGCTACACTCCGTTGAGGATTCCCACGCGGACCTTGTGTGAGTAGGCGACGAGTTTCCCTCACCACTTTTGGTGCTTACGTAACCGCTTCAGAATAGTTGCACTCTCAGGGCTGAACGGGCATGCTTACGGGTCCTTTAAAAGGAAAGGCGGAGAGTACATGTGGCTACGAGATGACCTCTGCCGCTGGCTTCCCAAAGCGCATGTGTATATCTACGGATACGATACGGCAATGGAGCATAGCGACTCGTTTCAGACCCTCTACGATCTCGGTGCCTCGCTGAAATCGACTTTGACAGCGCTACTTAGGCCAGAAGACACTGTGAGCCTATTTGATTTCAGGAGAGAGTCGGTGGCTGAATTCACACACAGAATTACTCCCCCACCCCGCTGGTGTTGATAGGTCATAGCCTGGGCGGATTGATAGTCAAAGAGGTATGGATTGCACCTAGACTTGTGACCAGAGCTGCTTATCAATGCCCGATAGGCTTTGTGTCAAATGTCAGAGGGCAAGAATGTCGAGGAGAAGGGAATTCTCAAAAGCTTACAAGCCGTGCTGCTTTTCGGAACGCCTAACCAGGGCATGAACATCGAGTCCCTTATTCCCATGGTGGACGGTCAGGCCAATGAACTGTTTGTCCGTTCTTTAGGGTGTGATTCTGCCGAGCTCCGTCGACAAGGAATAGTCTGGCATCGCGTATTCGTAGAACGGCGTGATGACAAGATTACCCCACTGCTTGAAGTCTTCTCATTCTACGAGACTATGAACTCACCTACTGCAATCAAGGTACTGAATCCAACTGACCCCAATGAAACACCACTAACTGTTGCTAGGCCGATGGAAAGTGGAAGATGGCTGGAGCTCCAGCCAAGCTGGTTGACCGGAACTCGGCAACTCATGGACAATCCTTTGATGGCAACAATCATTACGTACACCCGATCAATCGCAACCACTCGGAGCTCGTGAAGTTCACCTCACCAACGGATGAAGTCTATAGCGAGACGGTGCTTCCGTTGCTACAAAAACACTATAAAATTGCTCAGAGTCGTTCGTAGGCCTTTTTACCAGCCTATTGATTCCTCGCAACTGATTGTATCTACTAGGAGATCCTGTGCTCCTGTTGTCACAGAATCAGCAAAAAGCATTAGACCATTGTCGATCTTCACTCTCATTTCCAGAGGAGCATACACGTGTTGAACAGGTTTTAGTGGCCGAGAACCACACATGCACTTGGTTTACCAAACATCCTGACTTCACCGACTGGCTCCGCAACGACAGAGGTCTTCTTTGGCTCCATGGGCTCCCCGGAGCCGGCAAGTCCACTGCTTTGAAGCACGCCGTCAGATCTATGGAAGATCACCCCCACAATGCTGTAGTGATTTCTTTCTTTATCTACGGACTGGGGATTGACTTGCAAAAGACCTTACGGGGCATCTGCTGCAGCCTCCTTCGCCAGCTGCTCCTTCACGTTCCGGAAGCCTTTCTCACCATGTTGTCAGAGGCACGAGACAAACATGAGCCACAGAACTGGGGTGCATTTGAATTGCAAGAACATCTCAAGCAGGGGCTGATGAAGGCGGCAAGGACACGTCCAATCATCATTTTCATAGACGCCTTGGATGAGTTCTCGGCTGCGGAGAACGAGCGTGGTGTCTTGGTTCAATTTCTCCGGGACCTGTGTTATGGCAATCAATACGCCGGTTTGAGAGTGAAAGTCTGCGTATCATGCCGATACTACCCAAACCTGTTCACAAAGGGCATTGAAATTCCGGCCGAGAAGCACAACCGCAACGACATCGCCACTTTCGTCCGCTCCAGTTTGGAAGATCTACCTGAGAAGAAAAGAGTGCCCCTGGAAGAACACATCATCAGTAGCTCAGACGGTGTTTTCCAATGGACTCATCTCGTCTGTCTGCGTGTGCACGATCTCCACCGAGCAGGAAAGCCCCTCAAGGCGATCTTGGCTGACGTGGACAGTATTCCCAAGGAGCTGCATTCGCTTTATAAGCGGTTGCTGGAAGAGATCGCCGAAGAAGACAAGATGCAATCTCTCAAGCTGTTTCGTTACGTGTGCTTCGGCAAACGCAGGATTTGCCTCAGAGAACTGCAGCATGCGTTGGTCATGACTCCGGACACACGTGAGGTGGCAACGGCCAAGCTCGCCGAAGAGGACACCTTCATCGAAGATCTCGAAGATATCAAGAATTCGGCAAAGTATTTATCAAAAGGCCTGATTGTCTCTGAAGACCTCTCGGAGATCTACAGATTTCAAGGGAAAGGGTGGGGAGAGCGGCTCCGGTTGATCCATGTCTCTGTTATGGATTTCATGCGCGATGGAGGATTGAGGACGCTCCAGGAGGCCGAGCCGCATCCCAGTAGCGATACGCCTGAAGGGGCCGCCCACTACTACATCTCGCGCGTGCTGCTCAACTACGTGTTCCGCAGAGGAATTAGGAATTTCTACAAAGGCATTATCCCAGGGACGTCCAGGGACTTTCCTCTGGATGCCTACACGCGGACTTCGGTCATATCTCACATCGAAGCCGCGGAAAGTCAAGGAGTGGATCAATTCGACCTGCTTCATCTGTTCGACTGGCCCCACAGAACGAGAGCGATCGAGAATTTCTGTCATCTCAGGAATGCATACACTGGGGCTTCGCTGATCCACTTGCTTGCTGCATGGGGCATCATGAGCGCGCTCAAGCCTTTGATACAATACAACCCCAGCGATGGATCCAAGACAAGATACGACTCGGAGATATCCGCTCTGCTATCCCGAGGCACTCCTCCAGCCGGTGTCCTTCTCGCTTCAGGACGCATCAACCTCGACCTCCCGGACATCAAACACGCCAAGACGCCCCTGCACTACGCAATCGAGTACGATAAAGCCGACGTCGCTCACGAGCTGCTCACCTCAAGCCGAGTCGACCGCAATGCCCGAGCAAACCTCCAAATAACCCCTCTCATGTCTGCCATCTACCGCGGTCAAACATCGATAGTCGAGGAACTGTTGAGCAGCATCGCCGTCGACCCAGCTGCCCGGGACTACAGAGGCTCCACCGCCATGCACTATTGCGCGCAAGCCTTCCGCAGCGAAGGCGCCATCGTGAAGCTCCTGCTCGACGACCCCCGCTTCGACCCCGACGCCCGCGACAAGGCGGGCGAGACACCACTCCACGTGGCCGTAACCATGATTTCCGACCCGCGCAGCGTGCCGCTACTACTCGCGTCTACCCGCGACATCAACGCACGAAACAGGCGGGGGGAGACGCCGCTGATCGCGTTTGTGCGGTATGCCGCTGGCTTGGACGCATCGGAGCATGCGGAGCTCGCGGACGTGCTGGTGTGCTTGTTGGGACATCCGGGGATCGAGTGTCGGGCGAGGGATAGGTTGCGGCACACGGCGCTGTTTTATGCTGCTACTAGGGGGATGGAGATGTATGTGGGGATGCTGCTTGAGCGGTGTGGTGGCGGCGGCGGCGCCGCTGCTGCTGATGGGGATAGCTTGGGACGGACGCCGTTGTCGCAGGCTGCTGGGAGGGGGTACTTGGGGATTGTGGAGATGATGCTTGGTGCGGAGGTGCTGGATGCGGGGACTGTGCGGTTTGCGTATCAGGAAGCGAAGAGGGAAGGTAGGGAGGAGGTCATGAGGAGGTTGCTGGAGACGGGAAAAGTGGAGGAGAATTAGCTTCATAAGAAAGCAGCAGTAGGGTTGAAGATTTTTGAAAAATAAAGGTGGACGAAAGCAAAGGTTTGAACACGAGCATACAGTGCGAGCCGCGGCGGCATCGCCGTCCAACAAGACCCTAATGCGCTGGTCCATACAGTCCAAATTCCGCAGGGCCTTCCAACATCCGCCTGTAGCTGGCCTTCATCGCCCTAATCTTCTCTTTCGTTCCTGCATCAGCATCCCCGATATCCGGAAGCTCGACAACAATGGAAGCACATGGCCAGTGGAAGCTTTATCTCGTTCGCTGCAGGATCGCCACATGCAGAAGATGGCGATAGGTGTGAGAGGCCAAGCCTGTGCGGAAGGGAATTTCTCTGTTAGTGCATTTTGCTTCCTACTGCGATCGAGGCGATGAGGCTGACTGATGTTTCAGCCTATCGCATCTCCACCCAATGCTGAGTCGTTCTTCAAAAGCTACCTTGCCGCGCCGATAACGCTCTCGCTGTTCGTTTTTTGGAAGGTGCATACCCGGCCGGGATTGGGGGTTCAGTGTATACCTACATGACGTGAATTTGGACCTGGGTCGGAAGATGGACGAGAACTTGGATTCCGAGCCCGCTGAAGGCGAGAAGCGGACCGGCTGGCGGCGTGCGGTGGACTTTGTTCTCTAAACATGGCTCGTATCTGAAAGTGGGGTACATACATGAAACGAGGCCGGAGCTAGAGAAAGTCCACCACTGGCGTTCAGAGAAGCACGGCGTGCATCTTGCAAGTCGCAGATCTTTGGTCGGAAACATCGATAGGGTGGTAGTCGGGTAGTATTGCCGTACTGGGAGCGGGAGGGCTTCGCTAAGGGGTACCTCTGTATACTGCTGGGTAACCGGGATGTGTAGGCGCCGTTCGATAAGCACCAACCGACCCCACTCCCCCACCGCCGCTTCTCGTAAATCCGGATCATCGTCGCCCTGGAAGCCTTGGAAAGGCTTTTAAGCTTTTCGTTCAACAAGCCTTCTCTCCAACCTCCGCAATGAGTTCCGCAACCCTTGTGCCGATGAAGTATGAGTTATTCCCTCTCGGATCCATCAAACCAGAGGGATGGTTTCGCGACCAGCTGCGTCTCTGTGGCCAAGGGCTCGGTGGCAAGCTCTTCCACTTCTACCGGTTCGTCAAGAACAGCACCTGGCTGGGCGGGACATGGGAGTACACGCCGTTGAATGAAGCCGCGCCGTACTGGTACAACTACATGGTGCCTCTTGCATTCAGCTTCGATGAATCCATCGACGCCCCTCTCGCCCGAGAGCTGAGAGCCCAAGCCGAACAGTTCTTGCACTACACTCTGGATCACCAGAGCCCGGAGGGCTGGCTGGGCCCGGAGACGACGCGGGAGACGCGAGGAATCTGGGCGCGCTGCCTGCTGCTCCAAGGGCTGATGAACCACGCTCTTGCTGACACCACAAAGCGAGAAGTGATAATCAATGGAATTCTCAAGTTCGTCGCGCTCGTGGAAAGCATGCTGCAAAGAGACTACGAGGGCTACCTACCCAAAGATGGTGACGAGTTCGACAAACAATGGTTCGGAGTAGCACGCGCACATGAGCTGTCGACAACGTTGCAATGGCTCTATGACGAGCCCGAGGCGGCTGAACAACGAGCATCCATCTGGCATGTCATGGAAATGCTGTGGGACGGATCCCGTCTCGCGAAAAGAGACTGGACTGTCTTCTTCACCAAAGAAAACTTCCCACAAATGCCGTCGGTGAAGCATCAATCACCAAACTTCCAGCACGGCGTCAACGTTGCACAAGGTACTCGACCCGATCCGCTGTAACTCATCTCCCCTTCCTAACTCACTCAGGTCTCCGATACCCCGCGCAGCTGTACCGCATGCACCCTTCGTCTCGGCTGTTCAGACTCTCCAAGCAGGCAGTGGCGCGAGCCTTTCAGTTCCACGGAACACCGGCGGGGTCTCTCAGCAGCGATGAGTACGTGGGCGGGCTGTCACCCCAGCGCGGGGCGGAGCTTTGCTGCTCGGTAGAGCTGATCTTCTCGCTATCTTACCTGCATCGTCTTTTTGGTGACAACGACTTTGCTGACCGCGCCGAGCTCGCTGCGTACAACTCCCTTCCCGCCGCAATACAGTCGGACTGGTGGAGCCACCAATACGTCACGCAAACGAACCAGCCTTGGGCTCAGGAACTGCGTCTTGAAGAGAACGAGAGGACGCCTTTCTACGACGTGTGCCGGTACGCAAATGTCTTTGGACTCGAACCTGAATTCGTGAGTGTCCCACACAGAACAGTCGGGTTACCGCGAGACTGATCCATCCCTTCTGAAGCCATGCTGCACCGTCAATCATCCGACCGCCTATCCAAAGATGTTGATGAACTCGTTCCTCCGGCTCACTCCCGAGCCGCGAGGGAGGGCGCTCGTGGCAGTGCTGCACGCGTACCTGATCCCCTCCAAGCTCAGCATCGACGGCATCACCATCTCCTGCGAAAGCAACTACCCCTTCGCCCCTTGCGCCATGTTGTATTCCATCTCCACTGACCAGCCATTCGACTTTTTCATCAGAGTGCCGCGGTGGGCCACGGCCTTGTCTTCCATCGAGATCAGAGACGCCCAGGCAGGGTCGTCTCGGCTCTACAAGACGTTCGCATCCAACGTAGAAGACGCGGCACTGGCAGGCCTCCACAGAGTCCAGATCCCCGCCGGTGGCGAATACAAAGTAGCTGTGACGCTGCACGCCGACATCCGCGTCGAGTACCACGCGGACAAGTCGGTCAGCATCTCCTACGGCCCGTTGCTGTACGCCTACCCGATCGAGTACTCGGTCACCACCAGACCGCCGCGCAACTACAAAGACCAAGTCTCCGACTGTCCCGAACTCGACGCCACCGCCGCCGGAGAAGCTGATCAGGGCTGGCAATCCAAGGTGTGGGACCACGACCTGCTCCCCACGTCAGCATGGGGCATCGCCATCGACCCGGGCCAGAAGATGAAGCTCGTCTTCTCAGACCCCTGGCTGGACGGGAAGAGAGAGAGGATCCGCGAGCTGCCGAACCCCATCTGGGACGCAGGCGCGTCGCCCGTGTACATCGAAGTCACGGCGGTGGCGGTGGACTGGCCGGTGCGGAACGGGACGGCGGCGGAGCCAAGTGCCGTGGATGCGAGCAGTACAAGGGGCAAGCCCTTCCGAGCGAAGCTGGCCCCGTTCGGAACGGCGAAGCTGCATATGGCGCAGTTCCCGGTTGTTGATCTTTAGAGTGTCGTCACGCCAGTGTTTCCCTTGGCAGGCAGATGTGACGCCATGGCAGATAAGCTCAATACCACCTTCCCGCTTCCATCACCCCGGAGCACGGCTAGCCGAAGCGATGCCTGCCCCGCGCCGATCCTTGAAAGTGTCGAGATCTGCAATTAAGGGCTCCTGCAGCATGCGTGAAATTTGCTGTGGACAGCATTATCTATAAAACAATGCAAGCAGCAAGCTCTAACCCACTGGTCCAATGGTCAAGAAAGCACTGCCTACGATGAGGACCATACCAGCTCTATCGGCTTTGGCGTACACCTTCTCCGCCGTCGCTGCAGCGCACAGCTCCTTCTCCCCCCGGCAGGCTCCAAGCGCGGCTCAGAATGTCACCACCATCAACAGCCCGTCCGGCGTCACGATCCGATACAAGGAGCCGGGGAAACAGGGCATCTGCGAGACCACACCGGGCGTGAACTCGTACAGCGGCTACATTGACATTTCGCCCGACTTCCATGTGTTTTTCTTCTTCTTCGAGTCAAAGCGGGATCCGGCCACAGACCCGGTGAGTGCACCACAACCACACCACGGCCGAGAAGTCATCTGAGAGACGGTGCCAAGGTAACGCTGTGGCTGAACGGCGGTCCGGGGTCCGACTCGTTGATCGGCGCTTTCGAGGAGATTGGGCCCTGCGAAGTGCTCGAGAACATGACCACCGTCCTGCGCCAACACTCGTGGTCCGACATCACGAACCTGCTTTTCTTGTCGCAACCTGTGGGCACCGGTCGGTTCTTCCTCTGTCTGTATCTGCGTGTTCGAATCGCTGATGGAGACGCAGGCTTCTCGTACAGCGACGAAGAAGTAGGCTACTTGGACCCAACCTACTTGATTGTCGACGCCACGGCAGGCGGCCCAGGAGAGAAAGAAGGCCGCTGGGCCGTCATCGATCCGACCAAGGAAGACAACAGCAGACTCGCCGCCGTCACCGCATGGGAGCTCGTCCAGGGCTTCTACAGCGCCCTGCCTCAGCTCAACTCCGAGATCGCGTCCACCGACTTCCACCTCTGGTGCGTGTCCACAAATTACCTTTTACACAAACGCTCACGCACCACAGGACCGAGTCGTTCGGCGGGCACTGGGGCCCCGCCTTCTTCACGCATTTCCACGAGCAAAACGAGGCACTCGATAAAAACACGACATCAGGGAGAAAGCTCAACATGAAGTCCCTCGGCATCGTGAACGGCATCGTCGACGAGCCGACGCAGACAGAGTACCTCCTCCGCTTCACCCGCGAGAACACGTACGGCCTGCAGCTCATCAACGACACCGTCTACGCCCACGGCGACTTCGCCCTCAGGCGCCCCGGCGGCTGTCAGGAGAAGCTGAACGACTGCGCCTCCCTGGATCGCGAGTCGTTGACCCGCCGCGTGAGCTGCTCGGCCGCGCAGTTCATATGCCAGGCGGATGTCGAGGGGCTTTACTACACTTTCGGCCTCGAGGGCCGGGGGACGTATGACATTGTGAGCCCGACTGGCGCGTGCCCTGTTGGAATTAAAGAATGCGGTCGTGCTGATAACAGACGTGTGCCCCCCAGCGCGCTCGCTCCGGCGACGACGTGCCTCCGGACTTCTGGCGAGTACGCGCCCACGCTCCTCCCGTGCTTGCTGGCTGAATGATCAATCAACCGTGCTGATTCCGTCCATCCCAGGCCTGGCTGAACACGGCGCCCGTCCAAGCCGCCCTCGGCGTCGACCTGAACTACACTTCGAGCAACCTGATCTACAACGCCTTCAGCCTCTCCGGAGACTTCGCCGCCCCTTACCTGCCCGACTTGGAGAAGCTTCTGCAGTGGGACGTCCAAGTGTCTCTCGTCTACGGCGACGCCGACTACATTTGCAACTGGCTGGGCGGCGAGGCGCTCTCGCTCGCCGCGAACTGGACCGGGCGCGACGGCTTCCACGCCGCGGGCTACACGAACCTGATGGTCGACGGGAAGGCGTACGGCGAGACGAGGCAGTACGGGAAGCTTAGCTTCACTCGCGTGTGGGATGCAGGCCACGAAGTCCCATGTGAGTTTCTCTCTCTCTCTCTCTGTTCCTTCTTTTCCCCCTTCGATGATGATGGTTTTTAACACGGTTTTGCATTGCCATCCAGACTTCCAGCCGGCGGCTGCGTTCCAGATGTTCAACCGCACTTCGCTCGGTTTCGACATCGCCACGGGGGAGCTGCAGGTCGCGCCGAATGGCTCGTACGCCACTAATGGCACCGGCAAGACCACCCACACGACGTCGTTGCCTCCGCTGCCTGCGCAGACCTGAGGCGATTGGCTGCGGTGCTCGGTCATACATGTAGAATATACTTGGCCCGCTGTAGATAATGCAACCCGCTATCGTGGAACAGTGATCCGAAATTCAGGGCTCTCAACAAGCGCGCCAAGACCGTGCTTGCTATACGTTTTGTTGCCCTTCTTGAAGGCTTATTAATGCCTTGTCGTACCGAAAAGGCGCTTGGAAAAACCATTGGCTTCATGTATAGACTAGGATCTTGATGCAGATGGAGATGGGCGGGAAAGTAAAATCAAGCACAGCGCCAGCATGCTTGTTGAGAGCCCTGGATCCGATGCATTAATTCAACGCACGAGTCTATTTTGCTATCTGCGTCCTCTCCCTCACTCCGACCAGAGGCAATACTCGATCCGGCTGGCCCCTGTTGCGAGCGGTGCGGCACGGCACGGCACGGCCCCATGTTCCCATAAAAAAAATGTGAGACATCGCAGCCCATTTTCCCCGTGCAGATTGTTTCAGCCTCGTGCAAGCCACCGCGACACGGGTACTCTCTCCGACGTGTTGAGCCACGACGGATCCGTTGCGCTCTCCAACTACGTGTGTTCGAGAACGGGAGACGGTATCACCAGTATCAAGAGGGGAAGCACATATGATTACCCCAACAACGAAAAGGCGCGGGAGAGGTAGATCGACCAACCAACTCTTAGCCATCCAGCTCTCTTTGCCTCTCCTCCGCGTGATAATGCAGTGGCAGCTAGCTGGTACGAAAAAAAAAAAGAAAGAGAGATAAGCATAGAAAGGGTCCGGCAAACAAGCTGTAAAACACGAAACAGCGGTGAAGATTTGACTCAAGGTGGGATTTTGCGCAATCAGGCAGCAGCCGCAACAGCAGCAAGGGCACCCGCAGAGCATGCTGCATCTGGGGACCGGCACCGGCGCATAGGCCATCGAGTTTTACAGGGGCTGACCCTCCCACCCATTTCTTCTTCCAAAGAAAAACCGGAGGTTGTAACCAACGTCGTCTTAAATGACCATCTTACTTTTTCTCTACTTATTTACCGTTAACGATATTGAAGCGCTATAGCTATACTCATTCGCTTAGTCACTTAACTCTGTGCACATACACGGCACAGCGTTAAGGCCTCTAAGAACTTTTCTTGGCCTCGCGGAGTAGGCGTGCACCTACGTAAGAAGAAGAATGAGGACTCAAGTAGCTGGCCAGTTGCCATTCTGCCTTGGTCTTTCAAAGAGGCGAGTTAGTACGACGCGCGGGCAAATCAGCCAGCCAGCTGAGTCAAGACATGTGTCCAACTGTGAATGTCATTTGTTCAGCCGCCCCACAGTCCCCCACAGCCCCAAGCAAATTTTTCTCCGCCGACTCGACTTGGTCGGGCTGCTATCAAGCACAAGGTTTGGTGATGCCTACCCCAAGTTGACCTGCTATCGACGTTTGGCTCTTGTCTACCGTGTTGACAAAAAAACTTATTATTTATGTATGCATGTACATGCTCACGATCTCTCTTACCACGGCCCCTACCGTGTGTTTGCTTTTTTGTGAAATAGGCAGCCATCGGCTGCTGAAAAGAGCACCCCACCCATACGAGCTATGATCTGCGCAAGCCATCCGCTACAAGAAAGGAGCGCATCGTGTGTTTGGGGGCCAAGTTTCCCGAAAAAGGTAGTATTGGGCGAGGATGCACTCTCTTTGGATGCGTGCATGGGTTTGATATCGTTGTGCTGATCATTCGCATCAGCTTGTTTACGCGAAGGCTACGAACGGAACTTTCAACAGCTGGGCCAGCCGCAGTTTTAATTCAAATCCCATCCAAAGTATTTCTACGAAGCTGTGCACTTGCGTGCTTCCCTGAGGGGACGTTCATCAAAAACCACTCTACAGCCCAAATCCCACTACGTTTCAGAGTGTGAGGCGACCATGACATCCGAGGATCCGGGCGACAAACCACCCCCTATCGAGTGGCAAGATGCACCTGGCGAGTCCGACCATTACTTTCGAAAATTCATGACTTGTAAGTAAGTTCAATACGCTGGCATGTGTAGTATACTCATAGGCTTAATAGATGACCGACTGGAATGCAAGCCCACAGCTGAAGAGCTCGACACCGAAATCCCTGAGAACGATGACCAATCAGAACACAACTCAGCATCAGAAAATCCTGTTCCCAAGATCCCTGTCAGCGATGATCGATTGCGCTACAAAAGCATACCTGAAAGTCTTGTCACCAGCATTCCCGAGAGCTTCCCCGAGAAGGCGAGGAACAGACGGAGCTATGTTTCGTTTGGCTCTGAAGGCACGACGGCGAGCGTCAATGCCTCCGGCCATATCATGCAAATCTCCCGCTATCTCGGGTACGGTCGATCCGGTTTCTTCTCCGCTGATCAAAAAGGGACTCGGAAGCCCTTCTACGTCGATACCCGGAAACAACACCTTATGGAACTTGCAAAAGACCCCTTCGCGGGATTCAGATTGGATCTGCTGCAAGCGTTTGAAGGCTTAGTGGATTACAAACAGTGCAAGCCATCCGTCAAATTCATCCATGATCGTTGGCCTTGGTTCAACATCCGGGATTCACGTGGACGTAAGGACAACCCGCATCCCGAAGAACAAGGCCACAGATCAGAGAAGCAAAGGGAGGAGAAGGACAACCCGTATCCTGAAGAACAAGGAGTCCAAGAATCAAACAAACAAAGGAAGGAGAAGAACATCGCCTATGCTACCACTTTTTCCGTCCAATACTTTTGCCACAACGGCACTATCTTCCAAAGGCACCTTGTGGAGTTTGACAAGACGGAATTTCCCAGTCCAGATTTGAGCAGATTGAGGTTGGATGCGGCTGCTTGTATAAGAAACCTCGATTTCGTCCATGACACAGACTTCAACGACGACGACGAGTCTCCGTATAGGTCCGGTCCGAATCATCGAAGCCTGATTGTTGTTCACAAGATGAACAGAAACATGGCTAATGATATGGGAATCGACAATGATGTCTATTCTAAAGGGTCAGGCCCCAAGGCAGCTGCGCTGATAATCACCCCTTTCACCGAAGGCAGAGCGCAGAAGGTCACGCAATTGGGGGAAGCTGATTCCTCTTGGTACATCGAACTGGACAAGAAGGCCGAAGATGCAATCAAGGAATCCGGAAAGCTCGACATCACTCTAGCATACAGGCTACAGCTGATTGAGGAGGATCAGAAGTGGGAGAATTCGACTGTTCCCGGACATCGTATGACGTCTATGGGAGAAGCGATATTATCGGAATCGTCGCTATTTCGGAAGATCATCTTTTCGCGGAACGAACACCTGGATTTTGTGATTCGGCGAAACCTAGAACACACCCTCTCAGTTTGCAGTGTTCCAATACTCCAGTCACCCGTCCTTGGCCACACTGACGAAGACCTCGACAACCTGGCGGTCGCTTTGACATGTGGAGACATATCGGGCCATCGGGTTTCGACAAGGGCCAGTGTGTAAGTCCGATATGCATTCTTGTATCACTCCAAGAGATATGACTGACGAGACATAGATCTGCCTTCATGTTCCTGCATTCTATGCTCAAGTACCTGGCTCCCGATACGCATTCCTTACGGCCGTATTTGGCAAACCCAACCAGATGTTCCTGCGGAGACCAACAGAGTCCATGTGATGAATGCAGCTGCGTCAAACCATACCTGGATCACGTTTATGGCCGTATCCAAACTACGCTCAGAGGCCATCTTGTGTGGGTATGCACCACATCGAAAGGCGAGGAGGGGAGCTTTGCGCCTCACTACTGGCCAACAGGGAAGCACATCACGAACCTCAGTTGGTTGCCTTCTGCAACACTTCTCGATACACCGCTGCAGCTTCTGAAGGTTCTCTGGTTTAAAGAAAGATCGTTGCCTTCAGATCAACAGACAGAACTTGCCGCCAAGGTTCGCCCTTGGCTTTCACATTTGGACAAAACGAACAATCGAGGAAGCTATGCTTTCTCCGTTGATCCTGGTAATTTGAGTGAAAAGTTCAAGTTTGCAGACCATGTCCTGATTTGCTTGGCCATTAGGTGCGTGCAGCATCTTGAAGAACGATCAGCCATCTTTGCGACGCGAGAAGAAGAGTTGGGCGATGCAGAAGATCCTGGAGCCCTTCATATCTTCAATACATACTCATTCCAAGAGGTCAGACGGAATGTTCTGAAGAGATTCACAGTGCAAGGGCCTATCACAAAACAACGAATGCTTGCGACACGTCGAACGCCGAGCGAAAGCAGATTCCTATTGCATTCCAAAGACACGATTTTGTTCCATATCATGGATCTCAAACTTGACAAAGAGTGGTTTGAGGCCGAGGAGTCCCTCGAGCCAATCCAGTTTTTCCAAAGGGAAGAGAAGCTTCCACGGCAACGGAAAAAGGGTAAAGGGTCAAGCGAAGCCGATGGATCCTGGAAATACATCGATGATAGATGGAAAGCCACTGTGGACGCACAAGCATACCACGATGAGTATCAAAATCTGGAATGGGGGAAGCCGCTTTGGTATGCCTTGACGTTTATCCTTGGCTGCAAGAGAAGACGAATAAACAAGTCGTCCATAGACGAGACTTTGAGAGTTACCTCAAGCGTCTTGCTTGGCGCAAGCTCAATGAGTGGTCTTTTCGCCGGTCTGTTGGATGAGGATCAAGAGCCGATACCGTTTGAGAACGAGATGGACCAAGACAGCTTTTGGCATGCGGCATTTGAAACGCCTTACGTCCTTTGGACATACGGGCGCGACTACTTCGATGCCCAATGGGCTCGGGAAAAGGAGCATCAGAGTGGGGGCGGTGCCCCCAAAAGTCCCTCTGATGTCACGGGTGATCCAACAGGTGTCAAGCAAGGCCAACGCGCTTCGAACATCGGAGACACTGCAGCACCGTTCAAAGATGCTGGAAGGATAGGCCAGATAATCACCAAAGGTGTACCTTTTGTCAACTTCAGCACCTTAATCGACCAGAAAGGCCTCGTCGAGGTATCCGACGACTGGCTACAGGACGGACCAGTTGCTCTGGACTTCGGCTTCCGGCCCGACTTTTCGAAACTCAAGGACCTCCGTTGCGACCCGTCAGAGAAGGTCATTACCGCAGGTCTCGAGGCTTATAAACGCAGCCCAACATCTTCCTTCTTTACAGAAGAAAGAGGGATAGTCATCGATGTCATCAAACGTAGTGAAGGCGACGAAATGGGAGCAGGCGGCGACGAGATAGGAGCAGGCCAACAAGAAACCAACGATGGAATCAAGAAGTGCTTGGGAAGGCGAAGGACCGTGCAATTTGCCAAAAAAAGATTGATATGGCTGCCGAACGGCAACAAAGAGACTGCGGTACTGTGTTATTTCGCCTCTCCAGAGCCCGAGAGGGGAAACATGGCGCATTTCTTTGACAGACATGCCTCCCATGAAAAGTACTTCTTCGACGGGGCGACTGCGGCTCTAAATGAATGGGAAACAGAGATCCACTTCTCGTTTTTCAAATTAGTACAATGTCAGAAAGAGGACGTCAAAGAAATCCTCCAGACGGCAAACAATGGAATCTCAAGCTTGAGTTTCTTGAAGCTTGGAGAACGGAGAGAAGATGGTGGATCGAGTCAGGAAACTGTGTTTCTCCACTCTACGATGAGCTTCCGATTCGTTGGAGATTTCTTTGACCGATTCTGGACATGTCACTTTCTGGACCCTGGTCAAAAGGATCAGCAAAGCCTTCAGGCTCGGTTGTCAAATTTCCATCATACAGTTCTCGAGGGTTCCAAGAAAAATCCTTGGCAACAGAGAAAGGTGTTGGAATTGCTCCTGTTCTACGAAATGCTCGAGAGCATGCACGAAAACACGCACAAGATTCTGGAATGGGTCAAACATCAAGTTCTTAATCCTCCAAATCTTGAAAAGATTCCAAGACCTGACTTGGGCGAAGACATCACAACGACTCGCCTTCTCCAGGAAAAATCGGTTATGGAAGCTTCAATGCCGCTCAACCCTCTTGCATCGGCATTCCAAGACGGCTATCAGCTGCTGAAACAAGGCACCAGCGAAAACTACTTCTCCATCATCGAAAGCTGGCGGCTCTTTGAGCAAATACTCCAAGCCTTGGAGGACGATCTAAGTGGGAACATCGAGCGAATCGACCAATGGAACAAACGAGAGGAGGATCGGAAATCAGAACGGCCACGCTGGACCAGGAACGACGAAAAGAGGTACCGCACAGCAATCACAAAGGTAACCGTACTCAACGACAGGCGTGGTCGCGATATCGTGCGTCTGAGGGCAACCATAAAAGCGTTTCGTGAATCACTCCCAGGCCGGTTGGAATCAATTCGATCCGACATCTCCTTTCGGGGATCCGAGAACATCAATCTCTTCACCTACGTTACCGTGGTGTTCCTCCCGCTTGGCTTTGCCACTGGAATTTTCAGCATGAGCAACGCCCCGAGCCGTCAGACTCTGGTCAGTATGATTGAACTGGCGCTGATGGCCATGGCCATCACGATATTCGCTTTGGCAAACGTCAAAACGACCGGCAAAACCCTCGTCCGGCCGCTCATCTTAGCCTTCCGCGAGGTCAACGATCTGCTACTCCATCCGCCATTGAGGATTCTTCAGTCTTTCATCCAGAACCACATGCCGGTAGTGGCCCTTTACCTTTTCTCCCGACTTGTCTGGTTCTTCTATCGATTCGTCTGGTTCCCGTTAACCACCGTTAATGGAAGAATCCCAGTGAAAACTCCGGAAACGCGCTGGTACCAGAAGACTAGGCTGAAGGAGCTTTGGAAGAGCTTCAAAGTCCCGATGCGAGCAATTCCTGAGCCATGGACGTTGGATCCTGTCAAAGAGGCGAGCGAGGACTACGCCCAGATGATTAGAGACAAAAGAGCAGATGACTTGTTGAGAAAGCTCCGCAAGTCGGGGTTGAAACGACACCCAAATGCTACGAACGGAGGTACAGACTTTGAGGAGCAGGGGTCCGAAAGGAGACAGGTGGACGAAGAGCTGGGACATATGCCGCGAGCAGCCCCGGCGACTCCTTCCTCAGCAGCTTCTTCTATTCACATGAGGAGAAGCATTTGATACGACTTCTTGACATTCGTTCTATTTGAGCGACAGGGCAGCGATCTATCTGTTATGATTCGTACGAATCACTAGTCCACTCATTTCGGCGGAACTCGTTTTCTCACCGCCTGCTTTCTTATAAAAGTAGCCCTTCTCCTTTACCTTTCGTCCTTCCTTGTCAAAGACGTCCTGTAGATAGAACGTAGCTCAATGTTAATTCACTATCGTTTCGTGACACTATTGGCGAGTGAGCATCACAGTAGAGAGCAGGGAATCGCGCTGCGGGGTTGCGTTTCTTCCAGGGGAGAGAGGAGGGGATCTGAAGGATGCGGAGGTGCATGCGTGTATGAATATTTATGCGCAGAAGCCGGCTGGGACAAGGGGGGAGTTCCGAGAGCATTCGATCGGCCCCTGAATAGATGCGTTGAACTGTAGCCCTGCAACCGCGTCGTGTGCTATGGTGGGGATCGGTATTACTACGCGAAGATGTGTGGAAGCGCCGGGCCGTGGGACGCCGGGCCGTGCTGGTGGTGCAGTAGTAGCGCAATGACTTGCGGACTTCTGGAAAAAAAAGAAGGCGTCGTCGACAAGCAATCGATCGACGGGTAGTGCTGCAGCTTCGGCGCGGCGACAGAAACACGCCATGTCGTCTACATAAAGGCGAAAGTAACCCCTTTGGGGCTAGCACGTGGCTTCTACTCTACGGCCGGCATCGACTCCCTAAATTTATCCGTCTGTTTTATGTCGAATCCAGCATAGCAGCCGTTAGTTGCGGCACACCAGGCACTCGGTTAAAGCCGCACGTCCACGTCAAAGCAAGCTAGTGGGATGCCTTTAAACCGTCTTGGTGGGCTCATCAGGGGCCTTGACCTCAATCTGTGACATGTTTCCCCCCACTTCATCTCCGCGTCTGCTAAGCGAAGCGCCTCAATGCTTGTTAGGAAGCGATTTGCACCGTTTGATGCCAAACGAAACAACCCCTCGAAACACCTTCTGGAGACGCATCGCGCCTGGAAGCCTAAGCGAGGCGGGCACCGGCAGCGGGTCTGTCGGCATTCAGGACTGAGATCAGGCCCTTGTCGGGCGGCCAGCGTTGGATGAATACAATAAATAGACCGACAGTCCCCCCCGCCTGTCGAAGCAGCATCAGTATCAAAAACAACCCACAACAAACCACAACACTCCCACACATCATTACCACCACCATGCCTTCCTCCCGCCAGATCATCTCGGCCTTCGCGGCCGTGGCCCTCAGCTCCGTCGCCGAGGCAGCCATGGGCCCGGCCTTCTCGACCGGCCCCGTGGCCGACGGGTCCTGGATCCGGGAAGCGACGTCGACGCTGGTGCTGCCCAAGGTGCCGACCAACAACCAGGGCGACGCGTCGCTGTGGGTGGGCATGGGCACGTCCGACGGCGACCTGATCCAGTCCATCGCCGAGAACTGGAACTCGGACGCGTGGAGCGTCTTCGGCTACACGCTGCTCAGCACGTCGGACACGACGCAGATGCCGGTGCAGACGGACGGCAGCGCCGCCGCCGCGGGCGACAAGATCACCATGCACTACAAGTACGACGACGCGTCGGGCAACTACACGCAGCTCGTCTCCGTCAACGGCCAGCAGGTCGCCGAGCTGTCGACCAGCGACGGCCACGCCCAGGGCTGGGGCTCCGCCGTCGAGTGCGCCGAGGAGGACTGCGGCACCATGGGCGCCCACTGTGAGTTGATTCCCTATAGTGGGAGGACCGAACGTTGGACTGACAGCTGCTGCAGCCTGGATCGACACCAAGATCATCCTCGACTCGGCCGACCCCAACTACATCAACACCATGGGCAAGGGCGAGGGCGTCACCGGCGAGATGAGCACCTCGGACGGCGGCATCACCTGGACCGTCACCACCATCGAGATCCCCGAGTTCACCTTCGGCAGCTCGTAGAGTCTTGTTTTTTCTATCGTTGGATCAGAAAAGCGCTTTTTCGTTTCTTCCTTCGTTCATGTAAATATCGAAAATTCTGAAGTTTGCTGTAAATATGCAAAATACATACCATACCCCATGCTTGAAGAACATCGTTCCGCTGCAGCCGCAGCAGCTGTTCTCCGTCACTGAACGTGAACTCCCCCCCGAGTCGTGGGAATTGGGCGTCGCGCCTGACCGGCGATGTCAATCTTTGCGAATGTGATGGACACGGATGTTGCCGCTACCGTTTCTCTGCTGACGTCAATGCGGGGGATTGCAATATTGGCGAACGCCTACATTCTGAACTATGGCAATTTTGGAAGTGGCCGTGTGGGGACTGGAGAAGCCATCGGAATCATCGAGAGGGCGCGCTACATTCTAAGGAGGATTTGTATCATGTTTGCTTTCTTCTCCCTCCCTCAAAGTAGAGCAGGAGAAGCTGGACTGGTGTAGCAGCGAGGAAGAAGAAACGAGCGTTTGGATGGAGAAAGACAGACAGAGAGAGAGATCGACAATTGGTAAACAGTTGGGTCATCTACGATCAGCTACCTAAGCGACTTGTCAGCTCGGCGGCTACATGTCCCGCGTACGGAACGGTCGTACGTGGCAAAGTGTCGGCAGTATGACCGTGGTGTGACGGAACAAGCAGAAGCCCTGCATACGCGAGTGACGCGAACGGAACCACTGCCGAGTTGGAGTGAATCGGGCGCTCCTGCAGTTTATGGAACAGTGTGTAAATATAGTAGATTGCATTTTCATCCACGCATCTGTCTGTGTGCAGAATCTCCCCATTTCTATCGCCGACTTCTCTTTCAGAACCAGTCTTTAATACATGTCATAACCTTTCATCTCGTCATCATGTACATACACACATACGATAGCCTATGAAAAGGCTGCCTATCCCATCTCTTTGTCTTTCTCACACCTCTCTCTTATTCCGTCAAACCGTCTTTCTTGCGCCCCCAGTTACGACGGCGGCCCCCTCACACTCGGCACGCTCGCCACCACACTCCCCGCACTCCCCTGACTGCCCCCACCACCACCACCACCACCGCTCCCCGCCTCAATCAGACTCGCCAAAACCCTGACATGCTCGCTCGCCACCCCCCACGTCAGCGTCATGCGCGAAAGGATCCTACACCCCTCCCTCAACACCCTCTCCGGCCCGCTCGGAGCCAGCAAATTGCCCACGCCCGACACGTGCGCCTTCATACGGCTCGGATCGCCGTTCCTCACGAACAACTGCACCATCTCATCGTCGTTGGGCCGGTCGAGCCGGATGAACGTGGGTTGTTCGTCCAAATCGTCGCTGAACGATGTCGTCGCGGCGGCCATGTCGTCGGACGCGGTGAAGATGGTTCCGGGGCTGGGCGAATCGCTGCCGCTGCGCGAGTCCGTGAGGGCCCCGAAGCCGGCGTGCGAGAGGGACGTGTACGTCGCGTACGCCCAGAGCGCGAGGGTGGAGAGGAACACGGCGCCCGGCTCGTAGAAGGCGGCTTTGGAGAAGCGCCGGACGTGCCAGAAGACGGCGCCGGCGTGGAGGACGGCGAGCCGGGCTTTGTGCTGGTCCTTGGACACCCAGAGGGAGAGTTTGGCTTCGAGTTTGGTGAGCTGCGGGAGGGATTGGCGGTTGTTGTAGGCGTCGTTGTTTGTGCTGTTGCTGTTGTTGCCGTTGCTCGGCGTTGTTGACGTGATGGACTTGGCCAAGCTGACAATTTCCGACAGCGGGGTGAGCAGGATGACGCGAGACAGGTGCAGGTGGCATATCGTGTTGTGCTCCGAGCCAGAGTGCTGCGCGACCGTCGCGTTGGCCGCCCAGTGCAGCACGTCCAGGCAGTCACACGCCGCGTTGCGCCATTTCGAGTACAGCGCGTTCTCCGGCATGTACGCGCTGCGGTCTGCCGCTGCGTTCGGCGCCCGTTCCTGGTACTCGGGCGCCGTGCGGTAGTAGCAGTCGGTCGAGGCGTCGTCGGCCGCCGACGGCACCCATGATGCCAGCGACCGCCGTTGGTATCGCGCCACCGTCCACATCTCGTGGTAGATGCCGTGCAGGAGCAGCACCCGGCTGAACTCGCCCACGTCCGGCTTCACCTCCTTGCGCACGAACAGCGTGTGCACAGCCTCGGAGATGGGCGGGTTTCCTGCAGCAGAAGAAAAATACGTCAGCGGCCGAGCCCCGGAGAAGATGTCTTCTAGGGAAGCAGTACGCTCCGTGTCGCGCCGGAGCTGAGCCCAGCCCTCTTCGTGGGGCGCTGCCCACAGGGCTTCGTTGCAAGGCAGCGCCGCGTGCAGGTCTTCCAGACTCAGGAACGGCTTTTGGTCCATCTGATACGCCAGTGTGCAGTCGAGCATCTGGTAAAGCCCGGTTAGCCGCGCAAGATTGACCAGTGCTTGACAAGTGAAAACGCACCCATATGGAATAGCCCAATCGGATGCGAGCCTCAGCCCGCACCCACTCAGACCACGACTGCGGGGGTGTCTCGGACCGGGGAAGCAGCTTCCACGTCCGCACCGCTTCGACAAGCCGGCTGAAGTCGTTCAGCGCGCTGTCGGCGAATCGGCTGGAGCCGCTGTACTGTAGGTTTATCGAGTTCAGGAGCAGCGCCTGCAGCACGCCGAGCGGCATCTGGCGCGGTGGGTGATGCTCGACCTGTGCATGTTTTTTGTCAGTTCATCCCTCCCCCTGATCCGTTCCCAGAGACACCCAAAACGCACCGACATGACGACCACCCGGCGCAGGAACTCTGTCATGGGTCGGATGAATCCCAACAGCTCCTCGGAGTCCGAATAGCGGCAGCCAATGGCGGCGGCGGCCAGTCCGAGCACCCACTCGTCCTCGTTCAGCTTCAGGGTCGGCAGGTGCAGGATGGGCAGGATGGGGTGGAAGTGCTCGTAATACAGCTGCAGGAAGTAATTGAGGTGGGCGGGCCCGGGCACGGCCAGCGTCTTGAACGGCACGAAGGTGGTGCCCAGGCCGTGGCACACCTGGCGGAAGGCGTCGGCGATGCGGTCGTAGGCCTTCAGGTCCATGGCGGGCCCCGTGACGGGCACGGGCGGCAGGCTGTCGATGGGGACGCAGATCTCGGGGAACTGGTAGACGGCCGACTGGTCGCGGAACAGCGACGAGCGGGCGGGCTGCTCGGTCGAGTTGGACACGTTGAACGAGCGTCGGCGCTTGGTGCCGCGCACAAAGGGTATTCGCGCGCCGTCGAAGCTGGTGGCGTAGTAGCGGCCGTGGTTGGTGTTGTTTTCGGCACTCGAGTTGCTGGAGCCGCCTGTCGATCGGGCCGGGGACTGGGACCCGCGGCGGCCGGTGGGCGAGGGGCTGTGGGGGTGCTGTGCAAAGTCCATTGCGGGGGTGGGGACACGCGGGGCTCCTCCTCCGCCATCCTGGAAATGATGATCGATCCTGGCGCCCGGGCTCTTCAGCGGCACGCCCACGCCCGAGAGGGCGGCGTAGTCGATCTCTTCGCTGAAGGCCGTGGGCAGCCAGTTGATGGGCTGGGTCACGTCGGCAACGGGGTGCATGGTCATGCCCATGGCGGGCGGCGGGTGGGGCGGGAAGGGCTGGCCCATGTCAAAGGTGTCAATGTCGGGGGATATCAGGCCGCCGTTGTCCAGCTGCTCGTAGTTGATCTCGAGCGGCGACAGGTTGGGCAGATCATGGGCGGACAGGCCGTAGCCGGCCATGGGGTACGTGTCGCTGCTGGACGAGTAGCACGACAGGGCATCGTTGTCCATCATCACGTGCTGGGGCGAGTTGGTGTTTGTGTTCAGCGTCAGCTCGCCGATGCTCCAGGCGGGGTCCTGGGCGGCGAACTGGTTGCGGGAGCCGGTGGGCGAGCTCTGCAGGCTGCGGCGGCGCTTCTTGGGATACTCGCACTCCAGGGCCTTGCTCAGGCAGCGCGAGCACACGTCCTCGCCGGAGCAGCGGGCGCGGGCCTGGGCGCAGTTGTGGCAGGCGCGGAAGTGGCGGCCGCGGTGCGATCTGGTCGACACGGACGAGCCATTCTCGCCGTCGGACGAGACGGCGGCGTGGACGTGCTCGTGGCGCTTCAGGGTATCGCTTGAACGGTGAGCGTCTCGGCTGCCAGGGAGGTGGCAGGCGGTTGGTTACCTTCGCGTGAAGCCCTTGCCGCACAGGTGGCAGGTGTAGGGCTTGCTGTCCCAGTGGTCGCGTTCATGGCGCTTGAGGTGCTCGAGGCGCAGGAAGCTGCTGGGGCACTGGCTGCACTGGTGGCGGTCCGAGTGCGGCGGCGAGGGGATGCCGATCAGGTTGGGCTGCGACTGGGTGCTCTCGGTCGAGTAGCGGCGTGCAGAGAGAGGGGTGGAGGCCATGGCGGAGGCGTGGACAGCTCGAGCTGGCGGCTCTCATGGCTATAAAAGAGGGGCGGGGATGAGTCGTGGTAGCTGCAAAGAGGCGACCGCCCGGCCGGAGGCGCTCCACGCGCACCGCGGTCCCCAGCCTTCCCCGCAGGGCCAAGCATCCGCCCCGACCCTGGCTTCAAGCACGATCAGATAGGCACCGCGCGCGCGCCGCTGATCACGGAGCCCGGCCGGCTTCGAGAAGGCTTTGACCAGTAGGTACCTAGTGCAGCGGCGACCGTCTGCAGGCAGCGCGTGCTGAGGGCGAGCAGCGGGCGGCGGATCGTGGCTGCTTTGGGCGGTTCCGGTGGGATGCAGGATTTCGGCAGCCACACCCAAATATAGCCGCCACGCCCGCCCCCAGAGCACGCCGTCGGGGCGCTGGAGCTGCCGCTCGTGATGTGCGTGCCTGGCGGCACACGCCGGGAGCTTAGCATCTTGCTCAACGCGTCGATCCGTCGTATCGACTGAAACCATGCGCTGACCGTCGTGCCGTCGCCCTGTCGATCCCGAGCGCTGCGTCCCAAAACATGGAAAGGGCTGGCCTGGTCGCGCGCACAATGGTGCTATTGCCATGCTAGCAGTCTGCTATATCGGCTGGGCGCTCGCGTGCGACGCTGAGTGGCTGGCAGATGTGCTCACCGCACCCGCGGTTCCAGATGGCCGTTATTGGCCGGCGGAGACGCGCCGGATGCAGCGGCCTCTGTCGCATTCTGGCAATTGTGCTGTGGGTGCCTGTGTACGTGGACTGGATGCGTATAAGGTTGCGGGTGGGGTGATGATGGCACAGAAGAATTGCCGAGTCATAGGGCGCGTATTCCTGCCTGGAAGCCAATGGCCGATCAGCTCGCAACTTCAACGGTTTGGCTGTTCACGAACATCCGATTGTCTCAGTGGCGCCAAGCCACACCTGCTGACCGACAACTCGTAAAGGCCGGGCGCACACCGCATCGTTCGACCGCTTGAATCGTGACGTCGATCGCCGTTCTGTAGCGTCGCAGAAGAGGAGAGGACAAGTAGGTTGTGGCGGCGAGGACGGGAGGCGGAGAAGGCTCGGCGGAGAAGGAGGCTCGTGCTGCGCGCCTTCCCCACACCCCACATGAGCGTCACGCTAGGAAAGTCATGGCCGGCTGGCAAACTTGTGGCCGCCTCGCTCCGCCTCGCTTCACCTCGCTTCCTTAGCGATCGCGTCAATCCCACACCGACTCTATTATTGTCTTCTCGACTGGACTCTCTACCTATTGCATCTTGCTTAAATTGGCCTCCATTCTCTAAGTTGGACAACGTAGTCCATGCACCTTCCTTCGACTTGCTCTCCGAACCCGCTCGTACGTTTGATCGCCTGCGCCAAGTGGGATCAAGCAGCATCGACTTTTTCCACATGAGCCCTCACGCCCGGCTTCTTCGTAGAAATGGCATTCCGGTCTCTGATCACGATCGGGGAAGGGTCGGTGCGGTAGTACTCATCAAGATCCTCGAGACTACGGTTCGCTGTACGGCGGTTCTGTCAGTGCTTGTTTCAGGCTCGACAAGAGTCCCCACTCGCATACCTGTTTCGGGGTAGAACAAATAAATGACTGGCAGGAAGGCGGCGTTGAAGACGGTCCATACGATCCAGAACCGCCACCCCAGGCTTTGGATGCCGATGGGCGCGATCTCGACGACGACGAAATTCGTGATCCTACATCGCATCCGTGAGCCATGTGCTTGGTGTCTGCACCTGCTCGACCTACCAGTCCGTTGCCGTCGCTACCGCCACGGCTTTCGTCCGCATTGGGGAGCTGCTGATCTCTGTCGGGTAGAGCCCTTTGCGCCTTCTGTCAGCTTGATTTCTCCGGCGCCGGCTTGGAGGAGAAACTTGCAGGGGACGCCAAGCATTCCTATGCCGAAGGCAATGTAGTAGAGGAAGAAGAAGGCGATCGAGGCAGAGGCGAATGCCTGCCCGTTGGCACTCGACGTCGAGAAGCGCAGGAGGATTGTTATGACGAGGAATGCAAACCCTTGGCCAGCCGTTGAGAGCATCATGAGTTTCCGCCGTCCCCATCGCTCAACCAATGGAATCGCCACGCACGAGAAAATAAGATACGATGTCGCGTTGCAAGCCGCCAGCAACCTCGCCATTGAGTTCGACACACCAACATACTCGATCAGTACCGTCGGGAAATAATACGACATTATGTTGATCCCTTCAAACTGCTGCATGAACTGTGTGCCCGCACCGAGGACCAGCCGCCGAATCGTCTTGGTAGACCCCGTGTTGCGTCCACGGAGGAGGTCTCTCCACCTGATGGCGTGTTCCACTTCGTAGCGTACGCTGTATTCGATGGTCTGGAATTGCTCCATGACGTACGCGTCGTTCTCCGTCTTGGCTTCGAGAGCTGCGATTACCGCCTTGGCCTCTGCCATGCGACCCTGGCCGATGAGCCAGCTGTGGAGAACCTTAGCTTGGTAGAGCACGTGTAGCCGACAGCACTTACCGTGGCGACTCGGGCAACCAGGGAACCGTGCCCCAGAGGATGAAGATGAAGAAGAATTGGAACGCCAACGGGAACCGCCAGGCAACGGATCCGCCTTTGAAGGAAAGACCGTAGTTGATCCAGTTGACCAAAGCGAAGCCTGCGATATTCATGGCCATCTCCAAGATGACGAGGTTGCCTCTCCGCTTTGCTTGAGAAGTTTCAGTTTGCCAGATTGGAGCCGTTGCCGTGTTGATCCCATTCCCGAAACTGAGACAGTCAGCTTCGTTTCTCTCGTCCAATCATCCCCAGAACGGCTTACCCAAGTACAATTCGTCCCACAAACATCTGCGCCAGGCTGTATGAACTTGTCTGAATAAGTGCGCCGACAGCCATGACACATGTACCCAAAAGGACTGTGTTCCTTCTCCCCAGCCTCTCACCGGCGGTGAAGGCAATGATGGCCCCAAAAAAACACCCGACATCGTAAATAGCGGTGACTGTGGAAAGAATCTTGGTTTTCCCGGGCCCGACTAGGTCGTGAAGCTCCAAAAAGTCTTGGGTAACGACGACTCCGCCTGCAAAATGGTAAGACGCTACTCCCAGTTAGGCCCTGGAAAGGGAAGCGCACTGAAGACGCCCTGATCGTAGCCGAACAGCGTCATATCCGTCGCACATGCAACCTGCAGGACAGTGAGCAACTGTTCCGTACAGTCAGGCCTTGAACAGCCATACCGTAAGCCAGAACGTGAGCCATCCCCCTGTCATACCGAAGAACGGCTTTTTCGTGGGCAAACTTTCAGATGTCATGATGGATGAGATGTCGTCGACTGTGCTTTGCTAACAGACATGGCAAGGTAAGCATTGCATCTAAGTATCATCTTGGAGCACTCGAGAGCCGGGTGGCATATGCGGGGAAACCCGGGTAGGAGTGAGAATAGGCAAAAGGAGGGCAAATCCGGACGCGTGTGCTACTAAATCAGGTAATCCGGGTAGCACTGTCGTTCGGAAAATTCTGGCGACCGGAAGCTGACCACTTCGCTGCTTCCAACTCGTTAGCGTGCGGATCTCTAGTGCGTCACATCATGCGCGGGGCGCGGGGCGTGGGGTGCGGGGTGCGGGGGCTAGAGGCGGGGCGGGAGGCCACGGGGAGGTGGACGGAAAAGGTATGGATGACATTCATCAATACTGGGTATCATACGTGCGGCTTTTCCTAGAATGTTTCCAAAGAAATTCCTAGATCTGGTAAGAACTGGAATCAGTGCCAGAAGTAAAGAAGTGATCAACGTTGGAAACGGACCGTCGTGAGGAGTAGGAAACACCGATGCGGGGTTCATCTTTAGCATCCCACAAGAATCGCGTAAAGAACCAGTCACCCAGACTGCTAGACACCAAGCCACAGTGGAATCAAACCTTAAACACCGCATTGAGTATAGTTACATCTTCACATGGTAAGGGAGGCCAGCCACAATCACAGTATAAAAACCTCCAGCCAATCCATCCCCGCACGCATCTACCACCCCACAACATCAACAAGGAAAAAAACACCCATCGACCACACCACCACCGCCGAAATGGTCCAAAACTTCACCCTCGTAGCCGTCAAACCCGGCTCCCCCATCGACAACAGCCCCATCACCGCCTCCCATTCCGGGCTGCACCTCAAATCCCACGACCAGCCCGCCACCTTCCAGCTCAAAAACGACGAGCTCTTCCTCTACGCCGACCCGCCCAGCCAGAAGCTCTACACCGACCGCTCCGGCATGGGCCAGGGCATCCTGCAGTACACCCACGACGCGCAGCAGGCCTCGACCCTCAACCCCAACCGCATCGAGCAGAGCGGCTGGGCCGTCGATGCAGGCGGGAAGCTGCAGCTGAGGGGCGCGCATTTCCTCGCCACGCCGCCGAGCGGCGGGAGTGGTGGGGCAGACTGGCGCGTCTGGATGAATACCGGGAATCCGAACCCCGCGGGGCAGACGGGGGGCGTCGAGTTTGAGGCCAAGGTCGTGGCGGTGGGACATCCGGTTGGGAAGCATTATTCGAATTTGTAGTGGGGCGGATGGAAGGCAGGTGAGTGCCAAAAGAAGATGACAAGGCCGTGATGGGGTCTTTCCGCTGACTCTGAACGAAAATCTAGAGTCGCCGTTATTACATCGGTCACACTTGAAATGCGGTGTTGCTTTTCTCTATATACTTTTCGGTCCGGGTAGAACAAAATATAGCTGATATACATACGCTGCTCAACTTGGGATGATGGTAAATGCGGCATCTAGGAATCATCGCTAGCTACTTGTCTATGAGTTCGCACGGTTTTTTTTCGTGATCGCTAGCGAATGGTTAGTACCAAGAAGCATCGTTCCATCCCGGAGTTCAGGTCACTTACTCTCGGTGAGGATAACGTCGGGCGAGAGATAATCACCCGTATCTCACCCGACGATGGCGGCGAGAATCCAGAACGCCAGCCCAGAAGTAATCCTCGACTGCCAATTTGCAAACGCCATCCACACAGCTTTGTGGCCTGAACGTAAGCTCCGCAGCCGAACGCGAACTAAAGACATATTTGGAGTCAACTTTTACGCACCCGTTCCTCTCCCCCAAGCCCACATTGCAACGCCAAGTCGAAATCCACGCAACCATCGCACCCGCAAAGATGACGAAGACGCAGACGAAACCGGCTCGACACTCGCCGAACACCACCTCCTCCTCACGCGCTAAACATCCTCCGCACCATCCCCTGCCCCGCACACCCATCATCAAACCCACAATCCCTCGCCGCCAACGCCTCTGCCGCAACCACCCCATCCAACTCCGTCTTCTCCCCACCCGACCGCGGCTCCCCCAGCGCCTCGCTAAACCCATATATAGCATCGCACCTTAAGCTCTGCGCGCTCGTCATCCTCTCCATCCCCGTCCCATTCGTCCGAATCACCAGCCTCTCCCTCTCCCCATCCCCACCCCCCGTCCACGGCCGCCACTCGGGCGCCCCCAGTACCGCCGCCCTCCCCGCATTCGGATCCAAGCTCCTCACGAAGCTCGTCCAATACGCGCGCGTCACACCCACCGCCCGCGCATTCGGCGCCTCCGCCCCGCCGACGTAGCTGGCGGGCGGCGCCCCGTCGGTGCGGTCGGGCCCCCACACCGCGTACGCGTTGACGCCGTGCCAGACGCCGTACCCGGCGCGCTCGTCGGCCGGGTCGCGCACGGCGTAGCGGTACGCGTACGTCGACGCGTTCTTGGCCGCCAATGCGTTCTGCAGCGCCTTGATGATGCAGTGCGTGCCGGCGTCGGCGATGGCGTTGGCCGTCTGCCGGAACTTGGCGCCCTTGCCGGGGAAGACGGGGGCGGGCTGGTCGATGTAGAGGGCGTCGAGGAGGGCGAGCGAGGCGTTGGTGAGGGACGGGTCTTGGTTGAGGAAGTAGGCGTGCGCGTCGGCGGTGGTGGCGGTCGTTTCGGGGGCGGAGTACTTTGTGCCTTCGTTGGCGCAGGCGCCCATGATGGTGGGGACGGCGGCGACGCGGCCGGACGCGTACATGGAGAGGAGGGGCCCGGTGAAGAGGTCGTGGTCGATGTGCGGCCCGAACCAGCACTGGGAGGAGCGGAGGGCCGAGGCGTCGAGGGAGCGCAGGCAGGCGAGGGTGGAGGCGGAGGCGGAGGCGGAGCAGTTCTTCTCCGCGGCGAGGCAGTCGTATTGCTCTTGACCTTGCTGCATGGATCGCATTGTCGTCCACCCGCCCGACTCGATGATTCCGCCGGCGAAGAGGTTGAGGGTGCCGTTGTTGGCTGCGAGGAGGAGGGCGACGGCGCTGCCTCCGGCGCTGAGGCCGTCGATGACGACCCGGTCCTTGTTTCCGCCGAACTTGGGTGGCGTGTCAGTCTGTGGGATGTGGAGAGAGCATGGGGTATGCTGCATACCTTCTCGATGTTGGTCTGGACCCATTCGAGGGCCTTGATCATGTCCTTGATTCCGTTGTTGAGGCTTCCATCGGCCTCGACCTCCTTGCTCTGCAGGAATCCATACATGCCGACACGGTAGTTCTGGTCAAGAGTCAGCATGGCCTCGCTTCATAGAGCCTGCACCCATCTTACGATCTGAACGACGATAATGTTGCCGTCCTTGACCAGATCCGTGGCATCGTAGTTGGCGTTGGAGTTGGAAGTGAACCCGCCGCCCTGGATCCAAAAGAGCACTGGCAGCTTCGTTTCGGTGGTGGCATTGGTGGGTGCGAATACGGAGAGGAAGAGGCAGTCCTCATCCACTGTGAAGCGATCCGGCGCATCCGGGCTCACGGTGAAGTCTCCAGGCTGCTGCGGAGGGCAGATGGGGCCGAACTGCTCGCAGGCATTGGCATCAGCTAATTGATGTATGGTTATCGTGGACGACTCACCTTGTTGGCCTCAACCACATCTGTGCTGGGCTCAGGATCTTGAGGCGCGCGGAAGCGCAGATCTCCCACAGGGGCAGCGCCGTAACGGATACCCAACCACTTGGTCACGCCGTCGCCCTGATCGACGCCATTGTACCTGGCATTGTCAAGGTTGACGAGAGGCTCGACAGCCTGCACGGCCGTGCCAGCAGCGGCCAGTAAGATGGCCAGAGCAATGCGCATGTTTCTTGAACAGATTTTCAGCCGGCCGATTGAAACTTGTCGTGACGCTCCCAAATGCAAGTGAGAGAAACGATGCAGTCGTTTAAAACAAAAGAACTACGGAGGCCAGAGAACGGAAATGAACGTGGTGTTGTCCGGGGTGCAACGGAGAAACGGGTGTTGGGCCGCTTTATATTGTGCAGCATTAGTTTCTCCTTTTGAACAAGAAAGCATCTGCCCAGTATTTTGGCGAAATCCCCACCATGGTCTCAGCCAAGCCGTGCATCTGTTTATCGATGCACTGCGGAAGCCAGCGGTAACCCTATTTTTTTTAAGGGATAAAAATTGCCGCATGGGGCTCGGATCACGCATTCCCAACCAATCAGGTAGGTGCAAGCCAAATGCGACGTAGATTTCAGGGAGACGGCCAATATGGAGAAAGTACGGGTTGTAACGCAGCCTTACTCGTGGGTTCATCCGCCTGATTCGTGCGTCAGTCTACCGAAATCAAGCTTAAGACTTTATTCGAACCTTGGCACGTGTAGAATCGGGGAATAAATATCGATTTCAAAATCATACAAGATCGTCTTAACAGTAGTTTTAACGTTGCTCGTGGGTGGAGTGCAGCCTATGGTCGAGCGGTTTGTTAACATAGATTTTCCAGAGAGGTACGGGGTGGAGGAATAGCTTGGTTCTGTACTGTATCTGAGGACTTTTCGTTGATACCAGTATACCATCAAATACTGCGAAAGAGCTTCGGGCCACAGCATTAGCGAAAGAAAAGTACTTCTGGTTGCAGGATCCGTCAGAATGCGCACTGCGCTTCCATGAATGTAAGTAGTCATCGCCACTTACGTTGAGGGGATCCCTGGAAAGCTTGGAGCAGTTCAGTCTTGGTTGAAATGCTGTGGTAAGTACTTCCAGAGCCTTTGCATGTCCTTTACTCTCCCCATCACTCTCCAAACTGCCGATTTCATTGGCGAGTTGTTAGCTGAGATGAGGAATGACAAAATTTTCGTGCGACCATGCAGGGTAAGAGAAGTTTTGACAAGGAGGTAGTCACATGAGAAGTGGCCATTGAGTATACCGAGAAGCATTGGCAATCAATAGAATCGATCTGGATGATACTCGGTGAGTGGGGAAATTTGGCAAGGCTGAACTCATGTACAACACGGAGAAGGACAAAGGGTCGTTAGTGCCGAGGGTTCAGGGAGCACCTGGGATCCATCATGGGTGATGCGGCGAAAGGCGATGAAGTGACGACTTGGAGATGACGAGACAGCGGAGAGAAGCTCAGGCAGGCAGTGGCGCAGTGGCGCAGCGGCCAGGACTTTTAATCTGGAGCTTGGGCCACCGACGCGAACGCGCGACGCGAACCCCGGTCGCGTCACACACGAACATGGCCAGTTGCTCGCGTCGCTTCTCCACCATCGTCGACCGTTGCACGCCCAATTGACCCAATTGACGGCACACCATGTCGACCCCGAAGCCGTCTGCAAAGCCCAAAAAGCAGACCCCCGCTTCTGGCCAAAAGTCCATCCTGGGCTTCTTCCAACGCAAATCCGATCCCGCCCCGAAGCCTTCCATCGAGCCCAAGTCCTCGCCCACTCCGCTGCCCTCCGAATCTGCCCGGAAGCCTTCGTCCGCCTTTTCCAAGCCGCAGTCCAAGAAGCTTCCGCCCAGCACATTGACTCCCACTCCGAGCAGCGACCCCGTCGGCCCCTCGAGTCCCATCCGCAGCGACTTTCCCGACACCGACAAGAACAAGGAAAATGGTCTGCCGTCTCCTCGCTCCTCCCCCACCATTGCCGCTGCTGATGCAGATCCAGAAGGCCTCGACACCCAGCAGACGAGCAGCCCGTCGCGCAAGGTCCGCCCTCCCACTCCAACCTGGCCTGCAGTCGCTCACCGTGCCCAGGCAAAGAAGCAGGTCAGCTACGTCGAGTCCGACGCCGACAGTGATGACGACGACGACGTTTTCCAGCCCGTCTCTGTAAATGGCACCAATAAGCGCACCTTGAAGCGGAGGAAGGTCGCCGCTTTGGACGACTCTGATGGTGATGACTACGGCCCGGACCTGGTCGACGACGACGATGAGGGTGCGTCCTGGAGCCTTCTCCACTCGTCTTGCTTGTCTGAAGCTGACAATCGATAGATGTGGATGATTTCGTCGTTCCCGATGACTCGGACGAAGAGCCTGTTTCGAAAAAGCGCAAGCGCCCCTCGGCTACGTCCTCTCGCAAAGCGTCCAAGCAGTCTTCGCCTCCCATGCCCTCTTCGCCGCCCGCTGCCCATGACGATGTTGTCATGGAGGGCAATTCCTCCTCCACAGCCCAGCAGTGGCGCTTCGACCCGGACAATATCGATTCCACTGGCGTGCGCCCGCCCCCCACCTTCGTCAAGAAGGCGGACGGAAAGAAGGAGAAGGCATACAAGACAGAGCCCGAGAAGCGCTATACTTGGCTGGCTCAGGTCCTTGATGCGGACAGAAATCCTCCCGGCCATCCCGACTACGACCCGCGCACCCTCTACATTCCGCCCATGGCCTGGACCGCCTTCTCGCCCTTTGAGAAGCAATACTGGGAGATCAAGAGCAAGTTCTGGGATACCATTGTCTTCTTCAAGAAGGGTAAATTCTACGAGCTGTACGAAAACGACGCCACCGTTGGCCATCAGCTGTTTGATCTCAAGCTCACCGACCGCGTCAACATGCGCATGGTCGGCGTTCCTGAGTCATCGCTCGACATGTGGGCCACGCAGTTCGTGGCAAAAGGTTACAAGATCGCCAAGGTCGACCAGATGGAGTCCGCTTTGGGCAAGGAGATGCGTGAACGCGGTGGTCCCCCCAAGAAGGAGGATAAGATCATTCGCCGCGAGCTTTCCTCTGTCCTCACGTCGGGCACCCTTGTCGATGGTTCCATGCTGCAGGACGACATGTCCACCTACTGCGTGGCCATAAAGGAGACTGACAGAGACAATCACCCTGTCTTTGGCATCGCCTTCGTCGACACTGCAACCGCCCAGTTCCAGCTCTGCGAGTTCGCTGATGATGTCGACATGACCAAGTTTGAGACCTTCGTTGCCCAGACCAGGCCTGGCGAGCTCCTTCTCGAGAAGTCTTGCATCTCGGCAAAGGCCCTTCGCATCCTCAAGAACAATACCAGCCCCACCACCATCTGGAACTACTTGAAGCCAGGCAAGGAATTCTGGTCTGCCGACATCACCTCTCGCGAAGTGGAATCCTGTGACTACTTCGTCTCGCCCGACCAGGACAACATCGAAGCTTGGCCCCAGGTGCTGCGGGACGCAAAGGAGAAGCATGAACTGGCCATGTCTGCATTCGGCGCGTTGTTGCAGTATCTGAGGATGCTCAAGATTGAGCGGGACCTGGTCACCCTGGGCAATTTCTCGTGGTACGACCCAATCCGCAAGGCCACCAGCCTGGTCCTGGATGGCCAGAGCCTGATCAACCTGGAGATATTCGCCAACAGCTTTGACGGTGGTGCTGAAGGTACACTCTTCTCCATGCTCAACCGTTGCGTCACTCCCTTCGGCAAACGTATGCTCAAGCAGTGGGTTTGCCATCCGCTTGCGGACGCTCGCAAGATCAACCAGCGCCTCGACGCGGTTGACGCCTTGAATGCCGACACGACCATCATGGACCGCTTCACCGCCTCGTTGAGCAAGCTTCCCGACCTCGAGCGGCTTTTGTCCAGGGTTCACGCCAGGAGAATCAAGGCGCAGGACTTCGTCAAGGTCATCGAAGGCTTCGAGCAAATCGAGTATACCATGAGCCTGCTCAGCGAGTTTGGCGAAGGCGAGGGCGTTATCGGGCAGCTCATCTCCCAGACGCCTGATCTCGCAGGCGCTCTGAAGCACTGGAGGGATGCTTTCGACCGCAAGAAGGCCAAGGAAGATGGCATCCTTGTGCCAGAACCCGGCGTCGAGGAGGATTTTGACCAGAGTCAGCAAGACATGCAGGAAGTGCTCGACGAGCTCGAAAAGCTCTTGAAGCAGTACAGGCGAGATCTCGGCTCCACGGCCATTTGCTACAGGGACAACGGCAAGGAGATCTACCAGCTCGAGGTTCCCATCAAGATCAAGTCGGTTCCCAAGAACTGGGACCAGATGTCTGCTACTGCCAAGGTCAAGCGCTACTACTCTCCAGAGCTCCGCAAGCTGGTACGCAAACTGCAGGAGGCGCAGGAAACACACGGGCAGATTGTCAAGGAGGTTGCCGGAAGGTTCCATGCCAGATTTGACGAAAACTACGCAGTATGGCTTGCAGCGGTCAAGATCATCGCCCAACTCGACTGTCTCATCAGCTTGGCCAAAGCATCCGCCTCGCTGGGCGAGCCGAGTTGTCGACCCAAGTTCGTGGACAGCGAGCGGTCTGTTCTCGAGTTCGAGGAGCTCCGTCACCCCTGCATGCTGACCAACGTGACCGACTTCATTCCGAACGATATCAAGCTTGGAGGCCAGTCCCAGAACATTGACCTTCTTACCGGTGCCAACGCAGCCGGCAAATCGACCGTCCTGCGCATGGTAACAGCCCTTTGTCCCACGTTTTCTACAACCTTGACTGACCAAACACCAGACATGTATCGCCGTCATTCTCGCCCAAGTCGGAGTGTACCTGCCGTGCACTTCGGCGACGCTCACGCCCGTCGACCGCATCATGTCGCGGCTCGGGGCCCAAGACAACATCTTCGCGGCGCAGTCGACCTTCTTCGTCGAGCTGTCGGAAACGAAGAAGATCCTGTCCGAGGCGACGCCGCGGTCGCTCGTGATCCTCGACGAGCTCGGCCGCGGCACGTCGTCGTACGACGGCGTGGCCGTGGCGCAGGCGGTGCTGCACCACGTCGCGACGCACGTCGGCTGCCTCGGCTTCTTCGCCACGCACTACCACTCGCTCGCGACCGAGTTTGCAGAACACCCCGAGATCGCGGCGAAGCGCATGGCCATCGACGTCGACGACGAGGAGCGGCGCGTCACTTTCCTGTACCGGTTGGAAGAGGGCGTGGCCGAGGGGTCGTTCGGCATGCACTGCGCGGCCATGTGTGGGATCAATCCGCGCGTCATTGAGCGGGCCGAGGTGGCGGCACGGGAGTGGGAGCATACGAGCAGGCTGAAGGAGAGTCTGGAGAAGGCGCGTGAGGCGTGCTATGTGCCGCTGGGGCTGCAGAGCGACGTTGCGTGGCTGTTGAGGGAGCAGGGTGCTGGAGACGAAGGCGAAGGCGGTGTTGAGGAGCGGGGATTGAATGTGTTGATGAGGGCGATTGAGACGCTCTGAGGTGATTGACGAATCTTTCCATGTTTCTTTCGGTGTTGATAGGGATCGGGTGGGATGGGAGTTTGCTGGCTGTTTTCCCTTTTGTTGTTTTTGGGTCGGGTCCTTTTCTCTGTGCGAACACTGGAGAGATTGAGAGCACACAAGTAAGTCCTCGACAGCTGCTTGTTTGCTATTGTCACGTTTTGGCTGTAAAGCGGAGGAAAAAGGAGTTACGAATGAGAATTTCTTGTTACGGGATGGCGTTTTGACGGGCTCTGTGCTGACAGCGAGCGTAACGCAGCAGGTATTGGCTCTCAAGGTACTCGGCTGTAAGCTACAGCGCGGGTGGCAGTTGTCCTCCAAGGCAGGCCGTGTCTACATGGATGCGAGGATCAGTTTGCTACGACATGGCCGGGTAGCTGTCAGGGAAGACGAAAGCATAAGCCGACGAATCCAGATGCAATGCACAATCACCTCCCTGGGTCAATCACGGAAAATTCACGCTCCGTGGAAGGACTGCCCCACCGTCTATAGCCAAGTATATATAGTCCGGCTGCAGCGTGCTTCGAGCTCGCCGTTGACACCACACAACATGTATCGCCGAGGCCAGCTCGGGGCCGAGGTCGGGGTTAAGGCTCAGGTTCGAGACGGCACCATCTCGAACCGTATTAATTACAGAACGCGTCACCGCTTCTCTAGCTGCGCCCTGTGCTAACTGAATACTAGCTACAACAAGCTTTTCCAGCCATGTTCGACCACAGCCCGAGCTCCGGCAGCGACGCCGGCGAAACAAAACACGGACGAGCTTGCCCGTTACCCCATTGACAAGTCAGTTCCTCCGTGCCTCGGCCCGCCATCTGGCTCTGCCACACTGGACTCGTCACCCTGCGGCATTTGTTAGTGCCGTTAACCGGACGTTTTGCACGATAGAGATATGGCCATCACAGCTGGGTACTTGCACCGTATAGCGCGTCCCCAGTCCGCCGCCTGGCCCGCCACCCTACGTCAATCATGGCCTTTAAACCAAACGCCAAGCTGGGAGAGTGCGACGCGGCCCTACCGCGCCTGGACCGTCGTACGCGTCTCTCCCTTGATCGTATATAATTCAGCGGCTGTTTCCGACTCTATGGGACTTCCATCTTCACACTTTCTCTCCTTCGCTCGTTGATCCTCTGCAATGCCTTCTCTTTCGACGCTTCTGCTGCCTCTGGCGGCAGCTGCCGTGTCGGCGCAAACGGCCACGCCTAGCAACACCAGCTCAGCGGCCATGCCTACCGTCACGCTCGACTACTCGACCGTTGTTGCCGCTGCCGGAAACGAGTCCCTGGGCTACTACAAGTACCAGAACATCCGCTTCGCCGCCGTTCCCACGGGCGATCTGCGCTGGGCCGAGCCGCAATGGCCGCCGGTCGAGACCGAGCTCAACACCGGCTCCCTTGCCGATGCCGACGTCGACTGCGCGTCTTACGAGGACTGCCTCTACATGGATGTCTGGGCCCCGGCCAACTCGGCGGGCAAGAAGTTGCCTGTCATGGTCTGGACCTACGGCGGCGGCTTCACCGGCGGCAGCAAGTCGCAGAACACGCCCGAGGGCCTGTTCGACCTGAGCAAGGACTTTATCTTCGTCGCCTACAACTACCGGCTCGGCATGACGGGCCTGGCCAACGGCCCGACCTTCCTCCACGAGGGCGGCACCTCCAACACGGCCGTCTGGGACGTCGAGCACGCGTTCAAGTGGGTCAAGAAGTACATCCACAACTTCGGAGGCGATTCGGACGAGGTCACTGCCGTTGGCTTCTCCGCCGGTGGCTCCCAGGTCCTGTTCCAGATGACGGTATGCCTGCTCTCTCGTCTCCGCTCACGAATTCGTGCACTAACCTTGTCGTCAACAGCGCTTCGCCGGCCACGCCGAGCAGAACTTCAACCGTGCCTACGTCATGTCCCCCGGCTTCGTCCCCGGCGCCGGCCACCACCACGCCGAGCAGTTCTGGCAGAACGTGTCTTCGGCCGTCGGCTGCGACGGCGGATCCGTGGAATGCATGCGCGCCGTCGACTTCGACACGCTCACCACCGCCACCGACGACCTTGTCGACACGTACGACTACCAGATGCAGCCGCGCGTCGACGGCGACATCATTGCCGACACGTACGAAGCCCAGTTCTACCAGAAGCGCGTCAACTTCGACGGCCCCGTCGTCATCACCCACGAGCAGCACGAGGCCAACGGCCAGGCCTACGACGGCGTCAACACCACCGAGGACGTCTCGACCTACCTGCGCATCTTCTTCCCGGCCATCACCGACGACGTCGTCGACGAGCTGCTCGCCCTGTACCCCGAGTCCGACTACTCGTCCCCGGGCCTCCGCTTCTCCGACATGAAGCAGTCCTTCGACCTCACCTGCAAGAACCTCGCCCTGACCCAGTACCTCAAGAACAACACCTGGAACGCACTCGTCGCCCTCGACCAGGCCACCCACGGCACCGACCAGAGCTACTACTGGTACAGCACCTACACTCTCTCCGACTCGACGTCGACGACGACGACGACGACGTCGGACAACTCGACCACCTCCAGCTCCTCCAACTCGACGTCTTCCGCTCCCGGCGGTGCGGGCGGCGGCATGGGCGGCGGCAGCTCCACCTCGGTCAACTCGACCATCGCCGTCGCCATGCAAAAGTACCTGCTCTCGTTCGTGCTGACGGGCGACCCCAACGCCGAGTGGGCCGACGACAAGCTGGCCTGGCCCAAGTACGGCAACGACACGAACACGCTGGTGTTCAACTCGACCTTCTACCTCGAGGGCGACGACCTCGCCAACGACAAGTGCTTGTACTGGAACAAGGCGTTGTGGTATTAGAAGCTGGGATGAAATGTTGATTATGATGACGATTTGTGTGAAGGAATGAGAGAAGGAAGAGCACGGGATTGATTTGTATTGATTGTATTATATTGCTGTTGTTGTTGTTGCTGCATGAGCGTCTGTCTGGTTCGTTATGTATCTACGTCCTCCCCGTCGTCTTTGGGGGCTTTTCTACAAAAAGTGGACTGTGACGAAAATCTACCCAAGCGATCAAAACGAGTTTCCAAACCCATCCTGCTCTCTGTCTCGTTTTGATCAGAATGAACGGATATGAAACGAACGAATGAGGCGGGAGAGCAGTTGGGGGATTCGTAAATCAACATCATGACTTCATTGCTTCTTGTCAATACTGTGTTCAAGTCCTGGTCCAGGGGGGGTGGGGTATGCACACCCTCCATTTGCTTCCGCCGCATCCAACTGCCAGTAGTCTCGGCTCCATCCGCAAACATGATGCTGGCCGGGGATGGCGCGCGCGATGCTCGAGTTTAGGCCACGACAGGCTGGTATCCCGGGGCTGTGCGACGCATTCGACCGTGGGGAAGTGATGTCGTGGGGACAGGAGCCGGAGCTGGATTCGCAATGGATTGCAGGTGCAGAGGCTTCCCGGGTCGAGTCAGGGGGAGGTTCGCTATCGTCGGCAAACACGACGCTGCTTTGCAAAAGCTTTCATCCAGCCCGGCGGCTCTCCGAGAAGCGATGCAGAGCGCTGCTGCTCTCGAGAGGTGGGTGGTGCTCTCCTTTTCTCCCGGGTGGCCAGCTCATCCTTGACGGAGACCGTGGGATTTCTTGTGCGACCTCGGAGTATACGGGGTTCCAATCGGGGTGGCTGAAGCTTTCCTCGGTATGGTGGGTGGTGGCAGCGGGGGAGGGGCGTCCCTCGAAGGCGCGTCGAACCGACTCCTCCCGCTCTACAAAAGCCAAAGCCTCGACCGGCAAGAGGCATCAAATCTGACCTGCCACAGACAGGCAGACAGACAGACAGCCCTTGTTTGGCTTTTGCGTATCTCCCAAAACGTCGGATGAGAGAGAAAGAGAGAGAGGAGAGAGGAGAGAGGGGGGGCCGGGGAATGTCCCCCCCCTCACATCGAAACCCCGCTCCTCCTCCTCCTCCCCCTTCACCGATCCTCCCCACTCCGATCCACAATCCCATCCGTACTCCCCTCCCGCTCCCGCAGCCCATACGCGCCCCCATCCGTCCCCCCCGCCGTCATCGTCTCGCTCACCCCATCACAATCCCTACTATCCCTCTTGCCCTCCCCCTCCCGCTCCTCGCAACTAAACACCATCTTCCTCTCATGCGTTACCACGATCCGATTCATCGCGATCGCCCCCTCCCCGCTCCCCCGCCGCACCCCCACGCACGACGCCTCGATGTCCGCCTTCATCGTGTCCGGCCAGTCCTTGCCGACCGCCGCCGCCACCGCCGCCTCTTGGTAGTGCCGCGAGATGATGGTTTCGGTGCCGAATGCGGAGCGGCGCGTGCCGACTGAGTGGTTGGTGGTGGTGTTGGGGTTGCGGGGGTTGGGGTTGGGGTCCACGTCGATGTTGTTGTCGACGCCGGAGGGGTAGCTGTGGTTGGTGGTTTGTCCGGTGCGGTCGCCGGATGTGACCCAGTGGAGGACGAGGACGGAGAAGAGGACTAGGGGGGAGGAGAGGGGGAGGTTAGGTGGGCTTGCTTCTTTTCTCTCCTTTTTTTTTGGCGTTTTGGGCGGCTGGTTGAGGGGGATGGCAGGAAGGATGGGGGGAGGGATCAACTCACTGTCGGCGTTGCAGCACAGCAGGCAGATCCAGCCGGGCTCGCCTCGCAGCACCATCAGCACCGTCAGGTTGGCGACGCTCGAGGTCAGCGTGGCGCAGCTGCCGATGAAGGTGCGGAACGCCATGGTGTGCAGCATCGTGTTCTGCCTGTTCTTGTACGAGTAGAGCTGGCGCAGCGGCACGATGAAGAGCGCCGTCATGTACACGTTGACGGCCACGTCGAAGATGATGAGCGGCATCATGGCCCGCTTCTGCATGCCGATGATGCAGGTGCCGGTTTTGTTGATGTAGGCGATGCGCCTGCGGGGTTTGGTTCAGTCGCGTGGTCCGGCGGGCTCGGGGGATGGCGGATGCACTTACCATACGAAGTTGAGGATGACGACGATGGTGTAGGGGAGCATCATGAAGAAGCAGTTGAACAGGTAGAGCTTGTCCTTCAGCCGGGCTTCATGCTTGCCACGGACAATGTACTGCCGGTGGGAAAGAGTTGGTCAGCCGTCGGAGCACCAAGGAAATTCGGGGCGGTCGACATACGGCCTTCTCGACCAGGAAGCAGTAGATGAAGATCTTGGTGGACATGTAACAGATGAGACAGAGCAGGATGGCCCCTTCGCATATGGTTTGGTTGCTGTTGAGCCCGACGTCTTTGAAGAGCGCGGTGACGAAGACGAACAGAAACGAGTCGACGTAGATGATGACGATGAGCCAGGCGGCGAGCGGCAGGGACAGCCAGTTGTGGATGCGTTGCACCCGTCGCACGATGCAGACGGACAGGACGCAGAGCGTGACCAGCGACATGAACATCTGCGTTTCGCATCAGCCGGGCGTCATGAGCTGGCGGGCTCTGCCGTCTCTGCTTACTGATATCATCCTGCCTGCAAAAGGAATGTCGGCAGGGGTGTAGTTGGCCGGCGCCGCCTCTGGGTCGCGCGCAACGACCGGCCATTCGGGTGTGGGAGCCATGGCCGAGACTGGAGAGAGCGAACTGACGCAGAAAACAAAAAGCAAAAGCGTTTCCCGGAAGGCGAAGGTCCGGGGGTGTACCTGGAGGTACCCCTTGTATATACGAAAGGAGTGGTGGTGGTGGTCGTGATATGTGTGAAGGAACGTGGTCCCCACTCGAGGGTGGAGGGATTTCAACGAGAGTTGCAGCTAGCGGGACGGGCGCTGCGGTATCAAAAGGCACTGCAGCAGCTAGGGAGGGTGCTGGCACAGCCCTGGCTACCAGGGACTACCAGGGGAGCAATAAGGTGACGGACCAGCCAGCCTCGTGGGCTTGGTGCCTGCCCTGCGGCGCCGGGGGCCCGGTTCCCCGCAGAGCTGAACGGCGCGAATAGCCGAGCAGGGCAGAGAGGCGGCTGATCTACAGTCTAGCAGCGGGCCTAGGGGCTGGCGGCGGCGGCGGATGCGGCGGGGGCGTTCGCTATCTTCCGGAGCTTGCGAGAGGGCTGCAGCTTGAGGCTGCAGGAGCGGCGGGGCTTGCTTTTCCTGCGCCGGGCACTGAGCGCGGCGATCTGGATGGAGTTGCGCAGTAGGGATCTCCAAGGGCACCCAAGAGATGCGAGACCGGGGCCTTGTTTGAACATGGCAGGGTGTTTGCACAAGGCCGGCGGTCTTGCGCGCATGAATGACAGCCGCACTGACGGCGCTTTCGTATCGGGGCCGCAGAAGCGGGACCGGGGGGCCGTCGAGAGCGGGCTTGGTTGGCTACTGAAGTCTAATGGCATAGTCTCCGCCCAAGAAGCCATGCGGTACGTCGACCCGCCGCAGAACCGCCGGGTATGCTCTACATAGCTAGTACTACTACGGCAGTCCGTACTGTGTAGCTATGATGATGATGGTGTTATTATCATCTCGCTCTCATCAGCGTCGCACACTTCCACGGTCTGCTCCCCATATCAGTTGTGGGCCCCAGCACACGCGTTGTGACCAGGCTACTGTACCCGCTCAACCACGAAGCAGAAACAGAAGCGCCTGGGCAGGCGGGAGAGAGTGGTGCGTGGCTTCTCGCTTGTTACATCATTGGCCCAAGTCCAGCCACGTTTGCGGAAGCGCTGCTCTTCGCCCGAGTCCAGGCCTTGACTTGTCAAATTCCACAGTTGCCCGCCGGATGCGGCTGATGATTGAGGGCTCATGGTGGCTCGAAGTAGTCCCGAGCACATGATTCGCGAGCAGATCCTGCGATGGTCACCCATCAAGTTCCCGTGGGTGAGTTGACGGAAAGGGACCGGCCTGGATCCTCCTGCTTGCTTCCCCCTCTGTTGTTCCGGGGTGTTGCTCTGTCCGTCCTGCCGTGGCTCGGCTTTTCCGAGTGGGTGTTGACAAGACGACGATGCATCGGAGGTACCCCCGCCTCAGTGTCGGCCTTACCAGGCCAGACTCCACTGTTCGCAATAACAAATAATCGCCCGAACTCCACACTGTTCGCATGATGTACATGACAACACATAGCACAGTGGCCTCGGCCGCCCAATCAAGCATGCTCAACTCGCTTGTGCGCTTTCGCTTGGTCGGCGCGTCCGGCTTGGGGGGCATCACTCTGTGCTCCATGACGAAGGACTAGTGGCTGCCCCAACCGTGCAAGTTTGCGCAATGCTGATTCAAGCCCCTGACATGCATCCTCTTTATCTCGACATCCTGATCTCTCACAACCCACCCTGCATCCTGCGTTATATGGCCTGTGTGTATATTGCCGCACGGATGCAGTCTCAGCGGCAGCCGACTTCCGCCGCCCTCTTCTGCGTAATCCCGTCGGAATGCCATCGTTGCCGATACACGCGCGCTTATGAACGACTCCACTGCGCTTCTTTCATACCCACCCCAGCCTCATTCGGCATTGGAGCAGGGAGAGGCGTTCTTCAACAGCCATTTGTTAACAGATCAGGCACGGTGGAACCCTCCTTCTCTCTCGTGCAAGCTCGTGCGAGAATGACCATGACCTGTATCGCCATACTTTGGAACTGCATGCTTGGATGCCTAGGAAGTGTGCGCACCGCTCTTCACACCGCCGTTGACGGGTCCAGGCCCCAGCGGTTCTCACGAGTCATATACCATTCCCCGTTAGGGCCATGAGTCGTGATGGCGAACTTTCCGCTGCCGCCCGGAGAACCGACGCCACGGATGACTCGCGCAGACGCGAGAGGCCGCGGGAATAACAACGGCCCTGTCAATGCCCGACAGCTGGGCTGTCAGTGTCGGATTGCACTGGAGTGGTGTTGGGCTCGTGTATAAACATGGTGATCGGGCGGCAAAAGCAAAAGTCAGCTGTATCTAAGTTTGGAATCCAGTGTCGCCGGGGCTGGCACCGTTTCGGGAACTGTCTTCCTTGCGGAATCGGATCTTCGATTGTGCGCGCAGCACCCGGAACATCTACCGCTTCCCCTGACAACGGTGTCAGTGCTTTGAGAGCAGCATCGTCGCAGGCGTAAGCACTAACCCAGGACCGGGGCGTGGAAGTATGTCTGAAGAACTCTCACGTCTCTGATGACCAAGACTCCACAGTCGAGACTCTACGTAGTAGAAGCACTACTCAAGCTCAGACAAAAACACCCACTGGGGGGAAGAGTCGCGGTATATCACTATTATTCCCACAGAACAATCCACTCCGGATCGCCGCGATTGGCAAGCATGCGATCCATCCTGGACCTTAACCACGCACACGCACACATGCGCGCACACAGCTCTGCGGAGAAGAAGAGTGATCTACGCCAATTATACCCATCACCTCCCTCCCTCTTCCCCTCACCGGTGCTGCCCAAGGAACCCAATGCTCCCGCCCACTGATACCTAGTACCTACCACGCTTGACCTCTCCCCTTCTCCCCATCCTCGACGACCCACCCATCCACACCCACACAAAAACAGCGGCCATCCAGCCAAGCACCGTCAGCCAAGAGCTCCCTGCCTCAGGCGCCGCCCCACCCCTCCCCCCATGCTCGCTCGCTCGCTCGGCTCGGCTCCTCGCACCACCTACGCGAGCGAAAGCAGCCGATTACGAGCCAGCCGGCCAGCCCGGGCAGATCACCTCGGCCGAGACAGACGACCCTTCCATCCTTATCATTCGGCTTTTTCGGCATCTGTGTCTCGTGGATCTATGTGGCGCGCGCGCGCGCCCTCTCTTTGCCTCCTTCGTCGCTTTGGCGGGGCGCGTGAAGTCGGTCACATCCACATTTTGCTGTTGTAAGCGAGGAAGGGAGGAGGCGTGCCGCCGAGACTGTCGTCGTTGTGGGGCGTGCTGGAGGGGGAGGGGATGAGGGAGGGGAGGGGGGAGGGGAGGGAGGTTTGCGTGATTGCTTGTGGTTGAGATGGGGCTTTGGTTGTAACCATTGGGGCTTTTCCTTTTTTTTTTCTGTTTTTTTTTTGGTTGGAGGATCCGTACGGCGGTGCGTTTTCATGTGGGAGATGATGAAGGGCTGAGACGATAAGACGGCTACTACCAGCACGAAAGACTTGCCTCGTCGGCCGAGCTCTGAGAAGTTGCTGGGATGGTGAATGGATCCGGCCTCTTTCGGAGTCGAGGTTGAGTGTGCCGCGGTCGGTTTCAGGGGCCGGCATATATCGCATGCTGAGACCACTTGACCTTATTTCCTAGGAAAACCGTAAAGCAATCACGGTCGTAAACATTGTGGCGAATCCTCAAGTGGGGTTCCGGATGACATGGCAAAGCTGCTGATTATACAAATGAGTTTTCCTCTGAAGACTCCAATGAAAGTAAATTCTCATGGAAATGACTTCACGTCCTGAGCGCCAATTAAATCATCTTGTCTCACCAGCGAATCATGCCTTAACATGGGGCCAGGTCTGCTTCATTCATAAACGAGGCTTAGTAGAAGAGATCCAACTATCGTAGCTCTCGCGCCATGGGTAGGGGTTCAAGCAGTCTAGCAGTCCAAGTCGGTGTCGTAAGAGACCGCGTGGGAAGCGGCTGTAACGGACGGTCCTGGTAAGCCTGGAGAGCGACGAGACGGAGGTATTCGGCCAAGGTACCGGGCGCCACGTCGGCATCGCAGTTGCGCGGGTCGGTCCAAAGCTGCGCCAACCACGGCGTGGACGAGCCACGCGAGCCGTGCGAGAACTTGATCATGCACGAGTTTTGCAGCGTGTCGCGGACCAGCTTGCGGGCGTGGCGGGCTTCCTCGTCGGTGCGGTCCATGCGGGTCGCGAGCACGTCGAACTCGCGCCGCCCGTCCCAGCCGTTGCGCAGTGGGAAGTAGTACAGCTCCCTCAATGCGGGCAGAAGGCAGACGTGCCTCTCGTAGTATAGCCGGCCGTCGAAGCCGTCGTCGGCATCGATCAGATCCCGCAGACGCACGCCGCAGAGCATGTGTGCGAGATAGTCGGTGTATCTCTCGGGGGACTTCCCGATTCCAGGAACGCCACGCCCCGCTGGTGGCTGGAAGAGGGGCAAGTGTCTAAGGAGAGGGTTGGCGTGGAATCCGTCGCAGGATCGTCCGCCCTGGTCCCAAAGGGCGAGATAGATCTGATGCCAGCGCCGAAGGAACTCATTGCCACGCGTGGTCGCTAGGAAGGGGTTGACCAGGATTTCTTCGCCTGGCCGCAGTGCCAGAGCCATGCCCAGCAGCTCGAACGGGTTTGCCGGGTCCGTGATGATGCTCCATACATCGTCCAAATGTCGGATCAGCAAAGTGCCAACATCTATCCAAACACCGCCGTAGCGGTGCAGCAGCGGCAGTCGCACGAGATCAGCCGAGTGCGCGCCGGCATATGGCCCGGCCATGTCTTGCTCTTGGAACGAAGCTGGGAGTAATGATTTGTCTATGAATCTGGATACGTTGTTTGGAGAGCCTGGAACCGAGTCGAGTACTCTCACCGTCCATGGATCACGACCCGCAGGAGAGCAATGTAAGAGCCGAACCCAGTTCATGACGTTTCGTTTTGTCCACGGGGGCATTGACTCGAATCCGGATCGCCAGTAGGCCCACACGTTCTTGTTGCTGTCGGTGGGTGGGACGTAGTCGCACAACATGTGCGCGATCTCCCGGTCCGTTCGGCCATCACGCCTGTTCTCGGGAATCGGAGACATGCCGTCCGGGAGGAATGAATGTGTCTGCATCGTGTTTGTCACGGAGTCGAAGTCATCTACCGGGGGCGAAACTGGGATTTCGCTCTTGAACAATGGCGATATCCAAAGGGGACAAGGTTGATCACGTTCGCAGAGGGATATATGCACCCGCACCGCATGCACCCCGGGTTCCGTGTTCGGCTTGTACCCGAAAACGGCTCGTTGATCACTTGTGCGGAATGGGGTCCATTGCATGCAATTGCCGCATCGGCGACAGTGCTGATGCTAAGCGTGCAGTTAATATCGTCCTACGTCAACGAAGATTCCAGCCTGTGTCCGTGTCTCTTGAGTTTCCCATTCACCTTCCCTTCACAGCATCATGCTGGAAAACAAGTCGCTCAGCTTGCCAGACGAGCCTCATTTTCGGCAGCTGATCCAAAATCACGACACAATCCGCCATGTCATCTTTCGTGATCTCGCCTGCCAGGCCGATGCCGACTATGCCCAATTACTCTTCGATATCGCGCATTTGAGGCGGCGTATTGTCGACAATTTGCCCGCCTCTGCTCTTGATGGAAAGGGCCGTATCAGAGAAGAGAGACCCTACATATGCACCTTGGCACCGGCCGGGTACGAATTCCTTGTGGCTGCACTTGCCGTGCTTTCAATCGGCGCCGCCATAGTTCCCTTGGGTCAGTGCAACGACTTCCCATCATCTCCCGCTCATTGCTGACATGGATGCCGTCACAACAGCGCCCGAAGTACTGCCAGTCGAGGCGCTGTACTTCCTCAAACAGTGTCGAGCCGATCTACTACTCACAAGCTCCCGCTGTTCACCGCTGGGTGACAGCATAGAGCAGTACGTCCGCTCTCACGGCCAGACAACAACCTTTCTGCCCATCAAACCAAGCGTCATGGCCCGCGGCCAGCAACAACCCGTAGCCGTCGACCCCGAGATGACCATCCCAGCCGACCGCCCAAGCCTGATCCTCTTCACATCCGGCAGCACCGGCCCGCCCAAAGGCGTCGTCCACAACCGCCGCTTCTTCCACTCCGGCTACGGCACCTCCTCCTCCCCTTCCTCCCCCGACCTCTTCCTCACCCACCGCCCCGTGCACTGGATCGGCGGCCTCCGCTCCATCATCAACCTCGCCATCAGCGGCACGCCGCAAGAAGTCGTCGCCGAGCCGACCGCACCCGCAATCTGGCACCGCCTCCGCGACGGCGACGGCGACGTCACCATGCTCTGCTGCGTCATCCCCATGTGGATCCGCCTGATGGAGCACTTCCGGCACGCGCTGAGCCGTCTACCCGCCCCGGAGCTCGAGCCGTATCTGCGCGGCGCGCGGGCGCTGCGCGTGGCGCGCGTGGGCGGCGCGGCGCCGCAGCCGTCGCTGCTGCGGTTCTGGCGCGAGGAGCTGGGCGTGCCGTTGGAGGTGACGTATGGGTGCACGGAGACGGGCGGGCCGGGCTTGATGACGGATGAGCGGACGGATAGGGATCGCGAGGTGGGGAGCGCCTGTGATGTTTTTGCGCGTTGTGGCTCGGTGCTGACGATGGCGTAGTGCAACCTGGGCAGGCCGGAGGAGGGCGTCGAGGTCCGTCTGTCGGAGGGTGACCGCGGCGAGATCTTGATCAGGAACTCTAGGCAGTTTTCACAGTCAGTAGAGTGCAGGTTTGCTTTCGGTGGCGATGGATGGCGGGGCTGACGCTCTAGGAAAAGCTACCTCAACGACGACGAGGCCACGCGGAATGCGCTTACCGAGGACGGTTTTTTCAAGACAGGTGACTACGGCCGTCGTGTTGGTGACGAGTATACGATCGAGGGCCGACAAGCAACTGACTGTACGTGGGCCTGGTCGTTGTTCGGATCGCTGTTCTGGTAAAAGCTCACTCGAGCCATAGTTGTGCGTTTTCACGGCTTCAAAGTCCCCGTTGTGGAAGTGGAGATGCGTTTGCTGGAGCTGCCCTTCATCTCCCAAGCCTGCATCGTTTCGGTCCCCGACGGCGATGCGTCTACACGCGTGGCAGCCCTCGTGCGCTTCAACGGGGACGGCCTCTCCCAGGGACTTGCGGAACTCCGCGAGGAACTCTCAGCTACGCTCGCACAGTACAAACTGCCGACAGCACTGCGGGTTCTCCAGCCCAGCGAGAAATTTCCCGTAACCTTTACCGGCAAAGTCTTGAGGAAGAAGGTTGTAGAGCAGTACTTTCCAACAATGGGTACTTACGAGCTTCCACGTGATGTTGAGCTGTGGGACCTTCGGTCGAAGGGTCAGCAGGGTGCGCCACACAAGGCGTGGGATTGGGCGGGGCTGCAAGGATGTTGAGAGGTGCCTGTAACATCCCGCCATCATTTGTATGTACATGGCTATGGCGACTACAAGAAATAATAATCACGCTCATCCTTCTTCGTTGCTGAGGGGTAAAGGTTACTCAAGGTAATCATCAGCTGTGGGTGGGTGCTATCAGGTCAAACTGCTCACAGTTCCAGAGCTTCCAAATTTTAATTGACTCTTTCATCCCCGTAGTGTAACTAACTCTTTTACATGAAATCAAAGTTCAACAAACTCCCGCCTTGCAACCTCCGCACAAAGGCAGCCGCGAGGAACACCACGCCGACAACAACAGAAGGAGCCGCCTTTTTCATCACCTTGCGCCAGCGGGTCCAGTATATGCGGCGGTGCATTGTGATGAAGAAGCCACTGTCGTTGACGTGAGGAAATTTGACGTCAGGGACAGAGACGCCCAGGAAGGCGCACAGTGGCGCCCATCCGTGCGAGGGATGGAATTCCAGAAGCTTCTCTTGAGGCACGACTTCGCGGACGTGAAGGTGGTACTCTTCGTGATAGCGCAGCAGAGCGGCATCGGCGCTTGCGTGCCAGGGTGGCTGCCCGGCTGACCATACAATCGTGGCCCGATTGAGAAGCCGCCAGTACGGCCTCGAGAACTCGGTATCGAGCCAGGCCAGGATGCTCCACGACCGCCAGGCTAGCACAGCCAGGGCGGTTGCTCGCATCGACGCCAGCCACGACCGGGGCTCTCGCGCCATGAGCACCACCTTGGCAGACGGATATGCGGCAAGCAGCTCGTCCGGAAAAAGACAAGCCGGCGCATCGGTGACAGCCTGTTTGGCCGAATCAGCAGAGTTCAGCCCCACTCCCAACGGATTCAAGTCTTGCATCGTAGTTCCACAGCATCTGGTCGAAATCTTTGCCTGCAAAAGGCGTCCCGTCGCCGTCGTACTTGGCGTGTATCGCCGCCAACCAGAGCTCAAAGTGGTCATTCTTCAAATTGCGGGTGACTTCAACGAAATGGTATGGATTCAGTCCAAGCGTCTGCAAAGCTGCACACATTGCTGGCCATGATTGTTAGTAGTCGCGGCAGCGAGGGCCCGCCGCAGGCCTCGATTATAGTAACTCACAAGCTGTCCCGGACCGCGATAACCCCATTACTAGCACCCTCACAGGCTTCTCTCTAGGTAGAATGGGCGACCTTTCAGGATAAGGTTCGATGTTCAGAGTTGCGAACATATCTTTGAGCTGGATCAAAGGCATTTTGCACCAAAAATATACTTCCTGAAGATGGTAACCTTGGATATTGAAGTTGATGTTCGTTCCCTGCCAAACGTGCCTGCGTATTTGTATGTACTTGGACTCTTTTTCTTTGGCGATTCTTTTGGGTCCACAGGTATGTTCGGATCAAACCTCATGAGACTGGCCGAAAGCGGCGAACTGGTAATCCACCCCGCTAAACATATCACGTTGAAGTCAATTCTTCACAGTCTCCACTGTTACGTAACCACTCCCATTTTCGTTCCCGCGTACACGATTAAACTTTGATGTCCGTTTTCGCTTTACGCCAACAGAAAAACGATCTCAGGTCATTATTATTGAATCAATTCTCAGCCATTTTTATGCCGTGCTTACGTTTCGATGGCGTACAGATGACTCCATCCCATTATTCGATCAACACAGTTGCAGGAGCCCCCTCGCCGTTTCCAGACGCTCGGCACGTCACCCACACATGGTTCCTCAGCCTACACGCCGCCAAACGCCGCCTGCCCCTTCAAGACCTGGGCCGCGATTTCGGGATACCACCGCCTGCCCACGTCGGGGTGACTGGTCAGACGAGCGGTGAAGATGCCAATGCCCGGGTTCTGGCGGTGGTAGGTGGCAAAATAAGCCTCGGCGTCCGACTTGACGTGCTCGTCGGCGACCAGGCGGGCGACGTGGGCGGGCAGGCGCAGCGACAGCAGCTTCTCGGTGGACAGGTCGAGCTTCAGCGTCTGGAAGACTGGGAACGAGTAGCGGGGCCCCAGGGAGCGGGCGGTGGCGGTTGGGTCCTCGAAGTGGCTCGGGTGCAGGTTGACGCGGTGGGTGGTGGCGGTGCACACGCCGTGGGTGATGGCCTCGAGCGAGCGGCCGACGTTGACGACGAGGGCGTCCGGCCGCGGCGGCACGGCGATCCACTCGCCCTTTTTGTTCTGCGCCTCCAGCCCCGCGTGCGGCGTCGCCTGCAGGAGGTAGGTGAGGAAGCCGCCGTCCTTGTGCGAGCCCACGCCCTGGCACTCGGTCGTGGGGTCCGGCTCCGGGTACTTGAGCAGCGACACCTTGTTGCGCGGCGGGTCGTTGAAGAAGCTGGCCAGGTTGCCCGGGTCGAGCTCCAGCGCTTCCGCCACCAGGTCGCGCATGAAGTGCCCCAGCTCGCCCACTTCCGCGAGGTATGTCTCGAGCGCCTCTCGGAAGCCCGGAACCGTTTGGCTGTCCGGCCACTGCGTGGGCGCGTCAATAGAGCACGGGCTCAAGCCGCCGCTGGGTGTCTCACCTGATTTGGACCTTGGACGTTCAGGTACACCGGGTCATCTGGCCCCGGTGCCGGCAGGGGGGATAGGAACTGGAGTGCGAAAGTCAGCCGGTGTGCGGCCAGATCATGATTATGGCAAGCTTACGTCGAACATTTCGCGGTGATCAATCTTGCGAGCGGTTCTCTCGCACCCCATTCTCGAGTATCCGAGGAAATGCTTGCTGTTGATCATGTCGATCTCGAGCTTCTTCTCCATCGGCATGTTGCACACCTCGATGGACTTCTCAACGAAGCGGCTCTTCGTCTCGGGCTTGATCCATCTCTCGGTGCTGGTCAGGTAGAAGAAGCCGACGACGACCAAGGCATTGCGCAGCTCCGACAGCAGAAGACGCTTGCTCCTCGGCGAGTCGGCGAGAGAGAGGTCGAGCGTGGGAATCGTGGTGAAAGTCTGGTTGTTCACGCCCACCATATTAGCGGCTTTGGACGCTTCTGAAATTGCTCGTCGACAAGAGGTGACACGATGAGAGACGGACTACGCAGAAGACGCTCGTTGACTTCCATTTACTCTGGCAGACATCATTCTCTCGTGGTCGAGTAAGAAGCTCCTATTTCCCGATTGCATGCAGCATCTTGCACTGACGTAATGCTTGCCTCCAGTCCTCGGCTGGATGCGGCGGCCAAGGGAGATGTAGCATCTTTCTGCTTTCGCGTGCGGGTAGATGGCGTGAGCATCAATTGGCGAGTGCCTGGGCCCAAGCGTTGTCTGAAAACATGCAGAGCTGCATGCATATCCATCTGCTCATGGCCACGGTGCGAGGGGGACTGGCAAGATGTGGACAAGTGGAGTCATCTGTGGGCAACCCGCAAGCGATGGAGCAAGCCTTTCCGAACAAGCCCGTACATGAACGGTGTGGAGAGTTTGCGGTGTCTGCGGACGTCCTGGGTGCTTCTGGGCGCGTACAGGAACTGCGATTGGGCCGGAACCGGCAAGACACAGGCTCTTAAGTACAGTAGACTTCCTCGACCTCGACCCCCGACATGCATGCACCATGTCGTCTTCCAAAACCCAGACCACTGTTGCAGCGAAGCCTATGATACTTGAAACCAAGTATCAGTGTACGTTGACCCTCGACTCCGTTCCATGAAAAGCGTATATTCTTACTGGTGCCCAGTGGATTATGCGGACATTCCCATCCTCGACTTTGGAGAGTTTGACCGGCCCGGCGGGGTGGAGCGACTCGTTGCTCAAACAAAAGAGGCAGTAGAGGGAACGGGTAAGTCGAGGGAAAAGCCCATGCATGTCGCTTCCAACAGGGGTGCTGACGCGTCAAGGCTTCTTCTACGTCGACAACTTTGGCCTGTCGGTGGACGAGATCAACGAGCAATGGGAGCTCGGCAAGAAGATCCTGGCGCTGCCCGACGAGGAGAAGCTGAAGTACCGCGCGGCGCTCGAGGACGGAGACTACAACGGCTACCGGCCGCTGGGGGCGATCGAGCAGTTCCCGGGGCTGCGGGACAACTGGGAATGCTACCACATCTTCAAGTTCATCCCGGAGCACGAGCGGGCGCACCCGGCCGTGGTGCGCGAGCACCTGGCGCAGATTGAGAGGTTCCACCGGCACGTGCACGAGCAGGTGGCGTACCGGGTGCTGCGGCTGCTGGCGCTCACGCTGGAGATGGCCGAGGACTTCTTCGTCGACCGGCACCGGTACGAGGCGCGCTGCTCGTCGTTCCTGCGCTACATGAAGTACCACCCGCGCAGCGCGGAGACCAACGCGCGGTACAAGCAGATCTACACGCGCGGGCACACGGACTTTGGCAGCGCGACGCTGCTCTTCTCGCAGCCGGTGGGCGGGCTGGAGCTGGAGGCGCGCGACGGGGCGGGGTGGAAGGCGCTGCGGCACCGCGAGGGCAGCATCATCGTCAACACGGCCGACATGATGCACTTCTGGACCAAGGGCTACCTGCACAGCTGCATGCACCGGGTGGTGGCGCCGCCGCCGGACCAGGAGCACATGGAGCGGTTCGGGCTCATCTACTTCCTGCGGCCGAGCGACAGCGCGCGGCTCGAGGTGGTCGACAGCCCGCTGCTCCACCGGCTCGGCCTGGTCGACCAGCCCGAGAGCGAGGAGCTGCGGGCCAAGCGGCAGGTCACGGTGGGCGAGTGGGTGCCGGTGCAGACGAAGCGGAACTGGACGCCGTACGACCAGCAGCCGCAGTCGCAGCGCGAGTTTCAGTCAATCTTCCGGTGATGGTATGTGGCGGAGGGTGAATCAATTTCTTTGTCTGTATGCCACGATAGTAGATAGAAGTGCAGTCATAGCGGGTGACGCAAGAAGCTGACCTACGGTGAGCCTGACGTGGACAGTTGAAGCAAGTATGTAGAATCAAATCAAACAGATTTCCTCATGAGCAGCCGAAGCACGAGGATTAGTGCACTACGCCGGGCCCCCCTCTCCTCGCTGGACCACCTCCACGGCCAAGTCCAGGGGCCACTCGGGGAGATCTGTCCCGTTGCCGCGGGTGCCGACGTTGTAGGCCAGCTCGACGGCGTCGTCCTTGAAGCGGGCGACGGGCCGCACGCGCTCGACGGTGGCGTCGATGGCGCGGGAGTAGTAGCGGGCGAAGAAGGCAGGGCGGAACAGCACGTCTTGGCGGTAGCGGCGCAGGAGGTGCAGCACGGCGGGCACGGTGTGGCGGGTGTTGTGGTAGTGGCGGAAGGCGGGCTTGCCGTAACGCGACCAGAGCCGGTTCCAGACGTCGGCCGGGTAGGCGCCGCACGAGCGGACGAGCCAGTGCGAGTAGTAGTTGAGGGCAACGTCGACGCCGTAGCTGCCGCCGTGCTCGCCTCGCTCCATGAGCGCGTGCAGCACCGCCACGCAGCCGATGACGCCGGTGCTGGCCAGTGAGGGTCAGAGTGGTGGAAGGAAAGAGGAAAAAAGCATCTCACCAGTGGTCCGAGTTGGGAAAGGGCGGGGTGACGGCTTCGTCGGGCAGGCCCATGGCGCGGCCAAACTCGAGCGACACGCCGCAGCACTGGCTCCAGTGGCTCCGTTAGCAGTCGTCCGGCTTCAGAGTGCGGCTTGCCTACCGCGTCGCTGATGCCCTGCCACCCGCTGCGATGCGCCCACGGCCCGTGCCAGCCGTAGCAGTTCTCGCGCAGGTGCACAATGCCACGCTCGCGGTCGCGCACCAGCGCGAAGATGTCGTCGCGCCCGAAACCGAGGCGGGCCAGCGCGCCCGGGCGGTAGCCGTCGACGACGACGTCGGCGTCCTGGATCAGGCGGCGCAGGGCATCGCGGTCGGCCGAGTCGCGCAGGTGCAGGCTCGCGTTCCACTTGCCCCAGTTGAGGTCGCGGTGCACCGAGATGTGGTCGGGCAGGTGCGGCGACGTGACGCGCATCACGCTGGCCCCCAGCTCCGCCAGGCTGCGCGTGATGGTCGGCCCTGCGATGACGCGACTGAGATCGAGCACCTTCAGCCCACCCAGCGGCCGCCGCGCCGACGACTCAACGCCACCGCTCTCCGCCCACCACCCAGCCCGCTGCCCGCCCTCCCGCTGCCCGCCCTCCCGCTGCAGCTCGTACAGCCCCGCCCCGCTGTTGGCCTGCCCGTGCGCGCTCGCCAGGTACTCGTCGGCGCTCCACGCCACCGTGCCCGCCTGCCCGTGCTGCTCGTTCATCGCCTCGTCGAGCTCCGCCGCCGTCCACTGCGCCACCTTGGCTTGGATCCGCTGCGCCGCGCTTTCGACCGTGTCTGCCGCAGTCCCCGACGCCGGCAGTCCCAGCGCCGCCAGCGTCGCCGTTGCATCGAGGCTGCCTGCAGTCGTTGCTCCGTCAGCCCTGGCCATGCCTGCCCCAATCCGACGCTACCTGTACTCGCCGTGTGTGTGGTAACATCGCCCGTCGCCCGTCTTGTAGATGCTGGTCGCAAGCAGCCGATAGACCTCTTCCGCTGCCGGCGCAGGGCCCCGCTGAAGCGTGTCGGGATCCAAGCCGTAGCCGTCGCCGTCGCCGTCGCCTCCGCTGTCCACAATCCGCGCCAGAGCCGGCGACATGACGAAGAGCGACGCATGGTCCCTGCAGCCGTCAGCACCCGCCTCGTCCGTCCGCGGGGGGAAACTCACGTGTTGATCGTCACCTCGACCGGCTCGACGCCATACTTGCGCACCAGCAGCCGGTTGACCATGGTAGCCTCCAATGCTTTGAGCGCCGATATGCTCTCGGCCCACCGCCAGTTGACTGGAATGCTGGGCTCGGCATCGCCCTCGAACCGGACGAGACCGCCCAGTTGGTCCAAGTCCTGCGGGAGGTGCCGGCGTACGAGGTCGTTGGCCAGGATTCCGCGCCGCCACACGGCTTCACTTTCGCGAGGCACCGAGTATTCTAGCTGCGGTTCCGAGCCCATGGTTTTTCTGCGACTGAGGCTGTACTGATGGAAACAGTGCTGCTGTGCCCCCTTCTTCAATGGAAGAAAAGAACAGCCCGGAATTGTTGCCGATCCCGCAGGCATGTATGATGCCCCAACGCATTGTTCAACCACTCCAGAGACCACTATCACTGTAGGTGATGAAAGAAATCGACCCGACTACATGCGTGGCGGAATCCTCTATCTGGATGCATTGGTGCGGTTTTGAAACTCGCATCTCCATCCGGCTATCTGCTTCAGCTCTTCAAAGTCAATTCGTTCCGTTGCCTACTGTGGTATCGCTCATCATCCATCCTTGGCAGTCGCAATATACAAAGCCGCGCTGATCTCTATAGGTTAAGCTGCATTGCACCCATCTCCTGCATCCCCCTGTGCAGAGCCCATGGCAACCGTCACCGTCACCCATCGTGCCACAGGGTCTGAGCTCTGTTGTCTGGCAGAGGCCACAGCCGAAGATCTAGTCCAAGGCCTGGCCGAGAATCGCTTTAGCAGCGTCGATCTGGTCCATGTCTGAGCCCTCCAATATCGCAGCATGCGGCATGGCTGACTTTTGCGGCAGGCCTACGTCGACAGGATCGGCCAAGTCAATGCGGCCCTTCGCGTTGTCATGGAGATCAACCCAGACGCCTGGCTCATCGCAGCAAGCCTTGACGTGGAGCGGGCTCGAGGACGTCTGCGGGGGTAGAGCACACGCCCGAAAACGCCCCATTGCCTTCGTCTGGCTGACGAAGCCAGGCCTTTGCATGGCATTCCAGTCCTGCTCAAGGGAAACATCGGCACACGGGACCGCATGCAGACGGACGGTCAGTTCATTGTTGATGGTGTTAAGCGTGTTTCGCTGGTTGACTTGGACCCAAGCCGGCTCGTGGGCGCTGCGCGACGCGACCCCCTCTGCCGACTCGACCGTCGCCGCCAAGCTCAGAGCCGCCGGCCTCATCATCCTGGGCAAAACGAGCCTCACCGAGTGGTCCATGTTCCGTGCCAGCAACTCATCACACGGTTGGAATGCTGTTTCCGGCCAGGCCTATGGCGCCTACTGTCCAAGACAGTGCCCCGGAGGAAGCTCCGGCGGCAGTGCAGTGGCGGCTGACCTTGGCCTTGCGTGGGCTACGCTGGGAACGGAGGTGAGCTTCATCACTTGCTAGCCACATGTGGGGGGTTCTGGCTGATGCCATGTGCGTGCCAGACTTCAGGAAGCATAGTCAACCCGTGCAGCCGCAACAACGTCGTCGGAATCAAACCGACTGTTGGGCTTACATCTCGGCGCTTGGTCGTTCCCGTGAGCGAGCATCAAGACACGGTTGGGCCGATTGCTCGGAGTGTCAAAGATGCAGCCAGGCTGTTGCAAACCATCGTAGGCAAGGATCCCCATGATGACTACACCTCCGCATCCCCGTATCCAGGTAACCCCCCGGATTATGTGGCAGCATGCAAGCCGCACGGGCTTCAAGGGAAACGCATTGGCATTCCCCGGAACGTAATCGACCAGTCCTCTGATCAGCTCTCTCATGTCATGGATGCATTTGACAAAGCCATTGCGGTGATCCAGGAAGGCGGGGCTGTTGTCGTCGACCGCGCCGACTTCACGGCCTTCAGTCGCGTCATGGCACGAGAATACAACCCCGTCACCCGCGCTGACTTTGCCGTCAACCTGCCGCAGTACCTCGTCCAACTGGAGCACAATCCACAGGGAATCCACTCTCTGGAACATCTCCGTCGCTTTACGCGGGCTTGCCCGCAGGAGGAGTTCCCCATTCGCGATACTCGCAACTGGGACACGGCGCTGGAGCGCCCAATAAGCAACAGTTCGGCCGAGTTCGACGCAATGTACGCCGAGAACCTTTACCTCGGCGGCCCGGGAGGGGTCGAGGGAGCCTTGCAGCGTCACCAGCTCGACGCCCTGGTCTTGCCCGCCGAAGTGTCCTTCAACGTCGCAGCGCTGGTTGGCACGCCCATCGTCAGCGTCCCGCTGGGGGCCGCGCCGGACGACGTGCCTGTGAAGCGTCAGCCAGGCTGGGATGAGGTTGAGCTGGCGCCGGGGATCCCCTTCGGCATCAGCTTTCTCGGGTCGAAATTGAGCGAGGAGAACCTAATAGAAATCGCTTATGCGTTTGAACAGATGACGCGTGTGCGGGGGACACTGGTGCACCACGTAGCGCCGCAGACGGATTTACGAGGCTGAGTTGCTATCATTACATAGATCTTTTGCCAAGTATCACCCAACCACAGTTCCGCATGGCTCCAGCAACCCAGCCTCCCGCACGGGTGCCTCGAGAGTCCCGACTTTGGCGGGGACCAAGCGTCGTTTATGGTCATAGCTGAGAATGCTTTCCCTCAAGTACGCCGCCAACGTTCCCGGCTCGTCATCGGCATGGCAGTGGCGTGGATCATCCCAGAGATCCGCAAGCCAGGTTGTCGCGGATCCTCCCTTGGGCCCGTGAGAAAGCTTGATCACGACTGAGTTCTCGAGCAGGTCATGTGCGAGGTCTCGCGCATGGCTTGTCACTCGGGGGTTTGCGACATCATCCAAGCGTGTAGAAAGGACGTCGAACTCCTTTTCCCCGTCCCAGCCCGACCATTCCTGCAGCCGAAACATCTCCCGGAAGCTCGGCAGCAGGAAGACATTGTTCTCATAGTAGCGGCGGCCATCGAAGCCATCATCACGACACCGCAGGTCCCGCAGCCGCTCCGCACACAGCATGTGGGCCACGTAGTCGGTAAAGGCCTCGGGCGAGACGGCGAAGAGACGCGAAGGCGTGTACAGCAGCAGATGGCGCAGCAGCCGGTGACGGTGGAAGCCAGTGGCGTCGGCCGCGTCGCCGTCGGCCCACAATCCAAGGTAGATGCGGTGCCAGCGCGTGACGAAGGCGTTGGCCCGGCGCGCGACGACCAGGAAGCCGTTCATCGCCGTCTCCGCCTCGCCCCTGCCCCGCAGCGGCATCGTCATGGCCGCCAGCTCGTACGGCGTCGACGCGTCGTCCAGCACGTCCCACACGTCGTCCAGGTGCCGGATCAGGATCGTGCCCACGTCCATCCACGCCCCGCCGTACAGCTGCAGCAGCGGCAGCCGCACCGCGTCGCCGGCATGCACGCCGGCATGCTTGCTTCCCGAGGGCGTGGTCGCCGCCGCGAACGCCCCCCGCGGGAGCAAGTCGGGCCCGACGAAGCGCGAGGCGTTGGTGGGCGAGCCCGGAATGCTGTCGAGCACCCGCACCGTCCAGGTCGGCCCCAGCCGCCGCACCCAGTTGATGACGTTGCGCCGACACCACGCCGGCATCGACGCGTAGCCCGAGTGCCAGAATGCCCACACGTTCTTGGTGCTGTCGGTGGGCGCGGCGTACGCGAGCAGCTGCCGGGATATCTCGTCGTCGGTCGGCGTCCTGGGGGGGTCGGCGTCGCCATTCCGGGCGTTTGGGCTGCGATCCGGGATGGGAATGTGCATGGTGAGGGGGCGGAGTTTGGGGGGTTGGTTTGTTGGACGTGTAGGTTGGTGACAGAGTGCATGCGGACGGCCTTATTAAACCTGGCTATTTTTCGTGTTCACACATTCCTTATTACACGCTAATCATGCCCCCTCGCCATCTGCCTTCTGGTTGCAGGACATCTCTCTTTGATTTGTATAAATATACCGGTCGCGGATGTTGCGTTTATTGCGGCACTGCCCCGATCCGCCATGGTGAGACTGTACCAAGATGACGATGTACAGCAGGCGCATCTCGACGTCTTTCTTCAGGCCCGATCGGTGCCCGCGCCGTGTTTACCCCCAGGACTGTCGGAAGCGCAGTTCAGTGACGTAATCCGGGAATTGAAATCTATCGTCGGAGAAGCCAACATCCATACGGGCCAGAGTCTGCTGCACTTCTCTGACCCGTTCGCCTTCCACCAGGACAAGTTTCCGTCCGCAGCCGTCTGGTGCGTCAAGAACGGGTTGTGTGGCATCGATGCTGACCCGATGGCCGCAGTCCGAAGTCGGTTGAGGAGATCACCCGGGTCCTGGCGCTAGCCAATGCCAGGCACTTCCCGTTGTGGACGGTTTCGAGAGGGAAGAACCTTGGGTAGGCGCACACACATGTATAACCAAGCTCTTTCACCGACGGCTAATGATGACGAAGATATGGCGGACCATCGCCCCGTGTGGCGGGGTCTGTCGTCCTATCGCTGCATCGCATGGACTGCATCCTGGAGGTCAACGAAAGAAGCTCGCACGCGGTCGTCGAGCCCGGAGTGACGTTCCTTGACCTATACAACCACTGCCGTGCGGCAAAGCTCGCCGTCTGGCCGAGCGTACCGGCCATCGCATGGGGCAGCGTTCTGGGCAACGTGCGATGACCTCAACATCAACCCTCGCTATCTTGACTAATGCTGTGCCTCGCAGACGTTGGACCGCGGGTTTGGCTACACGGCGCTCGGTGACCATCACAACCACATCTGCGGAATGGAGGTCGTGCTACCAGATGGCGACATCGTCCGCACCGGCCAGTGGGCTGTCGATGGCTCCCCCAGCGCCTTTGCCTGCAAGTCACAGTTCGGCCCGCAGGTGGACGGCTTGTTCCTGCAGAGCAACCTCGGCGTGGTCACCAAGCTCGGCATACGGCTCCAGTCCCAGCCTGAGGCCACAATGGCTGTCAGTCTCGAAATGCCCGAGCTGGACGACCTTGGCTCTTTGATCGAGGTCTTGGGGCAGCTGCGGCGGGACGACGTGCTCCAGAACGACCCCTCCATCTACGACGTCTCCCGAAGAATCAGCCAGCTGGGCCCCCGCCACGCCGTGTACCAGGGCCCCGGCGCGCTGCCAGACGCGCTCGTGGCCGACCTGATAGCAAAGCACGGCTGGCACTACTGGAAGGCGTGGTTCAGCTTCTACGGCACCAAGGCGGCCATCGAAGCGCGGCTGGCAGCCACCGAGGCCGCCCTGGCGCGCCTAGCAAACCCAAGCACAGCACGTCTGACGCACCGGCTCTTCGAGGGCTCCGGCCCCGGCTCCCGCGTCGACGCGGCATCCATCCCGGACGAGTGGCAGCCGATGAACGCCGGCGTCCCGACCATCAAGTTCGCGTCCACGCTCAACTACAACACCGCGCCGGGCGGCCACGGCGGCCACGTCGACTTCTCGCCCATCCTGCCGTACGACGGCGCCCTGGCGCTGCGCTGGTACCGCGACGCCGTCGTCCTGTGCCGCAGCTTCGGCTTCGACAGTTTCCTGTGCGTCCACGCCTTTCGGAGCCACGCCGTCTTCGTCCACATGCTTCTCTTCGACCGCACCAATCCCGAGCACGTGGTCGCTGCGGATGCGCTCTGGCATGCTCTGGCTGACAAGGCGCGTGAGTACGGGTTTGCGAAGTATCGCACCCATCTCGACTACATGGGTAAGTCTGATCGTGAAAAGATGCAGTAGTGAAAATATCTCACGCGGCCTGGTAGACGCTGTTCAAGACTCGTACGATTTCAACGGCAATGCTTACAGACGGTTTGTCGAGACCTTGAAGGTGTGTTAATTGCTTTTGTTGTTATTGGATGACGAGAGCTGATACGTGCATGCAGGACGCGCTCGATCCCAACGGCATCCTGTCACCCGGAAAGTCCGGTATCTGGCCAAAGGGATATCGCGACGAGAGACAAAAGGCAGGGGCGCAAGACGAGTGAACAGCGTTCTATCCACAACTCCTTCATCTGATTTGCCCTCCTACACCGGGGGTTCTATTTCCCATCAGACTTCCAACGTATCCGATTGGCCTGCGATGGCGTCGTTGCCCTCCCGCTGCCGTCAGCAGGCCAGGGGTGGTCTCCTGCCAATAGACAAAAGAAAAACCACCGTAGGGGTTTCGAGTAAACCGCATCCTTTTTGCTCGATGTAGTTTGCTTCCCGTCAGACTATCGAAATATATGTTCCCCCGGCGATGATCCCGTCCCCCCATTTTGTTTTCGGTAGCCAAACAACGTCGGAACACTTGGCCCCCAATCATCCCAATGTCACTGCCACGATGCCGTGCTTACTCCATTCGGCGATTAAGTGTGGGGGCAGGGCGTTGCGGTCTGCCTATCCCGTGAGACAGCAGCCCATGAGCAATGCATACGCACACGTGACGCCGATGCGTTCGTCGGAGGTCTTGAGGTACTGTAGAGTTGCCGCTGCCGGAGTGAAGTGACTTCCTTCGGCTCGAGCAAGGAATCCGGGACGTTTCGGACACGTGCAGCTGCTTATCCCGTGGGCCTGGTGGCATGGGTTTTCGGAGAAATCGTTGGCAGATCTCGACCAGTCATTCTTCTGCAGTGTGGGTATTGGACGCGCGCGCACGTCGGGGCGGTGTCAATGCAGGTATTGATGCAGTTGCAAATGCAGGTGCAAATGCAGGTTGGTATTCCGGATGGGCCAGTAGACTAGGGCTGTGAGGCTGCCAACGTAAGCTTCTTCGGGGGTGAGCTGGTCGTGTGAAGAAGCTGCAGTTACTGGTTTTGCAAGGGACAGGGTAAGCGGACGGCTTTTTTGAGATAAGAATATCTTGATAGGTAGTTGCCCAGCAATAGATAAGCGCTTGTTTTGAAACTTTTCGTGGGGGCGATTATAGAAATTCTGGGACAAAGCGTCCGAGGTGCTCTACATGTATGCAACGGTCTCGAACAGATGCACCATCAGGGGCGAGTCTGGTTCTCTGTCCGGACGTTGGAGTTTTCCGTTCACAAGGTAGAAGAGGCTGCGATCTCGGCCGCTCCGGTTGATGGCGTTTTCTCCGGGCTCAACGGTAGGCCGATGCGCGTCGGGTAGGGCCGTCCTCGCCCCCCCATCAGCTCGACACACCTCTGCCTCTTTGCGTCTCGATCCAGCCACTTTTGATTTCGCTTACCATTTTCGGCCCGCACAGAATGCTTCTCAGCCACGCAGCAAGAGCGTACGTGGCCGCCATGCCGATTTGGTAGCATCACTAACCCCAAAGCGTTCGCCCTTCCGCGTCTGAAGCTCAATAACGGCGGTGCTCCGGTTTTCATGTAGTGAGATATGGCCCGACACGTACCGGGCCATATCTGGTACTGCATGAGAGCTGAAATCCTCCTTGTGATCAACTTGACAACGAATGGCCACATGCTCTCTTCATGTCCACAAGTTGGCGCCACGTCTGCGCCCATTGAAATCTTCGTTGCTGCTGAGAGCTCTTGATAACGGAAAATTCCACTTTATATAGCATGGCTCACAGAAGTGACTTCTTGGACTTTCTTGCGTAGCACACTTCCGAGGAACTCACACACCATGGCGCTATTTTCCGACTTGGGTGGTTGGTTTGACCGACTGGGAGACAACAAATTTTCGACAACGGCCGGAGTTCCCAAAGCTTTCGAATCCATTTCCGTCTTCACCGAGAAAATAGCCACATCAGCAACAGACGCCGCAAAGCCCAGGCCTCGTGCCTCGGATAAGACCGATCACGATGCAAGGAGAATCTCTGCGTCAAAACCCAAACATCCCCGGCTAAGCAGATCCGTGCATTTGATGCGCTCAGAGTACGATGTTGTCGTCATCGGATCCGGCTACGGCGGAGGTGTTGCGGCCAGTCGGATGGCAAGGGCAGGGAAGAGCGTTGCAGTGCTAGAGATGGGAAAGGAGAAATGGCGTGCGTACCTCGGATATCAGCTTCACATTGCAACACTGACCATCAGTAGCTGGCGAATATCCGAGCACCCTCATGGAGGTGCTGCCAGAGTTCCACATCTCTGGCAGTACTGGCAGAGCAACGGCATCGTGCAAGAGTGTTGCTGCTGGAAGCTCCACGGGCATGTACAATTTGGTCCTGGGCCACGGCCAAAACGCCTTCGTTGGGAAAGGTGCGTAACACTTCCGCTTCTCTCAAGCTTGTTTGATGCTGATGGTATAGGTCTTGGTGGAACGTCTCTCATCAACGCAAATGTTTACCTGGAGTGTGACAAACGCACCTTGGCACTTGGTGCATGGCCATCCGAACTCCGAACCGACCCGAGCGCTCTCGAACCTTGTGAGTGTAGTCGGCTCTCAGCTCAGACATGCATTGACCGATTCTCAGATTACACTCGCGCTGCAGAGATGCTACAACCAACTGCCTATCCAGAAGATCTTCCCACGCCGAAAAAGCTCTCGGTGCTTGAGAAGCAGGCTGAGGCCTTGGGGCAAAAGCAAAACTTCTACCGCGCACCACAGACCACCTTCTTCCAGGAGGGGTTGAACCACGCCGGTGTTCAGATGAAGGCCTCCACATGTAGCGGGCAAGATTGTACCGGGGTGAACGATGGCTCCAAGAATTCTGTCTTGATGAACTACATTCCCGACGCCTGGAACTGGGGAGCAGAAATGTTTTGCGAGTGTGAAGTACGCCACATCAGCCGAGATGCAACAGGCGATGGCTACGTTATCTTCTTCGCCTGGCATGGGGCGGGAAGGGAGAAGTTTGGAGATCATTTCCACAGAAGCTTGATGTGGGTACGAGCCGTAAGCATTGACCACCCATCACCTCTCCAGAATGACTGCTGACCCGTCTTCCAGAAAGAGCTTTGTTTTCTTGGGGCTGGCTCTTTGGGAACCACAGAGATCCTTCTCCGTTCTCGGGCCCATGGCTTGGAGCTATCGCCTATGGTAGGTCAAAAGCTGTCTGGCAATGGCGATATCTTATCCTTTGGTAAATCAACCTGTTCTAACGTGCTCAATTTCATGAAAACTAACGCTATGAAGGATACGATACAGATGAGGTTGTCAACGGTATCGGCCGAGCGAAGCCCACGACGGACCCACCATCCGGCCCGACGATAACCGGAATCATTGACAACCGCGACGCCATTAGCTCTCCCAATGTCTTGGATGCTTATATCATGCAGGAAGGTGCCATCCCAGAAGCTCTTGCCCCTCTGATACAATCCATGCTGGAATTGCTACCAGGCAAGCAGCAACCGGAGAGGTCGAATGCGAAAGACCAACTCCAGCACCTGATGTCAAGGGCTGAGGCCAGGTTTCTTGGTCCGTATTCCAAAGGTGGATCTGTCAACAGGACCCAAGTCTACCTCATCATGTCTCACGACAGCAACGAAGCGATTCTGTCGCTCGAAAACGACAAGCCCCGTTTACAATTCCTGGGCGTCGGGCGCACAGAGCACGTAAAGAAGCTAAATGGCGTCCTGGCAAAAGCAACCCATGCCATCGGCGGCACCCTTGTCAATACCCCTTTCCATGCTGGTATGAGAGACGGAACCCTCCCCCGAAGTGCTGAAACTAATGAGCGAGAACAGCATTCAACCAACAAGAACAGATCACTGTCCATCCTCTGGGTGGTGTAGTCATGAGCTCCGACGGTACCGGCAGACGTGGTGCTACCAACCATCTCGGTCAAGTGTTCAGTGGTGAAGGCTCAGAAGTTCACAAAGGCCTCGTCTGTGTCGACGGAGCCGTGATCCCAACTTCTCTTGGTAAGAAACGTGCCCCATGATGAAAGTTGTATGCTGATGTTCCAGGTGTTAACCCGTTCGCTACCATCACCGCCCTTACCGAGCGCTCGGTAGACCTAATCGCGCGCCAAAGAGGCTTGCGCATCAATTGGACTAAGAATGGTAGACTGGATCTATTTGGAAGCCCTGCCAGGTCATTTCCCTCTCCTCCTGACCTCGCCCGAGCCCACAAGGTGATGCAGATAACGGCAGCCACGGGTGGAGTACAGTTCACTGAGATTATGGAGGGCCACATCCACGTCGGCAATGATCTCGATGATTTTGCCAGTGCTGAAGAGACCGCGAAAAGCTCCTCAAGCTCGGGGTTGTTGTATCTGAGTGTTTCGTCTCCGAGAAGAAGGAACCAAGATGCCGTGGCTACCGGGACGCTTTCTTGCAGAGCTCTATCAAAAGACCCTCTTCTAGTAAGAGGCAGAGTGGAATTCTTTTCTGCAGATAAATCTGTTTCCGAAGGAAGCAATCTGGTCTACAGTCTGACTCTGCAGAGCACCGACGGCATGGCATATCATATGCATGGAAAGAAAGACCTCACCCCGGAGATGGCCTTCTCTGTCACTTCGACTTGGAGAGCTACGACGGTACTCCGAACCACAATCACCAACACTGACGGACTCCTCGCTGGCAAAGGAATCCTGCGCATACCATGGCGAAACTTCACCTCGGAGCTAAAGACGCTGCAGTCCACCCTCCCCAACGGCAACAACCTCCTCGACCGCGCCTCAACCGTCGCCGACTTTGTCGGAAACTTCGCCCAAAACACCGCATCCTTCTACCTCGGGCCTCTCGGCAAACTCCAACTCTCCCCACCCAAGGCGGACATCATCCCCGACGGCTCCCTGCCCCCCAAGCCCGCGCCCATCAGCACCATCCAACTCACCGCCGCCGACGGCGTGCCCAGCACGCTCCGCACCTGGGCCGCGACCACGGCCCCGCCCACGCAAAAACACCACATCCTCATGATCCCCGGCGCCTCGGTATCGCACGAGATCTTCGCGCTGCCCACGGTGCCCACCAACGCCGTCGACTACCTCACCGCGCGCGGGCACGCCGTCTCCGTCCTCTCGCACCGCTTCGCCGCCACCCCCGTCTCCGCCCGCGGCGGCACCTGCCACGAAGCCCGCCTGGACGTCCTCGCCGCGCTGCAGCACCTACGCGCCGAACAGCAGCAACAGGGGCAGCAGAAACGCACCATCTACGTCGTCGCGCACTGCATGGGCGCCGTCGCCACCGCCATCGGCCTCCTCGACGGCACCATCCCCGCCGCCTGGCTCGCCGGCCTCACCTGCACCCAGGTCTTCGCGCACCTCGTGTTTGGCAAGTGGAACGCGCTCAAGGCGGGCAGTCCGTGGCTGCCCGAGGCGTACGCGGGCGTTGCGGGGAGCCAGTGGTTCCCCATGACGGCGGAGGAGGAGGACAGGGAGGAAGAAGCCGGGCGGGCTGGCGGGAAGGAAGGGCGGGTCGTCGTGCAGCGCCTGATCGACCAGGCGCTGCGGTTCTATCCCGTCGAGCGCAGGGCCGAGGTGTGCCGCAGCGCCGTGTGCCATCGCTTCAGCCTGACGTACGGCCGCTGCTGGGAGCATGCGAACTTGAACAAGGAGACGCATGATGGGCTGGCGAATGTGTTGGGGGGCGTGCATATGCGTATGCTGAGGCAGACGATGGCGATGGGCAGGGCGGGCCGGGTGCTGGATGGGGAGGGGAAGGATACGGTCGCCACCGACGAGGGGCTCGAGCGGTTGAGGGGCTTGCCCATCCTGTTCGTTAGTGGTGGGGCGAACGTGGTGTTTGACCCGGAGAGCACCTTCATCACTTATGACGTGTTGAGGCGGCGGTTCGGTCCGGATTTGTATCAGAGGAGGGTCGTTCAAGGCTATGGGCATTTGGATACGTGGATGGGGAAGAATTCGGTAAGAGACGTGTTTCCCGTGATAGGGGACCACATCAGTAGTCTGTGAGGCCAAGGAACGGTCAAAGATGGAATATACCTTCATCTTCTTTCATGCATAAAATCCTATTCTAAAAGCTAAACTTGTCATCAAATAAAAGAGTATGGCCACACTTTATCTCATAAAGAATGCCTATCATTACACCTTCTCTGCAGCTTTTCCGTCAGCCTCAGCCCTCCGATTCTCCTCCGCCTTCTTCAAAACGCTTTTCCACTCCAGTGCCGCAGTACCAAGGACTGTAAGACACGACAAGATCAAACCGATCTGGAAAACATTCCGCAACGCCTCGTTATAGGCTACGAGTCCCGTCTCTCGCATGTTGGCAGGCAGTGCGGTAAGCAGCTCGGTGGCGCCGCCCTCAGTGACAATCTTCGGGTCAAAGCCCGGCAAGCCAGAAAGACGGCTCACCAGCTGATTATCCAGGACGTTTTGGCCGACGGAAACGAAGATGGCGGCGCCCAGCAACTGGCTGAAAACCATCAATGACGTCCCGACGGGCACGTCTTTGACCGGGAGCACCGTCTGGGCGGCGAGGTTCGGTGCTTGGAAGCACAGGCCCATGCCGAAGCCATACAAGATCTGGTAGCCGATCCAGTTGCCCTCGCCGGTGCCGACCTGGAGCGTCGTCAGGAGGCCGGCCCCGACGGCCATGATGCACGAGCCGACGATGGCGAGAGGCGTGTAGTAGCCGATCTTGGTGGTAGTGAAGCCGCCCAGAATCGATGCGAGCACCATCGCTAACAGAAGAGGCAAGAGTTGGATTCCGGATTGTACGGCGGACGAGCCCTTGATGGACTGGAACCAAACCGGGAGGAAGTACACTGTGGACAAAGTCAGTGAAAGAGTACAGACGTATGTGTGGCGATCATACCGCATATGTATTGTGATGAGCCGACGCAAACAGTGACCCCGCAGCCAGCAATGATGCTGCGTTGCTTGAATATGCGCGGAGGAATCGTTGCTGTTTTGGGTAGCAACACCTGAACAGCGGCAAAAACCACAAGCAAAACCCCTCCAAGGGTCAACAGGGCTACGATACGCCCATTGCTCCACTGGAGACTGTCAGTAAAAACGATAGTTGAGACTGCGTTCCTTAAGACTCACAGCATATGTACTGCCTCCCCACTGGAGCGCCAGTAGTAAGCAAACGACGCCAGGAATCAGAACCGAGGTGCCAATGACATCGAGTTGTGCCAGCTTCTGCGTCCAGGGAAGTTTGGTCGTGTCTCTGTCCGGGACCTTGAGGCACAGAGCAATGACGACCATGGATACAGCGCCGAAGGGCAGGTTGATGTAAAAGCACCACCTCCAGGTTGCCGCACTAGAGGTGAAGGCGCCGCCAATCAACGGGCCTACGATTGAAGCAATGCCAAAGAGGGCGCCGAACATGCCTTGCAGTTGCGGGCGTTTTTCGAGGGGAACAGCATACACCATGCTCACAATCTGGAGCAGTATCCACGTTACTTGACGGCGGGCGAAGAAGACGGGCATGGCAGACTTACGCATCCAGCAAAGATTCCGGCGGCGCCAACACCTGCGATTGCTCTTCCGACGATGAAGGCAGCCGACGAAGGCGCGGCTCCACAGATAACAGAGCCGAGTTCGAACACAACAACGCTCGTGAGCATGACGCCTTTGACGCTGTAGAGCGTGTAGAGCTTTCCAAACAACAGTTGGAACGAACAGCACGTCAGCGTGTACGCGCTCCCGTACCATCCGACGTCCGGGAGAGAATGGAATTCATTTGTGATTTCGGGGATGGCCTGCCCAGAATCTGTCAGCACATGAGCTTGCAGCATTATACTGAGAGTATTCATGCCGTTGATATGATGAGTCGGTCCAGCGCAACGAGGAAGATGCTCAGAAAGACCGAGACGAGGAGCAGGACGGTTTTGGTGGCTGATTGCTGCTGGTATGTGTTGTCCTTTTGGGGCGCGTCGGGGGTAGCCGAGACATCCTGGGAGTTTTCCCTCGAATGTTCAGTGTCCGAATCCGATTCAGCCTTTTGTGAGGACGAAAGCTGTCGAGACTCCATGGCGATTGTGGTGCTCGTTGCTCCGCTGGAACCTTGGATGAAACAATAGCTTCTTCAAAATGAAGCGCGATGGTAACGGTGCCTTTGAGAACTAGAAGTGAGCGAGGAACCACAATCTTTTAAGTGCATGGGGCAGGAGTTGGGAAACTGTAGTCCGTCGGGGTTTAGTAGAGCCCGAGAGGGTTAGTGGGGGCGGATTCCTGGGCCGGGGATTTCAAACCCCCGAGGCGCATCCCGACGGTATGAACACCATCTACATTCGGGACTTATTGTCATCGCGCATGTGTCAGCTACATGCTGTGGCTGCAATAGTTCGCATCGTCTGCCGTGACTCGATAAAGCAGGGTCCTCCGGTCATAGCCATAATTTCTTCCAAAGAACAAAAGAACAAGCCAATTAAGGAATACAGCCTTGATGAACGATGCGTGCGTGTACCTGCGAGCATCTGAGCGGCACCCACGCAGTTCCAAATCTTAAGCTCCGCCAGCCTCGCTCTCACATCCCGCGGTGATTACCAAACCCCCAATCCATGGCAGCCCAGTTCAACTGGTTGAGATTCATACCCATATCCAACGGGAGCTGTCCAGGCAGGCCGGGGTTGCTGAAACCGCCCAGCCCCATTTCCGCAAAACCACCTTGCCCTTCCATACCGTAAAGCAGCCCGCCGTGGCCACCAAAGCCGGTGGGCATCAAGCCACCCATGTCCATGTCCGAAGCCTGGTTGCGCGTCTGCTCCACATCTGGCACCACCTTGTTCGCCCTTTCCGCCATCTTCTGCCTGAAGCACTCGACGATCCTCGGCGGTGTCGGCACCGGCTGCTGCCCGGATTGAGATTCCCTCAGCGCCGCCTCGCGTGGCTCCCACGCCTGCAAGACCATGCCGGCGAAGACGTCGAACAAAGGGTTCTCCTCGGCCGCCATGGGGGAGAAGGAGAAGCGCGAGTCGAAGTGGGCGCTCATGACGTGCCACGCGTGGTCGGCGAGCTCGCAACCGGGCCGTCGCTTGAGTTCCTGGACGATGTGGACGTATGCGGGGAAGGGGAAGTGGAACTGGAAGAGCCAGCGGTAGCCCTTGGTAAGCGGGGAGGTCATGATGTTGGTGTCGGAGTCGAGCATGGCGAGGGCGTAGGAGAGGGCGGCGTTGCGTTGTGCCTCGGTCAGCTGCGCCGAAGAAGTCGAGTGGCTCGAGTTGTGCTCGACGAGCCGGTATCGGACGAGGAACGATCGGGCGGTCCAGATGGTCATGTAGTGGAGGGGGTTTTCGGGGTCGCAGAAACGGAGGTACTTGTCGTTGATTCTCCGCTCGAGGCCGTCCAGACCGCCCTCGGTTTCGGCGTCGTTGGCACTGGGCTTCAAAGCCGGGGTGGTGAAGTCAAGGTGAACAGCAGCGTGGCGGAGGTACTCGCCCAGCTCACTACGCACTACGGCAAAGACGGAGTCGGTGCATTGTGCCTGAGGAAGCGGCGGCGCCCTCATCTCGGCCCAGAGATCCGAGTCGTTCACGTTGAGAGGGGCCTTGCAGTCCCAGGTCGGCGCCAGAGTCACGGATTTGTAATTGGCCAGCTCGCCTATGCGGGTGTCGAAGAGGACGAGGGCCCACCAAAGCCTGCGGCGCGTCTCTGCCTCGAGGGGAGCGCACCTGGCATTGGCCGACTCGCTGTCGATGTTCATGCGTTGGGCGATCCGGACCGCCACGCCAAGCATTGAAGAGAGCGATCGCGGGTCGGTCTTGGGGCCAACCGAGACAAGGTAGAGGAACAATGCGGTCAGACAGTCGCGACTCCCGGTGCGTAGAAAGCCGCAGTTCAGCAGCGCTTGCTCGCAGCCGAAGTGATGGGCCGTCAGCAGATGCTCCTTTGAGGCGCCGAACATGGTCTGGCAGTCGTCCTCGGCCAGACTTTGGACAGAGACGCAGTAGATGCCGAACATGAGTGCCTCCAGGGCGGGGCTGGCGCGCGAAACATTGCTGGCGGCTTCGATGATGCGTCCTTGCAAGCTGGGAGCGTGCGTGACTTTGAGCAAAGGGTTGACGTTGTCCAGATAGATCTGCCAGAGCCGGAATATCTGAACCGGATCGGGGTGCAGAGTGGAGATGTCGACGGGGGTCTTGCGGGAGCCCAGCAGGAGGTGGTCTTTGTTTGTGTACAAGGTATCCCACGCGGTCCTCACCAGGCCCTCACGCACATCATCCTGCGAGGAATCACAGTCACTGTCGGGGTTCCGGAACTGTGGCCAGTCAGTCAGCGGAGTGAAGCTTCAACCAGATGCCGGGAACAATACCCCTTGGCTCATGGTGTGCCAGAAGTTCCTGCAGAGGTCAGCCATCTGGAAGTAGCTTTGTCTCTTGCACATACTTGGCCTCGTATACTTGTTCGGGCTTAGGGGTTGACGACTGCTCTACGCCCGCAGCTTCGGCCATCTTCTCGTCCGCATGGCTGGTTCCCTCGACGCTGGGAGACGCATTCTCCTGCTGATGGAGCGGCTCGAATGCAACATTGTGCTGGCGGAGCAGGTCCTCGTACTTGCTGACACGATCCAACAGCTCCCGTTCGGGGAACCTACGCTTTCTTCGGTGCGGGTTCAGGGTGGCCGGCACACACGACGCCTTGGACCGGATGCAATTGGAGCAGGGAAACTTGCGGTTGCACTTGATCTTGCGCTGCTGACAGAGCACGCATGCAAGCACGCGCTGTGGTTGGCGTGACTGGGAGGTTGGGGGAGACTTGATTGGGCTGTCCTGCTCTGGCGTGGGCCACCCGGCCGACATGGTTGCATGAGGGAGAGTGTTCTGGCCAAAGTGGGCTGTGTCGGGGTTTTGTAGTGTCCGGCCAATCCTCCGGCCACCAATTCCTCCGTCCAACCAGCTAGCTTACTGTGCGCTTGTGATGTCATGGGATCCCAAGCGCATCCCTCGCGATGCAGGCCTGCTGCCTGTCCTGTCATCAACAACAACAACGCAAATGTTTCAGATCACTCCTCTTCTTGGCCACCTGCATTGTTGGAAATCTCTGTAATGCCTAAGGCAGAAGAGCCTACGATTCTCTACTACCCCCCACAGGGCATCTCCTCTCGAGTCCCATTCGTTCAGACTTGCTTGCCTACAACTCGGGCGTGTCAGCCAGCAAAACCCCCATCAGCGCAGTCGGGTATCTCGTCCCCACGACTTCGGCTTCATCAACCAGCTTCCGTATTTTGGCAACCTCAGCCGGGGTGATGTCCACCCCGACGGACCCCACGTTCTCCTCCAGGTTCTTGATCTTCTTCGTCCTGTCAACACCGTCAGGATCAGCCACCCGCGCGGACGCATGCAGCATTCTCATCCATCACAGAAACCTACTCACCCAGGAATCGGGAAAATGTCGTCCCCCTGCGCCCACAGCCACGCCAGCGTCAACTGGCCCGGCGTGCACCCTTTCGCCTCGGCAACACCGCGAATGGTATCCGCCAGCACCAGGTTCTTGGGCAGGTTCTCGTCGGAAAAGCGCGGGTAGATGGCGCGGCGGTCGCCGGGGCCGAAGTCCTTGGTGCTGCGGTACACGCCCGTGACGAGGCCTTTGCCGAGCGGCGAGTACGCGACGATGGCTACGCCGAGCTCGCGGCACGCGGCCATGAGACCGTTGGCCTCGATCTCGAGCGTCACCGGGCTGTATTCGACCTGCACCGCGGCGATGGGGTGGACCGCGTGCGCCCGGCGGAGCGTTGCGGCCGAGACTTCCGAGAGGCCAATGTGCCTGATCTTGCCTTCGCTGTTGCAGCATGGCGTCAGTGGAGTGTTGCTTGTGTGATTGTTTAGGGAATACCGCACGCTTTGAGCTCTGCCATGGCCTGCACCGTGTGCTCGATGGGCGTCTTGCCGTCCACGCGGTGGAGGTAGAACAGGTCGATGCAGTCGGTGCCGAGACGCTCCAAGCTGCGCTGGCACGCCGCCTTGACGTGCTCGGCGTCGCTGCGGAGGAAGAACTTGACGTCGGGCGAGCCGAGCTTGCCCTCGATGATGCCGCCGACTTTGGTAGCCAGGAAGATTTCGTCTCGTTTGCCCGTCCGCTCGAACCACTTTCCGATGAGGTCTTCCGAGTCGCCCTGCCCTGGTTTTCAGATCGAGTCTTGCATCAAAGAGGAATCCAGACGTGTATTACATAGACGTTGGCCGTGTCCCAAAACGTCTCGCCGAGCTCCACGGCGCGGTCGAGGAACTGAAACCGCTCCTCATCGGGCGCGGGCTCTCCAGACTCGATGGACAAACCCATCAGTCCGAGTCCCAGACGTGGCACGAGAGGACCGTTGGTGCCGAGTGGCTTTGTCGGGATGGTAGACATTTCGAAGGCTCGTTGTAAATCTTGCAGAAACGTCTGGTGGATTGTCGCCTGCAGGAAATGATGGTTTGGTGATGTGAAAAAGCCCTCAGGCCTCCCGGCGCCCTCTTTATACGTTTGGATGTCTGTCCTTGGTTGCGAAAGTGTTGATGATGGGGCATGGCGGAGCCTGGCGGAGTTCCGTCCGGAGGTCCGCCGATGGAATCCGCCTCACGACACTCACACTAGATACAACCAGCAGATGAATGACTTCCAAAGCTGATTGGCGCCTCAAGTAAGTATTCCCCGAATCACTGTTGCGCTTTGACGCTCAATCAAATGACGATCCACCTTCGTAATACCATCGTTTGGCAGCATCGGTCCCAAGGTACCTGCTTACGGTCAGATGGCGTTGCGGGGATGAAGGGGCGCAGTCATACGACACGATAAACATCCGCCCAAGATCGTCCACATCAGAGCCTTTTCCACCCTGCAACACCTCTTTCACGAAGCAATTGGAAACTGTCCAATGAGGCTTTTCCTTCCATGCCCGAGTGAACTCAAATGACGATGAAGCCTCCCACAGATGCGCGGAAAGTGTCCAACCATGTGCCCTCCCCCATGGGCCCATATCGGCGACTATACATTTATAGTCAGCCCGTCAGCAAATGTCTTTGGGGAAACGATGGAATGCCTCACCGTCTCCATGTTTCAGGAGATGATATTTGCTGAGGAAGAAATAGCTCATGAGGACCGTTCTTCTTGTGCACTCGTCAAGTAGCCAAGACTGCTCTCAGAAGTCAATGATGCTGCATGAATGCGGGACAGGGAGGCACGTACATCCCAACGAGGTGGATCCGGGCCTGCACAAGAGATGCTGGCATATTCGTCTCGATGTTGTTCGAGCTGCATTGTCATCTCCTTCAGGGCTGGCATTGCATTTTCTGCGTGCCCGCGCTGCCGGATGTCGCCGTCGAAGACGCGTATAATCTGGTAGAAGAGTAGAGCTTGAGTCATGATCAGGAGCTCCCGTGTTGGTCTCGTTTCAGCAGGCCTGTGCTGCCGAATCAAGCTGGTGGCGTTTGCATCCAACACCTTGAATACGGCAGCCTCGTTTGCAGGATTCTTGTTGGTGTAGAGCGACGAAGCCGTAAAGGCATCGAGGATAGCCTTGGGCATGTCATCCTCGTATAACCGTGGGTGCAGAAACGGCGTCTTCATTCTCAAGGCCATGTCTCTGGGGAAATTCCGCACCATATCAATAATGTATGCACTGGCGGAATTTGGATTCCCCAATTTGCCTTGATCAAGTTCTTCCTACAGACAAGACAATCAGCACGCACTCGTACCTGCCATCCTAGGCCTGGGACGGATTATTTCGGCGACTTGTCCTAGAATGTGGATAAGCTTCTCCAGCCTTGGCGAAGCTTCTCGCGGCGGCGATATGGAAGGAAAAGGGTTAAGGAGCCGGGCGAGTGAGGACGGAAGAGAATAAGCATGCGGTGTGATCGACAAAGAAGGCCTCGCAAAGCAAGGGTACACAAACCCTTAATTCGTAGAAGTCTTCATAATCTGCGCGGGTGAACGTCTCCCGGGTTGTAGTCGACTGGGACTCTGGACCGTTGATGGAATTCTCGCGATGGTGTTCCATTTGGTCAAGGGCATTACTTCCGGGAAGCAGAGGAGGCCCTTCTCCGAGGTTCATGTCCAAATCCAAATCGTACGCGTCCATGAGCCCAGGTACCATGTTCCCGAAACCATCCGTCCCCATCGCATCCAGTGCGGCAAGGTCGAGTTCATTGGCCGCAACAGCATTGCGCGATTGATCTGGCCTCCAAGGACCAGCGGACAGGTACTCGCACGTCAGGCCCTTTTCGGCGCATCGCGAGCATGGGAGCTGCAGGTCGCAGCGCCGTTTGGCCTTGACGCAGCCTCCACAGCTCTTGCGCCGGGGAGGCGGGGCGGCTGCCGAGGCGGTGCCAGTGCTTGTGGCGTACGCCATGAGCGACATGGTGGAGTTCCGCGAGCGAAGACCGTTTTTTGTTTGAGCGGGGAAGAGAAAGTGAATGTGGAGGGACGGGGGCGGAGTTCCGCTGCGCGGAGCGGCGCGGACCAGCAAGGCCTTCGAATCCTGCAGGATCGGTCGTCGGCAAATGTGTCGTGCAGGGGAGGACTCATGATCGGCCAGACGGGACCCGTCCGTGCCTGGGTTTGGGGGCCGGTCGGCCTCAATCTACCTACATCTAGAGCACGATCGGGGACCGTGCGTGATTTTTCTACACCATCCAAAGTTCCCACGCACAATCGCTGCCGTAGTTCTGGGCGTCATAAGTTTGGCTTGGACGCGCGCGTAAAATCGTCAACCATACATGGCAATGGCATGAAATGACCATAAAGCGGTTGTCTTTGTTCAAACCCAAAGCAAAGCCAGTGCCATTGATGAAAGAAACTAAGCTATGAGGGACTCGGATCGAACGAGCCGTGGCAAATATACACTGCGTGACCACCTTCGCCTCGGTGGCTTGATGTTTCACACTTTCTTCAACGACACTGTGGGATATAACAAAATCGACAACCGAGAGCCCGGTCATGCAGAGCGCTGAAGACAAAGAGTGGGAAAAGCAGAATGCAATTATGATTTCAATGTAAAGCAAGACGTAAACGAGTTGTAACAGGGTCTATACGAGACTCATGATGTATCCTCCTCGAGTTACCTAGAATGCCCGGCCCTAGCTGCTGTTGTAGTCGGCCCACCTGTAGCATCCACCGTGCTTGAAAGAGGTAGAAGCACCGCAGGTAGCCTTTTTGATGGCATCCTCGATGCAGCCTGCGTCGCGGGTGTCCTCGTTCCACGGCCAACTGTAGTGGAAGTTCATATCGATGCCGTATGCGTTGGCGGCTTCGCCCGTTGTAGGGTTCGTAATCTGCTTCCACTCCCACTTCGTGTTGCAGCCCTTGGTGTCAACGGACTTGCCGCAAGTCCCCTTGATGTTGTCCTTTGACCCGTTAGTCTCCTCGTCCGCCATCCAATCATAACAAACATACCGAGATGCCCTTGCACCAACCATCAGAGTCCTGGCCGGTCGGGGTGATTTGAACGATCCAGTTGAGCCAATCGGCACCCTTCTGCCACTTGTAGTAGCAGTCGATGGTGCCGGTGAAGTATTGCGCCCACTGGCAGTCTTCGGGAAGGACATCGGCGCGAGCCTCAATGGCAGTGCTGTTGTGATCCGGCGCGCTCAGATCCGTAGTGTCGTCGAGGGGAAGGGCGCTGATGGTATTGACAAGTGCTCCGAGAGCAACGGCAAAAGAAGCGATGGGAGCGGCCTGGAAACGCATCGTGTTTGAATGGAGCAAGGTGTTGCGAGCGAAGCTTTGGTAACGATGTCTTTGACTTTGATGTCTGGAGGCCGGTGTTGATGATTCTGGAAAAACGGCTGAATGTTTCTGCTCTTTAATACTCTCGTTAGACGGAGCCCTCACGGTCGCCTTGGCCCTCCAGACTCCTCGAGCACTTCGTGTTGGTGTCTGTGTCCAACACCGTTTTTTCCGCCCCCAAATGACTTCGAAAAGGTACGTGAGACCCCTGAAATTACCGCTGTTGGTTTAGCCACGCACGTCGTGTTTCTCCATCCAGCACCCAAAAAGTGGCTCGCACCCGATTTCCCGCCGCCAGGAAAGCTCGAGGGTGGTGTTGGCTCCAGGCGCTCACGCCACGCCTTCGGCGGGGTTTCCCTTCAGTGGTATACACCGACAATTGATCCGGTTCGGATTCAGAAAGGATTCGCTTCGCAGGGTTCGCTAAGACCTTCGCCGACCCACCAAACACCGCCCCCACGACCTCTCCTATGTTGTACAGCTTCCAGGTGGGCTCTTGTGGAGAGAGATCAGTTGAAAAATTCCCTAATGTTGGTGACTGGATTTTTGAAGGATTCGTATAGACCAACCTGCGCACGTTGGGACAGCAGCCGACCAGTGAAATCTGTTTTCATCAACAGGCTTCGATGCAAAGGCATTTCCGCGAGGTCAACCGTCAGTCTGCTGCAACCTATTTAACCGTCGTCGTTGCGGTGCAAAGACGAATCTCGCTCAGTATCACATTCACATTCCACCCTCCTCCTGCAAACAGCCTACACATTGCTCCAACCAAACCGTCCCTACAAACCCAGTCGAAATGAAGTTCTTCTCTGCTCTTACCGTAAGTCATTCATCCGCGAAATGGCTCTCGTCTGCTCTGACCCGCCATCTTCTCAGTCCGCCCTGGCCTTCACCACGGCCATGGCTGCGCCATTCGCCGCAAACCCGGCACCCGAGACAAACGCCCTCTCGGAGCGCGCCGGCGGTGGCATCCAAAACACGGGCATCACCGTCTTCCATTCGCATGAGGCAATCGGGAATGGGCGTTTCCGCACCCGCTTCAGGATGTTCGGCTTCCTGCAAGCCACCCAGGGCATGCTGAACGTGCTCACGGAGAAGATGGAGGTGACGGGTGACACGTCGCAGCCACTCGAGCGTGCTTCTGTCATTGCCCAATCCTTCTTTGCCCACTTCGTATCCTGGATGGACTCGACGTTCCCGTTCCGCAAGTTTGCTTCGATGCGCGCTCTCTTCAATACGGGAGCCACCGGAAACGCTGCGTGGGAAGGCACCATCGGCGCTCAATTCGAGGTAAACATGACACCCTGCATGCAAAGCTGGCCAAGGCGGTGCTAATATCTCCATGCAGATGAGCTCCAACGAAGCTTCGTACAACAAAATGATCGAGGCTCTGAGGAGCTACCTGACCGTGAGGGGCAGTGACCCTGTTCAAGTGACATTTGAGACCGTCGCAGATGCATTTGCTGTCGGTAGCCCTGTCGAGTACGATTTGCCAGCTAAGCTCAAGAGGTCTGCCAACGTCTGCTCAAGCACTACCTCCATTATGAGTCTGTTCCAGGAGAGGGTACCTGATGTGGCGACCTACTTTGGAGCCACCTGCTAGAGGAGGAAGGCGAAAGGACAGGTGCGGTAGCGCACGATGGGCTCCAGCTTTCTGATGTCTAGCTACTCTTGTAGATCTGGATTTCAAATCGATCATCTTTGCATGCTATTTTCGGATCAATCGAGTTTGATCAAGGGCTGCGTGCTGCAGTTCGCCGCCTTGTACGTCATCGACCTGAGCATCTCCGGGACCATCACGCCTCTCACCTGTGACGGCACCGTGTGCGTGGCCTTGGACGGCCAGATGTGCCGTTTCTCAAGGTTATGGTGCTCGGTAGCCAGGCCGTCACACCGGCAGTAGCCGAGCCGTGGATGATGAGTGACATGCATGTCATCATCGCCTATAGGTAGGCCAACCGAGATGTATGTTGGCATGACGTACATACAATTCGCAGGATTTGCCGGCAAAGACGCCCCTGATCGGCCGCGGGGTTCTCCATGTAGACGTAACAACAACTCCGACACGCCCACTCCTATCGGATGCGTTGGCAAGCTCCGTGTGCAGGGGCCCTGACTCGTGGCATGTGTACCCGTGCACCGCGCTGCAGGAGGACACAATGGCGTTGATCGCAAAGGCGGTCGACACGTAATTCTATTCATTGTCAAGCCCTCGGGAACGTCTTCCGGCTTGACTGTCATGTGGATGTTTCAAGCTTCCAAAAGTGTGGGTTCCCTGTTCACTTCGAATCCGCGGGCCAGTGCGGATGGTCGGTCGATCCGGGTTGTGCTCCGGGCGTGCCCAGCTGGGGCTCCGGCGGCTCGCTTGGCGAGTACATCCCCATATACAGACTACTTACGGCAGGGCTCTCCACCGCCATGGACTTGTCTATGTGGTACGCGACTGCTTCCTTCTGTGGATCGTCCACCACGCAGCGCACCATGTCTGGAACAAGGAACTCATCCACGACCAGCTCCAGCACGCGTACCGTGGCGAAGGACTGCGCCGGGTGCCTGAGAGTCGGCCGTAGCCAGTTCAAGCTGGCACACTACCAGTCCCCGTTATCTCCGCCAAGAATCCACGCCAGATACATCTGCATGTTTCTCGCTCGGTCGTCCTACTCAGAAGCTCCCCGCAGCCGTGGCGTCGACTTTGCTCATGAAGGCCGCCTGGGCTGTGGTTGCGTGCACTACGCCGGATCCGACGATGGCGTCTTCGGGACGACGGTTCGGGCCGCAACGGACATCATCCTGCAAGCCCTATTCGACGTCATAGCAGAATTACCGGAATTCGGTCTAGTAGTACTTACGCCATCTCCAGATGAAGCTCTGTATAACCACGCATCCCTCCTTGATCTTTAGAAGTTAGCGGCTGAGGCAGATTGTGGGCTAAATGGAATTCAGGACAACACACTGGAAGAAAACAGGCCAAGCCCCTCTCATGTGTCATATTAATTCCGATGGTAGTTGATGTTGGGCTGAGGTTGCTGCCGATGCGCCATGGATCGTTACTACGGCCGAAGTGACACGTAGAGGGAAGGCATATGGGCCAAGTCAACGTGACCCAAAAGCTTTTGGAGAGCACCGCGAGGCCGAGCTTCTCCGGAAGAACAATTGGTGGGGTGATATGGCGGAAAGAGGCAGTAGAGTGATTCGCTACATCACCGCGAGCGGAGAGAATGCCATTCAAATTGTCAACTATCTGGTTGAGATTCGCACCGAAAGACCCCTCAACATCCAACAGGAGATGATTGATGATAGGAAAAGCCTAGGTGAGACATCTGCTGGTCAAGCAGTCCAAAGGGAGCTGCGGGAGACCAGACGCAGGTTCGAGAGAGACATTCAGCAACTCAAGGAAGCGCATAAACAAGCCACGAAGAGCCGTGATACCGAGCTTCAAAGAATCCTCTTTGAGTAGGCGATGGCCATGAATGCTCAAGTACATGGATTGCGTGAACAATAAGCGAAGATAGATAGGCTGGCAGAGACTGTGGGCGAGCAAGGAAGAGCAATTCCGTGCAGAGAAGAAATAGCTCCAAAAAATGCTCAAGGCTGAGCGAAGAAGTCATGAGCAGAGCCGCCGGGCACAGGAGACGAAGACAGATGCCGACCGGAAACAATACCAAGAGATTATGGTTGATTTAAGGGCCTAAAGAAGAAACCCAACAACCTTGAGGCGCGGCAAAGAGGACGCTGCACTAGCGGCGCCCTGCACTCCCAGTGGCTTCCCTGCAGGCAACAGGCGATGGAGACGGACAAGTCAATTGATGCAGTCATGTAGCACGTTAAAGAGAAGAATCGTGGGATAAGTAATACATTGTAAGCTACCTCCTACGCGTGGAAAGCCATGATTTGGTGCTCAGTAGTGATGGAGCTTTCTAGCAATAACCCTTGGCGGTCGGCTACATTTATGTTAGCATTAGTCTTAAGGAAACAAGGCGGTGGTAAGCTTACGCATGTGTTGATGGCACACGCAGCACCAGTCTGAGTGCAGTACTCGCATTCGGTGCACTATAAGGTATCAGCAGGTATGTTCAGGGAAAACACAAGCTTGAGAAAAGGTGAAACAAACAGGAACAGCGTAAACGCCGGTCAGGCTGGCCGCGACAACGGCGAGGATGGCGAAGAAGCGCATATTGACTTGGAGGATGGATCTCTGGTGGGGGAGTGGAAGAGAAGAGCAGACGAGGCGTTTTGGTTGACAGACTTAATGGCGAGCGACACAGGCTGTTATACTCCGATAAAATGCAGCTGCTTCACCGCGAAAAAAATGAAGTGAGACGACGGCTGCGTAAGCTCTCCACTTGTTACGAGCGTGTGGCTCGGTTATGCCGTGACACGTCTCGCCTAACCTCGTAAGGCTTCCCTACCTAGTCCCCGACGAAAGCTGTGAAACGTTCTTCACGGACCGAAGATGCCGCTTGTTGTGCGGGCCTGGCGGCGTCTCCAGATCTACAGAGGGGAGGGACAAGGCGGGAAGGTGAGGGGAACAGTTAATTTAGTTCGAAACGCCGATCAGGCCGAGGGCGGGTCATTTGGACGTGGGGAGGCGGCCCCACGTATTTCATGGCTCGACGAACACGCTGCATGGGATCCAGTCGCGTGGTTCTGTTAAGCACACGTTGTGGACCACTTGGTAAGAACTCGTGGCCGCCGACGCACCCCCTCATCGTGCGGTCAACCGCTTCTCCTCCCGAGAACGTGCATGGCTCGTGCCGTTCGCTGTGGCAGAGCCGAAAACGAGAGTCCCGTCCCGCGTGACAAAGTGCGGGTTCCATGCTCTGCCTCAGCACTGCCCGCCTGACCTGGCAAACAACTCTACACTGTACGGCATACCCCCAGGAACAAATATTACACGAATCAGCATCCTTGCCCAAACCCTACCACGCCCTCGACCACCTCAGCGATAGCCCCACGCTGTAGGCCATTAATTCTTTCCGCAACGCCCTCGCGACAGGATAGCATTGTCGATACCGACTGTATTGATGCCGCATTTGACGTCGATATCTTTGCCGCTCTAACCTTCCATGAAGAGCTCGACGCTGTGAAGTTCTTCCTTCTGTTCGTCGCCATCTCGCACGCTTCATGCGTGGTCCAAAAGATGGCTTATCTTAACAGTACGTCCATGTCCATCAAATCCTGCCTTTCCCACACTGACTTCTCCACACGACCTAAAGCCTTCCTCGTCGTGCATCCGTCGGCTTCGCGCTGAACCCAGAGCACGTTGTAGAACTGGTAGCATCCATCCGCGCTACCAAACCCGGGTCTCTTGTTGCAATTCCACTCTTCGAGGTAAGGGCTCTCATCAGCATCGTTGCGAGCGCTCCCCTCGCTGATGGCCACAAGCTCACAATACTCGCCCTCTGAGAAGTTGGTGCCATCCAAAGGCTCGTTCAGGCGGAGCAGGCCGGCCCATTGACCCACCTTGACATCCTGCAAATACACGCAGAGAACCTGCCGCATATCAAGACCCGGGGCTGATCCACAGGCTACGAAGCGAGCACCCTTGGAACGGAGGCGTAATAGCGGAGACCAGTGAGAGTAAGACTCGTATTGCTGCTGCAATGCTGCTGAGGGCATCGGTATGGGGTAATTGAATATCACCCCCTCGGCAGCTGGGTGTGAGTACCAAGCCCTGCCACCGTTAAGAGCAGTATCGTGCAGCTGCCATCCTTCCAAACCAGTGTCTCCGGCCGCCGTCTCACCCACAGCGTCTCTCCAAGTGAGGTAGCTGCTCTTGATGCGGCGCTCACGCCGTCCAGCTTTGTTCCAGCTGCCATGTACCTCTCGAGAAGGGCCGAGCTGAATCCAGTCTACCAGCGGCGTGAGCCTCAACGTCGTCCGCCGGAACCATGCACCGCCATCTATGGACGCGATGTAGTCATGGGCTGCATAGCTCAGAGGATCAGGGCACCCATGCCAGCCGAGGCACGACCAACTCGGTAGATATCCATCCTCATCACCCGAGCCAAGCGCCATAGTCCTGCGGGTCATCGGACGCATGGGCTGCCAAAGAAGGGCAAGGTCGAAGAAAAGCTCGGGCATTCCATAGCAGAAGCCCCTCAGAAAGGCCCGAGCAAGGATGGTCTCGATGCCGGTGAAGGCGGCGCGGGTGTCGCTCACATAGGACAGCTCGCGGCGATTGTATCTGTGGAGGAGGCTGCACCACTGCATGATGTCCGGCCAGGCGCGGGCGTGCAGGACGTCGAATTTGTTGGTAAGGAGCGGGGGCCGGGGTGCGTGCGGCTCGTCCGGCTCCGCCGTCATGTCCTCGCGCCACTCGGCGCGCTGGCACCGCCAGGCCACCGTCTGCTCAGCGAATATCAGCAGCCGCCGCGAGCACAGCTGTTCCTGGTACGTCCAGCCGCGCGTGCCCCAGCGCGACTGGGCCTCAGCGTTGATTTCCGGCTGCTGAAGGAGAGGCCCGCAGTGCGGAAAGTCGAGGAGCTGCTGCGGACGGCGGCGCGGTTGGGAGCCGTGGCCGATTCCTCGGAGCCCGTAGTCGGCGTCTTGGCCGTCGGCGGCCACGATGGTGCAGTGTGCGTTTGCGTAGATGGCGCCCATTGCCTGGATTGCTTTGGCTTTGCTGGAGTGGTCGTCTTGCACAATGCACAGCCGGTCCACCCAGAGGAAGCGCTCTCCGATGGCCTGGACGAGGCGGATGGCGTCTCGGATTGTTTCTGGGAGGTTCGAGTCTGGTGTGTTTGCCGTGATTGACCCTGGCTGCCGCAGTCTCTCCACATTGGACACCCTCGTCTCGGCTGTGTTCTCAAGGCGCCCCCAGACGTACGAGAGTGCAAAATATCCGACGTCTCCTGGGTGTTCCACTAGGCAGCCTTTCTCGACGTCGATAAGCAGGAGCGCTTCCACCGGAGGAATACCAGACAGGTGACTACATGCATCATCATGTGCCTTTGTGCAGTAGCCCAGCCACGCCCTGATTTTCCCGACATCAATCCAACCCTCATCTAAGAGAACGCCATGGCTTTGCGCCTTGGCAGTTGCCCGCAAGGGAATAATGTCCATCATGAAATCGGTGTAGTCCTCGTCTGCAATCTGATACTCGCTCGCTGGCTGCCGAAATCGCATCAGTTCCATCTTTGTGTCCGGGGACATGGGTCGGAAAGCCGCAATTTGCTGACACGTCACGCAGTCGCTTTTGCGCTGCATTTCCCCGTACGTGCCGAGGGAGACGCTGCCGAACATCTCGTTCGACTGGATCTTCCGACCGATAAGATGGCACGTTTCGCAAGTCATCTCCAATAGCTTCTGGGGAGGGAGAACCGCGATCGAAGCATAGTGTTCTGATGAATCCATGGATCGCCCGGGCTGACGTTGCGCCCGCTTCTTCTGCTTACAAATTGACTGCCGTGCTATGCAACGACCTTTGTTCTATTTATAGTACATACCAATAGAAATTTATACTCACTCTGTGTATCATGTGAGCCATTTACGGGAGATAGTCATAGTAAATGGCAAAGGCAGAGAGGAGAAACCGTAATGACTAATGAGTTTGTCAAAAGGCAACACTACGCGGTACTAGCAGATACAACATTTTAGGAAAGCATGGAGTGCGGGTTTTTCGCCAATACAAGGACGTCGGAGGCATCGTCGTTAACTGAGGTATCGAAGAAGCTGGTGGATGAGCGCGTCGAATCGGGCAAGGGCCGACCGGGCAAGCTCGAAAGGCTGCTTGAAGTGAGCCGCGAGAAGTCACCCACTTCCGATATGACCGACGCGTAAACGGAGTCGTGCACAGCAATCTTGGTACTGGACGTCACCGAGTTTACTCCATCTTATGTTCAGGTGTTTCGTGCATGATACCCACACCTCTGCTGGCGAAGGGGAATGGATTGCCCAAGTCAGGCTTCTCGGGCCGGCAAATAAGGACGGGAAGACGGTGCCGAAGGATAGAGGAGATCGAAACTCCAATCAACAAACGAGCTTGGTCATACGAGGGACGCTGATTAATCACTGAGATCGTCGATAATGCTGGGGGAACTTTGAGGTATTCAGAACAGAGTGATGACTCGAAACTTCTCCGAAATCATGACCACTTAGATAGTTCTGTGACTACAACTTCGTCTTCACGCAACACCCACCGCCTTCATCGCTGACCAGAGTGCTCTGGTTGGAGTGCTGCGTCGAGACGGCGACGTCAAGTCCAGGATTTCGAAGAAAAAAGTTGAGAGGCTTCAATCCGACAACCATCTTCTCACACGGCATCACAGGCCAGTCCTCGATGCGTGGGTTATGAGTGGATCCGAATGTGTGCCAGACAACAATGTCCTCATTTCTGACGGAGGATGGCTGCTCGGTGTCTCGTTTCCGGCCACGGATCCACGACGCGATTCCTTCACCACCCTGGGACTGCATGGTATGCTTCCCAGCTGCGTAGAGCTCGTCGTCGCTGTAGCGGGTGACCCAAACTGCGTGAGCGGCGTACTCGGACCGACGCGCATGGTATGAGCTGGGATGGGCGAGCAGCATCTGGCTATAGCAGGGAAGCAGCTTGAAACCGACAGGCGTGTGGGTGACAGGATTGATCTTATTCTCGTTGATGATTTTGAAGACGCGGTTGCTTGCAAAATTCAGATCCAAGCCAGCCTCCTCGGACACGATGTTCGAATTGGTCACGTAGCCGACTCCGAATGGGTTCTGCTCATCATCAATGGGCATGGGGTGTGACTCTTCCACAGCCAAAGAGTTGAGGCGGCCGTCCAACGCAGGGTCGATGCGGAGGCAGAAAAGGTGCTGATGGTAGGGTGCAAGCACACCAGGCGCTACAGTGGTCCCATACGGCACCTTGTCTCCGACGTCGATTGGAGCTGTAGAAAGTATACCGGTTGCACGGACTTCGTAGTGGATGGATGCATCCTGACCGAAATGGAAGAGGAAAATATACTCGTAGTTGCTGACCGTGATGATTGTTTGAAGAACCAACACGCGGGATCTCGTCACGACAGCATTTCCAGTCCGGGGATTGGTGTGCTTCCACAGGATACCATCATCAATCTCGTGGCAGCAGATGATGTGCGGTAGCCTGACAGGATCACCGGAACTTGTGTTGTGCCAGGCGTCGATGTACCTGATATGTCCGAGACAGTCACAGCCGAGCTGGAGATTGTTCGCGTTGACGCCGGCTCCGTCATTGCCAAGGTCAAATGCGCCCTTTCGGGGATAAGGACAGCGGCTGTCGCCGTAAGGGACAAACATCTCGGAGAGTGAAAGCCTGTAGAACAAGCTACGGCCGTCGTAGCGAACGTCGTGTAGAGTCATGCCTTCGCGGTAGTTGAAACCTACCCGGAGAGTCCATTTCTCCCAGTTCAGGGAGTTTCCAAAGAATTTGAACGAAGGACCTTCAGGCTGCGAGACGTGGTATGGACGTGTGGTTTGTCGGCGCTCTTTGGCCAGGTCTGGATGATACTCGCTTGTGCCATGGACCTTGCCAGAGTCAAAGCGCTTTTTGACATCACTGATGTGTTCCTCGGCGCCCGACGGCAAACGATACAGCCTGGTGACCTCAAGTGCTTCTGAGACTTCGGCGCAGAGGTCGAGTGGATACGCGTAGTAGTTTGCATCTGGATGTGTAGAGAGTCGCATGTAGAACCAACACTATCTGCTTTTTTAGCGAGAGTTTCTTTGTTGATTGGACATCTGGACCCTGACCATAGTGACACGCTCACTCATGTCGTTCATGCCATCCGTTGCATACGCCCACGGCTCAACCACGACAGTGGCGCCTTCAGGAAGATTGAGGGATCTGATCTCATCTTGCACCCTGAAGTCCGCAAGACAGGCCTTCTCGACCTGGCGCATGTAATCCGCATCGATGTACGAATGCTTGCCTGGAAGTTCTTCCTTGGACTGGATGGATCTCGTGTTGAGATTGATCATGAATTCGGTGAATCTCTTCTTTTCTCCAGCCTCCCCAACGTAAGCCTGAACCTTGGCTACTCGCGACGGGGTCAAAGCTGAGCCGACGCCTGAATGTTCCTGCTCGAGAAAGACCATCATCTCGTCTTTTGCAGGTTCAAGCAGTGTGATGACCCGAAAATTAACGTCAGAGCCAGCCAAATCATCGCGAACAATTTGCCCTGCCTTTGAATTGTTAGAATGTGGTCATTATCATGCTAAGCGTTGGTATACAGACAAGTCGGATTTCCTCGGGGGACAAGGGATCAAATGGGTGGGGTAATGATAAATCGGTCATGTTGGCAGATGCAAAGGCGATCTAGAGGTAAAGACGTGGGTTGCGGAACGATGTGTGTGAGTATAAACAATGTTAAATAGACTTCTAAGTATCTTCCCGCCATTGGCGCCACGAAGGAGTGATGTATCATGCCGAGATGAGGGAAAAAAAGAAGATCGCGAGGATGCAACAAATGAGCGACGTGCAGCTTGCAGGCGCGAGACGATAAGCAAGGGCTCCTTGTATTTGTCACGTGTCGGCAAGGAAACTGGAGCCGGAATCCAAACCACGATAAGAAAGCAACAAGCGAGATCGACAGCTTTGCTTCCCATGTTGAGGCTTCAATCCGGGAGTATGGCGGGTACGGCGCGTCCCCAGTAGATTTTACTTATCACATGAGCTGCTGCCTAGCGGAGTTTCTTTCCTTTAAGCTCCCCCTGGCGGCGAGACTTTGCAGCCCACTTCCCTTCATCCTGAAGACTGCGCCTTGACAAAAGCCACTCCAGAATCATCCCACCATCTTGTGGCGAGAAATGAGCCCTCACTCCGTCTCACCCCCCGACAATGCACAGGCGCCGGAGCTTTGGAAAGGGTTGGATCGGCCCTTGTATTGCTTTGGGGAAAAACAAACGTACCCGGATGAATGCCGGTACTGCGCAGACCTGCAAAGCCAGGAAAGGATTTCGACCACCAGTGATCACTCCTCAAGGTCACTGAAAGAGCTTTGCTACCTCACTTTCCACGCCATTCCTTCACATTCGTCTCATGATTCCGAATTTTTACGCGAGCGACTCGATTGTGATGGTCTATGCTCGTTCTGCGACCATCTGCGTCTGAAAGCTTGGAATTGGGATAGAATCTCCGGCATGGAGGTTGAACTAGATCCTCTTCCTGAAATCGAAGCCAGACAGTCAACCTGTGGATTCTGTTCTCTGGTTGCGAAGATCACGGCCCGTGTGGCACGTTCTGAGGTCGCGGCGCGTCTGGAACGTTTCCAAGGCGATTTTCGAGCTCGCCTGCAAACATGCCGATATGGTATTTTTGGCTCGCAAGCATATGGTCCATTTACCTTAATGATTCGAAAAGGTCAATACGCACGAGTCCAGAGTATAGAGATTGGCAGCAAGAAGCTGGCTCCTGATCAAGCGCGAAGTCTTCTAGAGGCCGAGTCGTTCATTCCTGAGACAATCCGCTGGGAAAGAATTCGAGCTCCGTTACTGGAAGCAGCCGTTGCACCTGAGCCATTGGATCCACCCCCGACTGGATTTAGACTAATCGACGTGGAGAAGTGCTGCGTTGTGAAAGCACCAAAGACCTTCGAGTACGTTGCTTTGAGCTATATTTGGGGTGATGCGACATTGAATAGCAAATTCCTACACCTCTCGCTGAGCAACTCCCGAGACTTGGAAGAACAGTACAGTCTCCAGGGGCCAGGAATTCCAGCTACTGTCCAAGATGCTATGGCCGCATGTCGCGGGCTCGGGAAGCGATATTTATGGGTCGATCGGTTTTGCATTCCGCAAGATGAACACAACAATCCCACCAAGAAAGCCCAGATCAACGTTATGGGCCGCATATACAGTCACGCTGTTCTCGTCTTGGTAGCCTTGGAAGGCGATTCCGACTCTGGTCTACCAGGAGTTTCCAAGCTGAGATGCAAGCCTCGGTACAAAACACAATTCTCGGGCCGCGAATTTTGGGAAACCAACACAAGTACGTGGCAATTTTTGGACGAGGTCCATCTGTCGAAGTGGAGCAGTCGTGGATGGACTTTTCAGGAAAATTTCCTCGCTGCAAAGGTCCTCTTTTTCACAAAAGACGGACTTGTAGGAGAATACTCTGACACGCGCATGTTCTTCGAGAGCGAACCACCAGCAGAGGTGCCAATGGCCAATTATGAATCCAGGTCTCGAGGAATTAACGACAAATACGGTTTCTGTCAGTTGGCCGCTTACGAAGCATCAAGGAGAGAGTTCGGAAAAGACTCCGATATCCTTAATGCCATTGCTGGCGTCCTAGATGCGTGTGGAGAACACCGATTCGGCATTCCATTGCAAGGCTTCGATGATTTTCTGACCTGGACCGTTATTTCGCCACTTGAACGCAGAGAATCCACGAATGAACACATTTTTCCAACTTGGTCATGGGCCTCAGTTCGCGGCCAGATGGTTCCGGCCAACTTGGAAACAGTTCCCCTGGCAACATTTGGATTCCCGAAAGGACACCAGTCAAACACACCATGTCTCGATCCCTGCTGGCCGAGGCACTTGAAGTTCGACCGTTGTGGAAACCTCATCTTGGCAGCCGCGATTGCATGCCAGACGGGATGTCTCAAAACACCTTTGCCTGAGCTTTTGCAACCCACTAAAGTGCCACGGTCATTTGGAGACTTTGCACAAGACTTTAAACGAAGCTATCCTACCTTCATGAGCCTCTGGAAAGCAATGCACGGCATGGAACAAAACCATTCACCCCTGCAGAACTTCCTCAACGAGTTCTCTACTGCTCAGGTGGAAATGGCGCTGAAACCAGGACGCGTGCTAGCGTTGGCACAAGTGACGACACCATCTATTGTGTTGAAGTCTGTATATGATCCACAATCTCCAGACCTTCCTTTTGGAAGAGTTCAGATCTTTTTTGGGGAATCTGATGTCGGTCGTATCAATTTAGACACGGAACAGGATGTAAGGCGGTTAGTCCTGGTAGATGACACCATGCTGGGAAAGGGGCGTTGGCCGGCCATGTCGAGTGAGCAAGATGTGCGATCAAACACGGATCCATATGAGATCGACTTTCTCGCCCTTGTAGTTTTTTTTCAAGGGAGTCGCACAGAAGAAACACCTACCGCCGTCACTGATCGATTCACCTTCGATGATGGCAGTCGCCCGGTCACGAATTTCTTTATCACGGCCTTGGCAATGGAAACAAATGCCGGGATCTCGCGTCGACTGGGAGTCGCCTATTTTCGGTTGGAAAATTGGTTGAAACTGCCGCGTGGATGCAAGGCTGTTGTACTGGAGTAGTGGCAACGAAGAGAAGGACGTTAGGGGCTAGACCGTCCTCCACCGCGCTGCCGCAACAAGCCCCTTCCTCCTTCCCCGCTACAGCAGCGCCGACGCTGACGAAGCTGCCGCCGCGGCCGTGGTTCAGCTGCTATTCCGATGTGCGAGGTGTCTACATGCGGGTGAGATAGATGGACACTTTTACAGCCTCGCAACTAACGTCTACCAGCCTACCAGACGGAATAGTGACGTAAAGCCTTACCGCCCCCACACGTCATACTATCTACTAATAGAGCGATAGGGAAAATAACGTAGCTGCGCATCCGCCCGGAATACCGTTAAATTCGGGAAGCGATAACGTACCACCCTCGAAATCTTAACGTACCACCCTCCCCACTTTTTAGCGATTAGTGTAGCACGTTCGGTAATAACGAATATAATAATAATACTTACTACTACAATTATAGTATTTTAAACGCATATACCACGCTATAAATTCTTCTACTCTACTTCGGTGCGACCGAAGCTATAGTTCTTATAACTTACGATTATCGAATAACGTAATCCGTAAGCCTTAAGCCTTAAGCCTCTAGTAATAATACTTCGTTTATATCGACTAGTATATCCGACTACGTTCTAAACGAAGCGATATACTATATTATACGTATTAGACGAGAACCGCCTAGATAGGAACGTATACGTATCTTAGATATATACGTCGCCCGCTAATTACTACCACCGCCCGATTCGCTTGGTTTTAACGAACGCGAAGACGCGCCTCCTATCTATACTATTATAAAGATTATCGACCTTAAATCTACTAGCGAGTTCGACGATAGATACCGGCTCGTTAATAACGAAGCTAGTATTACCGGTAATAATATCTTCGCTAGAAACGAGCTAGAGTCTAGATCTAAGTCTAAGAAGAATATTATAGCCCTCGGTAAAACTAAAGAGGACCCTAATACCGCTATTAAGGATAATAGAGTTTTATTCTAGCTTCTTTATCCTTCGTTTATAACGGACGAGGGCGAATAGGTCTTTATTATTAAGCCTCTATCGATAGAGACGTTCGTATAAGAACCTATAGCCGCGTCTCGTATACGCTTTATATACGAGACCTATAGAAGTTATATACTAGTTACGTAACTCTCGCTTAGCTATATATAAAAGCTCTTCGGCCTACGGGCGAAGGCTAAATTCCCTAAGAATTCGTCTATTAATTATAAGCCCTTTTCTTATACCTATCTTAAGCTCTCTATTCGTACCTTATATCTTATATTTAAATCCTTCTCTTTAAATAGCCGGTTTAGAATATCTTCTAAGCGAATTCTTCTTTCCGTACGCGACGCGTATGCGTCGCGTATCGAAAACGCTACGGTCGTATAAGACCCCTTAACCGGGTCGAACTATTCGACTCTTAGCGAATTAGACGATAACGCCGACGAGGTACCCCCGATATCTACCGCTATAGAAGAACCCCTCTCTATAACGATTACGCCCGAAGACGTTATTACGAATCTAAAGACTAAGATCTATAGGCTCTCTATAGTAATCCCGACCTTCTCGGCTTAAATTATCGAATTAAACGCTTTAATTAAGAGTCTATAGAAACGTATTAATATACTCTCTTAGCTAAGCGTACCCGAAACGTATACTTCTCGTATATATCTCGACTCTAAAGCGCGGAAGGCGATCTAGCGAGAAAAGAACGTTTCCGAACTATAAACCGCGATCTAGTACTATTTCGATAAGTAGATTAATAAGTTAAATAATAAGTTTAATATACTTAATCTATAAGACTAGAATACTAAGAAGCGAACCCGTTAGGCCCTCTAGAGCCTCGCGAAGTACGAAGTAATCGCCTAGTACGTCTATCGACGCCTAGATAAATTCGTAACCCGAGGGGAGCTTCTCTTCGAGGAGTTTAAAGTAATCGTTTAAGATTAAGTAAGAAATCCTATCTTACGGCGGTACGAGAATGCGGTTATATTCTACCGCTTTCTAATAAAGTCTAGTACGTCGTATTAGAAGTACCGCGCCCGTATAGAAAGCCTATATAAATAGCTTCTATACGCGGTAGCCGATAAGAACCTTCTTATTAACCTCTTCTTTACGAACCTCCTAGAGGTCTATCGTAAAGAACTTCTTAAATATCCTACGATAAAGACTATCTAGGGGGTTAAGAAACTCTACGACTTAATTATTAGCCTTAAGTAGACGCTCGGCTTAGTTAAGATAGCGTAGACGGAGAAATAATAGCGCTAGGGCGTAGGCTATAAACGCCCGCGTCCGGCCTATTCTACTAATAGTAGGCGAGGTCGGTTAAGGAACTCGAGCCGATATAAGCCGCCTCGCTAAAAAGACTTCTAGAAGTCGACTCGTAGGTAAGGCGTAGGCGCTTCGTATATAAAGCGTAACTCGGGCTTCCGCCGGTTTAATAAGAATTCGGTTAGTAACTAACCCCCTTCTAGAGCCGATAGCTCGAAGGACGATAAGACCTCGGGAAAAGAATAGTCCTAGTAGCGGCCCTAAGTCGCCTATCTCTAGGACTAGTCGACTAAGGCTTAACCGGACGGATCGTTATAAACGTTCTTCTAGAGTCGCCGGAAGGGCTAGTAGCCTTAAAGGCCCTCTTAAATTCGGGAAGCGATATAAACCTTATTAGATAAGATCTAGTAAGTATCTATCGCGTATTCTCCTCGTACGTTAAGCGTACGCTCCGCGTACGGTTCTTAGATAGCTACCCTATAACTATATAGAACTTCTATAAACTTACCCTCCGGGCTAAAGACGGGATAGGCGTTAAGCGAACTATCGGACCGCGCCTATTCTAGGGCGCGTTCTTTAAGGATTACGACCTAATTCTCGGCCTAGACTAGCTAAAAGCGGCCGATCTTATCGCCCGCTTTAGTACGAATACTCTTAAATAGGGTAATCTATACTAAGACCGTATTAAGCTTATCTCTACGGTATAATTCGCTAGTTAACTAGCCTTAGACGATTCCGTCTACTAGATTAATCTAAAAGATAAGATTTCTAGTTAGAACTAGCTCCTACTAACGTAGAAAGGCGGAGATTATAACTCTACGTACTATTCGCGACGCACTAACGCCGCGTATACGTAATATATATACTTCGTATCGAAAGCGTAGAGTAATCCTATTCTTATAGCCGCAACGGTTACCGCGCTATAAGAAGAACTCCTAAGTTAATACTAAGACTTTATAGATATCGTATCGAACGAACTAGCCGGTAAGCTAGCCTAGAACTCTAAATATAACTATACGATCGATCTAGAGGACGGTAAGTCGCCGCCCTAGATATCTATCTATAACCTCTCGCTAAGAGAGCTATAGATCCTACGAGAATACCTCGATAAGGCTCTTAAGAAGGGCTAGATTCGGCCTAGTAAGTCTTCTACTAGCGCGCTAATCCTCTTCGTTCCTAAGCCTAACGGGACTATACGATTATATATTAATTACCGGGGGCTAAATCGGGTTACGATTAAGAATCGATACCCGCTTCCCCTTATTAGCGAACTATTAAACCGTATATCTTACGCGAAGATCTTTACGAAGCTAGACTTACGTAACGCCTATTATAGGCTCCGTATTCGTAAGGGCGACGAGTAGAAGACGGCCTTTAAGATAAAATACGGCCTATTTAAGTATCTCGTTATACTCTTCGGCCTAGCTAACGCGCCGGCTACGTTCTAGAGCTATATTAATAAAGCTCTCGAAAGCCTCGTAGACACTATCTACGTCGTATATTTAGATAATATCTTAATCTACTCTCGAAACGAGGAAGATTACGTTTAATATATTTAGTAGGTACTTTAGCGCCTCCGGGACTAGAGCTTATATATTAAGGTATTAAAGTATACCTTTTATACGACCTACGCGGAGTTTCTAGAGTTTATCGTAACGCCTAGCGGCGTCGTAATAGACCCCGAACGCGTAAAGGCTATTTAAGAATAGCCGGAACCTGGCTTCTTTCGTAATATATAAGTATTTCTTAGCTTTATTAACTTCTATAGGCGATTCGTATAGAACTACTTCTCTATTACTAAGCCCCTAAATAACCTCCTCCGGGACGCTACTCGGGCATCTAAGGGAGCACCTACGAAGAAGTCCCGAAAGGGCCTAACTAAGTAGTATATTTAGTTCTACTAGCTAGACGACGCTATATATACGTTTCGCACACTAAAAGACGCCTTTTTATATAGCCCGGTCCTCTAGTACTACGACCTAGTATTATAGCTAATACTTATTATTAATATATCGGATTTCGCCTTAGCTGGCATCCTACTCTAGCTCTAAGCGTAGAAGGGCGACTAAAAATACTAGTTATCTATTATCTACTATAGTAAGAAGTTTACGGCTATAGAAGTACGCTACGATACGTACGATAAGAAACTACTAGCTATCGTTAAATACTTTAACGTATAGCGATACTTTCTCGTATACGCCTCGTACCCGACGCGCGTACTCTATAATTATAATAATCTTAGATACTTTATAAGCACTAAAAAGTTATTAGAATATTAGGCCCGCTACGCTAAAACGCTGGCGAAGTTCGACTTCGAGATTAAATATAAATCTAGGGCCTCTAACCCCGCCGATTCTCTCTCTAGGCGACCCGATTACGCATTAGAGTTTAAAGAGGTTAAAAAGAAGGTATACTTAGACGCTATATTACTAACGTTATAATAGAAGCTACGAATACGGGAACTTATAGATAGTTTTCCGAGGGCTACTACCCCTACTACGCGCGGCGTATACGAAGAGTATATAAGAGACCCGCGCTACGATAGCTAATCGGATAATACGCTCTCCGTTTCTCTACTAGGACTTATCGCCGCCGTATATACTAGCGCGGCTAGCGAAAACCGTAATAACGCGAGGGCCTAGAGTTCTAGATCTCTAGATAAGAAAAGCTTACGGCTAGCGTAAGCCCTCGCCGGTATAAAAGAAGCCCGGAGCTTCGTACTACGTTAAGTAATAGTAGTAGCTGCACTT